CCGATTGCTGGACCACTTATATTAATACTAAGTCTTTACTAAAAGGTGCCTAATAATAAATAAAAGGTATTTACTAAATAAAAAACTAAATAGCTAATAAAAAATACTATAGTTAAAAGTTAATTTTAAGACTTAAAATTTTAAATACTATATTAAAGCTATATATCTTAAATATAGCTTTTTAATATATAAACTAGTATTTACTTATAAACTTAAAAGTAAAAGTAATAGTAATAATAATAGCCTTTTTTTAAAAGGCTTTAATTTAAAATAGTATTTAAAATAATAAAAGTATAAACTTTACTTTATTTTATATATATTAATTATATTTACTATTAATAACTTAGTAATTTAATAAGCCTTAGCTAGTAATACTTTAAAAAATATCTTTAAAATATAGTATTTATAAGCATACTTATAAAAAGTAGTAATTATTATAAATAATTTAATAATAAGAGGTTTTTTAAAATTATTAATTATAAAAAACCTATTAGCCCTAAATATAATAATATTAATTAAAAAGTAAATAAAGCCTTTTAAATTTATATATAAAGCTTTACTATTTATTTTAATAAAGTATTTTAAAAAGCTTTTAAATATATTAAAAGCCTTTATATATAAGATAAAGTATAAAATGCTTTTACTTAAAAACCTTATTTTAGTAACCTAGCTTTAGGCAGATATTATAGCTTTATTAAATAAGATAAATAAGCCTTATATAAAATATATATAAAATAAGGAAAGAAATAGTAAAAGAAAAGAAGAGGAGAGATTATATAAAAAAGGAAATTAGCTAAAAAAATATAAAATAAATAAAATTAAAAATAATATTCTTAATATAGTATTATAAGAAATATTACTTTACTTTAATTACTAGCTTAAGTAAATAAAGTAAATATAGCTAGTAAAATATATTTACCTTTTTAAATAAATTTATAAAGCCTTAAACCTTAACCTTAAAAAGCTTAAATTAAACTTTAAGAGGGAGAGCTTATTAATAAAGGAATCTGCAGTAATAGTATTATTAATATAAAATAAGATATATCTTTTATTAGCTATATAAGCTGCTATAAATAATATAATAGTTTATATAAGGGTGCTGCTAACCTTTTTTTAAATTTTTAAAATAAGCCTATTTAAGATAAATAGGCCTATATATTTATATACTATAAATATAAAAATCACTTTAGTAAGCTTAAAAAAGGTTTTATTAATAAGACTACTTTTATATAAGTAACCTTATATTTTAGTTAAATATTTTATTATAAAGGTGTTTTAGCTAGTTTATAAGTAAAAATTATTAATAGTATTTTTAAAGAATTATAAAATAAAAATAAAGAAAATAATAAAAGCTATATAAAAGTTATAAAATTTTATAAAGGAAGATAAAACTATATTTACTTTTATAATTATAAACCTTATAACTATTATATTTATTTTATTAAAGCTACCTTTTATAAACCTTATTAATATTATAATAAAACTAAATAGTAAAATAAAAGTAAATAAAAAGATAAAAGTAAATAAAAAAAAGAATTAAAAAGTAAAAAATAATTTTTTACTAAATACTTTTAAATATATTTTACTAGTATTAATATAGCACTCTTTAATTTATTAAAAATAAATTAATAAAGTAAAAATATATTATAACTTTTTAATTTTATAATATATTTAGCCTATATTTAAATATACTTTAAAAGTAGCTAATAATAAAATACTAATACTATAAGGTATAACTATTTTATTAATTACTTATAAAAAGGACCTAATCCTTATATTATAAACTAAAGCACTTAATTTATTAATTTTTACTTTTATAATTTATATATATAAAATAAAGTTTAAAGCCTTAATTAAGGACTAAATAAGGATAAATTTAAAAAGATATATAGTTTAATATTAAAAATAGTTTATATTAAGGATAAGATATAAAAAATCCCTAGATTATTTAAAAGCTATAGTAAAAGATTATATAAAAAAAAAGTAAAGGGATACTAATTATATAATAAACCTTATAAAAAAGCTAGCTAAAGGGGTTTACCTTAAGCCTTAAAACTACCTGCTAAGACTTCTAGTTACCTTAAGTTATATAATAGGAATAAAGGATATTAAGGTTAAAGGAAGCCACTGCTTATAAAAGACTTAATATATACCTTATATTTACTTTAAGAATAAAACTATAGCCTTTTTTATTTATTATTTAATAAAATTACTATATAAGTATAAAGGATTATTAGGCATTTATTAGTCTTTTATAATTTAAGAGATAATTTATATTATAAGGGCTATACTTTAGCATTTTATAAAGTTACTTAATAACCCTTTAGCTTAATAAATTAGCTAAACTACCTTTAAAAAAGTAAGGCTAATAAAGATTTTAAATATAAATATAAAAAATACTAAAGATTAATTAAAAAATAAAAGATTAGTAATTTATTTTAAAACCTTTATATTATAATAAAAGATATTTAAGGGCTGTATTTTTCTTTTTCCTTTATATATAAAGGGGATAGTAAGAATAGTAGGCTAAGAGCCCCTTTTAAAGAGGTTAGTTATATAACTATAAGGAAGGTTAATAAAAAGCTATATAAAGGCTATAGAGATCTAGTCTCTTACTTTTATATATACACTTACTAGCTAGTTAATTAATTAATTTTATTATATTAAGACCTCTTTTTTACTGAAGACCCCTGCATCTCCTTTATCCCAGACTGGATCGGTGAGCAGATACTTGAATGGGCTCGTGCATTAACACATTTGGGGTTGAAATGACTAGGAGACTTCTTCATCTTGTTGGCGACATCACAGGGTCGACGAGCTCTTTCGCTTCATCACTTGATCCGTACCTACAGCGTAAATGAATGGATTGGCGTTACTTCTTCCACGCGTTTGTGACCGAGAGGCGAGCCCCATCGTTGGACCTGGAGCAATAGACGAGGTTGGCACGGAGCATCCCAGACGGCATGGGCTTGACGACGCGCAAACAAGCTCCTCGCCTACTCCCGTTCAGCGCGAATTCCGTTTTGCGACCGAGTTTGTTTGCCATGTTTGCCATGGAGACCGAGCCACGAGGCCACCCATCTCGCAAGCCCCAGATGCAACTTGGACATAGTATCTACCTTAGGTTTTGATGCCTACCTATGTAGATATACTCTGCCCGAATACTAATGTCAGGGCGGCCAAGGTCGTCCAAGTATCATTCGTTCACCTTGCATTAGATAGGTTCCTAAGGTAGGGCTAAGAGTCTCTCGTCACACTCCGTTGCCCTGGTTGCAGCCCGATAATTGCGTCGACTCTCAACAGCCAAAGGCCGCCGACAGAGTTCACGATGGTCTCAAAGTGGCCCCGGTCTGGGTGCCTGTCTTGCCCGTTCTCACCTGGTCATACGGACCCCTGGCGTTGGATCTCCGCTCCACCCGTGTTTCACCTTGTCTACAGGCCCAAGAAGCGCGTTTTGCCCGCAAATTCGGGTGAGATCATTTCTTTGTACTCGTACTCACGAGGACCCTCATACTATGAGTACATGTAGGTGCTGTCTTGTCTCTGCATCAAGTACGGAGCAGGTACGCATGAAACCGGCCAGAATAGGACGCATCTCGGGGTTGCATCAGCTACCTACTACCTAAATCGTCGATATGCGGTGTGTGGATTCACTCGCCATATCTGTACAAGCGGCTGACCGCAGTAAACATCTCCAATAGTATGTAGTACTTGGTAGCGAATGAATACGGCCTGCTGAACTGGGTGCCGATGTGATGAGGCGCTCACCACGTTCGAGTTTGCAGCGCCCTGCCTTTCATGTAAGTCGTCGCATCAAACACTTATCCCCTGCCGCAAACGGCCTTATCCGGGGTGGAGGTGAATCTAGGTACGTTTCGACCACTCGTGTTCTATCTGCTACCTTAGGAAAAGTCAGTACATAGGTACCTTATCTACCCGGAGTCTCGGTGCTTACTTGTATCGTCCAAGAATACATGCGTGCACCATGATGCCAACATTCACAAAATGAGATCCCATGGACCATGGTGCCGCTTGAATATTGGGAGCTGTGCTTCATGCCTCGTCGACGATAAGGTACCTACAACGCCCTGAGTACCTACATCGGTACGTCTTGCGCGCCCTATCGATAAGGCAGTCAGCCGGCACAGATGCAGTTCTGATATCAATCTTGCCAGCTCCATGGATTAGCTGTCGCCGCATTGTGGCCGTTGAATCAAGCACTCGGTTTGAATGTGCATTCTCGCCATGTCATTATTCTTACGTCCATCGACTTGTACCTACAGCCAACAACTTGCTTTGCCAACTGCTCGCCATTCTCCCCGCGGCATCCAGCGCGGGATGACTGCTGTGGCTGAAGCTGGCGTGAGCTTCCCGGACAAAGCAAGCCAAGCCACAGCACCAGCGAATACGGTTGCGGCCCTTGGGCACTGTGGGGGTTCACCTCGCAGCGACTGTGGCGACTCAGCCCCCCCTCCAGAACATGCGCAGCGCCACAGCTGGAGCCTACCGGGCCGTTCATCCACAGGCTGACGAATATCTCGCCCAAACGACGTTTCGCAAACAGCCCGAAAACAACATCAACTTGATTCTTCACAGCGGCAGCGGATTTCTCTCGGGCTGCAGCAGCTATACAGAAAGCGCCCGGCTGCGGAATTGCGATTGCTGCGTCTCTTTCTTTTCAACCTCCAGCTCCATCTTTATCGCCGTCTCTAGCTTACGATCCACCTCTATCAGACGTCGTCACCTACCAACGGCCCAAGCGCCACTTGGCCAGCTACCTACCTCTCCCACATACGAGCACCGACCTACCTGGAGCTGTTTACACGCCACAGCCATACCTAAACGACCAACCGACCCCTCGACAGCGCCGTCCAGCTTCATGACCGCTCCAAGCACCGCTCCCACAATATGATGAGGCTCACAGCCAAGGCTGCGGCGCCGTCATGGCACCTGCTGCTGCTGTCGCTGCTGTGGGTGCTGGCGCTCGCAAAGGACGAGCCGAAGCTGTCCGTCACAAAGTTCGACAACCCTCCGCTGGGTCTTGCCTACTTCGAGGACAGCGATGTTGTCGTCTTCCACGATGTCGAGGAGGGCATCATCTATCGGTCCAAGGACGCCGGGGCCAATTGGGCCAAGGTCGAGGCGATCCCCAAGGGCGATGCCTTTCTGCTCGTCACACATCCGTTCGACCCGGAAATGGCCTACGTCCTGACCGCGGGCAAGACGCACTACAAGTCGGAGGATCGAGGCCAGACCTGGCTCAAGTTCGAGACGCCGGTGGTTCCCAGCCGGTTCCAGCCCGAGATCATGGTGTTCCACGCAGACGACCCGAAGCGAGTCATATTCAACGGCATGGAGTGCGACGGCATTTTCTGCGACGAGCAAGCCTCTTATACCACGAACAACTTCAAGACGGTCGATTTGCTGCGTGCCTATACGGCCGGCTGCTGGTGGGCCAAGCTGTCCCCGGAATTCACCACCGGCGACAAGGATCTAGATCAGAAGCGAGTGCTTTGCATCGTCAAGGATCCCTTCTCCCTCTTTGTCGAAGACCAGCGGCTCGTCATATCCGACGACTTCTTTGCCGTGGTAAACAAGGAGGTTCAGGAGTTCGAGCCCAACATGGACACCAACAAGGGAGTGGGTGGCGTTGCCAACATCGCTGTCGTCAAGAGCTACCTCCTCGTCGCTACTTCGTCCTTCCAGAGCGACGAAATGGCCCTCTACGTGACCGACGACACTCTCAAGTGGCACCGCGCCATGTTCCCGACCAGCGACAACCACGACCACTCGCACCAGATTAACCAAGAGGCCTACACCGTTCTCGAGAGCACCAGCTACAGCATTCAGATCGACGTCATGACCTCCTCGCCCTCAAACCCCATGGGTGTTCTCTTCACGAGCAATTCCAACGGCACCTACTTCACCGAAAATGTCCCGTACACCAACCGCAACAGCAAGGGGCACGTCGACTTTGAAAAGGTCCAGGGCATTCAGGGCATCTTCATTGTCAACGTGGTGGAGAATGGCGCCGATGTCGACACCAAGGGCGCCGAGAAGCACATCATCACCCAGATTTCCTTTGACGACGGCAGAACTTTCGAGGATATCAAGGCGGGCGGCGATCGCATCCACCTCCACTCGGTTACCGAACTCGATAACATGGGAAGGGTATTCTCCAGCCCGGCCCCGGGGCTTGTCATGGGCAATGGAAACACGGGCAAGGCTCTCGGTAAGTTTGCGGACGCCAATCTGTACGTGTCCGATGATGCCGGTATGACGTGGAAGGAGGCCCTGAAGGGGCCTCACAAGTACGAATTTGGTGATCAGGGATCGGTCCTCGTTGCCGTGCAAGATTCTAGAAAGGACGACGTTTCCGAATTTGCATACTCTCTGGATCATGGCGAGAAGTGGGAGACGGTTACTCTGCCCAAAAAGCTCACTATCAAGCCGGCCATTCTTACAACGACACAAGACTCCACCAGCCTCAAGTTCCTGCTCATCGGGCAGAACGAAAACGCCTACTATACGATTGCCATTGATTTTACTGCTCTGAAGAAGCGGACCTGCGGCGAGAATGATCTCGAGGACTGGTACGCCCGCGTGGATGACGATGGGAAGCCAACCTGCATCATGGGACACAAGCAGACGTTCCGTCGCAGGAAGAAGACAGCCGACTGCTTCATCAACAGCAACTTCAAGGATCCCGTTGCCAAGACGGAGGACTGCGAGTGCACTGACGCCGACTTTGAGTGCGATTACAACTTCCGAAGGGACCCAGACGACAACAAGGTGTGCAAGCAAGTCGGGCCACTGCCGGCTCCAGATGGTGCCTGCAAGAGCAAGTCCGATACCTTCAAGGGCTCCTCAGGCTGGAGGCTTATTCCTGGCAACACCTGCAAGCGGACAAAAGGCGCACAGAAGGATGATCCGGTCGAGCGCAAGTGTTCTGATGCCTCGGTCCCGAGCACGCCGGCCAATGGGGACATTACGAGCAAACAGTTCATCTTCGATACCAAGCTTCAGGATTTCCAAAAGATCTACCTCGATAGGAGCGACTCCAGTCAGTCCGATGACGAAACTGTCATTGTCAGGCCTGCTGAAGACGAAGGAGGCGGTCGATACAAGATTGAGCAGAAGATTTGGCTGTCCAGTGATCACGGCAAGAGCTTCAAGCGCATCTTGGAGGGCGAAAAGATTCAGGGAATCTACCCCCACGCATACCTCAAGGACTTGGTCTACTTCACTACCGGCAGCGACAAAGTCATCTATTCCCTCGACCGCGGTAAGAGCTTTCACAGCTTCAAGGCGCCAACCGACCCCGAGGATCGATTCCCCCTGAGCTTCCATCCGGACAAGAGAGACTGGCTCATTTGGGTCGGCCAGACCTGCGACAAAGTCGGGGGTAAGGAGACGTGCTTTAGAGAGGCGTCCATCTCTCTCGACCGTGGTGATAACTGGAAGACAATGCTTCGCTTTGCCGAGCGGTGCGAGTTCACCGGCCACTCGGCATACAATTTCCGCTCACAGAGGCAAATCGTCTGCCTCGCCAGGGAAGAAGAGAACAGCGACGCGCCGCTGACCATCATGACCAGCGACGACTTCTTCCAGGAGGACAAGTCCGTCTTCAAGGAGTCTGTGACCAACTTTGCCACCATGAACGAGTTCATCGTCGTGGCCGGCAGGGACCCCGAAACCGACGACATGCACGCGCTTGCCAGTCTAGACGGCAAGCACTTTGAGCGGGCTCACTTCCCGTACAACTTCCACGAAGGCCACGAGAACGAGTACACGCTGCTTGACAGCTCGACCCATGCCATCAACCTGTTTGTCCGTACCGAGGGTGGCGCCGACCGAGAGTATGGCTCCATCATCAAGAGCAATTCCAACGGCACGTCATACGTCCTCAGCGCGTCCAACGTCAACTGCAACGAGGAAACATACGTCGACTTTGAGAAGGTTCCTGGGCTTGAAGGAGTCACCCTGATCAACGTTGTGACAAACACCAACAAGGAGCAGAAGACAAAGGAGCTCCAGACCAAGATTTCTCACAACGACGGTTCCGAATGGGGGTTCCTGCCGCCGCCCGCCAAGGACGTGGATGGAAAGGCGTACCCCTGCAGCAGCTCCAAGGGAGACGAGTCGTGTGCCCTGCATCTGCACCACTACACCGAGCGAGACGACAAGAGAAAGACTTTTGCCGCCGCTACGGCTGTCGGTCTCATATTTGGCGTTGGCAATGTCGGATCCAAGCTCGGCGACATCAAGGACTCGGACACCTTCATGTCGACCGACGGCGGCGTCTCCTGGAAGAATGTCAAGAAGGGAAGCTGGTCGTGGCAGTACGGGGACCAGGGCTCCATCATCGTCCTCGTGCAGAGGTACACGCGCAACAACCAGGTCAAGACTCGCTACGTCTCGTACTCGACAGACGAGGGCAACACGTGGAAGGACTTTGAGTTTGCCGACTCGGACGTGGCCGTCCTCGACATCACGACGCTACGCTCAGGCACGTCTCGCAACTTTTTGCTCTGGTGCCGATCCGGCCGAGGCAGGCTCTTCTCCGTGAACCTCGACTTTTCCGGTTTGGCCGACAGGCCTTGCGAGCACACCAAGAGCGGTGACTCGGATTACTATCTGTGGTCTCCCAAGCACCCCTTGCAGGACGACGACTGTCTCTTTGGGCACGTCTCCAAGTATCTGCGGAAGAAGACAGATCGCCAGTGCTATAACAAGAACAACCTCCAGCGACTTTACGAGCATGAGGACTGCCCTTGCAGCCGACGAGACTATGAATGGTAAGACCTTATAATATCCTGTCTCTGCTCGCTTCCGCCGGCACACCTCATGTATCATTGCTAACATCCGTATTTAGTGACTTCAACTTTGAGCTGGACAATCACGGACAGTGCAAGCTAGTCAACGGCTTCACCCCCCTCTCCGGTGACGAATGGTGCGAAAAGCATCCCAACGCCACGTCGTACTTTGAGCCGACGGGCTACCGAAGAGTTCCTCTGTCGACGTGTCGCGGCGGCAATGAGCTCGACAAGACGTCGACGGAACACCCGTGCAAGGGTCACGAGGACGAGTTCAAGAGGAAGCACCGCACGTCCGGCGTCGTCATCTTCTTCGCCGTCGTGATCCCGTTTGTCCTGGCCGGCATCATGGGCTGGTACGTGTACCGCAACTGGAACGGCAAGATTGGGCAGATCCGGCTGGGCGAGAACTCGTCGACCTTTGACAGCGACCAGCCGTGGATCAAGTACCCCATCATTGCGGTGTCTGCCGTCGCGGCGGTGGTCGTTTCGCTGCCCGCCATTCTGTCGAGCTTGGGCCGCATGGCGAGCAATTCCTTTGGGAGATTTGGCCAGAGGAGCGATCGGAGCTGGTTCTCGCGAGGGACGAGGCGGTTCACCACGCGGGATAGCTTTGCGCGTGGTCGGGGGGAGTATTCCATTGTGGATGATGACGAAGGGGAGCTGCTCGGCGAGGAGAGCGACGAGGAGGTGTGATACAAATGCCGAGTCACCGGTGAATGAAATTAGAGAAAAGGAGGATGCCGTTCAATGGGGGGAAAAGGGGAGTGTGAATATTTGAAAAGAGGTTGTATGTATGTATGATTGGTACAGAAGGGGGGTCGAGGGGGGTTTATATTACTCTTTTGGTTGGAGGATGGGCAAGGGCGTCGTCTTGTTGGATTAGCTAGCTACCTTATTATACATACATAGCTCATGATGTCACGTCATTCTTAATGAGCAATGATTCCATTACACCTGTTGTTGAGTTATTGCCTAGGCTATTGGACGCTGCTTGACGAGTGGGTTTTCCCTCCAGTGTATCCGTTCCCTTGGGGTTCATAGTCATCCTGCACCTTATAGAAAATACCTACCTGCACAACTCTGCTATATAACAAATTTGGCCATGTATCAAGGTCCATCTTCCCCCTATAAAGCCACAATGAACCAAAAAGTCAATCTTGGATCTGTATAATCTCTACCTACAAGCATTAACAAGATGCATTCTTGTAGTAGTGAAATCAAGCCTGGAAAAGGCATTCCCAACTCTCCTACTATTCCCATCCCCTTCTTTCCCCACCCCCCCTCTGCCTCCCTTACACCACTCCTCCCCCCTTGCTTCCACCAGATCTATCCATGCATGTTTCCAATTCTTCGCTTCAGGCTTCCGCGACACACGGCTTGTTATAGTACTAGTATGTGTTCATTCTATTCTTAGCTCTTGCTTTCACCTCCTTGCATGCTATTACCAGTTAGCAGTGAGTGGTGGAGTCCAAATCCCGGAAATCGCCAAACCAACTGCCGAAAAGCAGATGCAAGGAATCTGAGCAGTAGACGATACCAGTCATACATAGATAGGGGAGAACACATGTGCGAGGTTCAACAATGAGTAATAACAATACTACTAATATATCTGGCCTCTTCAGTATCCCAACTTTTCAGACCCGTGCTATACATATGTAGCTTAGCAACAAAAGAACATCTTTCCTCCGTCCAAAGCGATACCAATCCAATAAAATGCCGATCCTGAAACGCCAGCCGAGAATGATCGCTTCCTTGAAATGCTATAGTAGATAAAAAAAGGTACAAATGAGTGTGGTCGTGACTTTTCCCCATATTACAGCCAGACAATGTCGGCTCGCTCCTCCCGATATATGCCCCGTAATGAAACGCCAAAAAAAAAAAAGAAAAAAGAAAAAAGAAACTGACAAAGCAAAGATATGAGACAAGAATTATAGGGTGAACAACAAAGTAAAGATCCTGTAGGGTATAACGATGCGTATTATATGTTGGAATGGCAAGCCTAATGTTGCATCTGCCGAGTTGAACCTCTCATGAACGGCGAACTCGGTTCCAGATGCGTTTCACGACGCTGCCGTCCCCGCCAGCATTCTCTTCGTCGAAAGCGGCGAATTGCCTCTCGATGCTGATGCTGTCCTTGGAGTTGGCAGCTTTGACATAGGTCCTTGGCTGGGCAAGTCCATCATGTGCCTGTGCCTTGGCTGACGATGGCTTCTGCCAGCCATACATTTGCTCCTCGTCGGCTCGGAGGTCGGGCCGCGTCAGCGTCATCCGCAGCGTCATCTCGCGGGATGATGCCGGCGCCTGGGCATAGTCCACCTTGCTCGGGAAGCCTCCCCCGTGGTGCAATCGTGGTGAGCGCTCTCCGGATTGATGATCCGGGCTCTTTGGTGTTCTTGGCGAGAGCGTCTCGACGGGAGAGGTGGGATCGCTGATGAGCGACCCAGCATCATCGCCAGCAGATTGCGTTACACTGTCGCGTGTCTCTTGGCGTGACCACGATGGAGTCTGAACGGATTCTCTCCCCTGCACGTCATAGAGAGAGGGGAACCCAAACTCGATGGCCTCATCAAACTTGTGCGGGGACGCAAGATATACGCGGAGCTTCATGCGGGCTTCGGGGTCTTGGTAATGAGATGGAGCCGCGTCAGTGGCGCTGGAGTCATCAGGCATCTGACTCTTGTTTGGCGCCATCAGAGACAGAGCCCTTGACCTCCGACGGAAGTGGCCAGAGGGAGAGGGTAGAGACGGTACCACAAACTGCTCGCTCAGTGCGGGAGAGGCCATCGTCTTGGTTGCCGGGCGGCTGAGTTGAGAAGAAGGCCGTCCGAAGGAAAGTTTCGATATTGAGAGATGGCGAGGAAAAGCCGGTCGCTTCTTCTTCCCTTGTTTGGGGCTCGGTTGCTGGTCGTGTAGACAAAGACGAAGGTCCAAGTCGTCGCTCGCCTCGAGCCACCGCAAGCTCTCCATGACCGAGTCCGGTTCAGACTCGACAGCTAGAAACTTTGTGGATTCGTGGTCAGGCGTCTTGCCCATGGCTGTGTAGAGCTGGGAAGAGTTAGGTTGATCCAGATAGTTGCCTATCTTGGGGAGCTGCGACTGTCGTTTGTTGATCTTGACAAAGGCTTCGTCGGTCGCGTCCAGTATGATGCTCTTGTGATTTGAATGAGATGTACTCGACTGTCTCTCTCCGCTGTCGGATGGTCGTCGGTACGTGTTGTCAGTCTGGCTAGGAAGTAGAAGAGCGGATTTCGGTCGACCGCGCAAGTGCTGGTGAAGTGTTCCAGAGGTGAACAGGTCGGACCCGAGTCCGAAGTGCGACCCTGGTAGGTGGTGGACGTCCTCCTCGCTTGCGAGGGATGATGCCGACTGGTTCAGGCCGACCAGGGACTGATCGGGGTGCCCAGCACAACAGGTAGACTGGGCAAAGCGCAGCCGCTCCAGAGTCGAGAAATACTGTGATGCAGAGAGAGCAGATGTCAGAATGTCATCGCCAAAGACTGAAGTGATCAGAATGGGACAAAGAGCGTAATGATAAAAGGGGCGATTCGGTCGGCCATGTATATAAGACAATTGCTGCTGAGTGACAACGGAAAGCTAGTAAGGTGACTACACCAAGGCGTATCCGCAGCCGGGGAACGGTATAGCAGTTCTAGCTCGAACGAGGATGGCATGTCTCAACTCAGGAACGAAGAACCATGACGCGGTGGGGAAGCCTCAGGTCGAATACGGACAAAGGCAGTGATGCTACCACTAGCAGCAGAGCTACTGTTCGTCCGCGTGGGTGGCTTGAGTCGATCAAAGGCATGGGGGAGGGAAAGGGGGGAAGAGGCATGCGGCAATCTGCGTTCGCCCTGCAGGGAGGGTCTGATCGAGCAGAGTTCAGGTACGGAGCCCATGCAAACAGCATCTGTGCTTCAAATACCTCACTCGACAAGACTGCCTGCCCTCATTCGGCGCATCGAGACTGCTTTCATCACGGGCTGCCACGATGTCCAGAAGGTAGCCAAAGGACGACGAATTGGTGGACAGCTCCCCCACAGCCACGGAAATTGATGGGTGGTGCCCTGGTGTCGACGGTGGTTTCGCCGACGCAGCCAAGTGTCGTTGGACCGAGAGGCGCTCACTCGAGCGACCCGGACAGACGGCGACCAAGCTCGACTCGAGCTCCTCCCCAGCAGCCCAGACAGCCAGGCAGTCCCCGGACGCAATTCCATTGGGCACCGCAGACGGCACACAAGCGCCATGGCATCCCCCAAAGAGGTCGCTCGCGCGGGGCGACACGAGAACTAGTGTGTCAGTTGGCTCGTGAGATGCAGGGACGGATTCAGCCGTTCCGGCGCCAGTGGCTCGTCACCGGAATTAGCCAGTCCCTGACGAGGCCGCATGCGCATTTGCATTGCATGGCGCCGTGTGTCGTCCAGGCTAAAGTGGCCCAGCAGTGGAGGGAGGCCAAGCAGATGGTGGTGATGGGGGGGAGATGCGAAGAAAGACGGACGAGACAGACATCTTCGTTCGACAGGCGTCTTGCTGTTCGTCGACTGCGAAACCGCATCCGCTGCGTAACACGGCCAACTGACGAGGATCGGTCCCAGAGGCAGTTCCCATCCGTCCAGTCAAAGACAAAGCCTGAAACCAGTCTTTATAGTACAGACGTTGTCCAATCTGCTGGGTGCTCCGAGTGCACATGGCGCCGTTGGCCCTGTTGGTCCGATCTTTGTTGATTATTCCCCTTGTTCCGCCTCTCGTTTGTGGACTCGCCTGCGACACAAGCTAGCGAGCCCTGTCGCTCGCCAACACACGTGTCTCTTGTCATCACATATTTGTATGCAAGCACATGCCTGTGAGGAATGCAGGGCGAAGCCAACCAAGAAGATGAAGGGAGAGAAAAGCAAACGAGCCACCGTTCGCAGGTCCCAAGTTGCTTTCCACCACTCGACAGAAGCATCAAAAGCACCGGTAACAGCAGAAGCATAAGAAAGAAAAAATGAAAAGAAAGACAAATACTTACTTTTCTCCGAACGGTAGGCGGTAGGGCTTCGAATTCCTCACTCGTCATGCTTGCGGACGACGGCGGTAGGCTGCTGCTGAAGCTCTCGGCCTGCGTCTGCTGCGAGGAGCTGTCGGAAAGCGGCAGCTTCTTGGAGCACGACGGGCTCCGGCTGCGGGCTTCCTGTTGATCCCAGCCTCGCATGTGGCTGCGGGAGGATGAGGGTCGTTGTGAGTCTGGCAGATACAACGTCTGCTGCCGCGGCGCGATCTGGTAACTCTGACGGTCTCGAGGCCGGTGTGCCTGAAGGCTGCCTTCCTCACCGTGTCGTGGAGTCGGAAGCTGCTGCTGGTGTCGTGGCCGATACAGGGTTGAGGCTCTCCGTAGATTCTTGCCGCGGTTCAGAAGGCTATCTGTGTTGGAGGGAGTCGCTGATTGACTGCTAGCAGGCGCCACTGCTGCTATGGGGGCCATGACTGCGAGCCTCTTGGGAACCAGATTTACGATCGGGTTCTGGTTGATCAAGCTAGGTAAGGTTATGATGGGAGGTAGGCAGTGACGAGAAAGGCTTCTGCACTGCGTAATTAAACAGGCAGGTGGGAAATCCAGTCAACAGAGCGTATGGCTGAGAGAGTCGATGATCGAGACGGGCACTGGGAGTTGTTTTGATGGACACCGCGGGAGGGAAGAAGGAAAGAAGAACGGCCGGCCTCGTCCTCGAAGAAGCGGCATTGCATTGCAGACGGACATGACAGCCAGACAGTCAAGCAAGCAGGCAAGCTGCAGTGTAACTCCTGCTCGTACTCGGTGCTACTCCATACTCTCAGGGATTAGCATTCGCATCAGCATCATCTCACAACGACGCGCGCCCGTCTGGGGCCAACGAACGGGCATCAACCTCTGCTCTCCGCCAATCCACCCGCCCAGCCATACAAGCCAATACTACTACTCGTAAGCGACATCCTGGGGTCCACGCTTGCGTTCCTGGCCATCGGCTGCAGCCCCCTGTAGCCAAGATGGAGGAGAGCTAGAGAGCTCGAGCCAGCGGCAGGCCCAGGAGCAGGACCAAGAGCAGGCCGTTGTAGCACCTCGAACGGTCACCAGCAGGCGTCACATCTGGGGGAGAGAAGGTGACAGAGCAGAGGCGACAGGCAGGGGGTCGCTGATTTGCAGTGGAGAGGCGGCGAGATTGTGATTGTGCAGGCTGGGGGTTCCAAGGGTTGAAGCAGTTTGTGTGTGTGTGTGTGCGAGGGGATTCAACATACAATAAGGTACATAGGCTGACAGCAGCAGCGCCTGTTGCGCTACTACCTAAATAATGATATGCCACTTCTCCATTACTGTAGGTACTTTACCTAGCTTAGGTGCTAGTATTACTGCATCACGCACCAATCAATGAAACTTTGCCAGCTCTCTTCCATACAATACTCGCACAAGTCTGTGGGTGGCTCCAAACCACAATCGATCATGTGCGCGCGAGGACCTGCAACCAAGGAGTCATTTGTCACATTTTCCCTCTCCTTGTCTCTCTCTGTCTGTCTCTCTCTCTCTTTCTCTCTCAGAGAGAGAGACGCCATTGTCTTTTCCAGGCTAGTCCAAGGGGTCAAGACATACATACTACTGTAGTATGACCATCACCACCATGATGGATGATGATGCTTGCACTGCAACCTCCGCCACCACCAGCGTCGCCATCGCCACAACAAGTCCAACCTCCCGCATGAATGACGACGAGTCTGGCCATCCTTCACCACGCCGGTTAGCAGCATCCCCAGGCATCTTGGGCGGCGCCGTATCCGCTTCAGACCTAGTAGCACACACAAGTACTCCGCACCATCCAGGGCTTCTCGAGCCTACCGGAGGCTAGAGGCGTGCTTATTTTGGGATTTCCAGGGACCAGGCCAGGGCTGCATGAACCAGCAGGTGGAAGTCGAAAAGTGTCGTCCTGCTGTCACTCCCACCCCTGCATCTGCTCTTCTCTGTTCGTCATGCCTCTTTAACGTGGCTTTGCTAACATGCCTAGCCAGGAACTTGCCATCCTGACTCGGGGGGGACAACCCGCTCGGCGAAGAGGAGGATACAACCGCCGCTAGCACGCTCTTTTTGTACGCGATGTCAATTCGGAAATTGATAAGAGATCCAGATGGTGGCTGAGATTGGACCCCTTATCCCCGGCAACGGAAAGAAACGGTTGGCAAAGGAATCAGAAAGATATCATACCAGCTCGAAATGAGCATGCTATGCGGGTGCTTGAATAGAAATCATGCTGGCTTGCATCTATGGGGTGTCTGTTGGAAGAGAACCTAGAAGCAACAAGGTTGGAGTTGTTCGCACCCATGGCTCTTCGGTACTGATTGCTTTCGCTACAGACTGCAGGCCATCTCGCGTCATGGGTCCGGAGGTGTCATTGTGATTATTACTCGCGCAACTGGACGGGGTTGCTGGGTTCAACCATGCGCTTCCCACCTCTCTCCTTCACGGTACAGTACGAGTATGTACGGTTCGCGAGTTATTCATAGCTGCAAGCCCCGTACGAACAGTTGCCGCTCATCGATGCCTGCACGGTTCACAGCACACACACCGGTCGCCTCTGTCAATATCTGGAAGCTCAGTGCTTCAGGAGGCCCTGGTTCAGCGGGATGCCAGTCTCGCCGATCGCTCGCTTCATACGAGAACCTACGCCTACCTAGATCAAGCAATGTATGTATAGGTGGTTGAAGGAAGTGCTCGTATATATCTGTACGGATGAGAAAATCTGAAACATGCGTACGCGCATGGCGTATAGCATCTACTCCAGTTTCGATGACCTGCTTGCTAACCTGACCATCAAGGTTTCACGCGAAACTTCGCGCCTCGGCTGTTCGTCCCAGGAGAATACTTAGCATAGCGCGAAGCGATAAGGAAAATTGAGGCATAGCAACGAAGAGTGCAGTAGACCAACGGCTAGAGTACTCCCTCCCCTCTTAGCTGTTATTTGCCATCGCTGCCATGTTTGCGCTACGATAATGTGCTCACTTTGGCGCCATCGACATGTTCATCTCGTCGCCCTCAAAGCCGCCCATGACGGCACAAACGCAGCGTCGGAGGCGATCGCAATTACAGGGAACAGAGGCCAAAGCGCATCGGTGTGTCGCGTCAAAGCGGCCTCGCTGATCGCGAAACTCGGGGGTTGTCAGCGCGGAATCTCCTTCGGTCCCCGTCCTGTCCTTCCAGAAGCTGATATCATTCCGACAATCAATTGCCTAAAGCTGTCATGTTTGGCAGACGATCACCGGTGAACCGCGTGCTCACCGTGCTAATGGCATCTCCTCGTCTAGTCGCATTGCAGAAATACTGGACATTCCCAAACACAGATAGAGGGCCACAACCGCTATCTTGACATGTGGTTTAACTGGGCCCTTGATTTGCGATTCCCCTAATCGCTCCCGATATTGCTCGGACGAGACTATACATAAAGGTGTTCAGCCTACCTGCTTCGGCAAGTCGGTTATACATACTGGACATCCTTTCGGCGCAAAGGATGGAGGAGCCTCGTCCGTGGACTCTCATCTGAAGTGTGGTCTAATACTTGACTCGGTGGTCTCCTATGAACCGCAAATCAAACGTGATAATAGCCAACCAATCTTTTTCGGCACTTGTTGTCTCTCCGGGTTCTGAGTGAAGTCCACTTGTATGAATTTACTCGTCGTGTTTCATGGACGATGTTGTTTCTGTCACAAACACGTGCGTCATACATACCAGCTAGACGTTGTCAGGTCCCAAGAGGCCCCTGAATTACAGACTTAAACGAGACGATGCAGATTGAATCAATTAACTGGCCGTCTCGTAATACTAAACAGCCCTTACACAAGGCTGGTTAATTTCCTACCAAGTCTCCCACGAGAACGCAGCAGAAGCCGCGGTGATGAACTCCCATACTGCCCATCTCACTCAGGTCACTCGTCAAAGACCTTTCCCGGGTTCAACAGCCAGCTATATAGCGTCGTGTCAGTGGGTGAGAACACAAAGTATACATATAAAAGAACGTACTGCGGATCAAGTGTATCCTTCAAAGCCTTCATGACACCAATCGTTGTCGGGCCCAACTCCTTGATGAGACATTCCTAAGCAGCCGTTAGATCACAACCAACAAAGCGCCAGATGATTGCAAGTGTTTGCATTACCTTCTTTCCTATGCCAATGCCATGCTCGCCCTATCGAGCCCTGTCAGTCCTTGCCTTGCATCACGAGAACAACGCTGTCGTGACTCACTGATACAGTTCCCTCCATCTCAATTGCCCTTTTCACCATGGTATCATGGCAATCCTTCAACTTGGCCATCTCGTCGGGGTCACCAGGGTGATAAATCAGTGCTTGATGGTAATTCCCATCTCCCACATGTCCGATTACGCAGTTTGTCAGGCCGTGATGAGTAGCCTTTGCCTTGGATTCCTCTGTCGATCGTTAGCGAGGACATATATATCGACACATGTTTCGAGATCAGGCTGTAATAGTTGCATGACACGCACCTATGATATCAGCCATGCGGGATATGGGCACGGCGACATCTGTGCCCAATATCCAGGCGTCCTTCGGCTTCGCGGCGACTATGCATAGAACAGCACCTTTTCTGGCCGACCACAGCAGATCCATCTCCTTTGGCGTAGTCACATGGTCAAAGGTGCTGGCGCCGTGTTGACGGCATATCGCCTGCGCCGCCTGGGCGCTGTCCTTGACGGAGCTCTTTGTGCCGGAGAACCTGTCAAGCGTTGTGTGTCAGACATACAAGCATCATTTTATTTCGCCACAATGAACTGGGACAAGTTGCCCCGAGTGGTTGATATCCTGCTGCGAGTGACACTTACTTCAAGAATAGAGTTGGGCTTTCAGCCCACATTCTGCCAGCGGTTCCTCCAGCCTCGTTTATACTCTTCATTTGCGCCTCGTCCATCAATTCCAAGGCAGTCAACGGCAGACCAGAACGAACCATGGTGGTTGCAGCGGCCGCAGCAGCGTGGATCGACCCGAATGCTGCCGTGGCGACGCTGAGATTCGTCGGCAGCACCGCCAGCTTGAGCGTGGCCTGCGTAACAATACCGAGAGTGCCTTCCGACCCCGTAAACAAGGAGTTGAGGTTGTACCCTGCTGACGTCTTTCTTGGTCTCTGCCTTGTCTTGATGACCGTGCCGTCGGCCAAGACGACCGTCAAGTTGACGACGTAATCCTTCATCGTGCCGTATCGCATGGCGTTGGTGCCGCTGCAGTTCGTGGCCACCATGCCGCCGATGGAGGCAGTCGGCCCTGGATCAGGCGGCAAGAAGAGGCCGCTGTCTTTGATCTCTTCGTTCAGCGCCATCCAGTTGACGCCGGGCTGCACGACAACGTCCATGTCCTGGGGGTTGAACTGGATGATCTTGTCCATCTCGCAGAGATCTATGCAGATTCCCGAGAAGGGCGAGCTGAAGTTGCCTTCGACGCTGGTTCTGGCGCCAAAGGGCGTCATGGGCACTCTGTATTTTGTGCATATCTTTGCGATTGCCGAGACCTGCTCGGTAGACTCTGGGCGCACAACGGCAATGGGCCTCTCGGTTGCGTTGGTTGACGAGAAGTCGGAGAAGCCGTGGTACTCTAGGTCGTCTGGGTCGGTGCTCACTGCTTCTTCTCCCAGTTCATGCCGAATCTCGTCAACAGCCTGCGAGTATTCATTAGACCGCTTTCCAATGTGATTTGCCTGCGGTATGTAGCCGTTCAGTGCAACTTACCTTCATCATTGTCTTTTTATCGGCATACTTGGATCGCAAGAGGGACTGCCGGCGCGGTTCGCTCCATCTCGGCGGTATAGAGCTGTTTCCTCCTGCGGCAGAGGTTGACGAGAGTTTCAGCGCTGACACTGACACGCCTCCCAGTAACAGTCCAACTAGCAGATATGCCGCAGATTTCCTCTGATATCCCTGGAATTGCTGAAACGATGACACAGTCCGAGCACCAGCACTGAGTCGAAGTTGAAGTCGCCCAAGAGGCACGACACGCGAAAACACAGACTTCATGATGGTCAACGCATATGAGTGTGTCTATGGGTGAGAAAGTGGAACAATGCCCCTACTTAATGCTTTCCATGGACATGACAGCTAAATGCTTGCACATGCTCGATACATATCAATTCTGACCTACGGTCTTCTGAGACACGCTGATGACATACCGAGCCAGCCCCGGAACAAGACACGGGCTTGTATCCGAGGACAAGATTCTCTCTTTGGAGGCGGCAAGGCGGCAGCAACTCAAAGTCAATCCTCTTCTTACTACCGACTATTGAATAGAGTTTCTGCTGACAGCTCGAGGATTACGTCGGATCAGTTCCGAGGTCTCGGATGAGTCGAAGAGCAACTAGAGTCAGCATGCCAGTGTAAGACGCTTCCGAGTTTCGGATCATAGGTAGGTCAATATTTCACCCGTCATCTCTCAAGTCTCAACTTGGCAACCCCAACATTGAGCTCTTTGAAGATTCTCAAGTCAAGCCAAGAGCTATTGTTAGAGACCAGACTTTGCAGATGAAAGCATCGTTGAAAGCCCCGCCTGGGAACGCCAAAACTCAATGTTAACCGAAGGGTTGTAGGGTAGCCACTGGCGCCTGACGGCAGGTTGCAACTCGCCTTGAGGCTCTACGTTATCGATAACACCGACATTCTTCCGAGGCTCAGCAACAACCGCCAACGATTGCAACTTCATCCTTCTTTCATCAGCTCATACATTGCATGCATCTTTCATCTTGACAGACTTATTCAACCCCCGGCACATGCCCGTCAACTCAGCCTTTCATGTCGCGTATACACGAGATACTGCCGCGCGCCCGTGAAGCCCTCTTACGCCCCTTCGACGCGCTCTCGTGAAATCCGTCGGGCTTGAGTCTTTGACCGCCCCTGGTCGCATGGCCGTGGCCCGGAATCGCCAGGACTTGGATACACCGCTTCAATGACGGAGGACAAGATGCCGCTCATGCTGGACAACGCCGTGCCTGTGGATCTAAATGATGTGGACGATCTCTTCGGCGATGGCGTCGGCTTGTCGCTGCCGGACAGAGCCCATGATAGGTCGCTTGCACTCAAGCTTGATGACGTGAGAAGTCGTGGCTGCTGCCAGTGCGTACTCGTATATCCCCCATCTTGCAAACGCTGAGCCGGTGGCTGACGGAAGAGCTGCAGGACCGTCGCCTGGTCCAAGTCCGGGACAATTGCAACCATCACGCCGGATGGCCAGTACTTGCAGCTCCGCTTCTTGCGGTGCAATCCGGTCGACGGATCCTGGGACCTCAGCCAGCCGACGACGTGTGAGCTGATCAGGGGATCTCAGGGCATCCCCCTCGTTCACTTGGAGTGGGGTTCGGCCAACGTTCCCGAGCTTGCCATCATCGACGCCGTTGGGAGAGTGGTCATTGTTAGCTTCTCGATTTCGCTTAACCATCCGTTCATTACTAGGAAGTATGACACCGATAGCATCGACGACGCGAATGCCGTGGTAGGCGCACACTGGCTGGCTGTCGCACCACCTAATCAGCAGGTGAGAAACCTCCGATGGCGGTATCGCAATGACCTGAGGCGCTGACTCTCGTTTGGAAGAAACCGTACAATGTGCTGTATGGACCAGCCATCAAGCATGGCAGCTTCTACCAGTTCGAAAGCTCCTTTGTGCACGCTGGCGGGCCGAGCCACCCCCATTCTTCCAAGAGTGCCCTGTTCTGCGTCACCATTTGCGGCATGCTGAAAATGTTCTGGTCGCAGAACAACAACAGAATGGAGGAGACGACGATGGAACTTGAGAGCGTAAACTCGCTGGATGAGCTCGTTACGCATGCGGCCATTGCCTCCGACAAGAGTAAGCCCATGTGGATGTCTTGGAAACCAGATGGGTGCCTAATAGCTTGATAGGACATCTGCTCGTTGCCGTTGCAACCTCGTCGAAGCAGCTGCGGCTGCTCAAGATTGAGATCCAATGGGGCGGTCCTGGCTCGCAGCCGGACAAGAACCCTCCACAGAATGCTCGGCTGAGTCCTTCGCTCGTCGAAAAACATCTAGCCGCCACGACATGGCTGCAGACAGGGCCCGGAGATGCCAACAACGACGCTTCGATGGCGGAGCTTTCTCACTTACACGTTCTACCATCCATCATGGACAACACGGGAAAGAGCACCGTCCCGCCCATGATCGTTGCCATCAGGACGCGCGCGCCCACCGCTGCATCCTTTCAGACAGCCCAGACAATCATTGACCGCTGGGAAGCGGTAGTTGAGCCACGGCCCAACGTTCACCCGGCCTTTGAGCAGCTGGGAATCCGGAGGAACAGCGACATCCCCGAGCAGACGGCCCACACGCGGCTGCGACAACTGGACCCCATCGTGATCGACAAGGTGCTGGTTGGCTTCCAGTCCATCCAGTTTGGAAAAACCCTGGTTCTGACCATGTCCGACGGGACCGTGGAATATCGGGATCGATTCACATTTGAAGAAGTCTACACGACAGAAGACCACAACAGAGTCATGAACTTGCACCACGCTGGCTGGGTTTTTGGAGACGAGGGTCCATGCTACCAGGTTGCCTTCTCACCAACCCACTGCTCCATGGTCCAGGTGTCAGATGACGGGGTGATCAAATGGCGCAAGCTGCATTACCCGCATGGCGACATTGGCGACTCTTACCAAGACGTCCGTTACGGCGCCACAATGGCGGCCCTGACGGTGACGGCCTCACCTGCCTTGTGGCACCAGGTAAACTATGATGACCTTTTGGCCATTGTCGCGCCGTACACGTCCAAGAAGCGGTTCATCCAAGACTGGATAATTGAGATAACCAAGCTGCTCAAGATTCAGGTCGACTACTCTGAGGAAACCCACCATGACTCCCTGATGAGGAACTTGCCGCTTCAGTGCTGCCTGAGCATCATGAACAGCCTGGGGTTCAAGGGAGAGATGAATCCGAGGTCGTTCCAGGGCAAGTTTGCCATGATCGACCTCCATGTGCGCAACGTGGTTGTCCTCATTACCCTCGCGATCAACACGCCAGTGACGGTGCGAGAAAAGATGAGCCCCATGGATGAACATGGTAAGTTGTAGCAAAGCTAGCCATTCTGTGCCCCATACTGACTGACCGCGACTAGAGGTTGTTGAAGCAGTGGCCGGGTGCGCTAAGTGGTCTCTGGATCTGCTGGCATGGCTCACCGACAGCCTATTCACACTCATGAACGACAGCGAGTTCATGGCGCGACTGGAACCTAAGCGGTTTCCGGAGTTGACACCATATTTGCAGACGCTCAACGATGTATCTCTCCACCTGCTGCTCTCGTCTTCCAGCAGAAGCTTTTTACTCTGCGTGTGCCGAAGGATTGCCCATCTGCAGGCGATGAGCGAACGGGCCATTGACTTTTACCGATCGCAGTCGGCAACGGTCGACCAAGCAGGCCACCTGAAGGTGCAGAATCAACCGCTTCAGCAGGCCTATCAGAAAATGCAGCGGATCACTGCAGCCAGCCTGGTCAAGGTTGCCGATTTTGAGAAGCTGCTGAACACGCTCAGCGCGGACGTCCGACAGATATATCAGGCGATTCTCCCGAACATTGTCAAGCATCAGAACCCCGCCGCGCAAGGAAAGCAACTCGACCTATTGGTCAAGGCTGCGCAAAGCCAGCTCGAGCTGACCGCATTGTTGGCGGCGAATCCGCCCACTCCTTTCTTGCCCGTCATCAAGAAGTTCTTTAGCAAGGACCTGCCTGCGTTCCGGAGCAACACTGATCCTGCACGGCTCTACTTTGCAAACTACGACCTCCTCGGCGTCCAGGACGACAAGGCAAGCTTGAGGGCCCGGGAGGCGAGGCACGTCTATATCGACCTGTTTAAGAAGACGGAGATGGGGCTCGAGACTCAGCAGTGGAGGAGATGCACGCGTTGCGCGTCGGTTATGGAAGACGTGTTTGGCACTCGTGCCGGCCTCACCTTTGTCCTGGGGCAACAGCGCAAATGTGCCTGCGGTGGTCACTGGGCCTTGTTGCCGAGGGGGAAGCTGATACTGTGAAGAAGGACACCCTTGGGGTCTGTGGCATTGGAGCTTGGGTACTTAAGTCTGAACGGGACTGGTTTACAGTTGTGCTGGGATATTGGATGATCAGAGTCGTTGTATACATTGGATCCTTGGAGTTTAGATGGAGTCTGTGTCTGTCTTGGGAGTTTTACAAGAGGGGTGCTTGCTGCTCAAGGGTTGGATAACCGTAATTACTTGGCTAGGTGTCTTGGTCTGGGAAAGCGCTTTATGAATATCATGATGCCCAGTCAAATGTTTTTGAAAAAGTCGCGTTTATGCAGTGCATTTCGTTTGACTCTGGGAGGATTGAAGAGTGCCATTTGAGTGGACTGACTGTCTCTTCAAATATCTCTCTGTACGACTCGCGCACAAGGAGGAAAATGTCCCGCAAGTGCCGGGTGACGCAAGAGTTCATCTTACGAGACCCCCGATCATCGTGGTCGATCTGTGTGACGGTGCGTTGACTTGACTGGTGTGCGTATGAGTAAGGCACTTTGCCGACATCACTTATACAGAGCGTCGTGTCACCCTTTTCAGCTAAGATTGCGTTGGTAGTAGCAGGATTCTGTACGTAGTAGTTCTTGGGCAGGGTGGATGAGATGAGATACAACCTGTGCACGGGAGGAAGAGAGTTGCGGGCGCAAGAATGATTTTGAGTTTGGCTCTTTGATGTGACGGTGAACGGAACAGATGCCTGTTTTTTTTTTACCAGATTTGCCTGGGGATGGGATGGGATGGGATGGGAATCTGGGGAGTCTGGTGTGGTTCGTAGTACCCAAGGTACCTAGTCAGTAAGATACCTACCTAGGTAATAGCGGTAATTTGAATCTTGCGGGGGTGGGAATTTAAATTGGGGTGGTGATCATTGGAGATGGTGTTGTTGCGTGATTCGTTGCGGATGGAGTTGAATTGGATTTTGGGGGAGGGGCAATTTCGTTCCTTGAGGAGCATTTGCCAAACAGGTACTGGACAGTCCTACAGAGAATCAGGACTGATAACATCTGGTGCATGTACATACATGTGGTTCTACTCCGTTGTGTGTGTGGAGGATACCTTTGATTGGTCAATTTGATAGAATTAGCTGAGATCGCCGCAGTGGTCATTGAGGCGCCTCGAGCCTGAACCCGGGAGAATGCTGAATTTACTCCCGTGTGACCTACTATCGCGGAGTGTTGCAGTAATTAATACAGGACGTACAGGGCTTGGCACTACTGCAGGTACGAGTGAAACCTGATGGGCGCTTTACAGGACTGTACACAATCGGAAGCAGGTTGTCTCAAGCCACTCGATTCGCGGTCTTGGGAGGTGCAGCGCATCGTGAACAAATATCAGCCAATCGACTGCTTTGCCGCGCGCCAATAAGAAAGACCTTACTCGTACACCGATAGGTACTGATGGAGGACAGAAAGAGTAGGCACCTCCTAGAGGACCCTGGTTGCGTCTACCTATTCATTGATTGGTTGCTGATGGGATGAACGCCGGGGGGGAGGGCAGGCGAGATAAGGCTCGCGTTTCTTCAATCTCGCTGAAGAAATGGATGAGCACTATGATATGTTAGGTACTTTAGCTACAGGAGGCGAGGCGAGGCGATGCGAAGGACGAATAAGCTCTCTCAATGATGGAGGTAATCAATCCATACAGTACGGCCAATTTCAGAGGCTGGCACCCTTTTTTTTCCCCATCCATACACCTATGATTGACGCATGGATGGAGGGATGCATCGCTGTGAGTGGTTCACGCAAGACTGGCGCTAAAACACACCAGCCAAAACATGCACGTTTTGTGCGACTCTTGGTTGGCAGGGAGTGAAAGACAATGAGAGACTGTGCAGGGGCAATTGAGAGAAGAGTGACAGTTGAGCCCAGGGCTCTTCTTTTTACTAGGTACTTCTACTGATATAGGAAGGTAGGTAGGTAATGCGCATAAGGGGCTCTGGAATCAACGCGGCTGGCGAGGCCATCAAGGCTTCGTGGAACTTGACCTATCTCATCATGTCACAAGTCCCACTACCTACCTATCCGTACATCCACCTGCCCAGCACTTGGATGATTCGCGTCAGGGCCCAGCTAGGCCATGAATTAGCGGCCGTTACCCCTGGCAGGGAGCGCTAGCGCAGGTACAGGTACTACTAGGTAGTACCGGGGAGGGGCGCGAATGCTGGAGCCCCCCGCCAGTTGAGTCGAGTTCGGGGATGTCCATTCCAATTGAACGCTGAGTGGCCAAAAGGAGTCGAGCCGAATTGGGTGCTCGTTCGATCAACGTGGGCAGCTTGACCTCCCTATTTGCCTCTTTTCATCTTCCGGCGGAATCTCCAGCATCTGATGTGCTGCAGGGTCGTGATTAGGCGGCTTGATTGCGCGCCTGTGGTATTAATATTGTCTATAGCCGAAATGCCCGTCAGGTCTGAGGAGATGGAGATACATACCTAGTACCTCCATACCTCCTAGGTACCTAGACAAGGTGCATGTGGCGAACGGCGCATAGCTCGCATGCGTGTCCAATCAGCTGGCCCAGCCTCGTTCTTACCTGCAGAGACACCTGCGAATGGCTCGCCAATCAGCCGCCGCAAGATAGGCATTGACACAATTCGATTCTGCTAGCAGTTAAATAGTTTGCAAAAAAACGCTCTTTCAGCAGCCTGGAATGCAAACTGTCAACAAACTGCAGAATTGACCAGATAATAGCTGACATCGAACTAAACTTGAGGATTGTACTGGTACGGAGTACTACAAGTAGAACCAGGGGTCTCCCTGCTTAGTACATACCTACTTGTACAGGCCAGCCAGCAACAAGCGCAGCAGCAAGTCGACTTGAATGACTTGAATGCAACCTCCACCCTTTCCTCTCCCCGCCCCACCGCCTCTGGGCAAATGTCCAGTCCCTCACCTTGCAGGTCGTCAACAGCCTCGCTTCTCCCTTTTTCATGTTCCCAGCCAGCATCGTCACTCCAACTCCTGGCTCGCCGTCCGCCGACTAGGACCGTCCCGGCCTAACGCCAACATCCCCCCCTTCCCAGCTCTGCTCTTTTCTTGGAAGGCTGCTCCGGCCTTTTGCCTCTCTTGCTCGCTCCCCCTTCTAGTCGATGCCCGGCTCACGGGCGGTTGCAATTTCATTTTCCCTCCCCAGCCGGCGTTAAGACTTGGTTGCTGTCGTGAGCGTTCGGCGCGACGCCTCGCTTCGCTTGCTTGCTTGCCATTCTTCGTATCTCGTCCGCTTGTCTGCTTGTCCGCCTGCTTTTGCTTTAGCGCTCGTACTCTCCTCGTACCCCCACGACTCGCCCAGATCATTTGCTTGCTGCCTGTACCTTTCCTTCTCTGTACGAGTACCTGTCTTGCTGTAGGTATTGCCTACTCTCTCCATGGACGTCGCATCGCAACCTGCCAGCGGGCCCCGAGCCATGGCGTCGATCCTGCCAGACTCTGATACGCAACCTGCTTCATCCCAAGCACCTCCACCTGCATCGCTGTTGCGGCATAGCGCGGCTCGAACTCGACCGGACCCTGCAACTGGCAGCGACGAGCACGAGCACGAGCACCAGTACCAGTACCATCAGGACCAGGACCAGCACCAGCAACCGGAAGAGGAACACGACGAGTCCGGGTTTGACGCCGCCGACGACGAGTACTACCAGCAGTACCACCGGGACTACAGCCAGGCCTACGCCCAGGAGCACGACGACCGCCAGGAGTATCATCACCAGGACGACGACCGCCGTCATCTCCAGAGCGACACCGACCCCGGAACCGCTTCTACTGCTGCTGCTGCTGCTACTGCTACTACTACTACTACCACCTCTGCCGTTCCCTCTACCGCGTCTACCGCAGCTACTCCCGTCACTCCTCCTCCTCCTCCGCGTCGTCCTCCCACCACCACCACCACCACCGACGCCACCACCCGTGTTCCTGCTGTCCCTCTCCCGGCCGGCATCCACACGAGCATCGCGGCCACTCACAGCCGTTCCCAGACGCTCGACTACGTAGATCCCTCTGCTGCCACCCTCATCTCGCCGGTAGCTGCCTCCTCTCTTCCCTTTCGCTTCTCCGGTCCCATCAAGCGCAAGCCCGTGTCCAGCACCGCGGCCTCTTCCTCGCTTGTCTCGCAGTACCTCCAGGGCTCTCCTCTGCTTCACACCACCACCATCGACCTGCCCAAGCCCGATCACCGATTCGCGCGGCCGCCATCCGTCGACAGTCCCACCTTCTACGAGTACCCTGCCTCTGTGCGAGCTTCTGTGCGACCTCCTAGCCAGTGAGTGCCTCTCTTTGTCTGCTTCTCTACCTCTCTGTCTCTCTCTCTTACACACACACACACACACACACACACACGCTGTCCCATCCCCCCGTTCCACCCCATCTCTTTGTTTCCATTGCACCAAGGGATCCCCCCCCCCTGTCTAGGTAGAACCATACTCCTTCTGTCATTGTCTAGCAAAACCACAGAGTACCTCGTAATACAAAGCACAGAGTACACAAGACTCTAACTCAGGGACCCTTTCAGACAACCACAGACTGCCGCAGAGCTGGCGCCAAGCGACGACGAAACAGCTGCTGCTTCGGGAAACATATCCACCCGCAGCGGGCCTCCCGCTGAAACCGCTGACACGGAATCCTCTGCTGGACTGTCAGTGTACGACGACTTGCTGCCGGATCTGACACCCGACGGCACGCCTGACGCTGCGTCTGTCAACGAGCGCGACCAAGCCACGGACAGCGCCTCCGACATCGAGTCCAACTACGACGACGGCTCGAATCCCCCTCCCTCTCCGCCCATGTTGGCCCCGACCAAGCACGCACCTCCGCATCTACGGCTCGAAAAGGTCGATCCCTCTGTTCATATAGGCGACGGGCCGCAGACGTACATTGACGACTCGCCCCAGTCCGCCGCCATAGACGGGTCGCCGAAGCTCAACAAACCGCTGCCCAGGTCACCAGGCGCAACCTCTCCACTGGCTTCCATCTTCGGCTGGGGGAACTCGTCCTCCACGGAGCTGTCATCGTCGCCTTTGTCGCCGAACGCTAAGGGCTCGGCCAATGACAATCGACGGTCAACGAACAGCCTCTCGTCAAGGTATACAAAGCCCAATGCAACCACGACTCTCGCCCAACAGCGCGAATCCTTCTTCTCGACGCACTCACCCCACCTCTCCCAAAACACAGCCCTGATCGAAGAGATGGAAGACGAGCTGAAGGCCATCAGCTCGGAGCTGGCTGCATCGATCCGCCGCGAGATTGACCTGGAAGACCTGGCCGATAGGCTCCAGGAGCAGCTCTCCAGCAACCCCCAGACGCTCGCCAGCAAGCGAACAAGCGACTACTTCTCCGACTCTGGCCACAGCACAGCCAAGCTCGGCGAGTTTGACCACACCCGGGATGAGATTGAAAAGGTGCAGAGGAGGTCGGAGCAGGAGAGAGCTTCCCTCCGCCTCGAGCTGACATCGAAGCTGCAAGAAGAGAGGGAAAAGAGGAAGGATCTCGACCAGAAGATTAGGCAGCTTCAGGAGCGAGCTTCCGAAGTAGACGTTGTCGAGATCAACAACATGGATGCTACCGAGCGCATCAAGGAACTGGAAAGCACTTGCGAGGATCTGCGCCGGAAGCTGTCAGAGGAGCGTCAGTCCAAGGCCAACTTTGAAGACATCCTGGCCGCCCTCAAGTCTCAGCTACAGGAAGCCTCTGATGAGCGAGATAATCTCCGCGACGAGGTCGTTCCGGAGCTCAAGGCGCGAGTCGAAGGCTTGGAGTCTGAGGCAGCCGAGTATGCCAACCTGACGTACGAATCCTCCAGGATGCAGCAGGAGCTGCACACCCTGAAGCGAGAGAACAGCTCACTGCGCAACTCCATGGCCGGCGGCATCGACGAATTGCCTACTAAGCGAATGTCAGTCATCGGACTGTCTGGCCTCTCTGGACTCTCCAGTCTGTCCCGGTCCAATTCGAGTGGCCTCTCGCGCTCCAACTCTGTGGCTACCGGATCGCGCAACCGCGTCCCTCCCGGCCTCGGCGGACTCAAGAGATCTGACAGCTTTAAGACGGCTGCGCAGACTGACTCTCGCGAGACCTTGCTCGAGCGACTGAAGGACGTGGAAGAGCAGCGCGACGCCCTCCACGGCGCCCTCAAGAGTCTGTTGGAGCGACACGAGTTCCAGAACCGCGAGTACCAGAAGAAGATTCGCATGCTGGAGAAGGAGCGCCAGCGGCTCACGACGGTGACGCCCCGCAAGGCCGGGTTCGAGAAGGACATGAGCAAGCTGCGCACCGAGATCAACCTCCTGCGACGACGCGCCGAGGATGCTCTCGAGCAGAAGTGGCAGGTTGAAAAGGGCCTCGGCGGCCTCAAGATTGATCTGGACCGAGCGGAAGAGGAGATTCAGTCTCTGCGTGGTCTTCTCAAGGAGAACGACATTCTGATCCCCCCTTCCATTGCTCGCCTGAGCAGCTCTAGCGACACTGGCCGAGAGCCCGTCACGTCCGAGTCGCTCCGGACGGCGTACGCGGAGCTGCAGGCCGCATACACCGAATCTCTGGCGCGCATCCGCGAGCTCGAAGACTCTGCCTCTGACGATGAGACCAAAGAGGCCATGGATCGCCTAGAGCGCTCGCTCTCCGCCGCAGTGCTTGAGCGTGACGCAGCCAGAAGGGAGGTTGACCAGCAGAAGGCTCAGATCAGCATGCTGGCGGCTGACGAGGCCCAGTCGGCTGCGGCCGACGGCACTCTGGCCGAGCAGCTCAAGGAGTCTGCCGATCTCATTGAGCAGCTCACGACCCAGGTTCGTCAACAGCTGGACACCAACACCGAGCTGCGAACACGTCTGGAAGCTGCCGTCGCTAGGGGAGAAGCGGATCGCAAGACCAACTCACAGCGCATCTCGGAGCTCCAGGAGCGTCTTCGTGTCCTGGAGGACCAGGTCGTCGCCGCCCAGACCGCGTCGGAGGACCGCGTCGTCCGTCATGAAGAGGAGATTACCCGGCTGCGCGAAGCGCATAACGAGCAGCTTCGTCGCCTTCAGGCTGATCCCGCCGATGGCTCGTCGCACAAGTCGGGCTCGAAGCCGCTGCTCAGCACGCGGTCCATTGCTTCCAAGAGCCTCGAAGAAGAGGCTGATATGAAGACACTCCGGGCGCGCGTCCTTGAGCTCGAAAAGGCCCTTGGCGAGGCCGAGGACGAAATGCAAGAGGTCGTGGCTAGGATGAACATGGCCCAGGTTGAGGTCCTCAACCTCCAGGAGGACCGTGAGGCAGCCGTCCGAGAGACTAGGCGACTCGAGGAGCTGCTGAAGAAGGAGCAGTCCAAGGCCGGCTTTGGCGGGTTCTTTGCCTCTCGGAGCTGAAGGGCCCGAAGTGACGAAGCCATGCTGAGCCGGACAAGACCGTGGTAATGCTATGGGAAAGGTTGATGTGGAAAGAGATGGAATCATGGATTACGTCTTACCGTTGTATAGACACGTCGCACAGCATTCGAGGATGCGGGTTTTTCTTTCTTTCTCTGGAGATGTGTTACATTTGCATAGGCATGCTTCGTTATACCGACGCCCGGCACAATCGATGGATATGGTCTTGGGTTTTACTACGAAGAGAAAAACAATTATTCGAAATGGCTGGCGTCAGCAACCTATATAGGATGGAGTTTGGGTCTGTCTTTCTGGGATTTTGTTTGGGTTATTTGACAATATTCGAAGTACACAGCTTTTACACATGTCTTACTATAACAGCAAACAGCTCTTGATTTAGACGCTTGGAACGGTTTCTTGCATTACAGACGCTGTTGGAGAGGCTGCATTGGCGATCTTATTTTGCACATCCAATTAGAGATGACACTTGAAGCTTTTTGAGCAGTGGTTTACTAGATTATGCATGGGACGGCATCGGATAATTCTAATACTCTGATTTGCAGTAATGGCAGTTGAATGTGTTGCCTCGGTGTCATTGTTGTCTAAATCCTATAAACTTGAATAAGGTACCTACTACCTACTACCTTAGGTAGGTACCTGGGTAGGTAGGTACCTATGAACTGCAGCCCCGACTTGAAGTAAGGTGTTTTCTAGTGTGCCTGGTGAGTGCTGATGTTGGCAAGTTCTCCTGCCGAACAGCAAGTTGTTTATACGTAGGTACAAAGTGCCTATCTTGACATATTAGGTAAGTACGCATCAGCACTGAAACTACCTACCTTAGGTACTACTAGGTAGTAATCAGAGAGACTCTTCCTACCCTGCTCCCTTCTTTGAAATTCATCATTATCCATCGTTTACAGTCTATCTCTTATACCCTTGATCTTCACAATCACTCGTTTTATATATCCAGCTTGAGAAGTTGTCCAACCATGATATCAGCGAAACACCACGTCCTCAACATTCTCATCTCCCTGCCAACCCTCTTTGCAACTCCGATCCGGACACTTCTCCGAGATGAACTGTCCATAAACTACGACATCCAGGCGGTGCTTGAATACAGCATCGCCTTCTACGCGCTATGGTTCTGTCTCTATCTCATTGAAGCAAGGACGACAGGGTCAGGGTCAGGGCCTACTAGTAGTACTACTACGCCTTCAGCGAGCACGCGGTCAAAGCCGGTGCGGCGTGTAAGGGGGTTTTTGGGAGAGAGTGCTGGGGGATGCGACATGGGCTGTTGTCGAGAGGAAGGGGGAGTTTGATTTTGGGTTGGGACGGGGTTGATGGGGTGGAGTGTTGGGGATTGTGCGTTGTGGGTGATTGATTGTGGTTATGGTGAGGGTGAGGAGGTTGTTGTGAGATGGTTGGGGACGGTGGTTTTTGGGGGGGGTTTTGATGCCGATTTGGTTTGATGTGAGTCTTGATCCTTTTTTTTATTTTATTTCTTGACTTCCTTCTGTTACTGCTGCGTTATTTTGTGAGGGGAGGAGCGAGGATGTGTGTGTGTGAGTGAGTGAGAGAGAGAGAGAGAGAGAGAGAGAGAGGGAGGGAGGGAGAGAGAAAGGGGGGTTTTGATGATGCTAATGCTTGTCTTGGGTGTAGGGGCCGGATGCCGAAGCCCACGAGATGATTGTATCGTCTATATCACGAGGGGGCGAGACGTCTTGGACGGTGTTGTGTTTCATTGAGGCTGTGGCTCTTGTCCTCTGTTTGGCGTCTATTACTGACTACATGGGTGCCTTTGCGTGTTGTTGGATGGGGGAGCGGGTGAAGGATGCGGTCGAGTGGTGGTTCCCGGTGGGCGCGATGCCGCACGAGGCGTTTCTCGTGCTGTGGCTCTTGTCGCCGTTTACAGACGCCTTGGACACGGTAAGAGGCCCTGTGTTCTGTCTGATATATCTGATGAGGGTACTAAGAGAGAGACTGCAGATTTTAAACACCGTCTACAGGCAATAGGATACTCACGAGTATACGCGGCGAGTGCAAATGCACAAGGCAAATCGACGGGGACGGTGTGGGTTGGTGATTAAGCGGTGTCTCATGGTGAGCTGGGTTTTGATACTGTATCTTGTGGGGAGGGCGTACGAGGTGTTGGGGGAGGCTGAATGGGTGAGGATCTTGTTTGGGGTGGTTTGTGAGGAGGATGATTTGGGGGAGTGAAGGATGGACTTGGAGGGTTGATGTCGATGCTTTGGTGACAGCGTTCGTATAGAAGCGGGTGGATGAAGATCCGGGCCATTTGATACCGACCTGGACCCTTCATGTTAGGTTCCATGGTAGCACGGAGTGGACATGCTAGACGTTCCATGATAGAGCGGGTACACTGGAATTTTACAGCGCTGATTGAGGGCTGGCTATTGAGCGCGTTGCTGCCTGGAGAAGGGCGCTGTAGAGGGCGCTGGTTAGCGGGCTCCAGGCTGGAGCCTACCTCAATCAGTCAGCAGCGTGCAACATTGGAGGCAGTCTGAGATGCGTGATTCTTCTCACTTGATCGTCAACTTGACACTTGAGATCAACATCAACACATACATCGCTTGCTGTGGCTACCCATCTGGATTGCTCTTCCTTGCAGTGTTGACACCCATCGGGGCTGTATCTCTGCACGAGGCTCTGCGGCCTGGAAGGAAACCAAAGAGCATGCAGCTCAAAGACGACGACGACTTGTTGCTCGCCACTTTCACGGCCTTATAACACCGAGACACGGGTCAAGAAAAGGTTGCCACCAGCGACGCAATTTTGACGCTCGCTGAACCGGTTATTCATGGATTCGGGGTCGATCGAGTCAAAGGCGGCCTACTTTGACCAGCTCTCAAAGCTTTCTCGTTTGAGCGATGGGCGTGTATATGGGAGACGGGATGACGATGGGTTCGATGCGCGCGAGGAGGCGCAGAGGGAGCACCATCGTCGTTTCTTTCAGTCTGCGCCAGGCTCGCACGCTTCTATCCAGCACGGCCAACCGCAGGAACCAGCACAAGGTCGGGAAGCAGAGCAGCAACAGCCGTCAAGGCAACAAGAGCAGCAAGCTCCCCCGAAACCGAATAGGCTGCGACATCTTACTCCTCGAAGGATGATTCCCCCACCACGGCCTGAATCAGCAGTTGTAAAGGGGACTGGGCCCGGAAAGCAGAGGCCAAAGGGAAGACTCGGTGCACTGCTCGATCAGAGTGCAGATGTTGTCCATGAGACTCCCTCCCTGGGCATGGGAAAACACAAAGACAGGGAGGGAGATGCGGTTGTCGTCGCAGACACTCCCGTTCTGCAACGAACCTCTACCACGTCTTTGAAGAGACCGCTGGAAAGTGCCTTGGAGGAAACGTCTTCATCGCCGTCTGTTAATGTCAAGGCGGGCATGGCGAAGGCGTCGACGACGCGGAGCAGTAAAAGGGGGCGCCTGGCGGAGCCGAAAGTGCGGCCCGAGGAGGAGCAGATATTCAGGGGCCTGTCCTTCTTTTACGTCCCGGACAATGACATTGCGCCGGCGAGGCGATTGCGCATCAACAGGGCGAGAGAGTTTGGGGCCGTCTGGACGAGGGATCTGCTGGCGGCAACGCACGTCGTGGTGGAGAAGAAGCTCGAGTGGAAGGACGTTGAGAAGCTGTTGTTGCTGCCCGGGGAGAAGCTTGAGGGGAGGGAGATGCCGAGGGTGGTGAACGAGGACTACCCGTTGGATTGTATCCAGTTTCGGGCTATTGTCGATGCTGGGCAGCGCAAGTATTTGCTGAATGGGCAGCCGGCCGCGGAAGCCAAGGCGAGTGAGCCTACTGCTCCTGCTGCAGATGTCGGAGTGGAGGAGACGACCAGGACGAAGGCGACGGCGAGTTCACTGCCGCTGAAGCCGGCACATCATAACAAGTCAAAGTGGGATTACGTTCCGCCCAAGGGAACGCCTTCTCAGACTTCGGAGTCTTCTTTGAGCGGTCCCAGGACGAGGAATGGGGCTAGGGGAGCGGTGGCGGTGGATTTTCAGCCTGTCGTGCTTGACGTGGCAGGTGGTGAGGAGACGACAAAGGACATGCCCCGGGGCGATGCGGATACGCAGAACGCCATTGCTTCAAAGGACGACAACGATGAGTTGTCCAAGTACATTTCGATGATGCAAGAGTTCAAGGACCTACCCCTGGATGTCGACGAGGATGAGGATGCCCAGTCTACGGCAATTGGGGTAGAAGCTCAGCTGGATTTCACTCACCAGTCTGAATCAGAACATGATTCACCACAGCAAAGGAGGTCGGCTCGGCGGACTCGAACGACAAGCAAGTTGATAGCGTTTGAGGACCGCTTCGCCTGCAACAGAGCCGGCAGAAGAGACGCCAACCAAGGCAATCCAAACTCACGCACCATTGAAGTGCTGCAAAAGATGAACAGCTACTACGAACGAACCAACGACCAATGGCGGACCATGGCGTACCGCAAGGCCATCAGCACCCTGAAGCAGCAGACTGTCAAGATCACCACCGAAGAGGAAGCCTACCGACTCCCCAGCATCGGCCGCCGGCTGGCGCAAAAGATTGAGGAGATTGTCACGACAGACAAGCTGAGGCGGCTCGAATACGCAGAGAGGGAGCCTTCGGACCACGCGCTGCAGGCGTTTCTTGGCATCTACGGCGTGGGGAACAAAGTAGCCGAGCAGTGGATCGCGCAGGGCTGGCGGACGCTCGACGACGTGAGGAAGCACGCCAAGTTGACGCCCAGTCAGCGGATCGGCCTGGAGCATTACGAGGATTTGAACACGCGGATACCGCGGAGCGAGGTGACTGCGCTCGGGGAGGTTGTCATGAGGGCCGCGGGACGGATCGATGCGAGGGTGCAGGTCATTGTGGGTGGGAGCTACCGGCGAGGGGCAGAGAGCTCGCACGACATTGATCTGATTGTGACGCGGCCAGGGACGGAGGCTGCGGCTGATTTGAAGCCGTTTCTGAACGAGCTGGTTGACCGGCTGGAGAGGGATGGGTTTCTGGTGGCTCGGCTGGCGTCGTCCCGGGCTGCCGGCGGCGACGGAAGCAAGTGGCACGGCTGCTGCGTGCTGCCAGAGACTGCCGAGACAAACAACAACAACGACAACAGCAACGACGACGACGACGACGACGACGACGATAGAGGCAGAAGCAAAGGCAAAAGCAGAAGCAGAAGCGATGATGCAGGGCACCGGCGTCCAGTATGGAGGAGGATCGACATCTTGCTCGTCCCCGAGGCAGAGCTCGGCGCGGCGCTGATTTATTTTACGGGCAACGACATTTTCAACCGCAGCATGCGGCTGCTGGCCTCGAAGAAGGGGATGCGGCTGAACCAGCGGGGGCTGTACAGGAATGTGCTGAGGGGGCCTGCACGGATCAAGGTCACGGAGGGGGAGGCTGTGGAGAGCAGGGACGAGAGGAGGATCTTTGAGATTTTGGGGGTCAAGTGGCGGGAGCCGTGGGAGAGGTGGTGCTGAGGGATGATGTTTTGTTTTCGTATACATGCTAGGTAGGGTTGGCGATGGGTGCTGGGCTGGATAGATGCTATATAGATTTATCACTGGATATGTTTTTGGTCCGTTTTATTTGTATTCATATGTACATGATGAATTGATTCATCATTTCTGTGTGGTTTCCTGGGGATTGATTATTTCCAGTGTGTATAGAAGATGTTGTTCGGTTACATATGGTATGCTGGGGTGAGACCAGATTCAAGTTTAGGTTATTGGTGAGCGGGAATCACATGTGAAAGCAAGTCAAAGCCACAGGCGATTACTATCAGCTTCACCTCCAAGGGACCTTGTCAGCTGTCACTCCCCGTCCTCCAATGTGATTCATCGGTATGGTATGTAAGCCAGAAAAAAAACGGTGACGTCTGGTCCATCAATTCTCCGGGCGTCTCCATTTTTCAATGTCCCGCGTGTTGTAGCATTCAAAGCTCCAGGCCGAGGCTCAGAAGCTCGGCAGCCGGGGCAGACCAGCTAATAATAACCCGTGCCATCTTCTTTACCTTTACGTCCTACATACATACATACATGCGACTCCTCACAGCACTTCGATGCGACACCGACTCGAGAACCTTTCAATCATCATTGATCCAATACTTCTTCCACCTGGCAGTTGCTGCGCTCTTCTTCTCTGCGGTGATCCCTGATTGAGCGCCCGAGCTTAAAACAAACAAGACAAACAACGAGCGACAATAGCCGAGGCAGCAGCAGCAGCAGCAGCAGCAGCAGCAGCAGCATGGCGGCCTCGTGGATGTTGGAGGAGTGGAAGGTATGAGCCGCCGAGAGAGAAGCGCAAGGAGTCAGATGGCTGATATCGATTTGTTTTTTTTCGGCTGCAGGCGTTCCTCGAGGGCATCGTCCTGGACCCGACATACCATGACGTCCTCTCCCTGCTCAAGACGGCGCGCAACGGCGCAGTGTACGGGACAAAGGTGCGGTTTCCGCACGCGCTGGTGTGAGTTTGACACTTGGACCATGAGAAAGGGGGGGGGGGGGGGGGGGGGGGGAATGGGAAAATTGAGGGCGAGAGAGAGAGAGAGAGAGAGAGAGAGAGAGAGAGAGAGAGAGGTGGTGCTGATGCGAATGCGAATAGGATGATTTTTCTGTTCCGGTCTGGGACGTACGTATCCCCTTTTCTACTCGAACGATGGCGATACCGAACGCGAGGCGAATATTCCAGAGGCAAGCATTGACATGACATGAATAGATTCCGGGAAAAGGCATCGTTGGTCTTTCGGGCGACAAAGAAGCACGCCACGAACCTGGCCAAGTTTGCATCGATATACAAAATCACCATGCTGGCGCTGAAGCGCTACGGAGCCACGCCAGGCAAGGAGGGTAAATGCTGTCTTATTTCTCCCCCCCTTTGCCCTATCCTATCCTATTTTCTTCTCCTATCCTCTGCTCTCCTCTCCTCTCCTCAGGCTAACTGTCGCGAAACCCAGGCCCGTTTGACTCCTTCTTCGCCGGCCTCCTCGGCGGCTACATCGTCTTCGGCCAGCGCTCCAAGCGCTACGGCAAGATCTCGTCCGTCAACCAGCAAATCGTCATCTACATCTTCGCCCGCGTCGCCCTCGCCCTCGCGCGCATCGCCGTCAAGCCCGGCCACGGCCTGCCCGTCGTCTCCGCCGAGCCGCTGCACTCGCAAATCAGCCACTACGCCTGGCCCGCGTTCGCGTCGCTGTCGTGGGGGTTGGTCATGCTGCTGTTCAAGCACCACCCCGAGGACCTGCAGTCGAGCCTGAGGAGCAGCATGACGTACATTTACAAGGACTGCGATCACTGGGATTCCTTGCGGACGCTGGTTTGGCATAATAAATAGAGGGAGAGAGCATTCACGGGAGATTGTTAGGACGGTGTGTGTGTGTGTGTGTGTGTGTCTTGGAGCGTGTGTTTTTCTGCTTGTTGTTGTTGTCTTTGGCTTTGATGAGTATATCGGCGTCTTTTTGCTTGTTGCCATTCAGGTGTCCAAATGGCGTTTATCGTTGGTGTTTTGGGGAATGTCATAACATCAATACACGGCATGAGGGTGGACGAGTGAGAGGAAATAGATGGGACAGGTCTCTTGCATATAAAACTCCATCAATCTAACTCATCCTCCTGTTTCCAACATTTTGCTTCTCATCACACGTGCACAATCTGGTCTCTAAGAGTACATACCAATAGCAGCTTCACAGCTACTAGATAGGTAACTTAGGTACCGAGCAATACCCCGCTATAGCTCGGTGCTGCCCCGCCAAATGCACGTCAACAACCTCAACCTCAACCTCAACCTCCAACCTCGACTTCTCCAACCTCAACTTCTCCCTCATCTTCCCATCTCCCTCTCCATCTTCATCCCCTCAAATTAGCCCCCCCATGGAACCCAATCCAAAGGTCGCCGCGGCCATTGCCAGCGCAGAATCCGCCTCTGGCGACGAAAAGGCCGCCATGGCCGCCCGCTACGAGGCCATCCTCGCCGACATGCCCTCGCTCGCCGCTCCCGCCGCTCCCACCGCCGCCGACCTCAACGCCGTCTTGGACTCCTTCTTCCGCCAGGGCCCGGGCCTCGTCGCCTCGCGATCCTTCCTGGCCGCCTTCGTCAACGCCCTCAAGGGCATCGACAACGAGCAGCTGTGGATCGACGTCGGCAACCGCACGCTGGGCAAGCTGGCGGCCCAGCCGTCGTCGTACTTTGACGCGGCGGCGACCATCTACGAGCTGCTGGCCACGGCGCACGAGAACAACGACGACTTCCTCGACGCCGCAAAGGCCCTCGCCGAGATCCCGCTCGACAGCTCCCAGCGCAAGGTCTCGGACGAGGACAAGGCGCGCGTCTGGGTGCGCATCGTGCGCAACTACCTCGAGGTGGGCGACGACACGGCCGCCGACGTCTACGTCAACAAGCTCAAGAACATCATGCACACCGTCTCGGACCCGGACCTCAACCTGCACTTCCGCCTGTCGCAGGCCCGCATCCAGGACGCCAAGCGCGACTTCCTCTTCGCCGCCCAGCGCTACCACGAAATCAGCTTCTTCCCGGCCGTCGCCGAGGACGAGCGCCTGCACACGCTGAGCATGGCCGTCAAGTGCGCCATCCTGGCCCCTGCCGGGCCCATGCGCAGCCGCATCCTGGGCCGCCTCTACAAGGACGAGCGCTCCGCCCAGCTCGCCGAGTTCGGCATCCTCGAGAAGATGTTCCTCGACCGCCTGCTGTCGCCCGCCGAGGTCGACAAGTTCGCCGAGGGCCTGCAGCCGCACCAGCTCGCCACCACGGCCGACGGCTCCACCGTCCTGGCAAAGGCCGTCGTCGAGCACAACCTGCTCGGCGTCTCGCGCCTCTACAACAACATCCGCTTCGACGCCCTCGGCTCGCTGCTCGGCCTCGACGCCCCCAGGGCCGAGGAGACGACGGCCCGCATGATTGAGCAGGGCCGCCTCGTCGGCCGCATGGACCAGCTCGACGGCACCGTCTGGTTCCAGCAGGGCGGCGAGGCCTCGGGCGAAAAGGGCAGCCGCCGCGCCGACGTCGTGGCCAACAAGGAGATGCGGAGGTGGGACGCCAATGTCGAGGGCTTGGCCGAGGACGTCGAGAGCGTAATCAACTCGCTGCAAAAGGAGTTTCCCGTACGTTTCTTTTTTTTTACTTTTTTTTTCTTTTTTTACCTTTCCTTCTTCCCTTCCCCAATACTATTCACTTCTAGCTCTTCATTCTCTTGTTTTTGCTGACTTTGACTTTTTTTTTGATACTTGTCAGGCCTTTGTTGCGGCGAATCTTGCATCATGAGGTGAGATATCTGGAAAAAAAAAAAAAAAAAAGAAAAAAAGTAGCAGTGGCAGAGGACCAGCTACACGGGCATGTGTTGGCGTTTTGGGAACGGGTTATGCGACGGCGTCTGGGAGTTTTTGCTTTTCAACATGTGGCATTGATACAGAGACACAACAACAATCTGCAGGGCTTTACATCCTCATTCCTCCTTTTTGATTTAGACACAGATCGCCATAATATATAAAGAGAAGTGAGCTTCTATTTAGCTATTGTAAGCTGGCTACCCCCTCATCGCTCCCGAGGTAACATCTCTTGTATATACCGTCTCAGAATCTCATCCTTCATGTGGTAATGCCGCAAGTCCAAACATATCCCAATAACCCCCAGGTTGCCCTTTTATAACGCGCCCAATCTAGCCCCCATCTCTCATATACCCCGGCATCATCATCAATCCCACATTTCCCACGCCCTGAATTTGTCAAGCAAAATCAAACAAGAACAGAATTGGAGAACAAACAAAAGAAGAAGAAAGAAAAAACATCCATCCGTGAAAACATGAAAACGCCGCCGCTCTCCCTCCCCCCCTTAATCCTCAATATCATCGTCGCTCAGAACAAGCTTCTGCTTCAACATCCCCGCAACAGCACCACCACCACCACCACCAGTCTTGATGCCCACCCTCTTCTTCTTCCGGGGACTCGTCTCCTCCGAGGGCTTATCCGTCGCCCACGTCTCTCCCGTCGCGGCATCTTCGTCGACATCAGTCTCCTCCTCGTCGAGTGCCGCATTCACGCCGGAAAAGGAAACAATCTTTTCGAGATCCTTTTGGCGTGCCCCCGTCTTGCGGCCCCGAGCAATCTGCGCCATATACGGCAGCCGATCGAGGAGCAGTTCCTGGCGAGCCGTGCTGCCGAGCGTGGGAACGGGAGGCCTGTCGCGCATCTCTGCCTTTTGATGACGGCCGTCGTCTTTGCGCTCGCCTTCCTTGGTGGCTGACTTCTGGTCTTGATTCGAGACGGCCGAGGGTTGGTTGCGGCGAAAGATGCTGGCCCCGTCCATAATGTTTCTCGTCGGAAGCTCAGCCTCGCCCCTCAGGACTTTGCCAGACCAAACGTCAATCAAGCCCTCAATCTCCTCCTTTGTTCGCCAAAGCTTGAGGCTCGTGGGGTAAAACATCTTGAACGCATCCCCGCCCTTTTGCATGGTCCAGGCCTTTCTCTTCACGGGATTAGGCAGCGAGAACAGCATGCCGCGCACCGCAACTTGAAACGTAATCTCGTCCTGGCGAAGGACGTGACTTGCCGAATCGCCTCCAAAGCCTCCCCCGTATCCCCCGCGTCCACCAAAAAAGACATCCCGGGAAGGGCTGAGCAGATCAGCCAGCGAGAGGTACTCGATGCATTCGTTGACATAGTCTATCGGGGTCGACAGGTCCATGGGATCCGTACCTTCGCAGGATAGCACGTAGTTTTCGTGCAAAGCCGAGATGAACGTGTGCGTGTCGGTGCCCGTCTCGTCGACCAGCGTGTCGACGGACACTTGCGATGGCTTCGGCCGGGAACAGTGTGAGAGGTAGCTCGGCAGCTTCTCCGCAGGGTCGTTGGACGGCACCTCGTCCCGCTTGTTGTAGACCACTTTGCCCACGGCATGGAAGATGCCCAGGCTGGCTTCGCGCTGAGAAATCTGTTCGAGGCTCTCTTCTTCGCCACGTGTGAGGGCAATGCCATCTTTTGCCCCCTTCTTCTGCTTCGTAAACGTCACCTTGGATCCCCAGTCTGCGTCCTGGTCTCCCTTTAGGCAGAGAAACTCAAGCGACGAGATGGCGCTGCGAATGTCTCCAATCTCGCCGAGCCTCTTAAGAACCAGCGGTCCTGGTGTTCGTCTGCGCCCTGACTTTCGCGACTCCTTCTGCACGACAACCTCCAGAGCCTTTGCCAGCAGCGACGGCGCTATCGGATTGAACTCGATGAGCCCGACTCCGGGATGGCGTAGAATTTCCGGCCCGAGAAGTCGATGGGCGGTCAGGCTATCTGCGGAAGCGGACGTCGTCGTCAGCAGCGTCTCCGATATCACGAGCACAACCGGCGTGATTGGATCCGCTGGTGTCTGATGTCCAAACATGTGTAGAGATGGTGTTTGCGTCGCCAGGTACTGTGTAATAGTTCGCCGAAAGGAAGATAGTGCCGTCGAGCTGCGAGAGAAGGTGTTGGGGAACTCTTCAATGAGGATAATCTTCTTGCCATTGCTACCTGGTTGCTGTGATTGGGACGGCTTGCTTGAGCTCGCTGGCGTGGACAACGGTTCAGCGTCCTCCAGGTCCAGAGCACCAAACTTTCCTCCTCGTCCAAGAAAATCCTCAAATTGCGAGGACGCCGAGACAAAGCCATTGACTGCGTTCCCTGCTGGATTCTTCCACTCTAGGATCTCGCATCCCATGTCGTTTGCCAAGAGACGGACCGTCGTCGTCTTCCCAGTGCCGGCAGCGCCTTTCAATATCAGTAGCCGCTGTCTCATTCGGCCTCCCATGACGTCTTCAAGCCATTTCCTAACATCTGTCACCTTCTTCTTGTGCACAGCCAACTCGTCGAGGTTTCGCGGGCCAAATCGCTCCGACCACGGCCGCAAATCATCGTTCGACGCATCAATGGCTGCTGGTCGACTGGGCTTAAGGAACCTTTGGCTCATGGTCAAGGGACCACTGGAGACGGGCAGCTCGGCGCCGCTGGTGCCTTTCAACCGTTTCCTCACATGCTGCCCAACCAAGCTAGATGAGCTAGCCTTGCGCTCCGATATCTCGTCATCGTCGGATATGGGATCGGATATCAAATCGTCTATCGGCTCCGTCCTTCTATCGGCTCCCGGGCCCGACCTTGTCGCCTTCTGCGCCTGCTTGGAGAAGAGCGTCTTCAAATCCGCCGTCTTTCCCTTATCATCAGCCTTGCTCGCAGCCCTCGTCTTCCTGGGGCTGGAGCTGGAGCTGGTGCCATTCTTGAGTGATCGCGACGGTCGGAGGGGGCTGCCGTTGCTCGGTGGCTGTTGGCCATTGGCGGTCTTTCTTTTCGCGGGACTCGGAGAGGTCGTCGGCACTCTGGCCTTTGCAGGCGAGTTTGGCGAGGAGACAAGGAAATTCGTCAGGGTGTTGGCCTTGGGCTGCTCGTCTTCATCTTCAGACGCCTCAACGGTATTCCGCCGGCGACGCTTCGCAGGCGGTGCCATTAACGCGACTGGGTCATCGGTACTGTGACAATTCCATGCAAGGCGAGAGCACGGGCACAGGATAGGCCAAGCACACCCAGAAGCGGCGATGAGGGCTGTTGACAGTAGAAAGAGTCTGCGGTTGATGCTGAAGAAACGGTTTGCGATATCAACATGCCTAGTTCGACGGCTTGTTCACGTACAGTGCCATACACTATTGTTAGCCAGATTGCACTGTACAGCCATTAGCTACTAAGTAGGTAGGTACTTAGGAAGGCAGTCGCTACCTGGCAGCTCATACTTACCTACCTACTGAGTACTAGGTCAGGTAGTTAAGGAGCACGATAGCATCAAGTGCATCATATCTTTCTGCTCACTTAGGTAGAGTCTTCACGGAAGCCTGGACAATTTGTACCTAGTTCGGAGTTTCCAACACAGCAATTATCCTAGATTTCAATTTGCATTTACAATTTGTCGTCACGTGCGTAACTCATGCCTCATATCCAATCTGCGGCTAACCAGCTCCATCACTCCTCACTCCTTCAGGAAAACCTCCTCGTCAAATCAATGAACCCATCCGTGGAAATTATCCACAAACGTCACTGCAGCTCTAAGATAGCGCTCGTGAACATCGCCCCATGTCTGAGCAGCCTCCTTCATGGCTCGTATTGCTGTGAACATATATTCGTCAGTGTCATGTCCTCTGCTTGCAACCCTAACGTCGGGGTGGAATCGTACCTTTGACGAAATGTGCGTCCTTTGACCATGCCGAGTTCAGCGCCTTATCCACCACGTATTTCCAGTTCTTTCCCTTCAGGTCGCTCTCCACATTGTCGGGATCCGGCATAGGCCGGCCCCTGACGATGAACATGGCCAGAACCAGAAGCCACCACTCCCTAACCAGAGAAACGTGGTGTTTTGGTGGCACAAATGGCAGGAGAATCCGGACGGCGTGGCTGGTGGTCAATAGGTGGACGATGAAAAAGTCGTAGGCGTGAGTGCCTGGTGGGACAGTGGCCACAAGTAACGCGACGGCTGCCTCTTGCGACAGCTCGAACTGCTTCTTGGGGTCGTCATCAACATCCCATCCGTTCCAATACTCCAGGAACAGCGACTCGTTCTTGTCGAGAAACTCTTCCAAGTCGCCAAGATCCTCCGGCCCTTTGCCGAATCTATCATCCTTGGACAGCTGACCTAGGAGGTCCAACGGAGCCTTGGACTTGAGCGGAGACGGCCTGGTATATGAGCGATTGTCGAGATACTTGTGGAAGAAGTTGTACTGGACGCAGGTGAGAGCAAGTGCCTCCATGGCAACTTCTCTGCTGTCCACCTCATAGGCATATCCAAGGTGAATAAGCGGATGGCCAACTATCAGTTGTTAGCTGCGACTTATATCACCGTAACCGGAATTGCTTGGGGTCTTCTTACGTCCGCCTATCAAGCCATGAAACAGCGGCTCGTCGCCGCTGAACAGGAAGTGCTGCAGTTCCTGCTTCCAATCGTACGCAAACTCCATGGCAAGCTTATCTTCGAAGTAATCCAGAAAGGCCCTCTGGTACCTCTTGTCGCCCAAGAAGTCTCTCCAGTCCTCATCAATCAGCTCGGATGGCGACGGCTCCCAAGGCACCAGATCTTGAATCTCGTCATTGTAAATGTCATGCAGCTGGTTCTCATTCGCCCCAAGCAGATACGCCGAGCTCAAGATGTGGACATTGTGGTTGTCGAACCGGAGATTGTTGAAGAGGATGGCATAGTTGGCATGGTTTGCCTTCAACAGGTGCTTCAGACACCGAGCCCGTCTGTCAGCAATAGTTTCAATGTGATGAATCTCGACGGGTGGCAAATCAATCGACTTGCATCTGCCACCGCCGAGAAGCAGGCTTGCACCTGGAATGTACGAGATGATGCCCGACATTTTGTGATGTGTGTTTGAAGACGAAGAAGAGTGTAGAGAACAAGAAGAAGATATCGTCAACTCCCAGTTGTTGGGGCAAAGCATAATACAACAAAGTAGTACTTTGCTGACAAGGATCATGGAATTGTTCCGTCCTGGCCAGATTATGTGGGGATGGCATCATGGTGGAGCTTCTGCTTTGCGCCTGCCAGCCGTTGTCCAGTGACGCAACACTTGAACTGTAGTCACGCGTCGCGTCTTGGTGCTACAGCGGGTACTATTTGGAGCTCCAGCCACAATCGAATTGCTGAGCCTCAGCTTCAGCCTCAAGCTCAATACATACTGCAGCCTTCTCCAGCCTTTTCTTATCAACTTCAAACCGACATCTTTCCTCTATCCCCTACAGTGCAGCACAAAGACAGCCTCAACCTGCAGGTGAATGCCGAGTTGAACATGACGCAGTCAGACACTTCCATTTGCTCCATATATGCCGAGCTGCTCTCCAACATCAGACAAGTGTCGGTTCGAGCCACGCTCTCGTCGCCGTCGGATACGACGACCAAGGCCGAGATCCTCGATGACGGCCGCCGCATTCAGGTGCATCACAGAGGCCAAGTCAGAGCACTAGATCTTCCAGCTAGTGTCATCGTGCGCTCCACGATTCCCATCCCGGAGAATAGCTCGCAAGAGCTGGCCTGGAGGCTACCGGTGCCGGCCACTGAGGCGCAACTGGCGCGATTCTCCCCTGAGAACCAGTCAATACCTTGGAGTTCTACGGATCTCAAGGTTGGCTCCAGCATCTGCTGCCGAAATTGCGGCTGCGAGATTGTGCAACAAGGCCGTGTCAAGTCATGGAAAGATTTACCTAGCGAGAACTGGGCGGAGATGATGGAATTCTGGCATTGCCATAAGCCTCACGACCACGGACACGAGCATCACAACGGCGACGCCCTGTCCAAGCGTGGATACGGAGCTAATAGCGCAATCACCGCTCAGCCTGGTATTGGGTTTGTGGACCTCACTTCCTTCATGTTCTCAGAGTCGGACTGTGATGGTCTGTTGGTAAGTCATCACCTGTGCCCCCCCACGTTGCTCTCTGCTTTTCCGCAAATGTCGGGGAAAAAGAAGGTGGCCTAGTCGAGTGTGTAAACACCTTCAGTGACCCGGCCACCGATACAAGTCCCCAAGAAGAATGCGTTGCTTTCCCATGGTTCGCCGTGGGCAACGCTGTTGCTAGTACCCTTCTCTAGCGGGAACGGGTTAAGCATCGGCGTTGTCAAAGCAGTCTCTTACTTTTTCATCCTATTTCCAGAGACGTGGAACTTGGGAGATTAAAGGAGATATATCTATCCTCTACGTAGACTTGCCGTATCGTGCTCGCCTTCCGACTCGTAGAACGGTTCAGCTTACCACCAGCAGTTCTCTCGACCCAACTCTGAGTCCACCTTCGATACCAGCAAAGAGGCCATTGATGGAGCTGATCCAGTGGAGCCTCTACGTATCACTTGCAAGGCTTGCGCTTCAGAAATAGGGCTATACAATGCTCTTGCATCATCTATAGCCCTGTTCAAGTGGCAGGTGACTTGCGAAACAGCTTCGCCCAGCAAGGCTCCAAGCAGCTCAGAGTGCCTAGCAGCCACTCTGATAGCAACTATTTCACGATCAGGCTCGTCCAAATCCGTTGTGGCATCACATACGTTTGATACCACTGCAGAAGGAACAAGGTCGGAGCAGCCTCTGTCTCTGAATCTCTGGGTGCTCAATGCCAATATCGTGTATACGTCCACCATGCGCGAAGGAAGGAGGACGGCGATAAAGCTTCTCTATCAAGACATTGATGTAGAGCAAGGAAATAGCCTCGTTGATTCCATGACCTCGGGAGTCCAGGAGATCAGCTTCCCAGCCGCTGCTATTAAGACAGCTCGGCAGGTTCTCCAGGAGAGTAACAGCTTGATGCCCGTCTCTGAGCGGTTGTTCCAGCAATGGCATGTGGGTTTACTAGAGCGTTGGGAATAGACGCAAGGTTAAGAAAAGCTCCAATGGATATCCTATACATCTCAGTCACACTCCTTAGAGTCAACAGGGCAAGAGTGCATTCAGCCTGAAGGAGCGTGAATCGAAACTGACAAATCGCCCAATGCGCACTGTGCGTATCCACGTGTTTGTTCGTTGATGTTACAGTCCACATCCGGAATCGACACTGTAATAGGCAGCACTCTGATATCGTTCCACGAAGGATCAGATCTTAACCCCGAATCTGCCTCTTTCCTTCATCGCTTATCTCCCGCCATAATCACACAGCATTACACGATTCTCTCGAGATGTGATACCAGAGATTTCTGAAGACGACCTCATAGCATCAGTCTCCTGGAATCCTCTCATGGCATCATCCTGAAAAGGATCACTCGACAGAACGATCAACTCCGGCAGCACCATGCCTTCGCAACCGGTTCCCTATATTCCTGTCGGATGCATTGGGATTTCACAAACGGAGACCAAGGTCGGCATTGACGATTGGCTGTCTATAGAACTTCGGACCTGGAGAGAGTTTTTTCTTTCTCATGATGCCCTAAACGGTGGCGACAATGCTTCTGCATCTGTTACGCCGGTCCTCCGTCCCGACATCCAGGCATCGCTCCTCGGCTCTTCAAAGCTTCTGCCGATTAGCAAGCTGCTCCACGCCCGCTGGTGCAAGCTTGAGTTCTGCGTCAGCGCCTTGAGCGATCAGCTTGGAGTCGTCAGAGTGTATCTGCTTCCAGATGACGTTCTGCGGCGTTCGGTAGATCGCTCTGACTCAAACTTGCAGAAGACGAGGATCCAGGTCCTTCGCTCTCTCGACTACTCCTCATGTGCCTGGAAAGCCGTCAAGAAGCCATGCGAAGATGGCTATCCTGTTCTCGAAGATCCCAGCTCTGCCAAGCCTGGTAAAGACGTGTCTCTCCTGCAACTCTTCAACACCATCCCCTCGCCTTGCCCGGACTCGAGCACTATTGTTGAGCCATACACGCAAGATGCGATGCACAACCTCATGGAGAGCACAGTACCTGGGCTCAAAACGGAGCTGTACCTCTACCAAAGAAGATCCGCGGCCTTGATGCTACAGAAGGAGGCACAGCCCGGTCAGAATCTTGACCCACGACTGTTACATCTCAAAGACACACGCGGCTCGTCTTGGTATATGGATCCAGCCACTGGAACAGTCCTTTTGGAACCACGCTATTACGATGCAGTTTCCGGAGGCATTTTAGCAGAAGAGATGGGCTCGGGCAAAACGGTGATCTGCCTTGCGTTGATACTCGCGACGATGCATTTGCCTACAAGTCCGCCCGACTTTTACAAAGCCGGTGAACCACCGATCAGGGCAAGAATCGCATCTCTGGCTGACATGGCAGCGTCATGTGCTACCCGCCATGCCGTCCCATGGAAGTCCCATTTTGAAGCGTGGAGGAATCACTATGGTTACGAGTTTAGCCATTGCAACGAGGCCCTTGCCAGGAATCCGGGACATTATTTCCTCCCCGCCCCAGAACCACGTCGAGGAAGCCGGTTCAAAACGCCGTGCCATGTGCCGCCCAAGAAGATATATCTGAGTCAGGCCTCGGTTGTTATTGTTCCCAACAACCTTGTTGCACAATGGAAACAGGAGATTCAGAAACACACCGAAGGGCTTAAGGTGCTGGTTCTTGGGAGACAGACCGAAACTCCATCGCGCAAGGAGATCCTCACGTATGACATTCTTCTCTTCTCTCAGACTCGGTTCGAGATGCTCCAGAAACAATTCGGCGGCATGGAGAAAACCGTCTTCTCATCCATCCATTTCAAGCGGTGCATTGTCGATGAGGGTCACAAGCTGGGCAACTCGAGAATGAGCAATAGAAGCAACTTGCTAATTGGCCTGGACTTGATGCATTTCTCCTCTAGATGGATTGTCACTGGAACTCCGTCTCATGGTCTGTATGGAGTCGAAAAGTCACTCTCTGCAGCAACGCTTTCAAACGCTCCAACTGGTCATCAGATCCCATGTCCGGACAGTGCAACAAGCCAAGCTAACGAGTCCTCGACTGAACTTGAGAAGAAGGATCTCGAGAGAATTGGAGCTATTGCCGCTCTGTATCTTAAAGCGCGGCCATGGGCCAACACGATTGTTGATAGTGGCGATACATTAGCCGACTGGACCACCTACTTGATGCTCCCCAAGCACAACGCCAGGAGTCAAGGACGATGGGATTGCCTGGAATCTACGCTCAACTCTCTCATTATTCGCCATCGCATATCGGAGATTGGCACACTTCTACCATCTGTGAAAGAGAAGATTGTCGTCCTTGACGGTTCATATCAAGATCAGTTGTCACTAAACCTATTTTCCATGATGATTGTCTTCAACTCCGTCCAGTCGCAGCGCGAAGACGCAGACTACTTCTTCCACCAGAAGCAAAGAAAGGCTCTGCTACAGATCGTTCAGAACTTGAAGCAGGCAAGCTTCTTTGGAGGGTCTTTCTTCACGGCTGATGAAATCGCCAAATCAGTGGAAACTGCTGAGAAATTCTTGGCCGAACGGAAGATCCCCATCAGCCCTGAGGATGAGTCGATGCTCAAACAGGCCATCGGCTTTGGCCATTTGGCGACGAGAAACAAGCTGAGAAATCTGACGAATCAATTCCACGAGATGGCCGTGTCCGTTACGGGCTTCCCTGGCAACGCCGGCGAGTCGTGGTCGCTAGACGGTGCATCTTCAGAAAACGACATCTGCACTTCCACGAGCATGCTGTTATCTCTTCAGAAACTGATTTACAATGCAGCTGGAAGCGAGGAGAGGCTCAATTCCCTTCTCAACGGCGAATTGATATCTGAAGGCACACTCGAACGCTTCAAACTGCTAAGCGCGGCAGCTCCTGAGAAGGACTCCAAGTCAAAAGACAAACCTTCAGAGACACTTGCCGGCAATACGAAGCTGGGCGATGATAGTCCAAAGAAGGCTCGCTCTCACGGGGTAAACGGTATCGAGCCAACAACTATAGCCGCCGAGAACCTTGCTGGACCTCTTGAGCAGACGAAGATCACGGCCACCGTATCCGCAAAACTCTCTTACTTGATAGACAACCTGGTCAAGCACCAGGATGGAGAAAAGATTATTGTCTTTTACGAGAACGAGAACGTAGCATGGTATTTGGCCAGCATGCTTGATGTGGTTCGTATTTGTTGAAGAAAGATGAAACCACAGCTGGACTAACATGAAGTAGCTTCAAATTCAGTATCTGATCTACGCCAAATCTTTAAAGACCGAAAGGAGGGCGCAGTATGTCAATACTTTCAATCACAATGAGAGGTTCAGGTAAGTCGCTCGCATGGCAACTTCAGACATGACTGCCCCTAACTGCGCATAGGGTCCTGCTCATGGATCTCTCTCAAGCTGCGTTTGGCCTGGACATGCGAGAGGCATCGAGAATCTACTTTATCAACCCGGTCCTGAACCCTCAGGTGGAAGCACAAGCAATAGGCCGTGTACGACGGATCAGTCAGAAGAAACCAGTCTGGGTCGAAACGCTCGTGCTCAAGAACAGCCTGGATGAAATCATACTCGAGCGCAAGAGGGACATGACGCAGGCAGAGCATCGCCAGGTGAAATCCATCCTGGATGTGCGGTCAATCTTTAACTGGATCAAGAATGCCAAGGTCACCCCGATGGAATCAAGCAATGACAACTACAAATCAGAAATGGCCGCGCTTCATACTGCACAAGCCGTCTTTGGCAGAGGTTTCGGTGTCACGATGCACCCTGACGAGGATATCCTTCCGGAAGAGCACCATGCTACGAGTAACGAATTGCCGGGACGTCCCAAGAAGAGGCCATTTGAAGGGATGATGACGGGCGAAAGCACAGCGATATCCGAGAAAGAGATGATGTCTCAGCCGGCTCGGCGAGTTCGTTTTGCGACTGACTAAGATAGAGAGGCCTGTTACACGGCGACATCGCATCGGTGTAGAGGTATGACCTTATATTGTGATACCAGCCGATGACTATTTATAGGTCGGCATGAATTTGACTTGTGTGTTTCTGAGGGAAGATGCTCCTTGGATACGAAGGTCGCGGATCTTGCAGTATTCATCGAAACGTGCATTCAAGGTGACATTGAACTGTTGACCGATGTTTCACTACGCCGCATCATGCCACTTTGGTTCCAGCGAAGAAGATGCAAGTCATTTCCATCTTCTGCCCTTGGCCTCTATGCGGGAGGGAGAACAAGCGCGCCCACCGGGATCATTTGTACGATATTACATTCCTCTTCAGAAAACCATGAGATGGCGTCCCTGTTTGGGAAGCTAATGATTCGATTCCCTGGGTGCAAAGCAGGTAAGGCAGAAAAGCAAGGGGACAATCAAATCATTCAAATCATTCACTCAGGGAAGACAGCCTTGCTCAAAGCTGAAAAAGCGCTTCTGCCATGCAGCTAGGACACGCGACAGTGAAGCCCCAAGTCAGCCACGGCGCCTTGTCGTGGCTATAAGACAAGCCACCCGATCGGAATGCGCCTCGTGTCAAAGAAGAAGCTTCTGCAGGAAAACGCGCTGTTGGTCAGCCATGATGGCGCACCTTGTTCTATGAGTGCGCCCTCTCGGCTTGGGCGCCAGTTGACAAGCCGCGCACAGAAGCGCCCCTGCGGCTGAATCTGCATCGACGGAGAAGCTGTCTATCAGACCGAGCTGATCCAGGGCACGGGCCTCTGACGATGGCCAGTCGCCTTCGTGCTCCAGTCCAAGTCGGCGACGGCTGGACACGGCGAGTTCTAGGCTTTTCAGCTCCCGGGTCTAGACGGCGAAGGACGACGCGCCTCCGACAGAGTCCAGGATTTCTTGAGTGGCTAGGCTCCACCAGACGCAAATAGCCAGGACGACACGACAACGATAGCCGCGACTTGTTCAGACGGGATGATTCCTTGGTTCACAGTTGTCAAATCCGATATTCGTGTCCCATCGCCTTGCCTCATCCTGGTGGTGAGGGCCGCCTGAATCAGTTCCCTAGGATGCCAAAAGAGTTGCCCTGGCCAAGGGTCCCTTCACCCACGACCAATGAACCACGTCTTCGCACGGTAGCGTCAGTTACGGGGAAAAGCCTCTTGGACACTTCCCCGATCCAGGCAAAACACGAGTTGGCGGTCTCTCTCCACCCCATGCCTCCCCCCCTGTCCCTTGTCCCTTGTCTCGGGTGAAAAGGGCAAATTATTCAATACGAAAAGGCTAGTAGCGGGCCCCCGAGCAGAGCAGCGTTGCGTCGTCTCTGTTCCACGGCAAGGCATTGCGATTGGGGTGGGCGTCTCTTTGATTACATGCCCACAAAAAAAGCGAATTATTACCCCTGGATCGGGTTGCCTGGGCTCGGCAGTCTGCAGTGCGAGCGATGTTGACCCCATCACGCACTTGTACCTGCGTCAAAGGGTCTGGTCTCTCCACCATGCACAAGAATGACACCAGGCCATTGATTCGTGGGGCCGGTTTCTTCATGCTAGTTCGCTGTCACGGCGGCGGTTGAAGAATGAAGAGGAACATGGTGAGAAAGAGAGGGCAGACCGATGAAAACAACAAGGAGCTTACCTGTCTGTGGCGGTATTGCTAATAACAGATGCTACTCCTACTACGTGTACATGGCAGCAAAAGAACGACGCAGAGAGACACATCCTACAGAGGGAGACGAAGAATAATACTACTACTACACACAGACAGAACGGCCTGGCTAGCCTGGCCCTTTCGTCATGGGGGACCACCCCGGGAGGAATCAATCAAAAAGATGTGCTTCTCCGCCCCTTTTGCCCCAGGCTTCGCTACGGCTAGTCTGCTTCCTGCAAAAAAAAACCCTTGAAGGGGAACGACGCTGATCGACCAGCTGATCGTTGCTTGCTTTTGGACGTTCTGGCAAGCGAGCAGAAGGCCAGGAAGTGAGAAGAGACAGTACATAGAGACAGACCGAGTTGGTTGAAAGAGGCAAAGGATCCTCCCCCAGAAGAACATCGTCTGGGCTGGACATTACGGGGGGTCTTCTTTTGCTTTCTTTCCTGTCTGCACGCGCTACTGGTGCTGCTGCCCTTCCATAACTCAATCCTTCTTTTACATCTTTCCTTTCTTCTTCTTGTTTCTCTTGTCCTCTGTACGATGAACTGCATGTCGGACGTCTATGTTCTAATCCACAGCGAGATCCGGCATCATGACCTCGACAGCCACCATCAAGGCCTTTCCTCTCCCTCCGGCCTTCACCGCGGCGGACCTCTATTCCATCGATGAGCATGCGGACGACGGCGCAGGTGCGGCATGTAGCAAGGAGCAGGTCCCACGGGTGAATCGAACGACGAGGGCGGCGAGCCAGTCGTCAGCGTATCCAGCATATCCAGGCCAGCAGAGTGCACCATCGAGGTTCCAGAATGGCCCTCCGGAGGCCTTTCACGCGGCATTGAAGCGGCCTCAGAAGCTGGCCGGCACTTCTTCCGCAAACAACAACAACAACCAGCACAACAACAACAACAACAACAGGACCAACGTCAATAATGGCGGCCGCGGCGGTGGTGGTGCTGCCGCTGCTCGTACTGGAAACAGCAGTCCCACGAACTCCGTGTTCAGGCCACCGCCTCCTCTGGCTCAAGAAGGAATCACGGGTCCGAGGAAGCGGGCAGCTTCGGTGGGCAACAGGATGCACCTCAGCACCCTCGAGACGAGCAGCTGGGTGCGCGAAAGCGTCTACCTGTCGTCGCCGATTCGGTCGGCCTTCAAGCATGGGCCTGATCGGCGGCCCGACGAGCTCTTCGGTCTCCTGCCGGGCGAGGTGCTCGACTTGGTGCTCCGGTCGTTGAAGGGGTTACACCTGGACAAGAACAGTGACAGCTGTGCGACGTGCATGATGCGAGATTTGTGCAGCGCCGCTCTGTGCAGCCGGAGGTGGTATAAGCACGCTCGTGTAGTCTTGTAAGTTGACCTCTTCTGATAACTTGCATCTCTCTCACACACACTCTCTCTCTCTCTCTCTCTCTCTCTCTCTCTCTCTCTCTCTCTCTCTCTCTCTCTCTCTCTCTCTCTCTCCCTCTCTCCCTCTCTCTTTCATGTGTGTGTTTCATCATCTAATAGTTGGACCCAACCCCCAGATACGAAGACATACAGCTCGTCGGCTCAGACTCGGCCGCTCACAAGAAGAGATTCAAGCAGAACCAGGGCAACCGCATGGCCCTGCTCCGACGCACCCTCCGCAGCAACCCCGACATCGCCGCCCTGGTCCGCTCGCTCAAGGTTCCGCACCCTGAGCCGCCGCCCAACTGGTCCGCCTCCAAGGGCATGCTGTGGCTGGAGCAGTACGAGGACCGGGTGGCGGCGCTCGTCATGGCGTGTCCGAAGCTGGAGAGGCTGTCGGGCCCGACGCCGAGCTACGACCACTCGTTCAAGAAGATCTTCCATGCGCTGTCGACGAGGACGGCGCTCAAGGACATGACGTGGATCCTGGAACCACCAGCGCCCAACGCGCCTCAGGGGCAGCGGATGGACAACTCGCCGTCGAAGCAACGGGGCCAGAGCGGCGGCCCTGCTATGCTGGAGCCGGCGCAAGGAGACGCTTTCCTGAGCAGCCACCGCAACTGGACATCGCTCACCAAGCTCTCGATACTCTGCCAACCCGGCGCCACGCTTGCTCCTCACCGGCTCCTCTCCAAGACACTGACGTACCTCCCCTCGCTGCAGCACCTCCACCTCTGCAACCTCCCGCCCAACGCCTTCAACGACAACAACCTCCTCTCCCTGCCGCCGCTCAAGTCCCTCATCCTCTCGCGCATCGTCGGCATCACGTCCAGCGGCCTCACCTCCTTCGCCACCCGCGCCAACACCTCGCGCCTCGAGCGCCTCGAGCTCCGCCACACGCCCCTGACGTCTCTGCCGGCGCTCGCCCGCATCTTCTCCCACCTCCCCTCGCTCCGCGTCTTCGCCCTCGCGCAGTCCTTCCCCCCCGTCATGCCCGAGACGGACTCGTTCGCGCTCTGGATGATGCCCTACCTCGCCTCGGCATCCATCGTCAAGCTGCACTGGGACATCACCAGCCACCCGGCCACGACCAACTCCGCCGACGACATCCTCGCCCGCAGCATCGAGGCCGGCGGCTTCCCTGCCCTCACGATCCTCCGAACCCCCAACGACCCCGAGGCTCGCTTCCAAGCGCTCTGCCGCCCCGTCCACCACATCTGCCTCCCCACCGACCGCTTCTACCGCCACAACACCCTCATCGGCGGCAGCATCCCGGCATCAGGCTCCTTCAGCGCGCCCTCGTCCCCCGTCTCGCCCATCCACAAGTCCGCCACGACAATGTCCCTCCCGGCAACCATCTACGCGCCTTCATCCTCAGGCACAGACCTCCACAAGGCCCGCCTCGCCGCCCAGGCCCGCCTCGAGGCCGCCCACGACGTCCCCCGATTCACCTTTAGCCTCACCGACGACGACAGCCAGGTCGCCCAGACCATCGGCGTGGCCGGCTTCCTCGGCACGCTAGGCAGCAAAATCACCTACCACTTGCTTCCGGACGAGGGGGCCACGGACGAGCAGGGCGGCCTCGTCGACGTGCTTGACCTCGTGGCCGACGGCGGAGAGGCCCTCGCCGGCGGCAGAGAAGGATGCACGGGGCGCTGGAACCAGAAGGAGGGCGAGGTCGCTGACAAGAAAGAGAAGGAGAAGTGGTGGCATACCGAAAGGGGGAGATGGCGTCGGCTGGAAGCGTAATTTTGGGGTAAATGATGATACCAACTTTTTTTTTTTTTTTTTTTTTTTTTTTTCTTTTGCAAGGGACACGGGAACACAATGGTGATTTTTTTTTTTTTTTTTTTTTTTTTTTTTTTTTTTCCCTCTCTTTCTTTCAGTTGGATGATCATATTCTGGGAGATGCTTTTTGATTTCCTTCTTCTTTACCTTTTCCTTTCTTTTCTTATGTTATGGTATAATGGCAGGTGTATTGGATCGGATTTGACTATTTGAAGCAGATTGGATATATGGGACCCAAGAGCAAGAAGATGGCTCTTCAGAATTTCACCAAGAGAGATATTTCGGAGGATATGATCAAGAGAGAGAGGGGGGAAGCGGTTACGATCTCACGATAAGAATAATAGCTTAATCACGCTTCTTGACTTGAAGCAATCCCATGGACACGAAATTCTGTGCTCATAAACAATTATATTAGGTATTCATGGTCAAAGCTTCAAGATACGAATTAACTCTCCTATCATATTGATTCAAAATAAATTGTCAACATGTTTACCATCGAGGGAGCCGGTCTTGTACACGACAAATCCAATGTATGTTTACTATGCGTCAACAGCAGCCAATACTCGGGGTACATCTCTGTCTAACAAATTACCCTCATAAATCATGCTTGCTCTGCTTTGCTCTGTTTGCGTACTTGCCTGCTAATGTATTTTGTCTGCTACCTCCAAAAAACCATCGTCTATTCAGGACGATTGATGCCCTTGCCTGCCTCTCCGTGGCTTCATGCCAACAGCGTATATGCCGTATTAATATTCCAGATCTAGTGTTGATATGTAGGAAACCCTCCCAGAAACAGAGCCTCAGCGCCAAATGCCTAGCCCCAATAGTAAAGCCCTTTTTATGTTTATAGGTGTGTATGGTGAAAATGAACAAGGAAAAAGAAGAGGAAATCAATAACCAAGTAGACTCAGCCAACCATTGAGAGAAAGCATATGAAGGTTGGGAAAGAGCTCAAGCCAGAGGAAACCGAAGACCGAAAGAATGATCGAAGTGGAAGGTGGAGGGTGTCTCGAGATCAAAAGAATCTGCTCTTCTTCTTTTGGGCAGGCTTCTTCTTCTCTGGCTGTCCCAGGATATCATCGAAAGTAGTTCCGGCTGTTGCCGCAACCCGGGTTGGAGAACTTGGTCTCGAAGCTCGAGGAGTGTTCATGCCCACGAGGTTCCCAACGGACGAGCTCCGGTTGGCGATACGGCTGCTTGGTGGCCGTGGGCCAAGAGAGCTGCTTCGCTGGTGAGCCCCAAAAACATTGGGCGGCTCAAGAGGCACGGGCTCGAGCCCCATGACGATGCTCGAGCGGTACGCATTGCTGGTACGGCGGCCACCCGGAGACAGATTGCGCGCTCGGGGGCGCAGCTGGGGAGATCCCGGAGGTGGTGATGGCGAGCTGTTGCCAGGGGTGCCCGCTCCATTGTTAAAGGCACTGTCGGCTGCTTGGAAATTGGGACGAGGGGGTTCAAGAGGTTCAAGAGCCGGCTCCTCAAGAGGCGGAGTTGCCGAGTTGCCCATCTCCTCCCAGATCTTGGCAGCCAGCCAGCAGTGGCTTCGGTGATAGATGGCCTCTACGCTAAACATGACGGCATCTGCAGAGAGCTCGACATAGCCTCCGCCGGCAACCTCGTACCACATCTTGCGGACCTTGGCATCAACCCAGGGAGGATTGCCAATCGGCGGCTGGCACAGGAAATACTCTACTCCCTCTGTGAACTTCAGGTCTGGGGCATCAACTACCAGCGTGGGAAGTGACTGAAGGACAACGTAGAGGAAGAGGAAGTAGCCAATGCGTTGGTCGGCGAGGTCCTGAGACATCTTTCCTTTGGCCTCGCGGGCTTCGAATTCCTTGAAGCTATCCAGAAACGGAAGTCGGAGGCTGCTCGTATCGTAGTTGTAGGCGGCGTTCAGCACCAACAGCATCTCGGACTCCTTGACTTTCTTGTCAAATTTGGCCTGCTCTCGGGGAGAAAGCGTGTTGTACGTCTCGAGAATAGCCGTCATTGATGGAATCAGAGGGAGGTCGTAGGGTATAGGAGGCAACACCGGAGGCCTAGACCGGTCGAATTCAGACTCAATGTTACGGAGAGCCGACGTTATCATCTCGTCGGCTTCCTTGGACACCGTCGGTACCTCGTCAATGACCCTCGACGTCAGGCTGTTGCGATCCACCAATAGGTCGTAGAGGGCACAGTGATCCGAGTAGAGGGTTTTGAGAACAATTCGGTTCAGACCGCTCTCCGCAAATGGATTCTTCTTGCTGCTGGCTTTAGGAGGCCAGCTACCAAATGCATGCTTGTAGTAGTTCAAGACAAAGTGCCTCATCTTGGTGAACGAGTTTCGCCAGATTTTGAAGCGAACCTGCTTGAGTTCAGGAATAGACGAGGAGTTGGCGATGCCCGCAAACAAGGACGGAAACTCAAACTGCTCAAGGTGCTCGTTCACGTTATGTTGACGGCTGACAAGGTCGAAATGGGCACGTTCCAGCCGCTGTCGCGTGACGGGAGACACCAGCTGGAATAAAGGCAATTTGAGTTCCATGATGGCCTGGTATTTTCCTGCAGCATGCGTAAACGCCTCGTTATACAGCTCCACCGACCGCATACGCTCGCCCAAGATGAGGGCCTCCAACGTCTGTTCTCGGCTGTGGCGGCAGTCTGCAAGACCCAGCGACTCCGAGTAGAAGCCAAAGCTCATGTCGACGGCGCTGCCAAAGGTATAGCCATCCGCGCTCGCGAAGCAGAACTCCTGCAATAGATCCGAAATCTGAAGGAAAGCATCAAACGTCCTCGGCCGTGCCGCTGTTCCTACAAGTGGTTGGCCGGTGAGAAAAGCAAACAGATTCCGGATAGCGATCAACCGCTCCAGCTCCGCTGCCGGGCTCGGAGCTTCCGCAGGCACGGTCAATGAACTACTCGAGGCGTTGGATGGTGCTGAGGGAAGATAGAGGTGCAGATAGTCCCCGGAGTTGTCCATCGGAATCGTCGGGGTTGAGACTCGCGAAGCATCATCGGTGCTTAGACTATCTCTCCCTGTAGAGTTTCGGGCCCTGTGCCTCGAAGTCGTGGGAGACTCCAGCTCTGCGCGAATGAGCTCGTTGAAGATGAGTGAGGAGCTCACAGTAAATTCTGGCACTTTGAAAGATGGTCCACGCCCGCTGGATTTCGGATACAGGTAGACAAGAACTGCGCCGTTCTCATTCCAAAGCTCGGGAACCTAGATCAATCGTTAGCCATCAATGGTCAACGGGAACAAACAACCGGTAGTCTCGTCTGTACCTTTTCTCCATTCTTCAGGAAAGCCGTGTTATACTCGGTTTGGTTGTCCTGCGAAATAACCCAGGCTGCCAGTTTGTGGTTCGCATCCACAGAGTTGGAGCGGGATCTACCAGGCATCCAGCTTCGTCGCAACTTCCTCCTTGTCGGGCTTTGGCTGACACCAGATATAGGCCGCAAGTTGGCGGTTGTGGACAGTCTCGAGCCGTCCATGGTCGTCGAGTTGACTTGTGCGGAGACGCTTCGACCCCTAGGCTCAGGCAAGGGTGCCGTCTGTCGGGTCCTCAGTCCTTGCATGGGAGGGAGAGAATCTTTGCGCTGCGAAAATGAGATGCTCCGTGGTCTGTGAGCATCATGCTCGACATTTCCATTCCCATTTCTTGACACTTCTTGTCTGAAAGCCTCGTCGTTGTGCTCGGCCGAACTACGGTTCGAGCCAAGGCGTTCATCGATCGCTCTGAAAGAAGATGTCTCTGGCCCAGGTGACGGTGGTGTTGGATCCATAATGACTGGGTTCACGCGAAGCTGGGAATCGATCTGAGAGTCGAAATCAAATTGAAGGAGGGCGGGAATCGGTACGTCTTGGTCAACGACGGGAGTGTTTGCTGCAGAATAGACAGAGGGAGAGGGCGGCGCAGGTTCCACGGTCTGCGGAGGGGCGGCTTTGTCCAGCGGGCTACCGGTATCAGGTTGCGGCATTACAAGAAGCGATATCTGAGACGACACAGCCGGCGTGTCTGGCGATTGATTGTACACTTCGGCCTTTGGTGGTATCGGAGGACTGTACTGCGGGCAGGGGAAGGAAGAGGTATCGGAGTGTTGGTGATCCGATTCGAACAGCGTCGGACTATCACCAGCCAAGCTGGAGGGACTGGTCGACTCGGCTACCGAGTATGCTTGCGTCTGAGAGGCCGGAGGAGGAGGAGGAGGAGGAGGAGGCCCCTGGGGAGGAGGAGGAGGGCGACCGAGAGGCGCCGGAGGAGGAGGAAGATCGTAAGAAGGCGGAGGGTTAGGTGGTGGTTGGGATGGTGGCGCCATGGTTGCGATGGGCTTTCGCTGGATAGACACGGGACGGTGGTCTGTGGTTTGGACTGTAAGCGACGGAATCAAGGATGAGATTCTAGCGCCCCAAGGCTTCGGCTTTTGGCTTCGCAATCTGGGCAAAGGCGACTCTGCATCGTCGGAGCTTCCCTCGACGACGGGCTGCAGGGCCTTTGGCGACAGCTCGGCCGGCTGCGAGGCTGAAGATGGGCCATTGTCGTGGAGAGCCTTTCGGACAGAGGCGTCGGCGTTGGCTTTTGATTTCGAGGTCGAGTCGGGGCCGTTTTGCGAAGGGGATCGGAAGGAGGGAAAAGAAAGAGATGACGGTAGCAGAGTGGCGCGAAGGGACTTACTCGAAGTCATATTGGGCTGATATGACCTGTCCGTCCGTCCGCAGCAAGCAGTTGCTACGTACGTACCAGGACAGCAGCGGGAAGGCTCTTGTATATATCGAGCGAACAAAGGCGAGTGGAGCGCGCGAGTGGATTTTGGATCTGTCGAGCGCAGGGCGAGTTCACAGCAGCGAGCCGTGGCAGTACAGTACGGACGGCGGCGTGGACAGCGGCGTGGACAGCACGAGGACCATTCAGAGGAGAGGATCTCGACGTCTCACGCCCCCTGTGAGAATATTGGGGAGCAAGCCGCAGCGCCAAGTGGGAGGCTTTTCGGTAAAGACGGCGGAACGAGCAGTCGACAGCTCCGGGGGGCGCAAACAAACAAAGTCCGGAGGAGGCGTGCGAAGCGGCGTTTGTCGACGACGTATTACTGCCTCCTCGTGGTTTCTTGGATCGAGGTGAGCGAACGGGGCTTGAGGCTGCTTGGTGGGGACTCGATGACGTTTTTTTTTCTCTCGCGGCCAAGGGGAATCCTCTTTTGGACGCCTCAGCAGGGGCAAGGAACACTTGCTGTGGAATCGCGTCTCATCGCTTACTAGCAATGCTAGCACTGTTACGAGCTGTGACCAGGCCCTTGTCTTTCGTATCGGCTTTGCTTTTTGCGGGAGGACAACAGCAGATGCGCGGCCAAGCCCCAGCCGGTGGCCCTTATATATGAAGGATGCTGTTGGCAGCATCACGATGCGGCCTCCATCTGTCGAGAGCGACGACGATTCGGGGTATATCATGGCGGGTGTTTGCCCGTCATCAGATCAGACGCTGCAGCTGATGGGCGCGGGTCAGCCCAGAAACCTCAGCAAGCACTCAGAAGCGGAACAGGCTGGACTGACCTGGAAACTGGTGAGAGGGCTGCAGCAACCTGAATTTGCCCCATTGTCAGGAACCCCAGCACACACATCTCGGCGCCGGCCCACTCCCTGCGCCAGCCGGTCGCTATTTTTGATCCATGGAGCAGCTCGACGTCAAATGGGGTCTGCTGAGGTGGAACACACGGTCCTGCTCAGGGGTGCGAAAATGGGCCATGATCCTCGCTGCTGTGCGAGATGATTCGGAGAGAAAAAAAAAATGGTGCACTAGGCAAGGAGGCTAAGCAGCTGAGCCAGCAAATGGGCGGGTTGCTGCGTTCCTGCGACGCTGCTAAAGAGATGCTAGCAGCACGCCTGTTTCTTGCTGGTGTCGGTGCTAGAGCAGCAGAAGCAGGATCCTGTATGTAAGGAGGAGTCGTGGAGGCTTGTTGGGGGTGTATTTGCTGTAGTATTGCATTGCATGGCGATGCTGGAAGCTGGCGGTGGCTGCACAACACCTGGGACACCCCAATACGTACCTAGGGAGGCGCCAGTCCTAGCTTTTGGTTTGCCGTCGATCCTGACGGCAGCTTCCACGCCCGCATAGGAGGATGACGCGATGGGCACGGCATCAGCACATCAGATTCCACGGGAAATCTCGCAATCGCACAAGTTTGAGCTGTTCAATATTGTATGACCGCGTCCCACGGATTCTCGGAAATTTCAATACCGTAGCACCAACCCAACACTCCTGGTGTATCACTTGTGATACTGGCTTAGGTAGGTACGATGCCGGGCATGTACCTACAATGTTGGCACATCAAATTCAACTCGGCATTACTAAGGTACCTAGGTAGGTAGGTAGGTAATGAGGCATGCTCACATTAGGACCCCCTGTAAGTGTCTCCTCGTAGCAATACCGTACCTACGGAGTCATGTTTTCAAGTTGTTGGCATCCCAAGAGGTGGGCAAGGTACCTATCAAAAACCATCTCCAGGGGTCAAGGCGACCTCAACATGTACTGTAACCTCAAAGACCGCATCAAGCTCATGCAGGGTTTCGGCTTCGATGCCTAACAGTACTAAGGTAGTTACCTCCAACCTGCATCCGTACCTGCCTCCAAAGCTGTGCCATGTTCCTTCCACAGGCAGCATCTCCATGGTTCAGCTGAAGGAGGGAGAGACCCAGAGCCAGATGTATCTTTCCATCAGACGTACATAATCTGTATCACAATTCACCCCTGAGGTCTGGGTATTTCTCTTTGCGCATTACAAGTACGCCCCTCTTCCCTCAAGGTGCAGCTTTCAAGACACGCCCCGCCTGGTCAGGAGGTGCCTGGGAACATGAAGGCTTTAAAATCAGGATCTCCCTTGTACTCCGCCTACTGCACCTCCAACGTCAGCCCCGACCCGCGCAGATTTGGTGCGCAGATTTACATCGTGGACATCCACTCCAGTACTTGTACATACTACTACTACTAGGTACTCGTACGAGCCCTGAAACACAATATACTGTACTACCTATACGCGTTAGGACTGCTGCTGAGCCTACCTGTATTACGCGTAGCTGCCCGCATCAAAGGAAGCTTCGGTACCTACCTACTAAGTATGCTCGTACTGTACAAATGTACATGCGAGTCGTTGCAGTCCGGAAGAACAACCGAAATGAGTGCCCACGGCAGCGCCAATCTGGTTCCTGATTGTTTCTTTTGTCCTGCGTTTCAGATGTCCTGATTGAGTTGAGATCCAAGCGTGCGACTACCTTACCTTTCAGCCGAAGCGAAACCTGCCACGGTTGCTCGGCTTTTACTGCCACCGCTTGCAAGAACCCTGGCCAAAGGCCATTCAGACCTTCGAGAAAACAGTACGCCAGGGGGGTTCTGGAAGATCTGATAATACAGTTGATCCATCACTTCGAACACGAAGCGCTGTGTTATTGCACAGCCTCAACACGTGGGCTTCCCTCCCGGCGGTGCCATAATTGCCTTTTCCACTACTGATACTTCAGGTAGTAGCCATTTATATCTGTCGGGCTATGTACTGTATGCGCAATCGACCCGTTCAGCCTCCAAAGACGGCAGACCGGAGGATGTGATGCTCCAGAGTACGTGGCCTGTGCCGTATTTCCTCCCTCGCTTCTCCAAAAGAGACAGTCGATAGGCCGGCGTCGCACTCGTATGTCGCGACGATCATGTTCGTATCTGTTGCATTTTGACGTCGGCCGCGTGGCTCAATCACTCGTTTACACGTTATGTATTGTCGCCACTGCGACGCACAAGAGCTGCGTGCTTGAAGCAACACCGTGCCGATTGCAGATGCGCTCCGTGCTATTCAACACGCTCCGACCTGCCAAGTCTGAACCTCTGAAAGGGGAGACGGCGACCGGGGGCACATCGTGGGCCGCTCCCAGACGCTCGACTGAACATGCTGTTGTTCCGCTTCTCACTCACCCCTTTCTAGGGGCAGGTTATTACATATCTGCTCGGCTTGTTGCAGTGCTTCCCCCGGCAAACGAATGCTACATCGTGCTACCACGTGTAAGTGAGGCAACGGTCAGGTCTGCGCCACACGACGCGAGGGGGTTTTACGCCCAAGCCATTCCAAACCTTGCCCTGATTACTAAGACCATGCAACGCCTCTGATTTGAGACTCCCACGGCGACTTGTCGATTCTGTCTCTGCTGACAGACAGGCGTCCTTCTTATTACCATTAGCCCCGTCTAGTGCCTGGTGCTCGGGGCTATTTTTACCGTTGCACTGCAACAGTGCGCTCAAGGTCGAATGCCCAAAATGATGTGAGATGGGCGTGAACGGTGAGAAAGGGGGGCTTGAAAGACCGGCGGATCCGCAGAGAGAGAAAGGGAGAAAACCTCGCCCATGAGTCGCGACTTGGGTTGTGCATACTCGTAGGGACAGCCTCTGTCCACCGTCTCTCTTTGCGTACCTCTTACAAGTGGGAAACACAAGCACCGAGTTCTCCTACCCGGCAATCCGGGAATAGTACGACGAATTAGTGCTCAACCCGCACGCTGTTTCGCAGGCGCAGCTCCAGATGAGCCAATTGAGGCTGACGCGGCGAAGAATTGCCTCGGGCTACAAAACATGGACGGCATCGAGCTTCAAGAGCGGTGCGCGCTAATATCCTGTTGTCCTGGTACCTAAGCTACCTAGGTAGGTAGGTACCAGTGGTAGCTCAGCTTTTGCCCCAGCTTTTCCAGTCCAGTTACCCTCTTGACTTCCTCTCAGGCTCGACCAAACAAGTCTGGGCCCAGCGGCGAATGATAGCATGATAACGGACTAGAGCTCCAGCACGCGTCGATGAGGCGCGGATGGGCTAGCGGTGATGACGGGCGTAGGGAATGAATCACGCCGACCGCCGAATCACCGGCTGGGCAGAGCTGTCGTTGTCATCGCGCAACACCCAAGGACTGGAGCGTTGCGTCTGTACATACCGCGGCCACTGAAGATCAGCGGCAGCGAAGTCAGTCGAACAAAGATTTATTATATGGATTTTTTACAATAATATCCTTCACCTTTTCATCTTGTCGACTTTGTCTTATTCATACCTATCTGTGCCTGTTCCAGTCCGGGTCCCAGCAGGCTGGAATCACCAGCCAAAGCCCCACCCCTCGAAAATTGCCTAATTCGGTGGAACCGTCGTTGGGCGTCCAATCGACGATGCAGCGCGTAAACGAAAAGGAACATGGGGATGTCCTCGCTCGCTTGGAGGAGAGATGCATGGGAACGTATGCAGGTCAACTCTGCCGGCATGTGACGAACGAACGCTTGCTGTCCAAGCACTTTGGGGGAGCGGTGCTCGCCACCTACTGGGCAGGAGTGCGATGTTGTTACTTGACAAGCTGTCCTTGCAATACTTAGGTACTTCAGTATTATTCTCATTCTAGGTACCTATCTCCTCCAGCTACGGCAGCCTATGGTTTCAGTGGAGATGGCAAAGACAGACATCCGGCTAAAAGAGACCTGGAACCTGCTTTCCTCTCTCCTCTTCAACCTCCACTCCCCGAAAATCCACAACAACATCACCTAGGCAAGACATCAATCATGCACAGCACATCCATAGCGTGCCTGGCCCCCAAAACTCAAAACGACACACGCATTTCCGAGCACCAGGTGCAAAGTAAAGGAATCGAAACAGTGCTTGAATCACACAGCGCTGAATGTCTTTTTTATCTCTTTTCCTCACAGCTCTTCCATCTTCAGACTAGTACTGCAGCCCCGCAACGTCATGCCTCAGACGACTGCGAGAGCAACCGTTCACCCAAGGAACCATTCGACCTTGATCCACACAAGCTACCTACTTTATACGTGCAAGTCCCTTACCTGTCCCGTCTCAAGGCTGCTTTATAGATACAAAAGATATCGAGGACAATCTTCCGCAACTCCGCATCATATCCGCCCAGGCAGCATCCCTTGAAGTATTGTAGATCGACACGCTTGTACACGCCAAAAGCCCAGAGTCTCCAATCCATTGGCCAGAAATGAGAGTTTGGGAAAGCAAAAGATGGGAGAGATGGACACTCACGCTCACGCCCCGACCAATCCGTCTTCTCTCTTCCCAAAGAAAGCATAGCGGCCCTTGGGACTAAGAAAGAGAGAGAGAAAAACACGGTACAACTAGTGACCTTTAGCACCATTTTTCTCATCCATCTTAGCTTTTTCGAGGTTGGCAGGGACAAAAGGTTAGTTTGGCTTTCGTGCAATTGGTAGTAGCAGATAAAAGTAGCGGTTTCAGAAAAAAAAAAAAAAAAAAAGAGAGACCGTTGCAATTAGGTAGGTAGGTACTGTAGTGGTAGCAGTAGCAATAAAGAAAAACAAAAGGTCGTAAAAGTGTGTCCATCCGTACCTACCTTAGGTACCTGTCGGCCTTTTTTCACTTTTTCTTCCGTTGCGGCTTCCCTCTGCCTGGCCAATATGGTGTCCCTACACCCTCTTTCGGAGAAGAATATCGTTCGCCCCTTCCCCGGGGATCTCGGCCGTTTTCTTCGGAAGGAGCCTCTTCTTGCTCTTTCTTCACGTGGCAGAGACTTATTTCCATTTCTCTCGCCCTTCTTCTCTCGTCTCCCATTCATTCTCCTCGCTGTTTTCCTCGTTCAAGGCTCGACATGCTCTTCATTAGCACCTAGAAGCGTTTGACAATCCACTTCACTTCACGGCGGCGACTGAACTGATCGCCCCCTCCTCAGACATCTCACTCGACGGCTCTTCTTCTTCGCGCCACCGATAGAGTTCACCAGGGATAAAGACCTTGGATCACCGCTCAATTGCTTCCCGCAGTCACCTCCACGGACAGCAAAGCAACTGAAATTTCTCCGGAGAGATACGATCAACCGATTCTGCGGACTCTCATATTCATCTTACGGTCATCTGCCCCGCCATCCGAGCTCGAGGAGGAGGATCTCGCCTCGCCTCGCCAACCCGCCCTCTGATCCCGCCTCTGCGCTTCCGCAGAGCCCCCGAGCATCCCGCTGGACACAGCAGGCCTCCTCCGGCCCAAAATGAGGTTATCCGGCATCGTCCTCTCCATGGATTCGCATCGCCGCTGCTCTGGAGACGTCTGGAGAGACTCGCGGGGAGTCACCTGACATCGGCGCTAATGGCCCAAGACCTGGTCGATGGTCAAAATCGGTGAAAGTCAAGGCTGTTATTGGCCAGAAGAGAGGGGGTCCACAAGCGGATTGACCAATCACGACCCCAGCTTTCACCGAGAATGCGCATCCGATGGTGGTGTAAGTCGAGGAGCGAACCCAGAGTCCCCTTGGATGCCAAATCTATAATTCTCTTGTGTCAGGCAGAGTTCCTGAAGCAGACAAATCTTACACAAAAGACCTGGGACATTGGGCATCTTCACCTTATCGTCCATCTGACAGGAAGCCACCTGCTTCAATTCGTCCTGGTAGCTAGGCAAGGTCCCACTGCGTCCCGTGACTTACACGGATATCAACATGGATTCCCCTCGGGACAGGACCCGGATGGAACTTGAAAACCCCCGTCTCTCCCCTTCCCCGGAGCTAGAGGAGCTCTTCCACCAGGTCTTCGACTGGCAAGCCTACTCCGGGGACGCTAAGCCTTCTGATCCCTCCTCTTCCCATCACCATCATCGCCAGCAGTCCCTGAGCAGGATCATCACCGACATCCCCTCCTTCATTAGAGACCTTACTCTGGAGTCTGAAAGGGATTTCTTCGACATGCCTTCGTACTCGTCTGACGATGGACTCACGTCGGACTACTCGGCCGGCCAGACCCCCCCGGAGCTGGTCCAGGGCGGCAGCTCGTCGCCTTCGGACCACTCGGGGGCGTCGCCCTTCCTGGAGCCCCTAGACGATGGTCACTACCACCCGGAGGCGTCCCTCAGGGAGGTCCAGGCCCAGGACGATGAGTGGACGTACCCGCAGACCGACCCGTCCAAGGGTATGGTCCAAGGCTACCCTCACCACTTGCAAGTCCAACTGGACGATCGCCTCAGAAGGGCCGCCGACCAGTCGTCCAAGCTCAAGCGTCGACGATCTGGCAATGACCTGGAGAAGAGGCAACGGCAGTTGGTAGACCCCAGCCAGACGGCAGACGTCCGCAAGAGTGGAGCCTGCCTGCCATGCCGTGTGTCTAAGACCCGAGTAAGAAGTCACTGTACCTCCCAGGCCCCCCTTGTTCAAATGACAAAAGCTGAGATCTTCTTCTTCCGTACCCCCAGTGCCATGATAGTGGAGTCTGCCCAACGTGCAGGAAGGCCTTCCCGGACCATTCTCACCTGGCATGCACTCGCGCCACACCATCCACGTTTTGGCCCGTAATGGGCAAGATCCCCGGTATGTGGCGCACGGCACAGGTCCAGTTGTGCAAACATCGTAACAGCCCATGGCTCAGGGTGCTAACAGGGTAATTGTGTAGATGTCTGGTCCACCAATCCCAAGGAGGAAGAGCAGCTTTGCTCCGGCCCGCGGTTCTACACGGGAAAGCCCCGTGAGATCTCCGTCTTTTTCACCCCGGACACCAGCCTGCCGGCTCTGCGCGCCACGGTACAGGCGTACAGGTCGCAGGGGGGCTCTGAGGAGACGGGCAGCCTGACAAAGGCCGATTTTCCTCGAGACTGCGTTCCGAGCCACCAGCTTCTGCAGCGATGGGTCGAGAACCAGATCCGAGCAGAGCAAAAGCCCGACTTTCATCATTCAGTCCAAAACTTTGTGCTCTCATACTCGGAAGAGGGCTGGGGACTTCCCAAGGTACGGCAGCCACCATGACCCTTGTTGAGAGTTTTGTGTCGGTGAGCTAACCGAGCTTCGCAGCATGACCTCGTCAATAAAGTCCACAGAATGAATTGCTTCTTCCGCATTTGGAAAGCAAGGTCATTCTGGTGCCTGGACCCGACCAACAAGCTCACCACTCTGCCCCTGTCCGTCCAGGCTCAGCTGAGGAACATTGCCCGCCGAGCCATCTACTCACTTGAGCATGACATCCTCAAGGAGATGGACGAGTGCATTGCGCAGCAGGGCCCGCCAAAGGCTCAAGAGAGGATCGCCATCTGGGCGAGCATGTGGCAGCTCATTCTCATGTACCGAGAGCTCATGCAGGGTTTCAAGACCCATATCAGCCGCCTTGCGACCAGTAAGAGCGAGTCAACCCAAAACAGTGAGTAGCCCAGTAACATAGACAAGAGTGGGGGGAGAAGAAGAGAAGAAGAGAAGAAGACGGGGTTTTCGAACGAGTGCTGACAAGCTTGACAGTTGCCTTGCAGGGACAACTCTACAAGCGTCTCGCGGACAGCTTCTTCCCGCTCTTGGTGGTGTTTTACCACTACCAATTCCGAACAAAGAAAAGCCTGGAGCTGTCGCTAGACTGGCTCAAGGCGCCCACCTACCCTCCCGCGCTATGCCACAACAGGGCCATTCGCGAGTATGCCCAGCAACTTCTCGACTGCCGCAAAGACCACTGTAAGTTGGCCTCATGGAGCCGCGCTGCTCGTCGTCGATCGTCGTTGGTGCACCGCTAACATCCACATCAGACCAGAAACTGCAATCTTCAAAGAGCGAGATTGACCAGCTGCTGTGCGTCTTTGTGGTGAACCATGAGCTGAAGAAGATGAACGCCAGGAAGCGCCCGTCCAAGGCCAAGTCGTCAAAGCACGCGATCGAGGATGATTGCGATGATGACGCCGAGTGATGGGTTCCCGCGTTTTGCCGTGGACGAGTTCTGAGGACATGCTTCATGAGCTTATGACTGGATGACAAAAAAACAAAGAATGAGAATGGCAAAATATTGGGCTGGGAAAGATGATGGATTCCTTTTGTTGCTTTCTCTTTTGTTTGGGCAATCACTCTTTTTGGTGTTTGGGGGTATGATCTTACATCGTCATGTTTCCTTTGTTATAATTTGATATGATTTGATATGAATCGATATGAATTGATATGAATTGCTCACCTGGATTGAAGAAGAAGAAGAAGAAGAAGAAGATAATCATCATGGCGCAACGTCAAATATGGTATGACAATGTGAGTGAAGAATCATGATTGAATGACTATTTGGGCAGAGATGGCCTTGGCGAATGCCTTGTTTGCCGTGAGTTTGGCCGCGGAGTTGAACTGGTCGACGAGATCCTCCTGGTTGATTCGTCTGGCATACTCGCTAGCTAAGCCAATCTTGACCAATACTCTGTCCTTCTTGCCTTGTCTCTGCTCGACGCGGGACTCGAAACTGCGTACAGCCATGTTAGAAACTCGAAGAATGTAAACCACACAGATAGATGCAAGCAAGGCAAAAGGTAAGTTCAAGGGAAATGCATGTTGAAAAAGCTTTACCTGATAGCGCCGACAACCTCATCTGCCAGCCTCGGCAAGACGGGAAAGACAGCTGCCAAGACACCGGCCACGGCGCCGAGATACTGCGCCCAGAACGCGGCGCCTGCGGCCCTGTCGTCGAGGATGCCCTGCAGGCCCTTGTGCAGCTGGGCGTCGAGGGGCCCGAGGGCGCCTCCCCAGCGGGCTGCGATGCCGACGCCGAGCAGGGCCCGGACGAGGTGCGTCAGCCCCGGGCAGTCGGTGTCGCGGGACACGGCGTCGTGGAGGGCAAAGGAGGTGTTTGCGTCGGCGTCGTGGCCGCTGCGGCGCCAGATTTCGCGGACGAAGAGCGTGCCGGCGCCGGTGGTGAGGATGGTGGGGATGGCGGGGGCGAGGTTGGGGGGCAGGGAGTCTGCTAGCTTGGAGAGGATGGCCTGGAAGACTTGCCTCTCGGCCTCGTCCTTCGGGTTGGCGAGCACGTCGAGGGGGTTGCTCTCCCTGATGTCGCGGGGCAGCTTCATCATCAGGGCGCCCTGCCGGTTGGAGCCTCCGCAGAAGGTGACCCAGCCGAGGTAGGGGACGGCCTGGACGAAGGCGTCGACGACGGCGACGATGGCGGGGAACTGCTGCCTGCGCCGCTTGGACAGGCCAAAGATCTTGCCCTCGTAGCTGGCGTTGAGCTGCAGCATCCGGTCCGTGTCCTTGAAGCGCGAGCCGCGCACGGCGTACGTGTTGGACGACGAGATGGGATAGGGACTGATGGGGTCGTCGTGCATCAGCATGCTGCCGTAGCCGCGGAACCCGCCGCCGCACATGTAGACGTCGACGAGAGGCTTCTCCTGTTGCTGCTGCTGCTGCTGCTGCTCTCCTTCCTCGTTGGCAGCCCTGATGGCCTCGAGGGCAGGGAATCTGGAGCACAGCTGGGCAAAGAGATCCCTCAGGCCGTCCCTCAGCTTGGCCGTCTCCGCGGCCTGCACGTGCTCGGGATTCTCTTGTAGCACACGCATTAGCTTTGCGGCACCGTAAGGCAGGCTCCCGCCGGCAAGAGCTGCCTCCATCTCGTAGTCCTGGGCGCTCGTGTCCACCCAGGTCATCTGCACGCTGCCGCCTCCCAGGTCGAGGAACAGGGCGCCGCCTGGGACACCGCCGAGGCCGCTCCTGGATCCCATGACGGCGCCGAGGAGCGTCTCGACGGGAGGGTCGAGGATGGAGACGGAGAGCCCGCCGGTGGCATCTGCAATGGCGTCCAGCATGTCGGGAGCGTTGGCAGCCCGACGCATGGCCTCGGTGGCCAGCACCATGATGTGCTCGGGAGGCACATCGTGAGAGACGGCCAGGTGGTGGAAGCGTGCAATGGCAGAGGCCACCGACACGATGATTGCGGCAGGAAACACAAGCCCATCCCCGGACGGCGTCAGGGCGTCAAACAGCGAGATGGCCTCTCGTGCGGTGTAGACGGGATCAAGGAGGCGAGTCCGGGGAGGTGCTAGGGATGTGATGCTGAAGCGAATGCCGTTGCTGGTTTTGCCGTCGGCGTCAGCATCCACACGAGTCTGTATAAGACTGACTACCTACCTACATGCAAGGTAGCCAGAGATCAAGGCACAAAACACTCACCTGCCCATGTCAACCACGGCAAACAGGTGGTTTTGCTCGTCTGGACGCCATGGCGGCAGCTTCTGGGACAGATTGTCCAGCGTCACCACGCTGGCGTTGGCGGCCGGCATGATGTAATGGCGCCCGCCTTGGACTCGTAGCCTGAGCCTTGACGGCGCCTCATTGTCAGCAGCATTCGACGTGCCAGTTACAGTATTACCACAGAGCCAGGAGAGGAAGGACAAGAAGAGGACGAAAGAAAGAGACAAAGACCACGTTCCAAGTGATGGAGATACCTACGTACAAGTGGCAGTGAGCGCTAGGTAGCCCTGGGGATAACCTGTCACAAAACTTATTGTGTACCCTCACGCTTCTGCTGCACGATCCGGGTCGATCGGTCTCGAGGCCGAATGCGACGGAAGATTTGGGTTTTGGGAAGCAAGAAAAAAAAATAAGAGGTTCAGCCGGTTGGTTGGCTGGTTGGTTGGTTGGCAAAGAAGCTTGGAAGCTCATTGACCTGGGCTGCAACCTTGGAAGTTTGGGCCATGCCGGGCGTGGGGTTTCAGTGGATTCACGGCTGCTAGCAGCAGCGATTAGTGAGTAGCAGCGCTAGAATAGCAGCGGACGGATCCATCCGAAGCTCCGGCCGGGTACCTCGCGGAACGCAGCGCGCGATGCGGAATCTGGAATCACTCTGGAATCTCGAGGCAATCTGGAAATCTGAGCTCCGGAATCTGGGCTGCTTAGTACCACGAGCACCAGAGTAGAGAGAATGTTGGCTTGATGGAGAAGAACAGAGGACGAAGCCCTTCCTCGACTCGTCTTTCTTCCCCCTTCTCTCCTTTGCACGCAGGAAAAGTCGGGGGGGACGAGGCATAGATGCCCAACAAAGCCTCCCACCCCACCACCTCATTATGTATTCGAAGCAATAGCCATGCACTTCATCTGACATCTGTCGAATAACCCACAGCCTGCGAGGCCTCGACCAATCGAAGCCGCCCTTTCGCCTTGCACGCAGAGGCATACGTGGAACAGCGTCGTCCTGTCCATGCCGTCGCCCTACCTACATGCCCATGCCTAGCCCAGTTGCCCAGGCCTTGTTCTTGGTAACTCGCAGCTCGGTGTGCTGTTCCATTCCTTGCTGCTCCATTGCCTCCACCCTCCAAGCCCTCTCGCCCTTCTTCCAGCGTTGGGGAAGGAGTCTGGCCTTTGCTGGACTCCTACTCTGGCTGCCGCATCAATGACGAATGACTGTGGAGCGGTTGCTGCGAGGTTGTCACCAGGCGGACGCGGCTGACCTCGCTGCAGCAGGACTGATTGGTGCGAGGCCACTAATACAGTAACCGTAGACGAGGAGGAATGGGCAGACAGCCTCTGCGTTGAGCTTGACGGACGAGGCCGGCCGTGACTTGGATGCGCATGTCGGTCGATGGCATCATCCAGGGTTTAGTGTGCTCTCTCCCGCCAGCAAGCTGCATAGTCGCTGTGCATCGAGTCCGAGTCCGGCTCGCCTTTGGCTCGTAATGCAATGCATCTGCCGCCGCCGACGAGTCGTACATGCATCGTGTGCAGAATACGTGGACGTGTGTGTGTGTGTGTGTGTGTGTGTGAGTTGTCTGGCTGGCTGGAGGCGTCAGCGGCTGCAATGCTATTACTCAGTCCGAATTTATGCTGGAGTCTTTGGAACACGTACCACGCATACATACATTCATACGTGTTGGCCATGTAAGGCAAGGTATGGAGCAACTCAACACCTGTCGGAGCTCATCCATGGCAGCCGCAAGCCGCCGATGGCTGCGATTCGCTCGGCTCCGTGGCCCTATATGCCGTCTGCGTCGAGGTTACATAGCATTGATAATGTACAGTCGGGAGTTGCTGTTCGGAGTGGAATCGAGCAAGGCAAACATCCTCCATCGCTGGCAATGGCAATGGGTCGGTTCAAATGCATCTTCAGCCCCCCCGGGGATACAAACGACGTGTAATCTCGAGGCCTGCCAATGACACCAAGCCTGCCCCCTCCCCCCATACTGCCGGGAAGCGAAGCCTTTGTTCAAAGGTGGTGTCGCCTCGAGGACTGCACGAGTAGGATGAGGGAAGAGGGAAGTGGTCAGGTATGTCTGTGTGTTGTTCGCACCTACATGTACATACATATGCGCGCTGATGGCCCCTCACCGGCAGCATCAGCACGCTGCAACCAAGCTGGTGAGGAGGAATGACATTGAATGTGGAACAAGAGTAGTAGGGTAGGCCAAGCATGAATATCTTGATGAGCAAAGGCCAAGACCGGGTCAAGGTATATTGGACGAAATGTGGTAATTGAATAAGAAAAGAGAAAAGAAAAGAGCGTGTCTCGACTGCGAGAGAGCTCCCTTATCCGTGGCCGTTCAATTTCCGCATTGGGAGGGGATGATGAGGAGCCATTATGCGCGCTGCTCTTTGTTGCCCAACCATCGTTGTGCTTGTGAGGTTACCATCGACTGCTGCCCAAAGGCCTCAGAGTCCAAATAATGGTCTGTCAGCATGTCACTCGTTTTCAGAGGAAGAGGTGAAGCAGCAGGTAGGTAGCCAGAAACTCTTGGGAACTGGAGCAGGGCAGTGACTGGGAAGCGCTGCATCTCTGCTTCCAAATGCCCTTTGCTCCTCAAGCAGTCCTTCCGCTTCGAGTCTTGCACCTCTTTTCGTGCTCTCGTCGCTCCTCGTGCCTGTGTCATTGTGTACTTCGAATCTCCTTCAATGATACTCCGCATCCTCTTCGTGTGCAGGACTTTATGCTGATAATACAGCAAATGGCAGAGCCCATCCCCTCATTGATAGCCCACCTATTTTGACGTATCAGGAGCCCGTCCTCGTCAGTTGCCCAATCGCTCGTCCACATGTCAACTTCACGAGAATCGGCGGCTCGACGTGCGTGCTTTTGACTGGCAGCCATTATGCTCCAATCGTGGAATGTGTGGGCCAGGCCACATGTAGTTGTACTGTACCTGTGACTGCGCATAGGGTACATACTAGTAGTAGGTAAAGGTACCTGGCCTACTGGGTAAATACTTACTGCTGCTGTCGCTCTCACTTCTAATCGTACATGATGAAGACCTTACATGGTCGATGGCCGATATTCGCCGAAAGCTCTTGCATTGGCGGCTGCGACTCTAATGTGAGGATCCCGAGAAGCCATGTGAGGGACAGTCCCAGTTGTAAGTGCAAGTGCAAGTGCAAGTAACGGTATGGTGTCAATGTGGTGTAAGAGTTGGGGGCTCATGATGGCATCATCAACATCTACACCATCTTTTGCAAAATGAAGCTTGAACAACGTCAATGACCTCAATCGATCGAGGTACTACTTCCCTCTTTCCCACCTGGTGCACTCGTAGTTGCCGCCCAATCAGCCCGTTCTGCTCTCATTCTCTCCTCATTGGCCTCTTCGCTGCTTATCGTGCGATTCCCCTCGCTTGCTCGCTTAGCTGATAGTAACGCCCCGCTTTTATGATGCACACGTTTCCCCCCCTTCAGACGCGTTTAGACGCGTGCTTTTCGCGTGATTGCAGCCTTTAGCGCGCTGGGCCCAGATATTTTTCCAACCTCTTTCTTCTCCCATCTCGTCTCCTGCAAGCACAGTCCACGATGAGGGGAGACGCTGGGACAACGATAAAGTGATCAATCGCAAGGCTGTCGTGGCTGCCATGCCAAAGGCAATCAAATTGATACCAGTGCCATTGTATCTTCTGTGCTTGCACCCCTTCAAGGTTCTTTTCGTCTGATAATACGGCACGACAAAGTTCTGGGGGTGAATTCTGTATTGGCAGTGTGAACAATGCCATGTGCCCTTGTTGCTGCTGCGCGTGTCGTCTCACAAGCGCCTCCTGTCTCAACAGCCGCGTACCGTCTGCTGAGAAGGGTCGGCTGTTGGAATACTCCAGCAGACCACAAGGTCAATCTCTCCCATGAGGTGGGCACACGTGGGATGCGCAAAGTGGCTGACATGAGCTCCCATGACATGAGCCCATATGTGAAGAGACGAGCGTGATGCACTCTGCAGCAATACTACCTACTAATAAGAACGCTACAACCTGGATGGGCCAGAAAGACCCGAGTTATAGGAGTTCACAGTGCGCGGGGACACATACTATCCAGGTTCACCATTTCCCCCCCCATCATGACTAGAAAGCCTAGCCCCTGTTCTGTACGGAGCAATCCGCGCATCTCTCGTCCCCTCTGGTGCTTCCCACCCCCTGATGATGTCGGGAAGGCTTCCGAGCCGTGCCATTGCTAGACATGTGCGGCAATGCTTAGCACTCTTCATTCCCGAACTGCTACTAGTAGAAGGGAGGGGCTGCGGGAGCAGACGCAAGAGGCTTCGGAAAGGCCAAGACTGTCAGTCTTGATCCAGCAGGCCAGGCTTTTGGGTGGCATTCAACTTTCTCCTCGTGCGGCAGCCAAAAGCTCCACCCAGCTCGAAGCGTTTCTGTCTGGGCCAAGTAATACAGCTGCTTGCCGCACTGTTCTGGGATAATCGGGATGTGTGTGACCAACCCAGAACAGGTCCATGCCCATGCGGGCGGTGCGTATCGGGTGCTCGCCGGGACCGTGATGGTGACAAGCGGACGAGGAGCCCTGGGAGAAGTACATACTTAGGCCATCAGTGTGTCCCACCCCGGGCGCAAGATACCTACATGACGCGGAAGAGGAAGCCATCGACGATGCTTCACACCAAGCCCGTCCCTTTTCTGCGCTAGGCCTGTCCCGCCGCTTCCTCACGCCACGAAGAAGGAGGAGGTGGGAGAGAGAGAGAGAGAGAGAGAGAGAGAGAGAGTGCTGCGGCCACATGGGCAATCTTTTGGCACGATGATGAGGCGTTGATGGTAGTATTACAGTACATACATAGTAGTAGGTAGTTGGCACAGCGAACAATCAACAGCAGCAGCGCTAGCAGAGAGTGGGATAGAATGGTAGTACTACCTAGGTCGGTAGCGGTAGTAGTCCTATCTGATCCCATCTCCAACAAGGGGTCCAAAGGAGGGAAGTGTTGTCTGTCTGCCGACTCGCGGTCAACGTGCCATGCCCTTGTATGCAGATCCGGCTGCGCTCTCGTCCGTCGTGTGTCCTTGTCGTTGCCTCTAGTATCCCCTTGGAAATTAGCAGCAGCATCGTGGTTCCGGAATTGACTCGGGCTCGCCGCTCGACCGCACGGCTCAGTGCCTTGACAAAGTCGCAATTGGCAAGCATCGTCACTTATATCCTCAGGGTCAATCAGGGGTCCCTCCGACTGCGTCGGCCGTGGAGGCTAGCTCGCCTCCTAATCGTCTCCCAAGCCGACCTCGACAGGCGAGACCCTGCCTCCTGGCTCCAGGAGCCAACGGTGGCATCGCATCGCAGCCGCTGGCCCCAGAAACCGCCAGCACGAATCTCGAGTCCTGTTGGGAGGGGGCGTGCGTCTGCGAAGTGAATCGACGCCGGCAGACTTGAGGGTACCGGGCTCGAGGTACCGTGGGATCAATTGCAGCAGCGTCGAGCGGTTCTGGTCCAGTTGAGCGAACGGCACGGGTTCCTGTACGAACAACTGCTGGACAACCGCCCGCAGCCCGCAGGTACCGGTACCGCAGCGCCGCCGAGAGGGCCGCGCCACCCGCAGCGTGGCCCCAGCAGGACCCGCCTCCGCTGGCCGGGCTGCTCGCAGTGGCTGTTTTTAGCTCTGGGCTGCCCTGTCCGTGGCCCGTCTAGCGGCGCCGTTAGTGGCTCTGCACCCTCTGCAACTCTGCTGCAACTCGCTGCAACTCGCTGCTGCTGCGCTCTGCACTGCACCTCTGCGCTGCGCTCTCAAGGCTCAGTGCTCTCTCTCCCCCCCCCACTGCCGTACATACAAACCCAGCACCACCCTGTCACCCGCCTCTCCTCCCCCCGTTTTCCTTCTCCATTCCAGTCCAGTCCAAGTCGCTCAACCTCTGCGCCGCTGCCTCTGAGCCCGCGATCCCGCCCGTGGGGAGACGCCGACCCTTGAGTGCGAGTCTCTGCCACTGCGAACAGCTGCCTGCGTCTGCGTCTGCGCCCGCGCTCCATCGTCGCCCTTGAGCGCCGTCCCGGCATCCTCCTCCTCAGCACCCCCTTGCCTCGCCTCGTCTCGCTTCACCGCACCCGGCCCATCGACTATCCACACCGCGGCGACGACCAGAGGCGCAGAATAAGGGACCCAGGCGCCCGTTCTCGCGGTCGCGACAGCTTCCACACGCCCTCCTGCTCCCTTCGGATCCCATCGCATGAGTGCCTGATACTTTGTTCGACGACGCTTCCTCCTCCTCGTGCCGCACCGCCTGCCTCGGGCGCATTCGCAATCAGAAGCGCATCACGTCGCCGCCTCGCAAGTGCTGCTCTCTTCGCCCACGCTGTTTACGAGCGACGCCCCCCCGTCTCGCCTGATCGCGCTTTCGCATCCCGCGCTTGCGCTGGACAATCAATCAATCAATCAATAAATCAATCACTGGAGGAAGACACAATAGGAACTGAATAAGGAAGACACCACAGAAAGAGCTACAACCGTCTAGAATAAGAAAAGAAAAAAACATTGGCCAGCCCAACGCAACCCAAAACAACGCCGCCGCGAGACACCTACAACAGGCGCCATTCCAGCTGCTCAAGACATCGCAATCACGCTTCGCATCATTTGACTCAGCCGGCCGGGCGCGACATTGTACATCTAGCGCTGCCTCCTCCTCCCTTCTCTCGCTCGTCGTGCTGTTCCTGTCTTCATTCGCATACCTCGACGCCCGCGCGCGCAATGCCTCCCTTGCAATCTCTCATGGCGCCTCGCACACGGGGGTCTCGCAAAGCTGCTCGTGGGCCTAAAACCCCGGAGCCCTTCGCGACGACTGACATTCAACCCCCTTCTCCTCCGCGACCGCGATTCCGACTCAGGCGACGAGCTCCCTCGTCAAACCTCAAGGCTCCCACCCAGCAGTTTCTCGCGTCCGTTGCGACGGCAGACGTACCCATTCCAAGCATCGAGGAGCCTCGCCCGGTTGACGAAGACATGGTGGATACGCTCAGCACAAACTTCCCTCGATTCAGCCCCTACCATCTGGCCGTCCCCGACGATGGCGCCTTGCCGCGCGGGAGGGCCTATTCTCCTCCCAAGACTCCCGCTCCGCACGCTGTTCCCTCGCTGTCACCCAAACGGTTTCCCAACTGGTCGCTCGACCAGGCCTACAGCAGCCTTGAGTCGAGCCCAGAATGCGACAGCCGCCCGTCAACGGCGCAGTCGACGCAGACGAGCAGCTCGCTCTTCAGCCGCTACTCGCTGCACTCAGACAACCTCAGCCAGTACAGCATTGACGCCGACGACGCCGACCAGCATGGCTCTTCGTCAATTGATGACGGCAACAAGACTATCACGCTTCGCGTCCCTGGCGCTGCTGCTGCGGCTGCTGGCGCGTCAAGCAGGCGTTCGCGCAGGGCCCCGTGGACCAGGTCCATGAGCCAGCACCTCTGGTCCGTCTACATGACGTACCTGCAGGATCCCCACGTCACACCATTTCACATTGGCAAAAGCGGCATTCCTCCTCACGGAGTATGCACGCGCGTCGCCAGGGAAGCCAAGCGCAGCTGGAAAGGCTCCAAGCCCCAGCAGGCCAAGGCCGCCGCCGCCGCCGCCGCCGACCACAGCGGCAGCGCGACGCCCACCGTTGGGGCTGCGCCGGCATCGTATGTGCAGTGGCCGCACAGCTGCGCGGCGACTCGTGCGCATCTCAGGGAGCTCTGCAAGGCGAGGGCGACGGCTGCTGCGCGCAGCCAGCGCTACACGGGCCGCAACCCGCCGCCGTTCGGCCGCGCCTCCAATCGGTACTGGAACCGCCGAATGGCGCCCAGCCGATCTTCATCCGCCTTCTCCGGAAACGACATGGCCCTGTCCCTGGCGGTTAGCACGTGCGAATCCATGCAGCCTCACGGGCCGTTGGCCCAGCTCACCGGATCGCAAGACGAGCCGTCCGGCGACATTGAGCTCTGCTCGCCGCCGCCGCCGCCGCCCTTGATCGCCGCCGCCGCTGTCCCTGCGCCGGGCCCGGGAGCTGCCGATGTCGACATGGCGCGGCTGGGATCGCCCTTCGTGGCTAGGAGCTACGGCCCCAGCGCGTCCAGCTCGCTCGCAGACAGCTTCGGCATGGATCTGGAGCCACAGGGGCCAATGAGCAGCTCGGTGGGGACGCGACGGCGCAGCCTGGGCTCGCCGGCCCGGCTCAGCAGCAACAGCCGCGGCAGCACGCAGAAGCGCAGATCCAAGCAGCAGCCTGCTGCTGTCGAGCCCCGGAGGAAGCGTCCTAGCCTCGGCTCGGACTTTTGGGTCGATCCGTCCAACATCGGGGCGTCGACGACGCAGGCCGCGCCGCTCTCGGCCGAGTTCAGCTCCACCACGTCCACCCAGCGGGATGCGCTCTTCATTCCCCGGACCAACCTGCAGGAGCTCTTTGAGGCATCGCAGCCCCGCGTCGGCCCCGCGCCCATCTCGTCGTCTGCTCCGAGCGCCGAACGTCCCACTGCGACCGCAGCCGCAGCCGCAGCCGCCGCGCCGCAGGGAGCCTCGAGCATGGCTTCTGCCGATATGATTCCCAGCATGGCGCCCAGCCTTGCTCCAGGCCTTGCTCCAGGCCTTGCTCCAGGCCTTGCCCCTGCCCTCTCCGCTGTGCCCGCCAGACTCGGCTCCCCCTTTTCTGCCGCCAAGGCGAGCTTCTCCTTCCCGGGACGGCGATCGGCCAGCATCTCCGCCATTGACTTTAGCATCATCCGTCGGCCGTTTGCCACTGTCCAGCAGCCCGTCGAGTCGGAATCCTCACCACCCAAGTCGTCTCTGCGAAGCCGTCTGGCCTATATCGACGAGCGACTCAAGGATTTCCGCCGCCGCGACCGGCGATCCCAATCGCCCGTCTAAGCTGTGCAGTTCTGCTCAGCACCTCTTCTTGCCTTGAATCATAAGGGCATTAATCTCGTCTGCTGCTTCTTGGAAGGAATTTTTTTTTCCACTTGGTTCTACGGTTCTCGACACTGTTGACGACCTACATGTCGCAACCACGAGCCGCATTCCCTGGGCCATTCCGCCCTATAAAATCGATGGCATATCCCACTTAGACGGCAACGCGCTTGCTTTTCGTTCTCCCTATCAGGACCAACCTGTCTCGCACTTCATTTCTGGAAAAACTGTCTGTTTGTTATTTCGTTTTGTGTTTTTCCAATTATACCCGATATATATCCTGCTATATATCAGAGTACCGATATCCTGCGCAATCTGTTTTCCTATCTATCTATCTATCTATCTATTCTTGCCAAAACCGTCATATTCTTCCCCCAACTACCTATGCAACAGAAGGGGTGGGGGAAAAAAAAGGCCCATCTGTTTCTCAGCATATAACACGTTCATTCTTCTTGCACACCTCAAGTACAACACTCTCTGACGAACAACCCAAATTCTGCTTTTTCTTTTCTTTTTTTTTTTTCATGGAATGAGCCCTGCAGCATTGGGGAATGACGTTATGACTGAAACGACGGGATACTGCAACCCGATTTTGAAAGAGAAAAACAACAGTACCGGAGGACAACAAGAGTGTCTCCCTCGACAAAAAAGCGTCGGTTTTCTTGTTTACTTGTTACATTCATCAAGCGACTGCACTTTTTTCTTTCTCTTCTCCATTATCCTCCCATGTTCTTCTCTGATACTTTTCTTTTACTTATCCTCACCTCCATTCTTCTACAACATCACCATCATCTTCCTTTTACCTCCTTTGTATAGGGGGAAAGAGGATAAGCCAAACGGGAGATGCAAGGAGACCATATACATGGCACAGATATGTTTTTCTTCTTCTTTTCTTTTTTCAATCTCTGGGAAAGGGGAAATATTTCTGCAGCATCGCACATTGCAAAGCTGTGTACTAGGCACTTATATTACTCAACCTGTTTTTTTTTTCTTTCTTTTTTTTTTTTCTGTTTCCCTTCTTTTTTACCTTTTCTTTTCCGACTCGTGCATGATACATGATGGCGAGTCTTTGAAAACAAATGAGACAAGTTTACTTCTTTCACACATTCTTCCAACTACGTATCATCATAGCGCTTGAATTTGACTCTGCTAAATGCAAATCCTGGTCAAAAGTAATGGCTCAACGACACGATCCATCCGATCAAGGCATACAAGGTATACACATGCGATACATAATATGATAAAACAACTGCATCCTCCGTCCATCGTGAATCCATTCAAAACCGTTCTATGGGATATATATATATATATATAAGTTGAAATCTTCAAACCATCAAAGCGTAAAAACCCCTTACCCATTTCCATATTTCATACCCAAAGTCCATCCATGTATACTCCACCCCAATTGGCACCCTTTCGCAAGCTCATCCCAGAATAGTAACCCGAAAACCATCAGAAAAAAAAAGAAAAACCCCAGCCAGAAAAACAAGCACACAGAAATCCATCGTCGTCAAGATCGCTAAGATCGCTTCCCACCACCGACCGCCACGCCGTCACAGCGATCCAAATTTAAGAAAGAAAAACACCCCGATTCGCCCGCTAAGCCCCCGAGCTGCATAACAAACAAATCCTAAATCCGCTCACCTGAGCCCTCGCCTCGAGGTGAGCTGTTTCTTATGCTGTGTGTCAATGGCACCACCAAGTGCCGTGACTATCCAGCCACCTGAAACCACAAAGTGCCGAACGAAAACCCCATGTTTCGGACTGGAGCCCAGCTCCCCATTGAGCCCTGCAAGAGGTGATGAGACGTTGCATGGGGGAGGGACCCGCCTCGCGCGTTCACATGCGAGAAAGAGGAAATTGCATGGAACGCGGGAAGAAGAAAAGAAGAAGTAAGAGAAGGTAGGGAGGCCAGCAAGTACCAGTCTGTGATCCATGCTCACCGTCGGCCTCTCTCTGCGAATACGTGTGCACCCCGTTGATGTCATGAGAATTTCGATTTGATCGAGCTTGCTATCGAGTGGTGCCTTGATCGTTTCTCCTCCACGTCTCTGCTGCTGTTTCGTGAGAAGAGAGACAGCCTTGGCGCATTGCTGCTGCTATCTTGGCGCTTATGTTTCGATCCTTTCCGTCTCGGTAGGTCCGGTGCGCTTATTGGCCTGCTGGGAGTCCGAAGCATGGCATGAGGACACAGGCCCTCGCCAACGGCGGACCGATGAGAGTGAAACGAGCACTCTCGAAACCCAAACAGCCGCTTGTTGTTGCCCAGGTTGTTGGCCGAGATGCGGAGCTGAGGGTTCTTGAGCTGGACATCGTGGCCTGCGTCCCTCATGCACTCCATGTGCTGGGTATAGTCGGCGGAGAACCTGGGTAGCGACTGGAAGAGGGCATGGATTTGTGCGGGATAGGAAGTGGCCAGGTCTTGGCCTGAGAACTTGGGCTGGCCGCCCACGGCCAGGCAGAATGCGACCATGGCCACGGCCCACAGGCGGAGGCGTATTGACGGCCCTGTTTCACATTCGGTGTAGAGGTAGGTGACCAGCTTGGGAGGCACATCCCAGTCGTATTTGAGGTAGAGATCCTGGATGGCATCGATGGAGACGTCCTGCAGATAGCAGAGGTCGAGCTGGGAAGCAAAGAGATGCAGATGGATGATGGCCCAGTGGATGTCGAGGCACGCTTTGCTGCTCTTCTTGGGCGCCGCGCTGATGACGTTGTCGAGATGCTCGCGGAAGCCATCAGGATTGTGCACCCACTCGACGAATAGGCGGAACATGGCGGGTGGCTCGCTCGGCAGCCAGAGGAAGACGGTTTGTGAGTGGAAGGGGTCTTCGAGACGCTCCTGGAAAAAGGGAGAGACATCGCAGAGCAGGTGATGGTTGACTCGAAATCGATGCTTATCGGGGCCGATGAGGATCGTGGCGTACTCGGGATGGTCTGGCCCAGGTAGCGGCGGTAGTTCCTTGTCGAGGGCCGCCCGGGTGGGAGCTGAGTGATGCCGAGTGGTCGTATTCCGACTTGAGCACCTACTCATGGTGTTGTTTCTGGATCACCTGTATGCCGAGTATAGTAGTTGGGTGGCCAAGCTGATTGATAAGATGACCGATATGTTGTATGAGGTAGTGAGTGAGTAGCCCTCGGTGTATGTGCAAAAAGGAAGATGAAGGATAAGAGAACTTGGAAAGGTGCCGAAAGGGGATTCGAGTAAGGCAGCCAGCAGTAAGCTGGCCTCGGGCTCGCACTGGTGTGGGTGGGAGCGATTTTGATTAAAGATGCCGTCGAGTCGAAGCGAGAGCAACCGATGGAGTGTTGCGGCTTGATGAGTGCCCTATGGGCTTGAGCAAATCGGGTGTAATCGAGGCGTCAAACGCGAAGAAGCACACATGTCTCACGAAAACGTGCGTCAGATGACAATGCAGACGGCATAAGGATGCACTAAGACAATGTGAGCGCAGCTCGAAAATGATGCTTTGGCGAAAGAGGTGTCGAGAAAGGTGACGGAAGAGATGATGCAACTCGAAGAAAGAAGAAGTGAAAGAGAGAGCAAAAGCAAGGAAAGTAAGCGTACATATCTCTCGGCGATGGCCGTTGATGCTCTACATCGCTCACTGCCTAAGCACAAGCACAATCACAAGTACGGTATCCCGTAGATAATCCCCAGCCGGCAGGGCCATCGTGTAACGGTAGCAACCTTATGCTGAGTGAGAACGACTTAGACGACCCTCTCTCATCGCCAGGGGTGGGCGGCGCATGTGCGTGCGAGTGTGCGTGCGTGCAGGTGTGTTTTATGTATGCGTCCGTGGGCGAGTCGATACACCCCCAGCCTGACCTTGGTAGTACCCCCCCGGTTCTGGGAAGCTCTCCAGCTTCTTGGGTGGTAGCAGTGGGCATTGTAATTGCCAGGCTGGCCATCCTGCCGCGGGCTGTTTGTCGTTGCTACGCCATTAGCGAGGCTCAAACAGCCGCCGCTGCTAATTCCAGTTTCCCACCTTGAGACAAGACGGGATTCCGTGGAATATAGTGGGCGAAAGAGGCTGCCGCGTTCACCCCGGCTCGACTCGGGGCGGCGACAAGGTGAGCCAGGGCAGGGCCATGGTGAGTGTGATGCGCGTGATCTCGCAGCCCGTCCCCCGTCGCACGCATGGGAGTTTCTCGTCCTCGTCCATAATCGACGGCTTCGATTCGTCCTCGTCCGGACCCCCCATCTGTTTCGACAGCCCTCAGACGCAGAGTGCCGCTGCCGCTAATAGAAGGCGAGCCAGAGGCAGCAGCTGGCATGTGCGCGCGTCGCATCCATGTCACCCTAGGGTTTTGGAAATCGCTCCCCCGACTTTCTGTAGCCCGTTTGCCAGTTCTGCTCAGCCCAGCCTTTGACGCGGCATTTCTCACGAGGGTTTCGACCTTGTGGCGCGGCGCCCAGCAAATCTCTGTTCGTTGCTCCTCTGCCCTCTGTGCCTCTTTTTGGCTCTTCCCTTGCCTCGATCTGCGTCGTATCACCAAGCCTTGCCCCCCTGCTCATCAATTTTGGCATCACGGCAGCCCGGTTCCGCTAAACGCGTAGCGAACAGGACAAAAGAGCGGCCATTTCTTGGTTTTGTAAGGCATAACGTCGCAGTCGGTGCGTGTAACTATGCAATCTTAAGCGGGCGCAGCCATTGGTTAGCAAACCGTCGAGACAACTACTAACATCTTCATGTCGTTGGATGGAGGCACCCCAGCCTTGCCCGCAAAGAGCAGAGCAGCAGCACCAACCAACACCCCCGGCCTTCCTCTCCCCCCCCCCCCCCCCCCCCCCCCCTCCTCTTCCTTGTTGCTGGTCGAAATTCTATTTCTCAAAGTGATGCCACCATCTCATTTCGTTGTCGTTTGGAAAAGAGAAAGGCGGGAAAATACATCAGCAGACTCGGGGCATCCTAAAGAGGGCGCGGCCCATTGGGGGATGGACACCTTTTCGGAAGAACTTGAGGACCTGAGGCGGGCCTGAATGTCGCACAGCATGCCGGGAAATGAGGTCACAAAGATGAGCAAAGCACGGCACGGCATGGCATAACAGGAGGCGGGCGGGTTGCGAGTGATTGGTGATGGCGCCGCTGCAGAGTCGGGGCTCTCTCTCTGCCTGCATGTGTGTGAATTGGAGATTGCAGGCTGATCAGCATCGTCGATTGACTGGCGGGTAAGGCTGGTGCGGTGCTGCAGCAGCTTCCAGGCTTCCCTGCTGGGCTGTTCCTGCACCTACATTAGCGCCCGTCAAGCCTATGGAAACGGACCTCGGGAGCCTAATAGAGTACAGGTACTTGTACCCAGTGGAGGGCATCAGCACCGCTAGCTCCCGGCAGCCACTTCGCTGAAGAAGTGCCCCGAGTCCAGCGCTCCACTCAACCCTGAGCACCTCCACATTCAAGGTACTGAGTACCTAGGTACTTTCTGTTTCAATTAGGTACCTGTATGGACCACACAAGGCAGCATTTGTTGAAAAGATTGAGTGTATCAACTTCTATCTGGAATCCTCTGGCCGCCACTTACCGAAGGATCGTCTTCAGCCCGGGTCCGCCCTCATCCGCTCCTCCAAGCTACCTTGCATACATACAACATGATAATATCAAGCTCAATCCTTCCGACAGCTTGAAACCCCCGCAAGCCTATCACTCGTACTCGTACATAGGTAGCTACCTTACCTAGGTACGGATACACCCACATCCCCACTGCGGCACCTCCGTATCGGATTCCTGTGCCTATATTTGGCAATACTCTTGAACAGCAACAACAAAGAGAAGCAGACAATGATAATAATGACGATGTACACGCCCTAGTGGCCATTGCAAAACAACACTCGTTGTATCATGAATACCAAAAGACACACGGCCAAAAGAAGGGGTCCTCTTCAGCCGCAAATGGCCCGTTTGTTTGTAGTATGTTCCTCTTAAATCCCCCAACCTGCCTGTTCATCCCCTTATCCTCCTCAAGGATGAGACGTCAAACAAGAGCCAGCGCATCCGCCCGAGAGGCAACATGCACACAGCCGCTAGACGTTATGCTTAACCCCTATGCTCAAAGCCTGCTTTGTCTTTTTACCTTTTGGATCGCAATTCCAAATACTGTTTTGTTTTTCTCAAGTTGGGCGTATGTGCGCACATTCATCAGTATTCAGCCGGAACGGTGCATTCGCGGCCTGTAATAGTACTACTAATGTTTGCTACGCCTCCTTAGGCTCAATATTGCATCGACTATAGAATCTGGTATTTTCGAAATGAGGTCCTGAAAGACTTTGATATTGGCTCGTCCTTTAGAATATCTGCAATATCCTCTCCAAATCATTACCACTTTCAAGATAGAAAGACTTGAAAGCAAAGCCTTACCACGCACTTCTGTGGCGCGTTGTATTTTTCACCATGACCCTGGGTCGCCTCGACTTCTAAAACGCCATGCCCATCCCCTCATTCGTTGAAACAGCGGGAATCCCGAAACGAGATGCCCCCGAAAGCCAAAATACCGCAAACCAGTGCAAAAGATCCCCGTGCGCCGCTGTAGATGCTCACAGAAAAAAGAACCCAGATGCTAATCCATCTCTCATCTCATCCATGTGCAGGTGGAGGAGGATTGGCCAAGTCAAGGCCCAACGGGAGGCAGGACCCCCCCTAAAGCTCTTTTGGTAGATAAAAGCAAGATACCGCCCAGCGCGCTCGGCCCTCAGCCCCCTTTCAACGCTCTGTAAAACTCCAAATGAAGCAAAAGTGCTCTTGTTACCCCCCCTAATTCGTCTTGATCCTAGCAGGAATGTCCATATTGTCAGAATCTGTGCTGTTATCGTCGTCAATCTGCATGGGATCATCGTGCGTTCCATGATGTGTAGGAGCCGGTATCGCTACCTGAAAGGACGGGGGAGGCCGCGTTGTTGTTGTTGTTGTTGTTGTTGTTGTTGTTGTTGTCGGCTGACTCTGTGTCGGGGCTGGGGGTGGTGGCTGAGAGTTCGCAGACGACGTTGTGGGATCAACCAGCTCAGCAGTAGCCGAAGACGCCGACAGCCCTCCCATTTCAGCGAGGGGAACCCTCCTACGCGGGGACTCCGCGACCTGACTGGCGGTCTGCGTTGGCCTAGCTTGTCCATCATCGGTGCGGACCTTCTTTGCGGCCTGCGCCTGCCCAGGATCCCTCGAGCCGCCACTCCAAGAGCGGTCGACTTCGGTGTCGGCGCGCCGTCCGCGGAGGCGGATTCCATACTTCTTCCTCGTCATGCTCTGCTTGGTGTTGTAACGATTCTTAAGCTTGGCGATTTCCTCTTCACGTGGCCCGGCCGGCAGCCTTGCTTGGGCGTCCCGCATTTGACCAAGATAGTAGTCGTCGACTTGTTTCATCTCCAAATCAAAGGCTCTCCGTTGGTCTGGGGTCAGCTTCGCGTAGGGGTCGTTGCCCGAGGGGCTTGGTGTCGCCACGGGAGTGGACGCGTTCTGGCTTGGGGTCGTAAACGCCTTAGCAGCCGGTGTCGTCGTAGCTGGTTGACGGGGCGTCGTCGTCTGGTAGCTAGGAGCAACATATGTGTTGGGTGGCTGGTTCGGGGCCTGCTTGCGCATGTGTTCCCACTGTTTCAACAGTTGAACCATTTGCAGTCGGGTCGCCTCAGAGTGCACACCACAGACATCGCTCTTCAGGTGATAGGCTAGGCCCCCTGAGCTTTCGAATAAGGAGCCGCAGTGGAGGCACATATCCGCGTTGGGGTTTTCGCCTTGCTTCAGAGTGTGGCACTTAGCCCTCTTATGGTGCTGAGTCGATCGTGAGTAACGCATTTTTGCGGCATCTGACAGGGGAAAGACACATAAGGACTTACATAATTGAGAGCCTCTTGGCTGCTGCAAGGTCGGTGGCACGTGCTACAGTAGACTATGCGGCCGGATTGTTTCGGCATCTGTCTTGGGGTCGAGACTGCAGGCGGCTGTCCATGGGGAACAGCTGTACCGTTCGTCGGCATGGGGACAGGCTGCTGGCCTTGGGGCACGCCGTATTGCTGGGCTGGATGAGGCGGATAAGCTGGATGAGGCTGCTGTGGGGGTCCATGCCCTGGGTGTGGTGGCATCGGGGGCGGGGGTGCTCCTCCGTGCATCTGGTGCGGCGGCATCTGAGGCGGCAGCGACGTAATGAGCGTGTTGATTGATGGGATGACGCTCTCGCCTCCTGGGCCGGGCTTCTTCTTGACAATGTCGTTGATGTGGTAGCCGAGGCGCTCTGCTCGAGCCAAAGCATTGATAAGGTCTTGGGCTCCGATGGTCTCCAAGCGCGTGGCCATGACCCTGTCCTGGAAATGAGGGCTAAGCTTGGGCCCGATGAGATCTGCAATCTCATCCAGATCTTGTCCAGAAAAGTGCTTGGCGATCTCGCGTTTTGACGACCTAATGACCTTTTCGCCAAGATCTTGCATAGTTCGGCTGATTACTCCTGGACTCGAGTAGTTGATTGCAGCATTCGCCTGTGATCTTTCATTAGATTGCCATTCATCCATAAGTCATGCGCAAGAGGAAAGAAAAGAAGGGAAAAGCAGCAGTTACACAGAGAAGAGATGCGCGAAGAATCCACAGACTCCTTGTGAGTGCACATATACCCCGGTGGATAGAGCCGGGGTTTTGCATAAAGAGCAGCAGCTCAAGATGCGTGAAATGCAAGAGAATCGAGAGCAAAGCCGGAACACGCAAACTTACAACAAAGCTCGAGTGATAGTCTGACCCAGTCAGGCACTTCCCCCAGTGCTCCCTCACCACCTGTCTCACCACCGACGCATCCGTCTTCTGCACCAGGTCCAGCAGCGCCCTGTACGCCCTCGCCTTGTCGTCGTTGCCGCCGGCCTTTGCCTCGCCGCCCTGCGCAACAGGCGCCGAACCGCCTCTCTCCGGCGCACCGCCCAGCGCTCCGCTGCCGACACTCGCGGCCTCGCTCGCGCTGCGCACAAGCGGCGACTGCGCAGGCACGCCGTTTGTGGGCGACGCCGCCTGCATTCCGGGACCAGGAACTGGCGGGGTGCCGCCCGTCATGGCATTGGGCAGCGCCGGAGAAGCAGAAGGAGGAGGAGGATGAGGAGGCGCACTCTTGAAAGGAACAGCAGTGATAGCGACCGGCTGTTGGCTCACGGGCCCTGTGGCTGACGCTGACGCTGGCGCTGGCGGTGGTGGTGCTGATGCTGGTGTCGAAGGCTGCTGCTCGGCCATTGAGGATCTGATTGTCGACACCACGGACGCGATGCCCTCACGCGTCTCGTTCATGTGTGGCGCAGCTGGAGCTTGGGCTGGGTTGAGTATGTCCGAAGTCACAAGCGGAGGAGAAGCCGCCATGATGGCCTCACGCGCATGAATGAAGTCAAAGAAGGAGAGACTAGATGTTGCTTCGCGTGGATCCGCAGAAAAAAAAAACCAAGACGAACAAGAAGAAGCAAACGAAAGTGAAAGAAAAAGAAGAAGAAAAAGAAGGAAGAGAGTTGAGAGAGTGAGAGAATGTGTGTGGATGCTGAACAAAGAAGAATCTCTGTTATGCACGTCTTGCTTTTTTTGGCGAGGAAAGAAAAAAAAGTTCACCGACCAACGGCCACTCAAACAGCGCGCTGAAAAAAAAAAAAGAACCTTGGAAGCTAGTAGTAGCTGGCTGATAGGACCTGTGCCCGTAGTTGCACTCGGATTGCTAAAGAGGCAGTAATAAACGGGAAACTTTGCATGGGTGGGAGCGAGGAGGAGACCTAAAGATACGGTAATGATACCCAATAGTCAGCTCCAACTCTTGGGAATACGAAGGATGCAAGTACTACTAGGTAGTAGGTAGCTCAAAAAGTCGAGATACTGGAAGTACCGGGACAGACAAACGAACAACCCTGCCTTGTAGCGTACCTAGTAGGTATAAACTCACAAGTTGGCTTCTCTCTCTTTTCCTTGGCATCAGCACCTGGAATGACAACAGAGCAGGATCTTCACAGCTCCGGAAACGCGAAAGGCTCAAACCACGGGAAAAGCTTCAAAGTTCGCTGCCTCTCTCTTTCGTGCACTTGCCATCTCCCTAAATAGAAAAAAAAAGGAATGGAAAAAAGCGACTAATAAAGGCGGTGGACCCTTATGAACTATGTATTAGTGCCTTAGAAACTAGGCTATGAAATATGGGTCCACGCTATTTGCTATCACTTTTGCTAATTAACGCGGGCCCACTTAGAGCTCTGCGCTAAGACCTCACCCCCCTGATTCGTAGGTAGACTTTCACTTGCTCGTCTATCTGCAGGAAACTTATACACCATGCTGCATCTTGATAGGGAGGGAGGGCGCCTCGCCTCATATTGCTTACTATTTGCGTCGTACCTCGTTGGTTAGACTTTTTCCCAATGCTACCGTGACATGTTCAAGATGCGAGGCCATATTAACTCTTGGCAATTCCAAAGTACGATTGCGTTACACAGGCAGCTTGTCTGTAGTACAAGTGAACGGGCGTATAAGGTAAACCCCCATGATGAGGGTTCTCTTTGCATTCATTCACACTTGTGCGCAACTCCAGTCTTGACAATCATTGCAGAAATTCTTCATATTGCTTAGGTGCTGCCTTGAATAGGGATACTCGCGTGCTTGATATAACCCGTCATCCTCGCACACCTGTTGCATAGCAAAGCCATTGCTTGAATAGAAGACGTCAACCGAGGGCAGAGCACAGAGCCCCGGACACCAGCTTCGCAACCAGTCCAACCGCCTCCTTATCCTCAAGCGACTCCAACTTCTCTGTTCGTGTGCTTCGCTCAGCTGGATCCTCCTCCTGCTTGATCATGTCTCCCCACTCTCGTGATGCCTTGGTCTTGACACTGGGTGCCGGTAGAGTCTCCCAGAAAGTAGCCTTGAGTGCTGTCTCATCCAGGGCCCATCTGCTGGCTGCTCTCTCCAAGAGATCCTCCACGGGCCACCACCAGTCGCATCGCAGCTTGAAAGGTCGAGTGCCGCGTCCGTTGTTGCGCTTGTGCAGCAGCGCTCGGTGGGGTGCCGGCATCGTACCAAAAAAGCCTTCTCGCGCATATCGCGGCAGCGTCTTTACTCGGAACAGCCGGTCCATGATAATCTGCTGGCGTTGTTGGATGAGATAGTTGTACCGCTGCTCCCACACTTCGTCATGCCATGTGTGCGTGCCGTCCTTTTCCCTCGTCTGAAGGCACGGATACTTGTGTTTCTCGGCCAAGCCAGCCTCCATAGCCTTCTTGTGCCGCTCTCGCCAGACGCGGAAACCGGCATCGCTGTGGTTGATTTGCCGCTCGAATAGAACAATGGCATCATCTAGCTCACGCAAAAGTCGAGGCTCGTTCATCCGGGCGTAGCGTGGAAGATCATCCCACGGACCGAATAGCTTGGCGCAAAAGTCATCCAACGGGGTCCATTTGGGGTTGATCTGGGGGAGAATCTGTGTTGCAGCGGTGTCTGCAGATGGAATGGTCTCCAGGGGCTGCACAGAGCCTTTGTCCAGTTGCGCCTCCATCTCGACGCAGAATCCACAGCGAGCGAATCTGTTTGAGAGAGTGACTTAAAGTGGATGTAGTTTGGAAGAGAAGGTGGTGGTTGATATAACGCTGTGCTGATCAAACCAGAAATGATGTTGTTGGATGGAATGTATGCATCCGCATGCATGGGATAAGTGGTGTTTTGGGAAGAAAATCACAAGCACGAGATGGCGATGCTTTAAATACTTCTTCAACTAAAGAGGCGAGCGAAAGGGGAGAGCATCTGGCAATCTGGCAGGCCTCATTCACCAACCTGGTGCTTGCTTTGACTTTGGACCGTTCACGGGGCCGTGTGACCAGGAAACCGTCTGCTGAAGCGAGATAGAAGTCAGGACAGACTCTGGCCGCCTCTTGCCTTCTGCTGTGTCCCTGGAGAGATGGAGAAAGCGCAGATACTGAACGGCCATCTTTGGAAGGCGGACTCTGATTCACTGCCGCGCAGCCGGCCGGTTGATGGGATCTCGTGAATCACATCCGCAAGCACGGCTTGGAGTGAACTCGCTCAGAAACTGCATGTTTTCCCGGCTACCGACCTCGGGGGGGGTTAGAAACACTTCACTCGCGGTTCTTCACTTGGGGATCAGGGCCTTGATGTGAATACTCAGAATGTTGTGTAACGACGTATTGTTGAACATACTGGTATCAGCTACCGCTTTCCTACCCCTTGGTGCCTTGATTTTTTCCAAAGCTTTTGTTTGTTCCAATGCTAAACAGGTCACCCGAACGCCTCATGCTCCCCAGCCTCAATACGAAACCTAGGTGTGACTTTCCATCAGAGCTAATCATATTACAGTAATTCATCAACGTGACCATAGGTAAAGAAGAAAATATGAAAGAATCTTTTACTCTCCAACGCAGGCAACCATGAGCATCTGGTAATCGCCAGATGTCTCTGACCTGATACGGCTGGCCAGGCTCTTTCTGTATCTCTGCTGGTAAGCGCCCTTGATGTTGGCAAGTTCGTTTCTGTCCCAATGGAAACGGATGACTCGTGAAACGAGCAGATGGTCTTTGGTGCCCAAGCCGGCCATGGAGTCTTCCAGGAGCTGGGCGGCGTGCATATACCTGTCCACGGCGTGGCGAAGTTGGAATAGAAGAGCGTCTTTCATATGGCCAGAGAATTCCTGCAGCACGTCAGCTCTTGTCACCAACAGTTCCATAGCAATTCAATGGCGCAGCAGTGAACTGGATGAAGGCGAGGCACTTACACTTGAAATGACATTGTCCAGATCGCGGTTGAACTTTTGCTTGTAGAGATGGGCGATGGCTCGAATTTGGTTGTCGTTTCGAGTGCTAAGGATGCTGCAGACCAGAATCTCGTCGGTGCCCAGCTTGCCCTCGGTCGACCTGTAGATGCTCATGACGTCCTCTTCCACCTGCTGTGGGTTCACAGGAGCCATATCCTCAGCCCTGTTCGCATTGAGGACTATCAAGAAATGCCTCTCTGTCTTGAGGCTCAGTTCGCCCTTGACATCGTTCTCCAAGCTTCGACGGAATGTCTGCTGATACGCGCTCTTGATAGCTTTCAGGTCGGCGTTGGATCTTGACAGAAGGATGTCGTTCATGACAATCTCCTTCGTTCCCGGCCCAGACATGGCCTTGTAGAGGTTGTGCACGTCGGACATCAAAGGACCACGGGCAAGCTGCACGAGACCATATTCAAACCAACTTCGTGTCTCCTTCTCGAGGTCGTCTACCAATCTGCGCTTGTGCCTACGTTCGTAGGTTGCCCGTAGGACCTCGATCTGCAGGGGGTCTTTCCGGGCTAGGACATTGACTAGCGCCTTCTCGTCGGTCCCGAAACCCTTCATGGCGCGGCGCAAAGCATCAGCGTCGGCAGTAGCATCATACTGGATGATTTGCGGGGGGCCATAGCCGGGAGACGGCGGCGTAGGCGGTACCTGTCCATACGGCGCGGGGGGAGGAGCGCCGTATTGCCCTCCAGGCGGCGGGGGAGGCGCTCCGTATTGGCCTGGCGTAGGCGCTCCGTAGGGCTGCTGGTGTTGGGGAGGAGCCCCATATGGCTGAGGCGGCGGCTGGCCGTAGGGTGCTTGTTGAGGAGGATATTGGCCCGGCGGCGGAGACTGGTAGTATCCTCCTTGCGAGGGCTGGGCGGAAGGATACTGGCCGTACGGCGCTCCTTGGGGAGGCGGATATTGGCCCTGCGGTGGCGGGTACTGTCCCTGCGGAGGAGGATATTGACCATGCTGAGGAGGATACTGGCCCTGTGGAGGGTACTGGCCGGGCTGGGGAGGATATTGGCCCTGAGGAGGGTACTGGTTGTAGCCCTGGGGAGGGGGCGGCGGTTCTGCGATGCGTCAGATTGCGATCACGGTGCGAGGCAGGCAGATGATTATGCGAGCAAGGGCTGTTGGCTTTCATCGGGTTTTGCCCCGTTGATTCGATCATTTGGTGCAGAAAGAAATACATTGCGGAGATTGTACTTACGGCCGTAGGGCTGGCCATATCCCTGATACGACATGATCGATGCAGTAATAGTAGTAGTAGCAGCAGTCGTTGGTTCGGCGTACGGATTCGAGTTGAGTCGACGGCGGCGGGACGGTGGTGACGTCGTACCTGATGAGAAGGATGAAGTTTGCAGGTGGCCGAGCGCAACGGGCGAAAAGGGCTTATGTACCTACGCGTCCAAGACCACTGCTGCCAGCGTCTAAGGCAAGGCTACCTTACCTTGCGTACGACCTGCAAAGCCCGCGCATCAGCTAGCCGGAGGCTTGCAGCTTAGCAGCCCGAGCAGCACCATGGAGCTTGTTGCGCACGATCTGCCTTGCGTCGGGTCAGGATAAGCAAATAAGGTCGAGCCCACAGGTTCATCCCTGATGGAGGCGCCGCTCGTCATTGGCGAAAGGGCGAAGAGTGGAGGGCTCGTGGCTGTGCTGGGGTTCGCTGGCACGTCATGCCTTTTGCTGAGCCTTGCGAGAAGCGCCTGCTTGGCGCCACAGCGTGACGATGTCATTGAGCGTCCCTGGCGCCACGTTTGAAATCACGGTCTAGGCTGCATGTATCTTTCTTTGTTTCTTGATACCCATCCCAAGCTTGCAATTAACATCCCTTGTAATTAACCCAGTCGTCAGTCGTCAGTTGCTGCAACAAAGCCTGCCTCTAACTTTCGATGCGATACCGCCATCAGCACCACTGCAGGGATTTGTCCGACTATTCTGGTGAGCAGTCCATCAGCCTGCTGATCGTCGCTTGGCGCTCTGCTCGACGACCCACCAGAACCTCATGCCGCTTGTCTAGGTATGAGTCGTGGAGTTGACATGCAAAGAGAAAGGAAGAAGTGTTGATATTGAGCTTGACATGCTTATCCGTGATTTCCCCCGGCTGTTTGATATACATATAAGCTTGAATGTCCCTCTATAGGGGCATGTTGGATGCATGGGAAAGCAAGCCAAGTCGAGGGAGAGTTTGGTGACGTGGTGTGGCGTCCGCAGTGTAGACAGCGCCACACGTGTTGCGCCATGCGATGGTTGGGATTGTTCCCACGTTGAGATACATACCAGCTATTAACGCCACAGCCGTAGCTTGGAGGTGGATAGTATTACCTTGGGTACCTAGGTAGGTAGTTGAACGCTGGGCGAGAATTGGAGCCTGACAACTTTTGCCTGTGAATTTGCCTGGGCTCATGGCAAGGGATAGGCAAAGCAGCACAGCCATAGGAAGCCCAGCGAACGGCGCCGTACAGATTATTGCTTGCACAACGCTACAAGCAGATCTGCTGTTGGCCTCTAATAATTCTTCATCAAACATGAATGCTGACTAACATCACCCGTAGCAAGCAAGCTGCGTCTGTCATTTCAGTATACAAGCAACACCAGAATGCAAATCAAGACAGCACAGATCAAGCACAGCTTTCTTCACAAGATGCATACAGGGGCCACCTGCTATGCATGGGCTTGAGCCCCCCCTGCAACAGCGATCTGGACACGCTGACAGTCCCCCGCTGGCTTACGATACTCTCCACTGGACCCCCCCGTATGTACCCCCTTGCGCTGCCGATATGGCGGCCCGATCCCGAGCCTCCAGCCTCCGGATTTCCCAGCCATCGCATTTCCACCCGCCTTTGCCCTGTAGAAACTCGGGGCCAAGGTTGGCAGCAGTCCTACGATACTTCGCGCAGTGCTGCCGCTCTTTGCCCGATTCTTCCTCCTCCTATCACATTCCTCCTGCTCTTGCGCCAGACCGGCTAAGCGACCAAGCGCATCGCCGCGCTCTGCATTCCAGCTGCTCTCTTAGCCGCTTTCAGCTCCAAGTCCCTGCATGCCTGCTCTATCCTAACGCCAGCAGAAGCGAGTAATAGCGAGAGGGAGAGAGAAGAGAAGCTTCCTTCAATATGCGCAGCGGCGTCTCCTTGACCCTTGCTCTCTCCGCATGCCTATCTATACTAGCAGCCGCCCTCCCGCAGCCGGCTCTTGTCCTCCGGGCTGCGGCAGTCGACGATCACCACAAGCCCAAGTATTCCGTCGTCCCGCTTGAACCTGGTCCAGACCAGCCCGGCGGAGGAGGAGGAGGAAATAATGGAGGCGGCGGAGGGGGAGGTGGTGGAAGCGGCGGCGGTGATGGCACGGTCACGGTGATTGAGACCCTCGTCAAGACCAAGACTCCTGCTACGACGGTCACCGAGGTTGTCAAGGGCTCGACTGTTACCCGCACGGTCCCAACGACGGTGTCCATCGTTAACATTACGGCAGATGTGACTAGGACCGTCTTTGTCACTCCGACTCCCACATCTACCAAGCATAGCACAAGGTCTACGACGACGAGAGTTGCGACTCGATCGAGCCAGGCCTCAAGCAAAGCTACTACCTCGAAGGGGACTGCCAGCTCAAAGACAGCTACTTCAACCAAGGCATCGACTGCTGCATCTACCACAGCATTGTCAACACCATTCCCGCAAAGTACCACTCATCACGTCACCTCATCGGTGCCGCCAGCAAAGAGTACAGTCGATACAACTATCACATCAACCGGTTCTCCAACCCCAACTGCCTCGCCGCAGTCCAGCTCTACTGCGTCGTCTTCCTGGGCGGTCACAACAGAATTGTCGAGCACTGCCTCTACCTTGACCACCGTCTATACTTCTTCACCGTCCACCACCCACGACAATGGCCAGTGGCACACTACATATCCTCCCTGGAACGGGACGGACTTGCACCACTATCGCCCGTACCGTAGATGATCTCTCTGCGCTATGACGAAGAAGCGACACAAAACTGACTCTGCGTCTTTCAACCGTATATATTGAAACTTCGAGGGACATATGACTCTTCTCAGAGAGCGCAAGGCGATACGGCATGAATCTTTTCGGGCACCGATTGCGTCGAGTTGGATCTCTGGATTTCGTGCCTCATCTCTTTCTTCCTTTTCTTTGCTGGTCTCTCTTTTTATACTTGCATTTGCCGGTGTTTGTTATTGAATAATGATAATGTTGCCCAGGACGAATCACTTTGAATGCTTACAAGGCGCTGGAGCGGACTGCTGCTTGACGATTGAACCATGGAGCGATGCGAGGTTGGATTGGGCCGTGCTTGAGGATGATTCTGGCTACTTTGAGCGGGAGACACAAGAGTTTCATAGCGATGTTGTTTCTACTCAGACGTCTCTGCAATTATATGGCGATAGTTTGATCACCCATACCAAGCCAAGACGCAGTGTAACGCTCTCTTCAAGATTTTACTGCAGTAAATTTCTGTTTGTTCCAATTTTTGACATTGCGGGCGGGTGCATGTTGGAACGTACCAGTACATCCAGCCGAGACAATACTAAGAGCCTCTCAGCTCAAACGCCACGAGAACAATCCAATGTATGATGGCCAAACAATGGTTTCCATCTCAAGGCATACGATGATTCTGAACAGTCAAGCGAGGATGAATATTTTTGTGCTGTCGCATAGACTGGCTGCTCCTCTTTCTTGCCCCTTCATCTCCTCTTGACTGAGACCGGATATACTGTCTCCAAGTTCGCCTTCTTGGGCGAGATACCACTGCCTTTATTCCTCTGAGCAACCAATACACATATCACCTGTATGGCATCCAGCAAATAAGCAACTCTGTACTCGCGGCTAACGTGCTTAACAGACTTCCTCCGCGCCATACAACATCACACCCGAAAACCTCAGACACCACATCTCAACATGGACCTCTCCATCAACCTGGCTCTCGCAACACCTCTCCAGTCTATGGACATTACGCCTCTCTCGCCAGATAGTAGCAGTGCATATAAAGAAGCCATCTTGATAGCCTGCTGCCTAGGTGGAGGTGTATCCATCGTGACGGTCCTCGTTGTTGCGGTCATGGTCTCGAAGAGGAGGGCACGGCAAAGGAGGCTTGAGGAGAAGGATGCCCAAATGGCGGCTACGGATGCATGGGCGAGAGGATTGTGATGGATGAGAGCTATAAGCAAAAGTACCCTGTGCGAAGAAAGGGGGGAGAAAGTCGAATTGCCTTCGACGATACTATGAAGGCATTATAAGAAGCGTGCATTATCAGTTGAGGCTAGAAATTTTTCGATTTACGAGTGAAATGGGATACAGACATACCTACGACGAGCCAGAACGGCGCTACTATAGACTTCAATGTTCTATCTACTGCATCATATACCGCTTATGCTTCACTTTCAGAGCTGCAGCTTGACCACAAGGGCGTGAATCACATATGAACAGCCAACAGTCATTTGTGTATACCATCACCGAGCCCATCCCCAAGTCTCGGGCAGTGCTTCACATCGCACACGAACCTACACTTACTCACGCCTGTCTGGCGCTCCAATAAAAGGCATCCACGTCTAAGCGAACCCCACAGGACATTGATTTGCTCCAGAGGCTTCTTGTGAAGATTTCGAATATCCTTATTTTCTTCATCAAAACCCATCTTCGAGAACCAAGGCAAGTCGTTGGTGGGACATGCCGCGAGTGGAACACAAGAGCAACAGCAGCATCAAGTATTATGTAGGTACCGCCATACAATCACCGGGCACCGATTGATAGAGGCTTAGAATCACTCCGATACTCACGTCTTTCTAAATCCCCTCATCATACTGTACTGCCAACATGAAAGACAGCGGCCCTTCAGCCCCCCGCTGGGCTCTCCTCTCCCCAGCAGCCGCTCCCCCGATCCTCACCTTCAACGAGCCCTCCATGGATCTCCACGTCCTCTCCCGCACCGACTCGCACAACAGCTCAGATCTTCAGCCTCCACCGCCATATCCACTGCTCCCACAGCCGGAGATTCAGCCCAGACAACCAATCAACGCAGGCGAAGCGTGTTCCCCAGAGGGCCAATGGAACTGCATGACGACTTCGTGGCAGCGCTGCGCGAGCGGTTCATGGAGCGGCGTCGTCTCGTGTGCGATGGGAACGATATGCCAGCCTTTTGGTTTGACGGACTACATCACCATTGAGCATACTGCGACTTCTGATTCCAACGATGGCGAGGCTCATCAGGAGGATAACGGGCATGCGAGTGGTGGGAGAAAAGGGGATGTGCGTGGGAAGAGCGGCAAGAGTAGTAGTTCTGGGATGAGGAACTCGCCGGGTTTGTGTCTGCTATTGGGAATGATGGCGGTGGGAGTTTCCTGGAATGTTCTTGTTTGAAGTTAGGATTTGATACTGTTGGGGGGGTTCTAGTGGAAAGACTGAAGATGAGAGGCATGCATGTGTTGGTGGGAAGGCCATTGAGCGTGTCTGGTCTTGCTCCCCAGAGGTTTAATGCGTGGATGCATGGGAATGCTTCACAAGATGGATTCGGGCTTGAACCATTAACAACTGTCCATGTTTGCTAGAGCCTCGAAGATGGCTGATCCTGATGCGGTGTGAAAATGAGCATTAAATGAGAGCCCAGCTTGATACGGCACAGGCTCCTCGAATGGACATATTGAGCGAAAATTCCACAGGGTGCAGGCCATCACTTGGTTTGATGCATGTTAATGAATCACTGACGCGAATGATGAAATGAGAAGAGATGATATTTCTTGCCGAGAACGATGTATCTAGTATATAAATAAAGTGATCTACACCACAAGGCCATGCAATATCCATGTCATGTGTAATAGCGGAGTAAGCATAACTCTTGAAGCATCACCCACGAGCACTTGCTTGAGACGTCGTAATCATTTCCCCTTCAAGCGCATGCCAGCGTATTCCATAGCTTTCTCTCACTACCTTAGGTATGTACATGCAGATAGCTGTCCAATCTCGACCTGCCAATGCTCTGCAGATGAGATGGGCTTAGCGTTGAATGGCTCTTGAGCCTATCCGCTCTGGTGTTCGTTCGTCTGGTGCGGACTTGAGATTTGATTAGCTGCGGACTTGCACCAGCGCTGGAAATAATAGTTGTGCCGACAGATTGGGAGCGGAGCCGGGGCGTGATGCTTCCTGCGAAGGAGGTCCGCTGCTTGTCGCCATGTCTCTTCTTTTAATGGGCTGATGCCGTACCTTCTTGCAGCTCTCATCCTTCTCGTCTCTTTCACCCTCAACTGACCATAATCGCCGTATCCAGAGAGACAAAAATACAGGTTAGCGAGGACTGTTTCCGCGAGCAAAACGCCAACGTCGGCCATGGCATCAAAGGGAACCATCATCGTGACGGGGGCCAACGGCGGCCTTGGCTCCGCCATTGTGCAAACCATCCTCAGCAAGCCGGACCTGGCCTCCAACTACACCGGCCTCTATGCCGTGCGCAAGGCCGCGACCGCGACAAAGCTCCAAGAGACTCTCTCCAAAGCCCCGTCAAGCCACAAGCATGAGACGGTAGACCTTGACCTGGGATCGCTCGCAAATGTGAGAAAGGTGGCTGCGGATATCAACGCCCGAGTGGCCAAGGGCGATTTGCCCCGGATCCGGGCCCTGATTCTGAATGCTGGGTATCAGGACCACTCCCGCTTGGTAAGCCCTTATATCCCATCTTTCAACGGGTTAATGCCAGGTGATTTCTGTTGACGCGCGATATGATACCAGGTCATGAGCGAGGATGGCTTTGAAATGTCATGGCAGGTCAACTTCCTCTCCAACATGCTCCTGACGCTGCTCCTGCTACAGAGCATGGACGCGCAAGAGGGTCGCATTCTCGTCATCGGCAGCTGGGCACACAAGTAAGCAAGCAGATGCGGACGTCGTCAACCAAAAGAAGACCTCGAAGCTGAACAACGCTGCAGCATTGAAGATAAGCGCAACAACGCGACAAACGCATACAAGGATCCCAGATACCCGACTCTGTATCCGGGCGCAGAGGCGCTTGCCAAGGGCCAATGGAGCAGGCCTGAGGAGGATCCAAGCAGCAACTCGGGCTTCCGTCGATATGGAGCCAGCAAGCTCTGCGTCATCATGTTCTGGTGAGTTCAAGCCTCCCCTTTCTTCGGTTTTACCGATCGCAGTGATTCGGTGCCGATCCATCAATGATCAATCATCCTTTCTTTCATGCCCTCCCGCGTTGGAACGCTGACAACTTCTGTAGCCAGGAACTTGCAAACCGCATCGCCAAGGACCCTCAACTGAGCAACATCTCCGTCATCGGCCTCGACCCCGGCGGCATGCCCACCGACATTGCCCGCAGAGCCGGCTTCTTCTTGGGCTCCGTGGTGATGAAGGTCGTGGTACCCGTCATCGCCGCGGTCAGCGTCCGCATCAACGGCAACGGCATGTTTAGACCCGCGTGGAAGAGCGCGGCAGACGCCGTCAGGGCTTGCTTCGAGATTGAAGCCCACCGAGGCGAGCTGCTGCACCTGGACGGCACGGCTGAGCTCGAGATTGCAAAGGAGGCGAGGGACGAGACGAAAAGGAGGGAGTTGTGGGAGTATGGGTTGGAGGCGGCGCGGATACAAGAGGGTGATACGGCATTGGCGAACTGGAAATAGGTAGTACCCTTTCGTCCAGCGGTTGTCAAGGGAAGAGGGTGAAGGCGTGAGAGGTGTTGGTTGTCCATTGAACGTGTCACATTATCTATTGTCAGATTGCCGTTTCAGCATCAGATCGATATAAAGCCTGAACTCTATCGCCACGCGCTTTCGAAGCGTTGGGCAGTTGGCCCTGCTCTAGTCTCCGGTAATGCTTGGAACCCCGTAAGATGGACAGAGCATGTCGCCATGCCGTGGAATGCCATCTATATATAGATGGTCATCACCAAATGCTATAAAGGGGGATTATGTATCCAGGATCAATGCGAGCATTTGCGCTTATATTTCCAAGGAATATCTTCTCGATCGGCTCCGTCTCCAGGAAGCTCGGGTGTCATCAAGCATGCACAATCAATGATAATAGCAAGCTTTGACCAGGATCCCCTGCATATACAGCCAGGCACTATAACATGAAACAGACGCCGTTTATTTCAGAGACGGCGAATGAGAATGGCGCCGAGACGTTGGATGACCATCAGCCTGGGACAAGAGCGCGATTCTCACCGAGGGCGTCGATCCGTGCTCCGGGTCCCGTGTCCGGTCAGTGGAGAGAGGGAAGATGAAGCCGCGAGATCTCACAGGCGTCATGTGCTTGCTTCGATGAGATGGTCGTTCAGGCTTACATGCCGTACGTATTACCTACTAGGTACATGTAGTAAAGTAACACCTCTGTGATCTAGAACAAACTCAGTAGATCACGCTGAGGAAACTACCTAACGTAGTTGATACATACCATTCGACTGCAGCCCAGATGGAAGGCATCGCAAGATCTGCCCTGATTATGGCCTGTTTGGTTGGCCGCAACATGTTTCACGTTTGCTCAGCAGCCCGCTTGCGATATCCGGTGGGAGCTGCGATTGATCCTCCGCGCTCTCTAGGGTTCCATTCAAGGGTATTGAAGTGAAATAAAAAAGAAACGAACATCCAAGAGCCCCCACATGAGGCGTCCAGCCGCTGTGTTTCAATCGCACCCAGAACCACCCCAGCGTTTCGTAGCAGCAGGACTTTGCCCTGTACTAGGTACACAATGGCCCCAGAAGCGAAGCGGTTCCCTCTGAAGCCGTCTTCATCCAGCCAACTTGCACCAGCCATTCAATTGGCGCCGAAATGTGCGCCTGTGACAGTGCCTGGCATCCAACGGGCACCCCTTGCTTGAGCGAGCTGCAGCCACCGAACGTGAGAAGAGAGGCGTCAAGTTGGTTGGCTGCCGCCAGCCGTGGAAGAGCTCCTGGCGTCGGCTCTGGGGCGTTGGTTCTGGCCACAGGATGCGTGTCAATGGCGGATGGTTGCGAGTCACGATAGTTGCAGTCTTGCAATTCTTGGTGGATAAGGTAGTCAACAAAGGCAAGGATTCTATTATATGTAAGGTCGTGCTGCGCTTAATTCCAAGTTTTTTTTTTTTTTTTTTTTTTTTACTTAGATGAGGAGCATCGCGACTCGTGTCTGCCTGACGTCAACCACTGGAGAAAAGGGCAGGGTCGACTGTTGCAAGTCGGCAGGCACTTGTTCAGCATTTGCAGGCACCTGATGCGGACCTTTCAGATCGTTCTTGCATCAATGCAGCATCATCGACCTTGATTTCCTCTCTCAGTTTAAGCTTGAGCCATTCTTTTTATCTCTCACTCTTCTCACTCATCATCATCCTCCTCCTCTCACTCTATTTTCCTCTCTTTTCTACGCCCTCATACTAATACTCGCAGCACTCCGTCGATACTGCCGTCGACTCAGTCCCCGGGTTGCCTCTGCCTCTTCCCAGCACCGAGCCACCATCTCAAGTTGCACACATTCCTGCACCCGTGCACCGCCTGCTGGGAGCGGATTGCAGGGCCAGACAGCAGCTGAGACCTGTCTGACACACAGGCGCTGCGAACGAGCACCTGGCCTCGCTGCTGCGTGCAGCCACAGCAGCCTGTGCGCCCTGTAGCCCGCTCAATCGGGCACTAAAACAGCGCGCTGCCCCCCCGGCTGGAGCTCCTGCGGCGCCTGCATTGATCCCCTGGACAGCCGTGCACCCAGGATAACCCCCCCCGACATCAGCGCAGCCATGTGGGACGCCCGCGCTGCCACGGCGGGTCTGCGTCTGCACAGGCACAGGGACCAGGAGCAGCAGCGGCACTCGCACACGCACACGCACACGCACATGAGCGCTGACGATGAGGATATTTATCTGCGCGGCTCAGTGAATGTCCTGGACCTGGACATCGCCGTCGATGCTCCTGCTGCCAGACCTCGCAACCCACGGCGACTCCTGCATCACAAACCGCAGCGGCACACTTTGGCCGGCGCATCGCCAGCTGGAATGTACGTACTTCTCCCATCTCCTCACTCCATCTCCCTTGAGTCGCAGCTGGAATTGGTCCCGGGTGGTGGACGAGGCCTCATTGGACTGGTGTCTGGTCGAATGTTGTTCTGCGGCGTTTGCCACGACGGTGTTTGCCGCGTCACTCGCTCCAGGGCACATGCCGGTTCGGTCTGGAGAAGAGCACAGCCTCCAGTAGATGCGCGCCGAAGCAGGGAATGGAAAACAGGGAAATGGAAAAAAGGCAAAGGCCAGCTCTGCATCGGATGGTTCCCCCCCATCGCCGTTGGCTGTTGTGGCCGCATGATGCTACCGTCTCTACTCCAATCGACCAGCTTGCGCTATCAGCACTGCCCACTGCCCGTCGTTCTGCCTACATTATTATTTGCTTGAAATAAGCAGCAATCGACCTGCGGCTGACGTGATTATTTCTTTCTCGATTTTTAGATATCTGACCGACGATCCCTCGGATCTCGCAGAACCATCTTCTCTCATTGTCCTAGAACCGCCGCCTCGGAACCCCAGACGTCTGTTGCAACGACGACATCATTCGCAGGATTCGGGCTGGCCTTACGCTGCAGCTTCATATCCCGAGCTACAGCCCATCACCGATTCCGAATCCAACTCGACTAGTGACGGAGACGCGTACTCGTCGTCTCCAGCCTCCAACTCAAAGCTGGCTTCAACATACGCAAGGCGCCCCCCGGCGCTCGATCAGATCTCGCCTCCAAGCTCACCAGAAACTGGCGCTTTCAAGAATGTGTAAGTGTATCTTATGAGTGCAGGCACTTCAATCTTGCAGTTCTCTCATAAGGGAACTCTGACCGTTGGAGACTCGTGTGTCTTCAACAGCTTGCTGACAAAGAGCCGCCCATTCAGCGCACCCGTCTCTCCAATCGATGAAGATGACGCCGGTTTCCATCGAGAGTATCCTTTGCAGGGGCATCAACAGTCCCAGCCGTTCACGACACAGCTCCAGACGAGCAATGGCCCCGTCCAAGCGCAGTATATGCCTTACCAGCCAGCTGTGGACGTGTACGGCGCGTCTTTTGAGAACCCAAGAAGCGTTAAAGACATACCGATTCCCTTATTTGAGAACCCAAGAAGCATCAAGGACGTACCAATACCACATGGCTCATTGCCGCGAAGTAACAAGATGCGCTTGCACTTGACGAGTGAAAGTTCGGTTGCACAAAGATTCCGCTTCCTCGCCAAGGGCAAGTCGGAGTCACCAGAGCCTTTAACGGAGCGACCACGAAGTAGGGCAGCGAGCAGGGCAGGGAGCAGCAGGCCGGGGAGCAGCAAGGGCATCGGCGTCGGCTACAACGGTCTTCGAAACATATCGGCTCCCATTCCGCAGTCCCAGCCGGCCTTTATGATGGACTCGGCTCCACGCCAGCAGATGTTGACGGACCGTGACCTCCTGCCCTCCATACAGGCGCGGAAGCCAATGGACACGACAAGCCCGGTAGCTCGGGTGCCATCCTATGACGCCTACACCATTGACGCCGGCAACAGTGCTAACGTTCCTGTAACGTCGCCGCCAAATGACCAGGACTATCCAACCCCGCCATCTATGCATCCAGCCCAGCAGCAGTCACCTGTCGACCCCAATTGGACGCCTACAGGACCCAAAATCATTAAAAGGAAGCCAGCGCAGAACCAGCACAACCAGCCTTCAGCGCCCACCAACCGCTCGAGTTCGATTCCGGCCTCCCTCCTTGCTCGTCATCCGCCAGCGGCGGCCGCAGCCGCAGCCGCACCTCCACCTCAAGCACAACCTCAAGCACGACCACAGCCACAGCCGCAACCCCACCGCGAACGGTCCTATGCCGACGAGGCGTCGATGAAGCCTGCGCCGCTCTTCGCTCATACCACTCGCAACACTTGGAACACGGAGATCCCTTGGCAGGCGGTAGGGGAGCAAACGCCCGCAAATACGCCGCCCGACGCGCCCTTCTTGAGCCGTCAAAACCCCGACACTAGGCCTGATCCTGAGCCCAGCCATACGACTACGACCGTGGGACACGGCGTGCGCACGTCTAGCCTCTACGAGGCTTATGCCCAGATGCCTCGCATGCCACCGCCGAGCGAGCCACCCCCAAGTAAACCAGCCGACAACGAGGCCAGCAGCAGGACGAACCCTCCTAAGCATAAGCCTACGATGTCTACTACCAAGCCACTCCCTCCTGCACCGCCAGAGTTGGCTTCTTCGTCGTCCGATGATAGGATTGCTCAATTGAACACCACTCTCGCGAGCTTGGCTCATCGCAAGGTCAACATCAACAAAAGCATCCAGCAGATGACAGAGCTCATGCCGCGAGACAACTTGATGGCCAGCGCAGAAGTGCTCCGGAAGAGGGAGATTGAGAAGCAGAAAGTGGAGGGGCTGAAGAAGGAGCTGGCCGAGATCCAGCTCGAAGAGTACGACTTGGGCTTGAAGCTGCATAGAGCATATAAGCGCCTTAACAGGGGTGCAGATTACGAGCCAACCACTCTCTGGGTAAGGAGAGTGAATACCTGAATGGCGATGTAAATGGATGGGCTGGCGTTGACGCTTGATTTTACGTTTTGAGGGCTCTTTTAACACGGGCCATGTATGAGTATGGAAGAGCATGATTTGGCGTAGCATGGGGGTTTCTGTATGACGAACTTATGAGGGTTGCTCTTATCATTTAGCTACCTAGCTAGCTGCCCAGTATACCAATGCCTACAACTGGAGCTTGCTTTCACTTGAGCCATGAGAGCAACCAGATTACCATCAGCACACATATCCAGAGGACGTACATCTCGCCGATGGAGAGCAAGATTATCCAGAACAGGAGGTGCGGCACGAAGACGGCAAGGAAGGGCGGGTACAGATCGCGGTGGCTTACGAGGTAGGATGACGTGCGGCGGAATATGCGTATCATGCGGCTGATGATGAGGACGCTGCGGATTCGGATGAAGCGCAAGGGCTGAGTTGCTTGGCCGTTTAGAGACATGATGATCCCGAGAAGTGGCAGGATTGGTATGTGAATGTGCGGGATGTAGAATATGATTTGCGCAAGTGCTTGTATACACAGACTTGTCCGTTGGAGGAAGGAGGTGGCAGCAGATACACTGGTTTGTAGATGCTGGAAGTCTCTTGATGGGGTGACATAAGTCGCTTGTTTGTCCTCGTGGAGGTTCTCAGGTAAGGTGTTGGACTGTGTTGCTGGCTTCTGGAGAGTGAAGTTGGTGGGGGTGGAGGCGGTGCGAGTGTGGGCGTTGACGGTCAGGTCGTCGGTTCTGCCTTTGTCATGTGTTGATGGAGGAGGAGGAGGAGGAGACGGCGACAAAGGGTCTACTTTAAGCGCTGCTTTGAGGTGAGATGCTGTGTGAGCGATGAAGGTCTGTAGTGACGTGCTCTCTGCAAGAGTTGCATACATTCTCCTCAGCGCTCCTTTTAGCCTTGTTGTACACTGCGAGAAGGAGTGGAATGTGTATGTCGTGAAGAGGAGGATATGGAAGATGACGAGGAGGACGAGGGTTTTGAGGAGGTGGTAGAGGGAAGGGGGGCTGAGCATGTGCCACAGCGTAGAAGAAGGCGGGCGATGAATGAGAAGTTGTGTCGAAAGAGTGTATAAGAGAAGTATGGCTGAAGATGTCTTTGGGGGAGGAAATGATGTTGGGCAGAGGCAGTGGAGGAGGTAGAGTGTGAGGACGGGGGTTAGATTGATAAGGAGAGGGGGGAGAGGGGGCATGGTGAGGACTGAAGGGTGAGTGACATTTTGAGGGCTTTGGGAGGGGAGGGGGGAGTTATGTGTGTGTGAGGGGAGGATGCGAATGGGTGAGGATGGGGATTTATCTATTGTGAGAGTTTTTTCTTCTGTATGAGTTTGGATTCATGAAAGGGGGGGTTGGAGGTGTGTGGAAGTGTGGTTGGGTGAGGTTGAACAGGAGGTGAGTCGGTTTTGAACTGGGTTGGTGTAGGGTATGTCTTTGAGTTGAACAATGAGGGCTTGGGCTTCCGTTGGACTGTAGAGATGCTGTTCAATGATTGCTATGGTTATGGATTGAACTCATTGAAGACTATTGCCTGTTTCGACCCGGCCTATATCACAATAAACAAAAACAGGTGTAGGTAATTATAGACAAGGTGATATCTGCATCCATTGTTGACGCGGGCCGCTCTATCTCGTCACACACCTCTACCTACTAGGGGACTTACATAGGCAATTACCAAAAGTGTGTATACCTTAGATGCAGAAGGACATAATCAGCGGATATTAATTGAAGCCCAGACGCAATCATATATACGTGACAATTTGAAACAGCAAACGATGCTTTCATTCCCGATGGTACATAGGCAGTGAACCTCTTTGTTTTCCTCTATCATTTCGCCCCCAAGTTCTACGTAAAACTCCCATGTCTACGTCTACACCCCTCCACGTCTCTCCCCGGATCGACTTTTTACTCAGCCAGCCAATCGAGGACAACCTTTTGAAACTGCTCGGGAGCAGACAGCTGAGGCGCATGGCCCAGATCGGGAAACTGGTAGAGCGTGCAGTCGGGGATCTCGCCGCAGACCTGAGGGCCGAGGACGTCAAAGTGGCCGAGCTTGGCGGCGACCTCGGGCGGAGACCAGTTGCCACCGATGGCGACGTGGTCCTGGTCGCCGACGATGAGCAGCGTCTTGGTGACGACGTCGCCAAAGTAGTGGGAGACGGGCTGGGTGAGGACGAGGTCGACGATCTGGCCCTGGTTCTTGATGAACTGGGCGCGGCGGGAGCCGAAGTAGATGTTGTTGAGCATGGTGACCCAGACGGTGTACGAGTCCTGCCACTGGCCGACGTAGTAGACCTGCTGCTCGTAGGCCTTGATGGCGTCGAAGGTCTGGGCGGCCTCGGCGGCGATGTTGGTGTCGACGGACGTGTACGGCACGCCCTTTTCGACGTAGTCCTCGAGGCCGACGGGGTCGACGAGCACGAGGCGGTCGACGGTCGCCGGGTACTGCAGGGCGAAGCGCGTGGCCAGCATGCCGCCGAACGAGTGGCCGACGAGCGTCACGTTGCCGACGCCCAGGGCGTTGAGCAGCCCGCGCGTGTTGTACATGAGCTGGTTGGTGCTGAACTGGTAGCTGTCGGGCTTGGAGCTCTTGCAGAAGCCGACCTGGTCCGGGGCGACGACGCGGTAGCCGGCGCCGGCGAGGGCCGCGATGGTGGCGTTCCACGTCGGGCCGCAGAAGTTCTTGCCGTGCAGGACGACGGCCGTCTGGCCGTTGGGGGCGCAGGTCGGCTTCACGTCCATGAAGGCCATCTGCAGCTTCTGCTGCTGGCTGGCGAAGGAGAAGACGTGCACCGGGTACGGGTAGGTGAAGTTGGAGCCGTTGAGGTCGGCCGGGAACGGGCCCTTGGAGATGGTGCCCGTGGCGGCGTCCTGGGCGAGGGCGAGGCCGGCGAAGGCGACGACGAGGCCCGAGGCCAGAGTAGAGAGCAGCTTCATGGCGGTGGCTGTGATGAGGAGGAGGAGGAGGAGGAGGAGGATATGAAGATGAAGGGAGGAGAAGGAGAGAGAGAGAGAGACGACAGACAATGCCTACCTACTCTTCCCGACTTGAACCTGAAGTTATCCAAAAGAAAGGGCGACAAGATCCAGCTGAAGAGGGGAGTGGGAGAGCATCGGGCTTTTATTTCATCCAACGTAACAAAAGCCGTTGCTCCCATCTACCTAGCTACATGATACCTAGCTAGCACCAGAGGCTTTCCAAGGCCAGGGGATTGCGCGTGGCAAGCGGAGGAGGGCTTCATGGGGGGAGGATATTGGACACGACACGACACGACAGGGTCTGGCTGGAAACGAGGCTCGATGGGAAGCTGGATGGATCTCTCTTTCAAGGCGAGGCCCAATCTCGATAAACGGGCGCCAGAGGTACCGCGCGAGTACATGCCAAGTACCTACTGCTCATCTCCACGGCCAAGAGTTTGGAATAGAAACATATTGCATAGCTCGAGTCATTACTAGTACTTTGAAGAGCTCAGTCTACGGGTGCTGTTTTGAGGCCGCAGAGCAGAGGGGCGGGAGTTTGTCTCCATGAATGCAGCTGCTTCTTACCAACAGCAGCATGGCCACACACGCAAGGTATGAATGAGGGCAACCTACCCATATTCCCCTCCTAGGTAATCTAGCGAAATATTACTACCCGACCACATAGGTGTTACCTGCTAGCCTCAGGCCATTGGCTCCAGAAAATGAATAACAACTAGTGCTGTACAATCAATGCTGGCGGCCCCCCCTTCACGGTTCCAGGTTCCCTCTGCAGAGACTCCAGCTTCCACGTTCTCTCCGCGGCAGCGCAAGCCGAGAATCCTGCAAGCCCACCAGCATGGAACTGGACTCTAGTGCGAGGTACCGCCGTGCTACCGGGGGGCGATACTAGTAGTACTAGTAGTAGTACATACCTGGGGGCCGGGGTACAGGGATCTTGCAGTGTGTCTTGCGGCTAATGTTCCTATTGCGTGCCCGCTCCGTCGACAGCGAAGAACACAGCTGGACAACTGATTGGTTGCCCATGTCCAGCGGACCGGGGAGTTTGGAGGCAGACAAGAAGGGGGGGGGACAGTTTGCGTGCGGAAAGCGGCGGCGTGTTGGAGATGTGAGAGATGAGAGATGAGAGAGCCTCAAGTGGGATATGCATACCACAATGTGTGTAGATGTAGGAACAAAAGAAATGTACGATGCTTCACGATTAGCAGTATATCCTACAACAGATGCCCTGATCAATTGGAAGGGCAACATCTTCACGGCATGGAGATGCAAACACCCAACCACATGAACAGTACCATGCCTTGTCCATCTGCCTCGTGCCTCAAGCCTCTTAAACTGGTGGCAGTGGCCGTCGCCCCTTTCCATTTCGATATCCGGGAATAACATTTGCACGGATGTCTCCATAGAGTCAATATGGTTCGTCCAGCGACGCATCGGAGCCGTGATAGCCAGAGACCCTGCCTCTTCTGCATGCTATGTAGCAGCAGCCCCGACATAACGGTATCTGCAGTCGAGACATGCAAACCCTACCTACTAGGTATTTATCGAAGCATCGTCTGCTTTCCATTTTAACCGTAGCAGCTGAGGAGGCACTATTACTTACAACTAACAGCTCGTGTTTCCTTCAGCCGATTGCTCTTCGACGCCTTCTAGCGCCTTGACAGCCTTTGTTGAGTGACAGTTCTCTTATGCTCCTGTAGGCCGTTTCATCGACCGATAAAAAAGCTGGCGGGAATTTCTATAGCGCCAGAACCGTCATTTCTCTTCTCCAAGGCTCCAGCTTGCGGTCGTGATGGAGAGAATTATGCTACCAGTACTACTATCATCACCAGTCGTTGGCCCATGCTGATAACGGTAAGGCCTGATAATGGTTAGGCCAGATGATGATGATGATGATGATGATGAGGTGAAAGAGCAAACTATTGCTCATAGCCTCTCGTTGAACATGGGCCTGACTGGCCACCAACGTGGTTAACGGCACATGACGTGAACAAGTGGTGAGTAGAATACTTAGAGGAAAATGGGGGATGCGGATGGGGGAGGGGAGAGGGAGAGATGCTCGGTGAGTAGGCAACTCGAGGGAAAGCAGATATATCGGCTCTCTTGCTGACCGACCTTGGCATCGAATTCGTCTTCATTTTGCATACTACCTTATGGCGGCTGTCAAGCTTCTCACACGGCGGCATGCGTGTCCGAGTAGCTGCCGCGCTTGGTAGCAGGCTTCTGAAAAGGCGATTGTCTTATGCGACGGCGTGGAGAGGGGCTTGGATAAGCGACGTCCGATTATCCACCACAAGCTCAATACAATATCCGAGTTGCAGCCCCGCGGCAGAACCGGCAGACCCTCCCGGGCAAGCATGGCGGAATCAGGACTCGGACGGCCTTCGAGTTGATCAAGACGCGAATGCCGACACATCGCGGCTTTGGCAGAGGTCAACGGAAAGTTGACGCGGCGGCCAAGCAAGGACACAGAGCAACATCACTCCAAAGTGAATGATGCCTCGAGAGGGTCGCAAAGACACTATACACTATCCTCCTTCTGCCTCCCGCTCAATCTAGATTCAAAACGCTGGGCTCCCATTCGCTGTTCTCCGCGTATCCCCAGACAGATTGCATGACACGCGTCGCCAGATGTTGCACCGCAGGCCATCTGCACTTCTGTCGAGCGAGTAGTTTAACAGGAGGTTCGCTCCGCCTGGTCCCTCGGCCATCTGCCGTGCTGCAGTCGACCTCTCTGAGCAGCACCAGAACGTCCAGAAGAGCCGGGCTGGCGAGGCGAAGAGCACGCGGCGTGGTGTACTATACGCCTGGTGCTGCTGCTCATTTGTCCTCGTAGAAGCTGTAGGAAGTACTTGTGCGGCCTGCATACCCAATCCAGACACCGGGCCAGAGCTGGGCGGAGGCACTAGGCATCGCCGGCGAGGTTGAGGCAGGGTCTGCTCGTAGGGTGATGACATGCTGTTCGCTTCTCTTCGAATGCAAGATGCCTGCAATGAAGCCGGAGAGGCGAGACAAGCCGGGATATCCTGGACATTGGAGCCTCACAGTGCGCTAGTCTGGAAGAGGCAAGTACCATATTGCACTGGTGGCTCCTCGCGGTACCTCGGGGTATTATTACCAGTTCGCTGCAGCTGGACGGTTGAAGATGCCTCAGGCCGAGTTAAGTTGAGTACCTAGGTAGTAGCTCGTTCACTTTCGCCTCAACTGCTACAGTTACAGCTATGCTCTTCTCTTCAAACAGAAATAACCCTTCTCTTCATTTGTTCTGATGTCTTTTTTCCAGTGATGAAGCGTATCCCCAATTGAATGACTCGAGGTGTCGCGATCCGACGATCTGCGGGAGATCTGGCTCCCGCGAGAAGCCAGCTTTTTTAAACGTGGAACTAGAGGGGCGGATGGCTTGCGACCGCACCTGTCAAGCACTTAATAATTCGCAGCCACCTTTTGCCGGCCAGAGGTTAAAAATGAGCACCGACCTTTTGCCAATCTACCCTACATTTTGCCTTGCCTGGATGTTGAATTCTTTTCATTCGGCTGCCTTGAGTCGTTGTCATCTGCAAATTGATGCCTTTTCCATGATTACTACCCAGGAAGGAACAACGATAACTCGTCGCGTGTCTGCAGATCTTGGCTGTTTTCAGTTGTTGATCGGCACGAGCAAGGTACCGATCCAATGGCCAAGATGGAGATTGATGCTTGACAGATGGAAAGGGCGACCAGGAGCGGGATCGATTTGGCCGAGTAGCGATTGGTAGTACTAGGTACTATATGTTGGCTCAATCGATTCACACGGGCACTCTCATGTGAGTAACTCCCGGTTACGATTCATCGCATGTCGTTGAGATAAAGTCAATGGGTTGAGTGTTCTCCCAACCAACAGAGTCGTGTTCACAAACACCACCAGCGGCAATAGACACCACGACGAAAGACGCTATTTCCGCCAGGGACCTTCTCGTCCGACGTCTATATACACCTCCATACCTAGGTACAGTATAGCAGACGCCTAGGTATCCCGTCTGATACTTTTTCACTGCATCGGTAAGCTTATGCAGAGCGCCAGCTGCTGGCTACCTACCCAGTAGATCTTCACGCCGCTCGTCAACGTAGCATCCAGCATCGCGAAAAAGAGATCGAAGCGACAGCCTACAAGCGCATCTTCCCTCGCCAACGGCTGCCACAAGCGTGTCACATGGCGACGATCGCACGAGAGTTGGCTTGTGTTGGTCCTCATGGTCTCCTAGTCTCGCCGAGATGGGCCCCGTCTACATACCTGGTACGTCCGGATATTATCCATCACCCAAGCGCCCAGTCCCTTTCTGCCCCCCCCCCCCCCCCCCCCCCCCCTCCCCCCAAAGTCTACGCGGTTCCTCTGAATTTCTCAACCCGTCGGGGTGTTTTGCTTTTCGCTCACTCATACCTAGTAGGCTACCTTCAGGGAATCACTGAGCCCCAGCAAGGCCCTTGTCACCCGACGACCCTCTTCATAATTGTCCCGGCTTGCTTGCTTGCTTGACATGGTGCGAAGCAGGTGGCTTCATTCTAGCAGGGTACCTGCATATGCCACCTGAAGGGCCACTTTGCACCAGCCAACGATACGACCCTGGAATGAGTCTCTTCCTGTCTCCTGCAGACTGGACAAGCTGAAGCTGAAGAGAAGCTCCACCGGCGAATCCTTCCGGCGGCTTGCGCGTAACAAGCCGTCTCACGGCCCTGTCGCACTGCGATGCCATGCGATGCGTCTTCAGATCAGTGCTTCTGATTTATTACCTACCAACTCATGAGTGAAACCTTTTGGCAGCTTCAACAAGGCCTCACACGAACTTCAGTTGAAGTCCGAAATAAGGTACGGAGAGGTACATCGTCCCACCTGTAAAAGACTCAACAGGGACCTTTTTGCGGCTCCACGACCGGGGCTCCACATCCGTGGGAAGCGCTTTCCCGATTGTCCATCGAGGTCCGCTGGCGGGGGCTGCGCTAGTCCGGCCCGGGTCTGGCGTTTGTCATGCCCATTTCGGTCTTCTCGGGCCAGCCCTTTTGCCCTCCATGACAGCCACCCACCTTGGTTGCTTGAGTAAGGTGGTATTAGTACTACAGTATGACTCCCATGGTCCAGCTTTGGGAGGCCATGCCCAAACAGACACAATGAGCGAGCCCACCGCCAGACAGCGGCGAGAGGGCAGATGCGCGGCAAGAGGTGAGCCTGACGGGAGCCTGAAGAGCTAGAGGAGCGAGAGGAGCGAGAGGAGCGAGAGGAAGGCCCCAAGAGTGGACTCCTCGCATCTCCCTCCCTCCTGGGTTGGGTGAGGGAATGATCAAGGTGGAGGAGCATGGCTTGATCGTTACTCGCTCTTAGTATCTGCGAGCAAGAGACGTCCGGATTCCCGGCTCAGTTGTCTTTCCAGGCTCTTCCCATCTTCCTGGTTGCAGCTGCTGACAACCGACAGGGTTCTCAGCTTGCAGAGCGCCGCGACAAGAGACTTGGCGTACATGCAGAAAGCCCGCATGTCAAGCACATCAACAGCCCAAGACGACGACGGAGCACTAATCAAGAGACTCGAAACCTCAAGGGCTTTCGGCGCTAAGCAAGCCATGCTCGTCCCAGCATGTGTTTGAGCCACCTGCAGCATCCACGCCGGACAAACGACAATTTGCGAGTACAAGTACCCGGCGCGAGCACATGTATGCCTCTTCGGGCCTCGTACTTCTACCGGAAATGGTTGTCAAATCCCAGCATGGCGTGTGCGAAACCCCCGCCGCGTTCCGGCGAAAGCAGCAGCGTCTTGCATACCTCTCGTCTCAGTCCACTTTTGTCTGGACCATAGTACCACGAAGCCATGCGAGCCGTCAATGAAAAATGTGTTTGCCCTTGCTGGCGTGGCATGTTCCCTCTTACTCTCTTCGCGGGAAGGGGGGGCCATCGTGGCTTGACAGGGCCTGTTGTTTCGGTGGCATCGAGTTTCTCTGGAACCACTCTTTTCCCCTCGGCGTCGCTGATGCAACTGTCTAGCTTAAGTGCCAGCTCTACTCCGGTGCAATCTCCTTCTCGGACATGCAGTATCTTATACGCAGGAAGCCAAACTTTGTTAGTGTAGCTTCTTTATAAGGCTAAACAGGCTTGCCGCTGTGGGCGATGGGTGAATCTTTGTTTGCATCCCTCGCCCTAGGCAAAGTCGTTGGGAGGATTTAGGGACGGCTGCCCCCCCCTCCGACCCCGTTCGATATCTGCTTCTTGTCATTTCGTCGGCTCCTGAGCCGTTGCAGTCTGTCAACTGCTGGGGCCTTCCGTGTACATTCGTCCGAGGACTACAAGCAATGGCTGGCTTCCTCTCCCCAGACGAGGCGGCCCAGAGCCATGCCGACCTGGTCCGGATCCCGAGCATCGTCTTCTTCGCCGTCACGCCCATCTTCGTCTTTATCAGATTCTGGAATCGTATTTCGAGGAGAACAGGGCTTGGCTGGGACGATGGCACCATTGCCGTGTCTTTTGTACGCTTTTGACGTCCCCCTCCTGGTGGAGTGTCATGAATCTGGTCTGGCGACTAATGCACAGTTCTCTTTCTCAGGTCTGTACCCTCTTGGTGCAAATCTTCATGATGATTTCTTGCAACTATGGCTTTGGCAAACACATTGCATCGTTGTCAGTCAGTGACAAGCTAGCAGCCCTCAAGGTACGAGTTCAACCCTTGACTCCATCTCAGAAGTTGATGGAATTACAGTGCTTACACCATGTCTTCAACAGTGGTTCTACGTGGCACAAATCTTCTACAAGCTGACCATCAACCTGACGAAAATGTCAATTGTACTCTTGTATCTACGAATCTTTGTCCAGAGGTGGTTTCGAATTGCCTGCTACATCCTGCTTGGCATCGTCACGGCGTATGCCATTGCTAGCACGGCAACTTCCATTTGGCAGTGCACCCCCATCCGAGGAGCTTGGGACAAGTCCGTCAAGCCAACATGCATCAGCTTGACCATGAACTGGTACGCTAATGCCGGCTACTCTATTGCCACGGACGTTTTGATCTTGTTGCTGCCCATGCAGCCCATCTGGGCGAGCAAGCTGCCCCTTGCTCAAAAGAGAGCTCTGATGGTTGTCTTTGCTCTTGGTAGTTTGTGAGCTTCTTCTTCTTTTCTCCTAAATAGAGACAAGATAGTTTGCTAACTGTTTCAGCGTCACTGTGACATCCATCATGCGAGCCACCACTCTCAACTTTTCGACTACCAGTCCCGATACGACTTGTGAGCCCTCACTCTTTCTCTCGCCTGCAGCAATCTAGTTGACTAACCATGTTCCTCCAGTCGATATCACCTCCACTCTGTGGACCATCATCGAAGAGAACGTTGCCATTATCTGTGCCTGTCTACCCATGTGTCGCATGGTTCTGGCCTTCCTCTTCCCCAAGATCTTCGGCGGCAACACCTCCAAGGGTTCGACTGGCGCCTCGGGCGGTCTGGGCTCCGAACGCAACAAGTACGGATACGCTCGATCACAATCACCCTCACGTCACCAAAGCTGGAAGCCTTATTCTGGACCCGGCGGTGACGGCGTCAGCCGCAGCACGGCTGCGCACCAGAACGATGACACGAGCGAAGAGTTCATTCTCACGACGGTACAACGACATGGCTCAACGGATGATCCTGATGGCGCCATCCGGAAAACGACAAAGTACGAAGTCTCATATGAAAGCGGATCATATAAAAATTGAACGTCAATTCCCATATCTTTACGACCACGGAGTGCTTGCTCGAGTTTGACAAAAGTCGGTGTATTTAGGATGTTGGGTACACGGAGGATCTATACATTGCGATTCGAGGGACTGGCTCTCTCCCCTTTGGTTCGGAGGCGGTTCACTATGTCACGCAACATGGGAATTAGACATCTAACTGCACCTTGTATATACATTATCCTTTTCGTTTATTATGTCTGCCTGAGCAACAAGAGATACCAGCTCCCTGATTGAGCGTTTTCACTGTCAACCCACTTCCAGTGATTTCTAGAAGCCCTGAATCCCCAGTTACTACCAACAATCTCACCCTCAACAGTCTCCCATGTAGACACTTCCAAATCCAGCTTCACGCATGCTTGATGAATACCTGAACCTCTCTAGCCGCGAACCCCTGTTAGCTACCACAAATTTCTCTGGGAACCCTTTTCCGCGTGTGGAACTTGCTAATATAGTGCAGGCATATGCCCTGTTCTGAACAAGATGCCCTGTCCTTGAGTCAAGTTTAGCCAGAATTTCCCTTTTACAAGAATTAGATTCTAAGCCTGTGAACGAGGAAGAATGGGGATTAGACTGGGTTTCTACAAGTACTTGCTCTATCCTGATTATGCTTTAGCCTACCTACTCGCAGGGGATTGAGACTTTTGATTGATAAAAGACTCGGAGTGTATCCGTACTGGAAAGCCAGCGGCCAGTAGTAGTATCCTGGTTCTTCTCTACCCAGGCCAACGCGCTCTTCACCTATTCCCGAAAGAAACAGTAGGATTTTGGTGGTGATGAAACACACAGAGGAGAAAGAGAAAAAAAGAGAAAAGAGGATAAAGAAGCGCTGATCCGGTCTGTGCCGACCCATGTACCTACGTACGCGCATGGGGGAGTTCTTGTACCCTGTCGTGCCACGCTGACCCCCTTGTGACATGCTACTACTACTACCTAGTCTGTTCTTTTTCTCTCTCTGCCCCCTTTCATCTTCCTTCTACATGTAGTAGTAGCTACTGCATGAACGTAGCCCCGTCATGGGTTAAGTGGTCATTTCTTTGGTGAATCGTGTGGCTCTCTTGCTTGTTCGGTAGAAAAGATGGAGGCCAAAAGTAGGAGTTTCAGTGAATCGAGTTGTCGGTAATAATACTATATCTGTGGCATGGCTTGGGAAGTTCTCGTGACATGGATCTATGTCTGGATGGGCGGATGCTGTGCAGCTGAGGATCGGGAAAGGGGGAAAAGCGATTGGAGGGCAAGGGGAGTGGACGTTTTCGGGGGGGGGGGGGGGGGGGGGAGCGATAAGAACTTGTGGACTGCTTTTTGAGGGAACAGCCTTGTCTGTCTTCTTTGTTGTGCTTCGGCTGGCAGGACCAAGATACGCGGGTTTTATTGGTCTGGCTTGGGTTTCCTTGTGTAACTGTTGAGTGACATCTATAAATTGATAATATTGGTCATGGCTTTGCTGATTTATGAGGTTCTGGATGGAAGCACGCTTGAAAATAGTTATTTGTGACGATGGTCCATGTATCCAATAAAGACCCCATCATCAGCCCGAGATGTAAGGGGGAGAAAACAAGGACAAATGCTGACTAGTGGTGCAAAGGGATTAAAAGGCGAAACGGCGATTCAATGCATGTAAGAAGCCACAATGATGGTGCAAGCCACAGCTCTCTCTACTCTCTTCTTGCTTGCTTATCTCACCATCAACTTGCGTGCCTTGCTTAACGATATACAGAAGCAAAGAGAGAAGATTGAAATAGGGGAGTGACTGATTACCTGCTTACGCCCTCTTGCAACGACAAACTTGGCAACCGAGGACAACACCAATCTGGTTGTACCTTATATACCTGAGTAGTCACACGGCAGGAGAATGGACGCGTTTGGAGGGCCCAGGCAAAGGGGTTACAATCGTGGTGGCTCTCAAGACAAATCGGCTAGGTTGCAACCGCCTTCCCCAATGACAGACTAGGCCATACCATTGAAGCAATACAAGTGAAGACATTCTCTATCCAAAACGCCTCGCTAACCCGAAATCATCAACGCCATTGCGGCTGGGTATCATGAATCTCATAAGGTGTCAAAACAGAAAAATTCGAAAGAAAGATATAGAGAAATGAAGCCGCGGGAAGAGGAAGAGACGAGACAGATCCTACGGGCTCACTCTAGGCCCTGTAGCAAAACATTGCTCATCGCTGAATATAACCCTTCGTCCGGTTGCCTCTGCGGTTGTCCGTTTGGAAACACAACAGCTCGCAATCGATCCATCAGCGGGATCAACGGCGCGTAAAATGGTGTAAAGCTCGATTCCGCCTCATCACGGAACGATTCAAAGTCGTAGATGATGGCCAATTTCGCTCCTGCTAGGTTGCGATCTCGCATAAAGTTCCACTCGTCAAAGTCCGATTTGCGGGCCTTGTCCGGTCCATCGTAATGGACGCATATCCAGAACAGAACCCAGAAGAAAGACTCAAGATCGTGCATGAATGAGTGTTGCCTGCCCATCAAAACGCCGATAGCCATAAAGGCTCTCGTCCCCGTCTTGCCCTTGGTCCCTGAGGCCTTGATTCGTTGCTCCTTTATAGCAAGATCAAGATCTATCAGGAATCCCTTCCGATCACCAGGGCCGTCTTCGTCAATCACAACATTGTTGATGGAGATATCTCTGTGGAGTAGGCCGGCTTGTCGCCTCAGCGACTCATGGCCTCGAATGCAGCTCTCCAGCGCCGCCAGCAGCGCTGTCGGGGAGCTGGCCGTATATATTGGCTTTCCATAGTCTTGAAGCACGACCCTTCGATGGACTCGATTGGTTAACGGTGTGGCGCCGCCCGATCCAGCTGATTCTGAACGGGACCGTTTAACTCGCCCTCTGGCATCAGCGGCACCATTGTGGCCATGGTCGTCGTCGTCGTCGTCGTCATTGTTGTCCAAATTCGCTTCGCTTTGTCGTCGCTTGGTGCCAGCAACGCTGCTGCTGCTACCATTGTTGGGACGATTGTCATTGTTGCCGCCACATTGAATACTGTTACTGCTCCTGCTGCTGCTCTCCCGGAGTTGCATGACTCTTGTCGCCTTCCTGCTCTGAGAGGCCACGGAGTGTCCTCGCCGTCGGCCGGAACTGCCAGCCGCCGCTGCGACTGTAGCAGTTGAGGATGCTGAGGAACTGGTAGACCTCCTCCTTGCCGTGGCTGTTATCGCCGACATGGCGCTGGTAAATGTGACAGCTGCAGTATCAGCTATCTTGAATCCAGCTGGAGCAGTCGTCATCTCTGGAGTAGTCGTCATATTTTCTGTCGCCGCTGTCTCTGCTGTAGCCTTGGTACCAGTTGTAGTAGGTGCTGTATTGGCTATAACCGTCGTACTGTCCAGCCCTTTTCTTATCAGGATACGAACCTCATCTTCGACTCCACCAATGCGTACAGTCTCATGATGATAGTATCGGGCCATATTGATCACTCCCTTCTCCGTCGCTTCTTTAACAAGCAGACCTTCCTCGTCTCGTTCTGGATATTGCCATGAGTCCTTGATGACAAGTGGTGCCTTCAGAGGGTCATCTTCACGATGAGCCTTCCAGCAGGTCGTCGCTCTGCTGGCGATGCATCGAGGGCGCGTGATGACCTCATCAATTATGAGACGCTCTGGCTTGCCATCCCGCTCAATCTCGATGAACCTTTTGCCTTGAGATTCCATGATAGACGGATCAAACCCCAGCCCTTCCTCGTCCATCCAGAGAAACCCAAGCATGGTGGCCACAAACTCTAGGCCGCCTCTTGATTCGTTGATGTTGAACTGCTCGGACGCCATTCCACCTAGACGGTCGTATTCCCAAAGTCTCAAGTTGGATCCACAGAGTGTCAAAGCCAAGACGAAGCGGCGGTTGTCCTGGGCCGAGAGCACTTCTCTCGCATATGTCGCGAGATCGATCCATGCTAGCGGTGGTGCATCGGCAGCCGGGTTGCTCTTCAGTTCGCCTGGCACTAGGATGTGCGACCAGCGATACCTGCCAGCCCTCCCCATTGCGGGTCGAAACACGAAGTCGTCGTTTACGAAGCCGATGTCCATGCTGCGTCTGCCTGTGGACCCTATCAGAGGTGTCTTTGGTTGCGCGAGCAGTTTCCGTCGGTTTGCCATGTTTGCAGGCCTGTAGTCTGCCGCAAGTTCCTCCAGCTTCGTGATCATGTTACCGAACCAGGCAAGCACTTCCGCTTCTTTTGCATCTGCCGGCCATGCAGCCCATCCGTCTGGTCCAAATAGCGGCTCTTCGCCTCTGCAACACTTATCGAAGACGGCAGCTGCAGCTGTTTCGAGGTTCGGCACGCGCGCGAAGAATGATTCTCGAAATCTGCGAATGCCAACGCGAGGATTGCCTAGTTCCCTCTTGAGGATCGGGTCGATTTCACGACAATGCTCCGACGAGTTCAAGATGCTAGTTGTATTTCGGGTCCAAGGAATTCCGGGTACAGATGGTGTGCTTGTTGCAGCTGACGTAGCTACCGTATCGCTCGCAGCTACCGTAACTCTCGTAGGTGTTACAGCCGTCGTAGCCGCCATAGGTGTTGTGGCTCTTCGTGGCACGGATGATATGGATGGTGGAGTGAGCGGCGGAAGAGGCGTTGCTTCTGAGAAGACATTGTAGACTTGGGTCCAGACGGCAACATCGTCGGAGTTGACGAGAATTGCCTTCAGAAGCGGCTTGATGCGGCTGAGATCGAAGTCGTCTGAGTTCACGATGAGAACATATCGAAATAACTCCTCAAGCAGCGACCTGTCGCCATTGGGAAGTAGTTGTGCCGCTCGGAGTCTCGCCAGCGTCATGTGCAAGTCAAAGGCGATGCTTCGATGGCGGCTTTGCTCAAGCCGATCAAATGCGTCTGGCAAAGACGCGAGGCCCGTGGAGTCACAAACTGACGCAAATTCGTTGCGAAAGGCATTGAGGCCATTCCCTATAGGATTCTCCCCGATAATCTTTATTGTGGCCTCGTCCATCGTAGACGCCTGCCCTTGGAAGTCCAGAGGCGAGGACGCGTTTGAAGGAGACAACTCAAGTCACGTTAGGCGAGCATATGGTACTGGAAGGGTGCTTGCAAGCATATACACAGTGTGAGGTCTGTCGTTTGCAGGCTGAATTACCCTAGAAGACATGGTGTAAGCACAGTACGAGGACGGCATACCTGCTATATTCACCTGATTTGAATATTCCATGTAGCTTCCGCTTTGTTTAATATATCTTTTCTGAAGACGATCTGGCTTAATGGCAAATCGGAGTATATGTATAAGCTTCAGACACTGGTCAGGTAGCCAAGTAAAAGCGGCCGAGTCATATAGATACCCACACATATAATGAAACCGGAGTATGCCAGATGCATGTAGCTAAAATCCTCGCTTCCTAAGGATGGGCAAATTCTACCTTGCCCACAGTTCGGTCTTAGCTCATGCCCTCCATGAACTCGACGCGATCAAGCAGCATCTGCCTGTATCCCATATACTCCTTCAGCCCTTCCCACTCCGGACCCATCTCTTCGCCGTGCCTCCAAGGCTCCTTGAACCCCCAAGCACACGCCACCTTGTCCAGCGCCGCTCGTTCTTCCTCCCGCAACCACCTGTACCGCAACGGGGTTCCAGGCGTCCAGGTCACTCGCTTCATCTGATCCTTGTTGCTCAGCTTGGCAATCATGCCGAGGGACCCAACGACAAGGAAGTAGCCCGAGATGCCAGCCACGCCGATTCCCGTAGCAGTGCTAATGTCCATGGTGTTTTGCCAATACGCAGCATAGCCTGTGGATAAGCCAAAGATGCCAAACGGGAGCGTGGCGAGACCAATGGCCGGGGCGGTGCCGTGCTTGATGAGCTTCTGCCGCTTGAAAGCAGGGCGGCAGTATGACGACTCAATGATGCCCAGGGCGGAATCTAGATTCTTGGCATCGATCGCAGTCTGTAAAGCCATGTCTGCAACGGCGGGCTCAATGGCTCGAGTAGCCGCGTTGGGATTCTGCTTCACATACGCAATCTGGCCGTCCTTGACGATGGGCTTTGGTTTGTTCGCGTAGAGCTCAAAGACGGCGGGCAGAGACTCTGGCCGGCCGAGCTGTGCCTGGATGGCAACGTAAAGCTCGAGAAACTCGGGTGTCATCTCGACGTTCGGATGGGCGATGATGTTGTATGCCGCGTGGGAGATGCGACTGGTTGCGTCCTCCAGCTTGGGGTCCACCGGAATTCTCGCTCCCGTCCGCTCGGCACCCAGGGTCACAAGCTTCGATGCCGATGCCTTGAATTGCGCCTCTGCCCGCTTCAGCTGGGGATGGAGGGCTGCCGCGGCCCGGAGACACGACTGCAGTGCGGCGGCAGTCAGCTGCTTCGTCGGGATGCCGTCGACCGAGAGAAACTTGTTACAGCTGTCCTCTGCCATGCTTGCCAGTTGCGAGGCATCCGTCGGCGTCCGTGGCGCCGGTGTTGACGTAGCCTTGCCATTGATATCCACATGTGCTTCGGCTTCGGCTTCCGCTTTCGAGGCCGCGACAGATGTACTCCATCTCGCAGACGTTGATCTCCAGACCGAGGTTTGAGCGACCTGTCGTGAGGCTGGAGATAGAATGCGGCTGCTAAAGGGCTGCCTTGAGGCTCGTGCTGGCAGTGAAGCGCACGAGTGGCATACAAAGCCAATCTGTCGGGGATTTGCTCGTCGCATGTTGAGGTGAAGATTGTGATATCAGGTAGAGGAAGAAGACTGCGGCGTGAAGCCAATGATCAGCTACGGAGTTTGCCAATGGTTGGCGCTTCGTTCCGTGTCGTGCTGCAACTTCGGCTTCAACGCTCAGCCCTGTCCCAAGTCGTGATCGAGACGGCAAGAAAGTGCAAGATTTGGAGTTGGAGGTTCAGGTTGGTAGAAAATCATCGCATGCAAGGCTGTGATTGGCTCCACAGCCGGCGAAGGAAAAGTGACATTGGCAAGGTACAGTCAAGAGGTGCACGAGCACAGGCAGCAATGAGTGAAAGATGAGCTGCTGCGAGGTTGCACAGCTGCAATTTCATAAATTAAATCATTACAGACAGAGAAGCAAAAAGACTCTACAATGAGAAGGAAACAGTTATTTTCACCGAGCCACACAACCACACAATCAACACCTGACTCACCTTGTAGATAGGTATAGGTACCTAAGTATTGTCCGCATCAACCTGGGCTGCAGATGCAGAGGTGAGGCTTTGCCAAAAGCGGGGCCTGATTGGTTCTCCTCGATTCCGTCTGCTGCACCCTGGCTCGTAAGCCTGATGACGAAACGGCCAGCAGACGGCCAGAGACAGCTTTTACCTCTTGTCAACCCACGGCCACTGGTGCCATCGTCGCATTTCTGCATCTCTGCGACTCGCCCGCATCGCCTCTTGGATACACGCTCCGCGCCGTCCCGATACAGCTGCAGCCTGTCGACCAGCCGCGGCCTACGCCCTGCACGAGACCCCGACCCGCCTCTCCCAGCCGCCCTGCGCCGCGACACCCCGGGACTGAGGCCAACGACGGGCGATTTCACGACATCTCGACTCGTGCTCGCGAACCGACGCTGCCATGCCTCCTCCTCCTCCGCCGCCGCCGCCGCCGCCGTTGCCCGGGGCTGGAGGAATCCCCCCTCCGCCCCCGCCTCCTCCAGGAGGAGCCCCAGGCGGCCTCTCCAGTCGTCCACCGCCAAGTTCAGGAGGCCGAGTCCGTAACCCTCACGACGGAGATTTAGACGCAACTGTGTAGCTGACTCTCTTTCTAGAACGCGCTGCTTGCCGACATCAACAAGGGCAAAGCCCTTAGAAAGGCCGTCACCAACGATCGCTCGGCCCCGGCTATCGCCAAGTCGTCGTCCTCGTCTGGCCCAGCCATCGGCGGAGCTCCTCCCGTTCCTGCTCTTGCCCTGGCACCGCCCGTCCCGGGAAACCGGGCGCGAAGCAACAGTGATCAGAAGTCCGCGCCACAAGATGTACGCCCGATGGACTCGGCGCCACAGCTGGGCGGTCTCTTCGCCGGCGGCATGCCGAAGCTGAAGAAGCGGGGAGGAATTGATACGGGAGCCAGCGCGGACGCCTCGTTCCACTCCGACTCAGAGAAGGCCCCGTCGCATTCGGCCCCCCATGTGCCATCCTTTGCCGCGCCGAAACCGCCGGCCGACGCTGCGCCAGCTATTCCGGGGCGAGGGCCTCCCATTCCTCCTCCGGGCGCAGCAGCGGCTTTGAAGAAGACCAAGGGGCCGCCGCCGCCGATTGGGAAGAAGCCGCCTCCACTGCCGACGTCTCGCAAGCCCTCGGCCAGGGCCACGCCGCCTCCTCCGGCTCCTCCTCCGCCGGCCCCGTCTTCAGCTGCGCCTGTGCTTCCCGCAGCTCCCGCTCCTCCACCACCACCGCCAGCGTCCTCGGCACCAGCTCCCGTATCACTACCCCCTCCGCCGCCGCCTCCTCCAGCATCTGCGGCTCCTGTACTGCCCGGGGCGCCGCCGCCGCCCCCGCCTTCTGTCGCACCGCCGTTACCTTCACCTTCATCAGCTCCTCGAGCACAACCGCCGCCGCCGCCACCAGCACCCCCTGGGGCGGCCCCTTCTCCTCCCCCTCCTCCAGCACCGCCAGTTTCAGCCCCGTCACCCCCCAGCGCCCCTCCCGCGCCTCGATCCAGAGGGTCATCTCTTCGCCATACCATGCTCGACCCCAGCACATTCACCTTGACCTCGAATGGCGGCGGTTCTTCGGTGAGCCTGCCAGCTAAAGCGTCTAACCACTCACCCTCACCAAGCCATGGCGGCGGACGGATCATCATCCACGATACGAGATGGCACTTTAAGGATGAAAGCATGTTTCCAAAACCCCGGGAGTTTGTTGGAGGTCCGAGGAGATATAGAGCAGGCAGAGGGAGCAGTGTTCCCCTTGATTTGAGCGCGTTGCATTAGGCCAATAGATGACAATATCAGTTTGATTTCTTCAGGACATGTATATCCTTATGGTTTTCACCTGTGGGATATGCAATGCGGGACACCAATGAGAGAAAAGTGCCAGTTTTATCTTGCTTTGAGCATGTAGAACTGTCTGTGTTTGACTGAAGGCTGTGCATTGACTTGGTATCTTTGTGTTGCGACTCCCACACTCACTGTATGAATATCCTGCGTCGTAACATCTTTTCGAACAGATATGATCTCCCAATAATCTTCATTCCGTTATGCATTGTACAATGTTCGTCTATGTCCACATCATTCTGGCCACCTCTTGTCAAACACTCATCCCGCCTGTGATATCTTACATTGACTTCAAGTAGTTCGACTCCTTGATCGCGGCCCTCCTCTCCTTGCGCATCGCCTTCCTCAGCTCCTCCCGCTTCTCCGCCGCCGCAATGTTGTCCAGCACGCTCCCGTCCTTGTCGCCGGGCAAGTTGACCGACTGCTTCGGCAGCGGGACCTTGGGCGCGAGGGCCTCGAGGTTGCCCTCGGCGAGGAGCTTGGCTTCGAGGGCCTTTTGGCGCTTGGCAGCGAGCTTTCGTTGCTTTTTGGATTTTGCTGTTTTTTAACCCCCCCCTCTGGTGTTAGCCTCTTTGTACTTTCTCTATCCTTCGAGAATCGGAATGAGGGTTGGGATAGTTGGAGTATTTGGTATTCGCATCAGAATGTGGGGTATAAGGAAACGTACAGAATTCGTCGCCGAGGTTGTCGTCCGCGGCATCAGCCTTCTTCATCACGTCCAGGCACGACCACAGCCACTCCGGGTACTCCTCATCCTTCAGCGCAACGGGATCCTGCCCGCCCTTTATGTAGTTGAGCCCCGTGAGCACTGTTCCCTCCGGGCAGATGGACCGAGAAGACGTCGTCGTGGAGCCCGGCTTTGATGCATCGCCGGCGTCGGTGGCTGGCGTTGAGAGCTGCGGTTCGGCGGCTGAGTAGAATCGTAGCGAGGATGGTGAGAAGGTGTGTCGTGAGAGGGGCAATTGGCGGCGCGCAACGGCGGTCCCGCGAAGACACCGGGCGCAAAACATTGTAATCTGAGTTGGAGGGAGAAATTGGGATTGAATGCGGGTAGGTATAATGAAGGAGAGTTGCTGTCGCTGGGTGGGTTTGGCGAGGCTGCGGTTCGTTGGTGCTTGGAGAAATTTTGGGTGCATGCTATCGGGTGGTGGGGTGGCCAATGAACGGCTCGGGATTGCTCGCAGCCTCACCTCTTTGAGCTGAGCAGCTTCAACGAAATGATGACTACTTTGACGTGACTTAGGAATTGGAGGGTTTCGATACTTTTTTTTTTTTTTGCATTCGGGTTTCGTTCCCGTGACTTCCTGATATATACACTGGCAGGCCGTTTCAGCCCCGGCGCTCAATATCATGCCCGTGGCCCTCTAAACCATGGCTCTACTCCCATCCCACACAGAACCCCCTTCAGCCGGCTCGGGTCGGCCGTCCAATAACGCAAATAAGAGACAAGATGAATTTTAATACATGTTTAAGCAGTGGTGTCATCGAAATCATGAGAATCGGCCGTGGTTCAGCTTGGCAATCCTGTCGCTCGGGTGCACCTTGCGCTCCAAATCAATCTCCTGATCCTTCTTCTCCAAGTAGTTTTGCTGGATGAACTTGGTTCCCTTGACCTTGTTCTGTCCCAGCAGCTGCAGGTACTTTTCTGTGCAAGCAATGAGTATTCTGTTCTTTCGTCCGGCCCCTTCCAAGGTTGCTTCGCGAGCAATTCAGCACTCTCTCCTCCGGACTCACCTCTCAAATGGCCGCAGTTCTCCAGGTGGTTGACTCCCTCCCGGACATAGCACTTGCCCAGTTCCTCGCCAACAAGACGGGTCATCATGGCGCCGACCCATTGTTCCCGGATGATGGCATCCTCGGCAGCCTTGAAGGCCTTGGTGTCGTCGAAATCAACGCCGTTGAACGTGGGAGGGACCGTCGGCTTCTGGCTCTTGAAGAGCTCGGACTCGGGCGTCGGCATGTTTGCGAAATTGACTGAGCCTCGGAGAGTCGGAAAGGGGGGGGGGACAGAGGAAGATTGAAGCCGAATGGTCGAGGGGGCTAAGGCACCGGAAGCTTCGAATCTCTCCTTGTTGCTTGAGCGCCTTTCAGATGCCTACCTTGAACCAATCCAGTGATGCGTTAAGTTAAGCCTGCATAGAGCGTTTCGCTCTCAGCCTCAGGCAGCAACTTTCTAGCCACACGAGGCTGCAGGTGCTGCGTGTGGAGAAGCTGTGTGCGAGCTATGCCTATCCGACTCACCACCTTAGATACCCCACTATTCTGCCCGATAAGCAAAAAAAAAAATCTGAAAAAGTAGGGTCCAGCAGGAAGGAAGAAAGGCCCCAACCACCCAGAGGTACAAAAGCTTGCGACGCTGCTGCTTTTGCGCTTCCTTTTCTCCCACATCAACACCCTTTGGAACAAGAAAATTCTTCAAGTTCCTCATCTCTATATTTCTTCCATTAATTCCTTTCTCTCTACTCAACCCTAACCATCTTTCACAATGGGCAAGTCCACCAAGGTCAAGGAGTCCAAGAAGGCCGTGGCCGCTGAGCCCGTCAAGGCCGCCGTTGCCGCCAAGGGCAAGGCCGCCGCCAAGAAGGTCCTCAAGGAGGAGCCCTCCAAGAAGTCAAAGAAGGCTGAGCCCGAGTCCTCTGACGAGTCTTCTTCCGAGGAGGAGGAAGATTCCGACTCCGCCAGCGAGAGCGACTCCGACTCTGCCTCTTCTGAGGAGGAGACCGCTAAGAAGCCTGCCAAGAAGGAGGCTAAGAAGCCTGCCGCCAAGAAGGAGGAGTCTGAGTCTGAGTCTGAGTCCGAGTCCGACTCTGAGTCCGACTCTGATGACTCCGAGTCTGATGACGAGGAGGAGGAGACCAAGAAGCCTGCTGTGAACGGCAAGGCCAAGGCCGCGTCCGAGTCCGAGTCCGAGTCTGACTCTGATTCCGACGAGGAGAGCGACGAGGAGGAGAAGCCTGCTGCCAAGGTAAGTCAATCATCAAGAGTCTATTCATCCATCCTTCATGACCTTTCACTGACTTGTTACACTCTACTAGGAGTCCAAGTCTGACGACGAGTCTGACTCCAGCGATGACTCTGAGGAGGATTCGGATGACTCTTCTGAGGAAGAGTCCGAGGATGATAAGAAGGCTGCCCCTGCTTCCAAGAAGCGCAAGGCTGATGAGGAGATCGACACCTCCGCGAAGAAGTCCAAGGTGGACAGCAACGCCGCCCCCACACTCTTCGCCGGCAGCCTGGCCTGGAGCGTTGATGACAACGCCCTCTACCAGGCTTTCGAGTCTTTCGAGGGTCTTGTTGGCGCCCGTGTTGTTACCGAGAAGGGCACCGGCCGCAGCCGTGGCTTCGGATACGTCGACTTCAAGGATGCCGAGTCTGCCTCCGTTGCCTACGAGGCCATGCAGGGTCAGGACGTCGGTGGCCGTGCCATCAACCTTGACTACGCCAATGCTCGCCCCGACGATGCCAACCCCCAGAACCGCGCTGCCGACCGTGCCAAGAAGCACGGCGACACTCTGAGCGCCGAGAGCGATACCCTCTTCGTCGGCAACCTGCCCTTCGACACTGACCAGGATACCGTTACCGAATTCTTCAACGAGGTCCGCCCGGTCACCAGCGTTCGACTGCCCACTGACCCGTAAGTTGCCCTGTGGCTCCACGCTCCACGAATGTCCTTGTCACTCATCATACTAATGCGTCTTTCTCTCCAGTGAAAGCGGTAACCTGAAGGGCTTTGGCTACGTTACCTTTGGCTCTGTTGAGGATGCCAAAGAGGCTCTCAACGCCAAGAACGGTGCTACCATTGGCAGCGGCCGATTTGCCCGCAGCGTTCGTCTTGACTTCTCCAGCCCTCGTCCTCAGGGCGGAGCTGGCGGTGGCCGTGGCGGCTTTGGAGGTGGTCGTGGTGGTCCTCGCGGAGGCGGCCGTGGTGGTCGTGGTGGCCGCGGTGGTTTCGGTGGTGGCCGTGGCGGCAACTTCAGCGCTGTCAACCGTACCAAGCCCGCCGGTACCAAGATCTCTTTCGACTAAGAAGGTTTCATCCGAGATCTACCTGACTCATATCGAGGGGTGTGGGCTTGTTCGTGTTCCTTTGGGTTTGGCTTTTTGATTCAGTGGGCTTTTGGGACGCTCTTTGGTAATGGAGCGTATATCAACGCTGGGGGCTCTGGCACTATGTAATCTGTGGGCTCGTCGCCTTGCTTCCCATGATGGGGAGCATGGAAGAAATGGCACAGTTGGGCTTTTTGACGTCGGCGGCCTTGATGATAGCTTCTATCTTCAAGGCCATGTACAAAACCAGTGGGCTTCTGAGGGATTTGAGGGCTACTTGATCTTGGTTCGTTCCGTGCGAATGACCAATTTTGACCGCGCTGCGAATACTTCTGAGGGACCCGGGGGCTTTTGCATTCACTTGCAAAATACTTTGATACGTGGGCTGCTCATGAGGGCTGACTCGTTGGCACATGCCACGAGTTTGCAACCTCTGCTTAACTCGTTGACCAGGTAAAAGACCTCCCGGATGTACAACCGATATGAATGCTCCATGAGACGGGTAAGTCTCCGCCCACGACGTTTTCATTGCATTGTAGAAAATAGGCGTTGCTAGGGAAAAGTTTGGGGTTTCCTCTCTTTTTTTACTTTAATCTATTTCTTTACCGGACACGGCGTAGACCTCTCTAGACTGAGTATCAGCAATGCGAAAGTCTTTCCAATGAAACAAAGTTCCCTTTTATTTTGCTTCTTTCCTGTGTTGCAGTGATATTCTGGACAACAGCAGCCGGGCGTCTCATATGACCCAGTCGCCCTTCTGATGCGACAAGGCTGAGCATCATCCGGTGGCGCTGGTCACCGTGTGACAGACGCCATATTTGCGACATCCTTCTTATGCGACCGGACACATGCCCATCTTGTTCGTTCGCTATTAAAGGGTCTTCTCAAGCAGGTCTCGGCGGCGATGCAGATGATTGGACGGGTCCGTGTCTGTACGGTGGCTGTTTGCGGGCAGGTGAGCAAGCGTTGATCCCGTCTTACTTGGGCGGGTGTCTATAGCACATCACACTGTACGTACTGTATGTAGCAGGCGTGCAAGGCGCGAGATGCTGCTTCATTTTATGGCACACCATGAGAAGGCCGTTCAAGCGTAATCAAGGGGTTATTCATCGTGTTTGTTCTTTTCAAACATGATACGACAAAACAGGCGATGCGATGCACTCACTCTCGCCAACGTTCGGAATACTAATAATTGAAGTCGATTCGAAGCTAAGAGGCGTCTCTAGGTAGCTGCTCAGGCGGGCTTCAGGCTGGTTTAGGCAAGGTCCCTCTGCTGGGGGTGCTCATGACCTCCTTCAAGTGCTGGTCTGGGGCTGACCTCATGCGTATTGTACAAGTACCCGACTAAACACAGCGCGGACCCCTTCAGATGCCAGCGCGTGGCAGCAGTATTTGGAAGAGGTGCCGCCCGCGAGTTGGGGAGTGAGGTGTGGAATGGAGGGCAAATGGGTGAGGTGTCTGCTGAGGGTCGGGGAGGTATCTGTACTTTGTTGTTGGTCATGCTGCCCCGTGTTGGGGGGGAAAACTTGCTCAGCGCACTGTGCTTGATGCACTGTCTGTGCTCTCCCCGAGCCACTGATCATCGAGTTTGCCTGAGTCCTGGCATGATTGGCACAGGACTTTCTGCAGGGAGGGCTTTTGCTTTGTCACTTGGTGATTGGTGATTGGGCTGGAGCGTATCAAGCGAGCTCGATAGCCGGCTTCGGTTGTCTTGTTTGCATGGCGAGCATGGAAACTTGTTGGGTAATTCCGCTTCGCCTTGGAGCACGATAGGGTGTTAGTGCTCAAGTCAGTAATATGCCTAGAGACGGGAGTTCGGGCTACTATCATCGAAGAATTTGAAGGAGGGAGCTTTCTTTGTGCTCGACATCCAACACGAGTTAACTTTTCAAGAGGCCATACCTTCTTCTCGCCGTCTATTACTATCCCTTTTGTTCCTACTTGAATTTACCTTGGCCCTTTCCATCATACCTGGGCATGTTTCAGCCGTCTTCGTCCTGATCTTCTTTCGAGTCTCGTCATTTGCAGAGAGTGACGCAATTGGTCAGCGCGTGATGCAACCCGCGCACTGTCCCCCATGCGACATCGCGCAAGTACCGGTACCAAGCACCAAGAGGTACCTTATAGACCAGCCGCTGAAAGGGCTTCCCACCTGGCAATGTGCAGCTGCAGCTCCCGGCAGGTCAGGTAGGTACTGCTGACTTTCCCCGTCCTCTCTCACCTTATCGTCATGCAGCTGCCCTGCCCCGTCTGCTCCAGACTGACTGACTGCCAACTGAGGTGGGCAGCCGTCTTCCGATGACAGGCCACCCGTCTTAGCTGCGAGACCATCTCGGCCCAACCTCTCAAACGGAAACACAACACCTCTCTATCTCCGACGTCAGCCATCTTTCCCTCGCCTATTGCATCACGCATCTCTCGACGGGATCCGACAAACTTATCATCCTTCCTTCCTTTCTTCTTTCACTCTTCTTTTCCGTCGATTCATCATCGCATCTTCAACATCTGTAGCGCTGCCGAGGTGAAAGAGCGCACGCGTGCGACTGCTGGTCGACTTGCGATCGGGTGGGGCGTTGCCTGTCACGGTCGCCGATAAGGAGCGAGACTGCATCTATCGCCATATCGCCGCCAGCGTGCTCAAGGCGAGCGACGACGTCGGTCAGGCGAATTTCGAGTGCTGAAGCTCTCCTTTTCTTACAAAAACACGAAACACAGCCATGGTCCAGCATCCGTCCATCGAGGGACAGGCAGGCCCAAGCGGGCAGCGAACCGTCAGCATGCCCAACGTTCATCCAGGCTCGAGTCCTCACCATCGCCGCTATGACGGTTCGTCTTCACTACCAGTGACATATCATCGCGCATGTCTAAGTCCATCTCCGCTGACAACCGCAGAAACCACCGAGTCATGGGTAGAGGTCGCGTCGCAGCCGTCGTCTTCGTCGCTCTCCAGCATCGGCGATGAAATAGTGACGACTGGCCTGCGAGTCGGCGGGAGCTCTTACAGCCGTCGTCGGCGCGTGCAGGCTCCCGCCAGATCCGTGCCGCGTGTGCAGACCACCATCCCCGTTACGGGAACGAGCAGCCAGGATGAATATGACGAGAGCGACAGCGAAGAAGACCATGTTCTGTCCAGCTCGACGGAGAACATGCAGCCGTCGCCGGAGGAGGACATGGAGGACTCTAATGGGGAGTCGGACGGTGACGACGGCACGGCGCTGGGGGGAGCGCGCAATCAGCCCGCCTTCCGACCACAACCAAATGCGTTCTCGCATCCACCGTTGCACCCGAGAAGCTACTCGTCCAATGCAGCCATGTCTTCGCATCCCCACGGCGAGTTCACACGCCCTTCCTTCTCCCAGCGCTCGCATACGAGAGTCCAACGTGGACCCAGCTTCATGTCACCATCGGTTCGGGAGGATAACGATGCTGCCCTCCGTGCGTCTCTTACCACCCTATTGTCTTGTGCCGCTGCAGCTAGAGGCCTGCCTAAGAGTAAGGAGGAAGCTGAGGCGCAGCGAGCTGCGCAAACAGGAGTCGGCCCCAGCAGCCAGCCCATGGAACTCCGCTTTGTACCCGAAACTGAGCTGGAGGAGGAATGCGAGAAGCCTCAGTCAGCAGCTGCGGCAGCGACTACGCCCCCTGCCAAAGGCCAACCATCTTCCTCCCCTGCCAGATCATCGTCGCGGACTCGCTCGCCCTCCGCGAAGGGCAAGCGGGTGGTATCAACGGCCCGAAGCCCTCGAGCGACGAAGAAGAAGAGGACGGGAACTACAGCGGTTGTTGCAGAGGAGGCCCTCATTTCCCCCACGCTGCTGACTTGGGTTGTCAGTGCCGGAGTCGTCGTGCTCGTATCCGTTGTTGGCTTCGGAGCTGGCTATGTTATCGGACGTGAAGTAGGCCGCCAGGAAGGCTTGGCAGCCGGCGTGACCAGCGTCAATGATACTGCGTCTTCTGGCCGTGATGTCATCCGGTCATCTGGCGGAGGCCTGAGACGCTTCAGATGGGGCGCCGTGGGGAGAAGCATTGTCGCTCAAGCGTAAATGCGTTGATCCCTTGTTGCACTTGCTCGTTTTCGGTGATGCTTGACAGTCGCAGAGATACCATGAAGTTTGACACCAAACATGCCTGCATACAGATACCACATACACGATGCTTTTTATCAGCACTTGATTTCTCTTTCTCATTAGCACAGGACGGGGGATGGGGTATTGGCGTTTGGCATGAGGATCTACTCCAAACATGTCTTGGCTTACAGTTTGCAGATGGAAGACACTAGGGGCTGGCAGCGTTTGCTTTTGTCTTGGAATGCCTGGTTCTTTTGTTCTTGTTGCATGAATCTTTCACTACCACCTTATGACCACGGCGGTCGCTCACGCCGGTATGCGGTTCATGTATCTGGCTGGATTTAACGGATGATGAGATAGGTATAAGCTGAGATCGAATTTACACCTTGGGCACTCGCTATTGCGACGACGACTCGCACATGATGGCTACTACCTTGGGGCGTCTTGTCACTTGCTATCTATTTTCATGACAAGATGGCATATAATGTTACTCTTTCTATTGGCTGCTCCCGAGCAAGGAGTGACGCATTCTGCAATACGCGTATTCCATGCATCGCGTTGAACCAAGTCTGTCTCGTCAGCCACCTACTACCTAGTATTTACGAGTACGTATGGATAGACGTGGGAGCTTGCTGGGCGCTGTGGAGGTTTGTGAGGTGGCATCACGCCACCTTTGCCGTCTATTGTCGTTTCGTCCTGTCACAATCAAGTGTATGACAGACTGTAAATTGCTTGTACGCGTATTTGCATCTGGTTGATGCCATGAAGGGACTTGTTACACACTCATACAGAGGTTGGGAAGTTATACGCGTATTGAGAACGTCCAGATCGACCATGGTTGCCTTTGATGTTGTCCGCTTGCCGGTCCAAAGAGAGAGAGAGGGACGTATTCGCATTCGCCCGCAAATTCTCCGCCACACCATCAACAACACCCTTCCAGACACACACCCGCAAACACTCAGCAATCTCATGCAAGGCAAGGCGCGTAGATCCGAATACGAGCCCCCACTGATTTCCCGTTTCTCTCAAGGCGGTCTGGGTCTGGCATCTTTACAGGTATAACCTTCCTATCACAAGCGCTGCGATTGGTCCATCTGCCACTGTTTTTTCGCCTCTAAGGCTAACGCACCTTCAAGTGGGGGCCCTTTCTTCCCCCTGGATCTGGTCCCTCTTTCGGGCTGGAGGTGGACAAGAAAAAGCGGCAGAAAAATTGCTGCTACATAAGGTACGTATGAGGATTGGGGTTTGCAGTGGTAGCAATTGAACGAGCAAGAGCCCAGTTCTTTTTTTTTGCAACTGATTAGAGCTCATTTTGGGCTGACTTATCGAACCACTGGTGGTGCCGTAATTCACCACCTTCTCTCATCTCCCTCTCCTTTTCCCATTCGTCTTCTTCTTTTCGACTTCGTGCTCGAGGCCTTGTCGATAAATAGGACGCGGAACCGGCATCGTCTTTTCGTCTGCCTATCCTCTGTTTCCCTCCCCTTCTTCCTATTCTCGCTCCAGAGCGGCCCTTTTGATTCTTCTCTCTTTTTTCCTTTTCTTTTGGGGTGCCTGACGAACGCGGATCACACAACCAATCGCTTCCCCCTCGCCGTTCAGCGCACAGCCTTTCCCGTCACCAAAGATGGGCGTCCTCCAAGATGCCGCCAACCATCGGGTGGCCCAGCTCTACTTCCAGCAAGGCATTGGCGCGCAAATCGCCATTGGCGCTGCCGGCTTCATTGCCCTCGCCGTCCTCATCAATGTCCTGCAGCAGCTGCTCTTCAAGAACCCCAACGAGCCGCCGATGGTCTTTCACTGGTTTCCCTTTATCGGCAGCACGGTGATTTACGGCATGGATCCCCCCAAGTTCTTTCGCGACAACCGTGCAAAGGTGAGCAAGAAACAAATATCAGATCTTCTGGATTTCTATCCGTCAACGAGACGGCAGTGGCTAACGCTCAATTGGACAGTATGGCGACGTGTTCACCTTTGTCCTGCTCGGCAAGAAGACGACTGTGGCCGTGGGCCCCGCTGGAAACGACTTTATCCTCAACGGAAAGCTCAAGGACGTCAATGCCGAGGAGATTTACAGTGTCCTGACTACGCCCGTCTTTGGACGAGATGTCGTCTACGACTGCCCCAATGCCAAGCTGATGGAGCAGAAGAAGGTGAGTTTGTGCCCTGATAGCCGCACATTGGAGACGGCTTAGAAGATGGGTTGTTTGGTTGCTGACTCAAAAGTAACAGTTCATGAAAATCGCCCTGACGACCGAAGCGTTCAAGACCTATGTCCCCATCATCTCCCACGAGGTGACATCATACTTTAAGCGCGATCCCGACTTCAAGGGCAAGTCTGGCATCGTCGACATCCCCAAGAAGATGGCCGAAATCACAATCTTCACCGCCTCCCACGCGCTCCAGGGCAGCCTCATCCGCAGCAAGTTCGACGAGACGCTGGCCGATCTGTACCACGACCTCGACATGGGCTTCACCTCCATCAACTTTGTGCTCCACTGGGCGCCTCTCCCCTGGAACCGCAAGCGTGACCACGCTCAGCGCACCGTGGCCAAGATCTACATGGACACCATCAAGGAGCGACGGGCCCTCGGCGACCAGGACAAGGAGCTCGACATCCTGAAGCACCTCATGACGTCCGTGTACAAGGACGGCACCCCCGTTCCCGACCACGAAATCGCGCACATGATGATTGCCCTGCTCATGGCCGGCCAGCACTCTTCGTCCTCGACCAGCTCCTGGATCATGCTCCGTCTCGCCCAGTACCCGCACGTCGTCGAGGATCTCTACCAGGAACAGATCCGGGTCCTGGGCGCCGATCTGCCTCCCCTCCAGTACGAACACCTCGCCAAGCTGCCCCTCTGCCAGGCCATCGTCAAGGAGACGCTGCGTCTCAACGCCCCCATCCACTCCATCATGCGCAAGGTCAAGCAGCCGATGCCCGTCCCCGGAACCAAATACGTCATCCCCACGTCCCACGTCCTCCTCGCCGCGCCCGGCGTCAGCGGCTCCGACCCCAACTACTTCCCCAACCCCGAGATGTGGGACCCCTACCGCTGGCTGCCCGGCTCTCCCAACGCCCCGCTGATGGTCCGAAACGACGAGGAGGAGGAAAAGGTCGACTACGGCTACGGCATCGTCAGCAAGGGCGCCGCCTCGCCGTATCTCCCCTTTGGCGCGGGCCGCCACCGATGCATCGGCGAGCACTTTGCCAACCTGCAGCTGCAGACAATTGTCTGCGAGGTGGTGCGACTGTTCAAGCTGAGCAATGTGGACGGCAGCAACAACATTGTCGGCACCGACTACGCCTCTCTGTTCTCTCGACCGCTGGAGCCCGCCAAGATCCGGTGGGAGCGGAGGCAGTAAGGGGGGGAAGGGGGGCCGTCAAAAGGCCGCACTTTGGTGAGCAGAATGAAGCAGTGGGAAAATCTAGAGAGGAGAGTCAAGGAAACAACGATTTGCGAATCGAGTTGGGCTTGGATGCGTGCGTACTGTACATGATATCTTTACGTCGGAGTTTTTGTTGCTTTTTTTGGGACGCATGGGAGGATACGATAAAGCAACCGTGATGGTCATGGCCGCATCATGGTTGCCAAACAGGTACCTATTACTATTACTACTACTACCTAATAATGCCAGTAGAGCTTTGATAGAGCTAGACAAACCAAAACCAATTCACCAACGACAAAACCTTGTACAAGAATCACCTCGTTCAATATATGGAATGCAACAAGAGTATTTCAGAAGACAAAGTCTACTGTCAGCTCCCAAATCATATTGCAAACTCACAGAACAGGCCAAACAATATTCCAACTGAAATGATAGTATACTAGGTGGATCATAAGCATCTCACCTTTCTACAACAACAAAACAATCAGTTGCCCCGAATCGGCAAGTCTCAAATCTCCAAACCCCCCGATCTCCAAATCGGCCCTCTCCCGCCCTATCCGGGCTTGCCCCCCCCGCGACCAACGGTGTGGCCCGGCATATAGAGAGAGCCCTAGAGGGATCTCGGTGAGGTCTAGAATTGGGGGAAATAGGTTGAACCCCCAGCGCCCGCTCGCTAAACGCAAAAAAATAAAAAGGCCCCCCCTTACTTCACCTCGACGCTTTTTTAAGTTCTCATCCCCTTTTTGTTTCTTCTTATATCACATGCAATAATAAAAGACAAACAGAGAGATAGAAGAAGAAGAAGAGAGAAAAAATAGACCCCTGGCAAGAGAGAAAAGCTCGCACTTGAGCTTCGGGCCTACCCATCCCATATAAGCCACCATTCTCCCCCTTCGGATGCCCAGTGCCGCGTTTCTCCTTCGTCTCATCTTATCCAAAGTCGCTGTTCATTGTGGCGTCATAAGTCCCTTCCCTTGGTGCTTTCATTTTGCTGTCGAGCCTTGACGCATCAATACCTTGTGTTCGTTTCTCGCATTTCCAGTCTTTGGTTTCGCACATTATCGTTGTAAACATAATAAGGTTGGCGATATGGCGCAGTACGGCCCCTATGTTCGACTCTGGGGCATCCGCCCGTCACAACTCCCTGCAGAGACCGCGTCAGCTCAAGACCTCGTCCCATTCCTCCAGTCCATCCTGAGCGAAGCAGTTCCTTTCATCAGCTCAGTGCCCCTACAATCTTCCTCCTCGTCATCATCATCATCCTCCTCCTCATCGGGCAAATCGAACAAGTCCAGCCAAGGTGGTGCTGGCCTAGACGGCCCCTGGAAGCCCAAGGGATGCAGGGCGTTCCCTCACTCCGCCGCGCCGGTGCACATGTTTGAGCGGGTCGTCTCGGCCGAGGACCTCAAGCTCGCGGCCAAGAGCGACAATCTCCCGCAGGCGTCTTCTTCTTCCGGCGCCGCGCCCAAGTTCCGGCCGGAAACGTGGAGCCTCCGGCGCAGCGTCCACGAGGGCGCCAGGAAGGCCGGCACCGCGGACTGGGACGAGTGGAAGCGCTGCTTCAAGGACGAGCACGCCGACGCCGAGATGAAGTTTACGCCCTCGGTCATGGACCACGCGCTCAAGAAGCAGTGGGATTGCACGGGCGCCGAGGTCACGCTCGGGGGCGACACGTACGAGGACCTGACGCTCAAGCTGGAGGAGTCGACGCACAAGATGCCCGCGCCGCTCAACAACCGCGTCTTCCCCGTGCTGCAGCTGACGGCGGCGGTGAGGGGCCGGCGCGAGTTCATCGTCGTTCAGATCGCGGCCGTGCCCGAGTCTTCCAAGGCGGAAGAGCAGAGGCCGGATGGGGCGGTCAGGGGCGCGTACACGAGCATCGAGCGCTTCCGGGAGGTGGACGAGCAGGGCAACGTCGAGTGGCTGATGGGGACGGTGTCGGATGCGAGGGGCGTGCTGCCGGCGTGGATCCAGAAGATGGCGGTTCCGGGGCAGATTGCAAAGGACGTTGACATGTTTCTGGAGTGGATTGCAAAGGAGAGGGAGGGCAAGTAGCGGTTGTTGTTTGGGCTTGCTCTTTGCTGCTGTGCCGGTATGATGAGGGCGTGTATGACTAGTATGTGTGTATGTTAATACCTAGCTAGGTATGCTGATGGGGCGATGTTATATGGAGGAGATGGGAGACGCTATATACCTATTTGTTAGTGTTTGTCTAGGTAATATGAGAAATCTCATATACAACATACCTAATCAAGTCCAAGAGTGAATGTGGCACTCATTGACATTTTATTTCTGTCGTCATCATTCTTATAATCCGGAGGAAGGAAGTTGATCAGTCCCTTCCTCCTCTGCTCTTCTACCAGTTAAGGAAGGAAGTCGCATGATCATCACCGCCTTCACACCAACTTCTAGATCTTTTTCTCCCCTCTTTCTACTCTTCCAGTTCCCATCACATCTACCTTATAAGCAGTCGAAGCCTCGATACGAGTCCTAGAGTCGGTCAATCCTCATGACTGCCAGCATCAACACAAGAGGCCGCTCCGCCCCAGCAACGACCCCCCAATCCCAATCCATCTCCAGATCAAACACCATCAAGCCCCTAATAACAACAGCCTTAATCGCCCCCTCCTCGTCCTCCTTCTCCTCTTCCATAATACCCATCCCCATCAATGGGCCCCTCGCCGCAACCATCAACGGCGACAGCCCCCCCAGGCCCTTCGCTGACGCAGACGCCGTCGCCCGCATAACCGTCGAACTCAACGTCCGCACCGTCAGCGCCCAGACAGAGCGCCTGGAAGAGGAGCTCGCCGCCCTCGCGGAGTACATCGAGGCGGACAAGGAGTTTCGGGAGAAGCACGACAAGCGGCTGCAGAACCTGTGCAACGAGATCCTCGCGGTGAAGCAGCGCGTGGTCGAGATTCAGGGGCCCGAGTGGAACGAGGGCGGCGGCGGCGGCGGCGAGAAGGCCGAGGCGGGACAGAAGGAGGTGGACGAGGCGGTTGAGCGGCTGAGGAGGGAGATGGGCGAGATGAGGGGCTTGGTCAGTGATATGTCGAGTGCGCTGGACAAGCTCCCGACGGCGGCGGAGGCAGAGGCTTTGGTGAGGCGCTCTCAGGCTCCGGCTTCAGCGAGCAACGGGGACGCAACGCAAGCACCTGCTATAGATAAGGCCTCGGGAACCAGTAAGCAGCCTTCTCATCATCTACTACGACTCAAGGACGCTGACAAAGTTCCCTCCTCCCCCCTTTAAAGAAGAGGCACGATCCATCAAGCAACGCATCGAAGACACCATCGCCTCCACCCGCCGGTGGAACAGCGACCACAAGACGACCAAGCTCACCGACGCCGTCTTCATCGCGAATTACCTCAAGCAGCAGTCCAAGCGCGATCCCCAGATGGCTGTCTACATGCAGAGGACGATCCAGAAGCACGTTCAGAACAGCGGTAGGCGTCCGCGGACAAGGGCGCGTCCAAAGAGCCTCGAGCAGTTTTGCAGGATGCTGGTGTGGAAGGACGTGCTTGATACGGCGGAAATTGTGCTCGTGAGGGATTGGAGAAGGACTGCGAGGGCGTTGGAGGAGAGGGGTTGAGTCGATGTGGTTTACTGGGATGTAATGTACAGGATCTCGCAAGGCGAGAATATGATCATAACCATGTCGCCAAGTTTTCAAGGGCAAATATCTGGATCTTGAAGTACGCCGATGAGAAGATATTTGAATGAGAACACACGGCGTCTTACAGAACAAAGGAAAACATCAAGTAATAGCTGCAAAACAACGGCCAAGCTGAGGTTTGAGAGACCATGGTACTCAACGCAGACATGCATAAGAGCTCTTTCACCTAATACGTTCAAGCCTACTAGTAGTTGATGCATGGCATACATCATGTATTGCAATCGCTGGACCTAGCCACCAAGGCTTGGTTTAATAACCGCTGTATCGAACCCTATCATCTCCCTGTGTCCGTTTCAAAGTAGATTATAAGCCAAGGACGATGAAGAAAACAAAAATAGAGTAAACGCCGTTCCAAGCCCCCTTCCTGTGAGACCATCCTATCCCTTTTAACCAATCCGTAAACTCCTCGCCAAAAAGTATGGCACATTGGAAACCAGCTTGTTAACAAACCCCCACACCACCAGTAAGTGATCCATCGACAAACGTGACCGACACGAAACGTCTGGCCACGCTGAAGCTCATGGTGTAATCGTGTAGTTAGATAAACTTAGAAGAGAAAAGTTGTGAAGTGAAGAAGAAAAAAGAGGGCCAGCTCTCTCAGTCGTCCGCCTCGATTCCGATGGAAGACTGCTTGAGCGCAATCTCGGCCTTGAGCGACTTGATCTGGTTTTCGAGACGGGTCCTGAGAATCTTGTTTTGTGTCCGTTCAAGGTCGGCAACGCGCGAGGCGAGTTGTCTCGTCAAGTCATTGATCATTTCCTTGACGCTGTGCTCCTCGTCACGACGGGCACGTGCATCTTCATCGAGGTCGTCATCATCATCGTCGTCGTCGTCATCGTCATCGTCCTCTTCAGATTCACTCTGCTCAATGCTTTCCTGTAGGGCCGCCGACGCCGATGGAGTGGCGAGCGCAGCTGTTGGAGTCTGCGTGTCCATGGCCGTGGCAGGGGTCTCGGCAAACAGCTCGTCAGCAAAGGCTGCCTCCAGGTCGGCTTCAAGGTCAAAGTCGTTCTCTTCCTCCACCCCTTGGGTTTCATGCTGTTGGCCAAAGTAGCCGAGACTATCGTCCATTTCGCCTTCAGCGTCCTCCTCCCCTTCCTCTTCGGCATTGTTGCGTTCGTCGACCCATTCCCACTTGGTAGAGCCGCATTTAGCATCCTCGGCGAGAAGTCGTTCGACCTCTGCTTCCTTGTCCTCGATTTCCTTGCGGCTGATGGTCTTGGCGAATCGTCTGTTCACGCAGTCGTGCATCGGCGGTGTCAGGCCGTGTGGCCACTTGAAGTTTGAATCGATGATGCTGGGCAAAGGCACGTGCCTCGCCTCCTCTTCGCTCTTGACAGCCTGGAATACCAAAAGCATCTGGCAGATGTCGGCCGACTTCATGAGCGACTTGCGGTCCCACGTCTTCATGGATTCCGTAATGGTAGGCAGATCAACCAGGACTGCCGCAAAGCACTGGCCCTTGACGCACACAACCGCGCGCCGGGATTCCTCCTCAAAGAACCTCATGTAGAGATCAGCACCGCCAGCTGACTTGGGCAGGCCAATCTTGCCATTCTCCATGCACCAGCGCACGTAATCGGCGTGCTCGCCCGGCAGCATGCGCAATATGAACTGCTCCTCGATTGCCGGATCGATTTCGTTATCGCTCGCTTCGGAGTCGTAGCCATCACCGGGAGGGTGGACAGGCGGGCGACCACGAGGCTTGAGCACCAATTGAGTGAGCCCAGCCTTGGATCCCGTCTTGACCTTTGTCCCGCCGCCTGCTCCCCCGACCTTGACGATGGGCTTGATCTTGATCTTGGTCGCGGGCGGAGGACCGTGGCCGGCGGTGCCGGCGGTACTACCGCGCAGCGGCGCCTCGTCTTCGTCGTCGCTGAGCGAGCGCTTCTTGCTTTCGATGAGCTTCTGACTCGGTTTCGCTTGTCTGCCCGCTTTTGTCGTCACCACCGGCGGCAGGCCCTTGGTCTTGTCCTTGTCCTTTTCTTTGTCCTTTTCCTTTTCCTTCTCTCGCTCCTTGTCCTTGTCCTTGGCCACGTCCTTCATCGCCACATCGTTGTTCGCTGACGGTACCGCCGGCGTGGGCGGCTGCGACGAGCTGATCTTGAGCTTCACCTTGCGAGCCCCTTCGCCAGGCGTCGGCAGCGGCGCAGTTGCAGACGGAGGCGCTCCTCCAGGCGTGGGCGCGCCGTCGCCAACAAAGGACGCCGAGCGGCTGACGTTGATTTTGAGGCGCGGCTTCGAGGGCGCTGGAGGAGCCGCGGTGGCATCGCCTCCGGGACTGGGCGCTGACATTGTCGTGGTGTTTTTGCTTTGGAGATTCGAGAGAGGCGATGCCAATTTCCGGTTCAGTCGAAGGAGACGGTTGATTTGCACGTCAGTTTGAGGGTTTTTGATAGATGTGGGAAGAGAAGATGCAGACGGTGGAAAGTGGAAGAAGGCAAAGAAGAAGGTTGGCTCTGTTGGGATTATTAAAGTTCGAGGCCGAGCTCCAGGAAGGTTGGCGCGGGAAGCCGCGGCCAGGCTAGTAGCCTCGCAGGGAATTATGGGGCTTCACGCGCTGCCGATTCTCACTTGTATCCTCAAGGTATCACTGACTCAAGAGACAATAGAATCCAAGTACACACACGTCAAAGTGAGAGAAATCTCAGAGCGTTGAGAAGAAGAAAAAGAATACATCACCTGCAGCATAAACAAAAGAGCCCTCAAGAATGGTATTTGGATGGAAAAGACAGACATGCTCGCTACATCAAAAATCATCTTCCCCCCCAACGCCGTGCAATGCCCATCATCCATCACCACCTCCTACATGAAATAACAACCCACAAACAGACCCTGTCGAGATACAACAGACAAGATAATCTCCCTCCTTTTTTTGCAACATCTCTTATACGCACTCAATTCATCCACGCCCATGGATAACCGCCGTCGACGTTATTCCAGCCTCCCCCCTCAATGCCAGCCTCCCATCCCATCATGACCCCCAGCATCTTGCACCCCATCGAACTGACCGTGCACACAATCCTGTCGCTTGCCCCCGCGAGAACCGCCAGGTCGAGCATGTACGCCCTGCCCATGTAGCTGCGCAGCTGAAGCGTCTGCTCCGAGGGCGGTTCAGTTCGCCCAGACGACGCTCCGTTTGCATGGCCGTTGTGCTTCCTGTCGAAGCCGAGGTTCCAAAACATGGACGCGAAGAAGCCGCCCTCCCACCCCAAACCCTCATCCTTGAATTGATGCAGTACGCGCGGGTCGACGTCTTCTCGCGGAGCGACCTCCTTCGAGGCCAGGCGGATGCGCTCTTGAGCTATCAGGGCGTCAGAGAAGTCGGGCTGCTTATAGACGGCTGGATCGTCGGAGGCGATAATGGTGATGGATCGGTTTGACTTCGAGGATTCATGACTCTCAGTGGAGCTATAGTACGTGCTGACCAGTTCCTGGGCCTTGCTGAGATACACCTCGGACGGAATGTACGTGTTGCGATATTGATACTCCAAGGGGTGCGAGTCGCCGCGTCGGACATGGATTCCGACAATGGGTACCGGGGGGAGGGCCGGATCTCGTTCCATTTGCTGCTTCCTCAGCTCTTTGACACGATTGTGGACAAAGCCTTGGTCATCGCCGTTGAGCTTGAAGAGCGCCTCATAACCAGATCTTGCCAACCCCATCAAGTCTCGGAGGTTGTTGTTGGTGCCTGCGGCCCGGTGATACTTAGCCATCAACGCCGGAAAGACGTCCTTGAGCGTTGTTCCAGTGACGACTAGATGCCTCGCCTGCGCCGGACAGGGGAGCATCTGATGTCGAGGAGGCGGCCGGCAGTCGGGCAGGGGCGGTGCCTGGAAGATGTCGGTGTACTGGCCATAAGCCCAGCGGGAGTCGTCGATGAAAAAGGCCCGTCCGTCGTGCTTCGCCAGGCCGTAGAGCATCCACATGCCCAAGACGGCAGTCCCCAGCCCGGCATCGGAGCTCTCCAACACATACGTGACGGATGCCTTGCAGACGGGCAGCCCGGCCATGGACTCCCAGTTCAAGCCAACAAACTGCCCCGTCTTGCCGGCAGCACTTCCATGTTGAGCTGTGGGCAACAGTCCAAATCGCTCGGCCTCATGCACGTCCACGAAATACTCATCCACGGCGTCATAGTTGAGCTTGTCCTGGTCAGTCGGGGGGGCTTTGCCGCGCAGCTCCCTGGTATGAGCCGAGACCTCGCGGCACTTGCTGCCCATGCCAGCATACTCTTCGACAGACAGAGGAAAGTCGTGATTGTGCGGAATCGACACGGTCCACTTTGACCGCGAGTGGCTATGGCTGACAACGATGGGCGTTGGGAACTCCGGCAACGCATCCTGCCCGACCATTTCAAACTCTTCGGTGGTGAAGTGAGGCCATACCGCTATGATGGACTCCTTGTTGCGGAAGACGAGGCTGGCAAAGTAAAATGTCGTGAAAAGCGTGACAAGGTAGAGCATGTAGCGCAGGACTCGGCTTGGTCGAGCGATGAGCACTTTGGCAGGCGACTTCTTTGGCCGCGGGACCAGCACAGGAAGACTCGGCGAGGGAGGAGGGGAGAAGAGCAGGTGGTTGAAGCTGAACCGAGCCGAAGTTGACGATAGCGGCGCCTTGTCGTAGTTGTTGTATGAAGCGTTGCGACGGAGGTTGAGCCTCGGAGGCGCAATCATGACCTTTGTGTGAGTTGAGGAGAGATCCAGAGGAGGCGCCATGGTGGTGTTTGTGAGTGGATGCCCACAACAAGCTCGACTAATACATGAGATGAAGCAAAGTCGAGGGAATGGATATAAAAAAAAAGGTAGAAAGTGTCAAATTGTGTGCTACCACAATTTCAGTGAGTGTAAAGACGAGGAGGAAGCAAAAGCAAGGAAAAGAGGTCCAGGACACAACGCGAGAAGGATGAAGCCCAGAGAGGGCCAGCCAAGAGCCGTCAACAGGATCTCCAAGCAAGGTATTCCAGTCCACAAGAGAACCGAGGCATGTGCTCGAGTGATAAATTAATCGAGGTTTCTCTCGCCCCGACAAGACGGCATTATCAGGCGATTACCCCCCCTAGCAAGCACCGCCGATCATCATGCGGGCGCCGCAGTCTCGAGGCCGTTATGGCTGCGTTTGTTTCTGAGGGTGTCAGGAAGTGAAGTGAAGTGAAATGGGGGTGAAACGGAGGGTAGGAAGACAAGACGACACCTGTGTGACTTGTTCTTCCTCTTGCATTCCCTATCGCAGCTTGAAGGGGGAACGACGATCCCGCGGGTGCCACCCGAAGCGGAATAAGAAGCGAGCAAGAAGAAACACAAGGGCGGAAGAAAGAGGGAGGATGGAAGGGGAAGGACACTAGGTATGGATGTATGTGTGAAGAGAAGTTTGCAGTAAAGATTGACGGTGTTATAGGGTCAGATGTGGCAGGTTTCCTCGGTTGGTCAGACGAAACGGTGGTGTCTCGGGGTGAGTAAAGAAGGTTGAGAGGGAGAAAGAGATATATGGGTTTTTTCCCAGATCGCAAGAAGATCGCGCAGACGAAGAAGTGTGCACCACGTCTCACGTATGCAGATGCAGGCAGAATGGGAGAATGCCCTGTTGCTCGGGACAATAAAGGCAAAGAATAAGAGTCGTGATCACAACGCTTCGGAGACGGGCCAGATGCCGGCCTGTGGGCGCTTGGCCAAACAAACAATCCCGCAGCTCAGGCCTCTTTTTTTTTTTTTTCTTCTTCTTTCTCTCTCTCGGAAGTCCGGTGCTGCAGGAAGTACTTGTAGTAGATATTAATACCAGGTACCGTGGTACTATCAGTTTCAACAGGGTCCCTGACGGGTGTGTCCTTGTGAGCTGTGGGGGAGCAAGAGGCTTGATGTCATGTCTCTCGAGACCCCTGTCGACAAGACATGGAAGGGAAGATTTGCTGGAGAAACGTTATTATTGTGGGCATTTGATGCCGAGGGAAAGGCCGTTTGACAGGATGGTCTGAGATGAAATGAAACGACTTTTTGGGAGAGCACAAAATGGTGTCTACCTATCTACTAGGACACGAAATACAAGAGGCATGTCATATACTGCTAAAATCAAGGAGAGCATCAGGATGGAAAGGACAAACAAACCATCTCTCTGCAAGCCATTGTATCACCCTCTCGCCACCACGTCCGCTCCCCGATCCAACCATCATGGGACCTCACGTCTCCGAGCGACCATCTCACAGGGGTCAAGAAGTACTAGGTAATAAAAGGTTCTAGCTAAAGACAACTCGAGTCCACCCTTTGCCTCTGCAAGACGTCAGAACTATTTAACATCCACTCTGCATTCTCTTCTCCGCCATGACGGCGCTTAAAAGACGAAAAAGTCTAATAAGCAAGGGACAACAGTCAGCCCCAAGAAAGAAGAAGCCCGGAACCGAAAGGAAATGGTGATAGTCGTTGGGAAAGCGACCAGGGTTCGGGAGGGCTCTCCGTTTGCCAGCCAGCGTCATACCCCGACAGGGGGTGTCACAGCAGAAGGAACAAGGCCTCTCTTGAAACCCCGATGGATGGATAGGCTGTTGTTGTTGGTCGCCACGTTCCAGACGATAATACTACTACTACACACACACACAAGCTCAGCTCTTCACCAACCCCGATTCATGGCCTGTGCTCACGAACAGGAAGACGAATAAAAAAAAAAAAAAGAGAGAGAGAGAGAGAGAGAGAGAGAGAGAGAGAGAGACATGGCACTCGCGAAGGTGCGAGTCAGGACAAACAAACGACCCACGGTGATGATAGAAATAATTCGAGTTTTTCTCCCCCTGGCTTAAACATGTAGTCTGAGGCAGCATATGGGAAGGGGGGCGTATGTAAGTACGTATGTCTGTCTGTGTGAGAGAGAAACCGACAAGCCGAGTCGAGAGGCCATTATTATCGCGTGTTTCAGATTGTCCAGCCCTCACACCCACCGATTGGATTCGGAATCCTTGCCCGATGCACCCTAGCCCCTTGCACCACCACCATCAAACCCGCACTTCTGTCCACTCAACAAGCGACATACCATACACTCATTCCATCATTCCCATCAAAGACGCTGCAGTACGGATACAGCATGATTGTACGCGATCTGCGTATGTACAATACCTAGGTAGGTAGGTAGATGATGACTGACAGGGCAGAAGTAGAGAAGTAGACCATGCCTCGGCTCGTCCCCATACGCTGACAAGCTGACTCGGGCAAATATACGATATTACAAGGCAGCTCCTATAGAAAATCTTCCGCTTCATTAATCTATCTGCGGCTCGTCATCAGCCCATTTCATTTCTTGCTTTATAGTATATAAATTAGATTTCAGCTTCTAATATATTTGTCTACCTAGACATTATACGCGCAAATAACCGTGATTGAAGATCCTGCATTCACTTGTTGCTGTTTTTCTTTGCCTAGGTAGTCTGCTTCTTCCTTTTTCGATTTGAGGCTTCTGTGCTGCGTGCTCTGACACCAGAGACCAAGGTACAGGTACCTATCATGAGGACATGAGAAGGCAGGCGTATAAGTGGTTATAGGCAGTACAGCTGTAACAACGGTAACCATCGACAGCCCTTGTAAACATTCATCTTTGCTTTCGTCTGGTGTAGTGGTGCCATAGATCCCATCTTGACACAACCCAGCAAATTTGCAGCACTGTATCCCCTTTCGCCAACCATTGCCTAACAAGGTGCACAGTTCAAACGAGAATCAAGTTCACGGGTTGTAGTAAATGAGCTTTGCAGCTTTGAAATCGTGGCCTGCGCTAGCATATAACAAATTCTTCGCTAAAAAAAAAAAAAAAAAAAAGCAAACGAAAGACGTTAGAACATGATGAGAAGAGTAAGAAGGATAAGAACAAGAAGAAGAAGAAGAAGAAGAAGAAGAAAAGTACAGTGCCTGTCCGCGGCAGGCTCCTTTGGCCCATTCTCAAGTCATATGCTAACCCAATGCAAAAAAAACCCTAACCAGACAGGAGAGCTCGAGCGGGATCCTGAATCCAACGCCCTCCTTCTCCGTCATACTCTGCGGCTTTCCAGCCACGAACGGAACATCATCAAGACGTGCAATAAACGGGGGGGTATTCGTACACCAGCAACGAAGCTTGTCGTCCAATCCACGCAAAACCTGTAAGCGACTCGGAATGCTGCATCATGAATCAAAACACCAGACCCCACTCGTGTTGCCCCTTTCTCGCAGAGCAAACAAGAATCAAACTCAAAAGCTCGGGTATAACATGTAAAGAAGCAAACACAATAAGAAGAGAAAAAAAAGATGGCTCCCAATGCCCAAACACCTTGTCCCACTAGAGATTTCCACAAAGAAAAGGTCCTCATCACATCACAGTTTTGGATGGCGCCTAGTTTCCGGCCCCCGACCGGGCTTCACTCTGTTCCTTCAGCCCCCCATTCCCGGCACATCATGACGCAGCTTCAACAGGGGTGCTGCGCTCTCCAACGGGCGTTGCCACACGTCGCAACGGTGGAAGCTCGCTGGGAGGCTCGCCTAGTGATTCCAGCCTGTGAATCGGCGCCAGTCGTACACTGCCTCGAACACCCCTAACGATCTGGCCGGTCTCGACTCTGTCCTGAATCATCTCTTCGAGCATATTGTTCATCTCGTCAATGCTCTTGGTCCTTCTCTTGGACTCTTTGCGAAGAGGGCTCCAGTGAAGACTGTTTCGAATGCCGCCTTGTGACTGGGGCGAGCGAGGCTCCGTCATTGCATCGGCATTGTCCCGAGAGCGAGCTGCGCTTCTCAGGGCAGCCAGCATGCGATCCTTGTCGTCCAGCCTGGCTCGCAGATCGGCAATCTCGGCGTCCTTCTCCTTTAGTAGGGCAGCCACGCTGTGATCCTCGCCCACCATGATGCCCTTGGTCGTGACGGAGAAGCCAGACGATGTCCGGGAAGAGCTGGCTCGTCGTGCCTGCAGCAGTCGTTTCTCAAGCGTCGAGATGTATCGGTTCTTGTCTGCCAGATCGGCCTGCAATGCTCGGTTCTGCGCCGTCAGCGAAGCCAGCCCGTCCCCGTTCTCGCCGATGCTGTCCTCCTCCGCATCAATAATCTCGGCTGCCGCTTCGCCCGACATTCTCTTGGCCCCGTAGCTGGATCTCCGCCCGATCGTGGAGTTTGACGCCACCGATGCCGTCCGCTCTAGGGGCGACCGAATCGACATGGCAACTGACGATCGGGCTGATCCCGGCACTAACGAGATCTGCGAGTATCGTGCAAGTGCGCTCATGGTCCCGTTCGAGTTGACGCCGGCCGACTTGGAGCTGAGAATCAGGCGGTTCAGGTGATCGATTCGTTCCTTGAGTGCCGTCCTGGCAAGCTGCATTTCCAAAATTTGTTCCTCGTGCCGCTCAGCCATCTGCTGCGTCTGCACACGGTCCTCCTCGACAAGCTCCTTGATCTCCTCGTCGTTCTTCTTGTTAGCCTGCGACTCGAGTTGCTGCTTGAGTTCCTGGATCTCCATGCGATATCGCTCCAAGAGGACCCTCGCGCCGCCATCGCCTCCGGCGCCCAGGGCTTCCTCGGCCTTCTTAGCGTGACTGACAATGCTGTTCTTTGCGCGGGAGGCGAACTTGAGCGTGTTGAGCGTCTCAATGGTGTGGTTGGCGGACGTTGCAGCAGTTCCAGTCACGCCAAGCGCGGCCGTGCAAAGGATACTGACGAGGGAGTTACCAGAGAGGGCTCCCTGAAGCAGTCGCGTCAGCTTGCTGTCTCGGTACGGCAGATGCTTCCCATCCTTGTCGCCGCCCTTGTCCTTCCACTCAGAAAGCTTTGCAATGACCGTTCCGAGCGTGAGCAAGCTCTTGTTGATGTGCGCGCCCTCTTGTCTTCGCTCCTTGGACTCTGCCGCCTTTTCTGAGCCGGCAAGATCGATCAAGCTCAGCGTAGACACTCGGACACCTCCGGGCACCATGCCTGATCGCTTGCTATCGCCGGCGTTGCCGCTGGCCGGCATTCGCTCTCGGCTTTCGACGATGATCTGTACGACGGCGTGACTTCGAGAACTTCGGGAGTTGAACTGAGTGCTGGCTGTGCGACGGGCCTGGTCACCCCGTGCAATGACTCGAAGCAGCTGCGTGGGACTCTGGACGATTTCCTCCTTCAGGGGAGTGGCGTAGACGCCGCGCTTGGCGTCTTCGCGTAGCTTGATCTCTTCTTGCGGAGCCGCAGCGCCATTGGCAGAGGCCATGCTCAGCAGATCGTGAATCTTTTCGTTATAAATTTCAAGGTAGCTCACTCGCAGCAGGAATTCGCGGGACGGCGTTTCTCGAATGTATGAAAAGATGTCGGTGATGGCCAGCGGGATGACACCTGGTGACGATGCCGTTCCTTGCATGGAAAACGTCTTGCCAGTGCCCGTCTGGCCATAGGCGAAGACCGTGCCATGGTAGCCTTCCATTACTCTCCGGACGAGGCGCTTGGCCATGTGGTCGTAGACACGGGCGTTGTCATCGTGCGTCGTGAACACATTGTCTAGAAGGCTTCGGTATCAGCACGTCTCTTGTCCGCCCAAGAACAAAAAAAGCAACTGCGGTTCTAGGATGGCGCAAAGCATCACATACCATAGTAATAGTCGCCTCCTTCTTTTCCTCTATATCCAATCAAAGCCCGTCGACCGTCGACCATCCATTCTCCGTCCGCGTGGTCGCTGTTTGAAGAATCGGGTCGCACTCGGACGCTGACAATGACGTTGCCCTTTGCCTCCGTAGCAGACGATCGCTTTTCGGATGCGCTCCCGGACGCGTCGGCCGAGTCTTCGTAAGTCGTCGCTGATGTGGAATAGGAGCCCTGAGCTGAGGAACTTCGGCTTTGAGTGGGGGACGATACACTGATGTGCCCATCAGACATACGGACGCTGCTTATGAATTTACCCTCGGCGCTGCCATTCAGCAGGCTCGGCGTAGGCGTTGGAGTATTACTGCTGGCTACGGAGTCTCTGACGGGCTTCGGTTTTCGCGTGGCGCGAGCTCCGTTGCCTGCCAGCGGGCTAGAGGGCATGCTGCTGTTTCGACCGTCGCCCTTGGGAGGCTTCGGGAAGGAGTTTATGCTGACAGCTTTCCGGACTGTCTTTGAGGATGCGGCAGCGAGCTGGCCGGCCTTTGGTATCGGGGGTATGCTGCTGTTGGAGGAAGCGGGAGACGCTGTGGAGGGTGCTCGTAGACCGCTTCGAGGCGCAGCGGGCGACTTTGGACTGGGGATGGAGGCCATGCTTTTCCGACTCTTTGGCACGGAAAGCGTTGGAAGAGAGGTGTCGGATGGCCCCATCGAGGGGCGAGGGCGCGGAAGGGCGGTCGCCATGCTGCCTTCTGCGGTGCGGTATAAGAAGCGTGGTGGGTATAAGAATTATGCTCGCAGGTCCCGCCTGAATGGCTTGTGCGTTGTGCGTTGTGCCCTCAAAGGCTTCAGCCGTCCATGTACGGCAGATGCGTTGGGCCAAATGTCGAGCGGCAGAGGCGCTGTTGCGCTATCGGCAGCCTTGGACAGATGGACAAGCTGCAGAATGGAGACAGAACAGCCCGGCCGACGGGGGGAGCAAATTACTCAATATCACAGGCGAAAACAACGGTACCTGGCGCAATAGAAGCATGTTAGCTGGACTGCCTGCGGCGAGTGGCCCGTCTGTCCCGACAAGGAGAGCTGGGTATGTCGCTGAGGATAGGGGGTCTGAGAGGCATCCACGATGAGGGGAGGGGGGGTTCCATACCGCTCTCTCACACAGGAAATGTCTGGAGAATTCTTTGCGTATCGTCTGTAGCGAACAAGGCGGGAAGCGGAGCAACTGGGTCTCCAAGCCTGGCCTGAGATATCCCGACAGAGACTGCACGAGATCCGCAACGGAAAAGACAAAAATAACAATAAAAACACAGAGAGAATGCGAGAAAAGAAAGGAAAAGAACAGGGTGACTCGGGCGAGGATTTCTTGTTGTCGCCTGGTGGCCAACAGAAAAGCGGTGGATTTCCTCTTTTTCCCTTTGGGGAATACTAATAAGATGACCGATGGACCTGCCGACAAAGTACCGCCAAGGGTGGCAATCGTTAGGGACTGGCAGCTGCTGGCAGACGCCCGGAGCTATAGCAAGGCGCAGACGAAGAGAAGAGGTTCCCATATAGAACCAGAGAGAGGGGATATAAGCAGCCGGGGAGCTTGTTGATGTGCGATCGTGGCTCGTCGAGTTGGATATGCGCAGAGAGCTGCAGAGTCACGGGAGCGGGCGCGGAGAAGGACGATTGCAGGGAAGCCGCTTTTTTTTTTTTCGGGGGAAAGAAGCAGCAAAAGATCGATGAAGACAAGGGCCACTTGCGTTGGCGTACAAGAAGCAACGGCTTGCTGACGTCGCATACGACAAGTACAGGTATGACAAAGGGGACGGACAGACGTCGGCAGAAAGGAAGGGAAAGGCAAAAGAAGGCACCGAAAAGGTGAGATGGATTGGAATGGGATTCCAGAGAGGATGATTATGGAGAGTTGCGAGAGAGACCGTCTCGCCCAGAGGGCCGGCACAATTGATGGAGCAAATCGGATATGTATCGATAGCACGGGACAGGGCAGGGAAACATGAAGACAGGACGGGACAATGACAGGCGAGAAGAGGAGGTACTTGCAGCTGGACAGAGGGTTAAGTGTGAGTGTGAGTGGAATTGGGAGTTGAAGTGGAAGTGGCTGCGTCCCAGCCAAAGCACACGCAGCATCACGCATGCATGTACAAGCACAAGCAGCTGTACGAGCGGCAGCTGCGCGTACTGCGCATACGCATCACCAGCCGGTACCGATACGAACACAAGCGAGGCGATGCAAGTCACTGCAGACGTGCTCCAGCCAAGCGGCAGCACGAAATTGGGCTCCAGGACCCGTTCAGGGCAGTTGCTGCCGCAGTTCTCGACTCGGCCTGGCGCTCTCCTGCCCAGCAACAAAATGAGCAGCTAGAGTGGTTGGTCCAGTGATGGCTAGGTAGGTTGGGAAAAAGAACACCTACCGGCTCGCTCGCAGCAGCACCTTGTCGTCTGCGGTACATGTGGTACGAAGGATGCATGGATGCGAACCTGAACCTGGACCTAAAAACAAAGCCGGTGCATGTGGGAGGGCGGGATCCATCTGACCCGGCCGTCCAATCCCATCCTAGCGGACAGCTGCCTCTCCAGCCCGCAGCCTGGCCTAGCGCGTCGATTGGGTCTCCAAGTCCCCTGGGCGCCGTCCTGGCTGTAGCGCCACCATGCGCTAAGGCGAGGGCGCTCTAGCGCTGCTGCCGGCGCAAGGGCCCTCAAGCTCCTCATTGATCCCCTGTAGCCAGCCGTTGCAGGGCTCGGGACCTGCGCTGCGAGCACTGCTGCAACACCACGAGCGTGATGCAAGTACCTGTACGCGCTCCCAATGTGTGATGTCCCACTGCAGCACGCGCTACCCCGCTGTAGATCCCTCCCAGAGCTCGACACGGGCAACTTACAGCAGCACGCGTAGGCGAGAGCAAGGCGAGGACAAGTACAGGTACCTACTTACCTCTGCGCAACGCCATCGCCCGTCGCGACGGCCCTCCACACGAGGCTCTCCGTTAATCTGCACACGGGCCACCCTCTATTCCCAGCACCGCCTCTCAAACATGACGTTGCTTCACCCTCTCTCGTTGACAGCTTTCCTTGCTATTGCCACGGGCTCGGTATCGAACGATCAAGAACAACAATACGAACAGGCGATCATCGGCACAGTCATTGGCTTCGCAACAAGACAGAGCAGTGGCATCAATGTGCCCGAGTGCGATTACGTCCCCTCCTACTATACAGTATGTATCTCCACCAGCGAGATGATGCTAGTATATCCATCCATCCATCCATCCACCTCCCTCACCACCTCCTCCCTCCATCAAACCAGTGGCTGCTCTCTCTCTCCCTCTCTCTCTGCCATCAACTCACAAGCGTCAGCTCTCCTGGGCCTCCTATCGGTCCCCTTCCGTCACCGTCGCGAGTGGCAATTTCAGAGCCTGTCCTCGCCATGCCCGATTCCCCGAGAATGGCACCAAGAACCAGGGGCAGGTTTCCGGGACCATGCTGAAGCGGTCCAAGTTCCTTCTTTAGCTCCCCGGACATCTTCTTTAGCGTCAAGGGGGTTCTCGTTTCCAGCACGTTAGTAGCACGGCTTGAGTTCCTGACTGAGGCTTACAGTACGAGTGCAGGGTGTTGGGCGCAGGAGACCGGACCTGTCCAACCGACCGACGAGAGATGGCGTCGCCTCGCCCAATGATCAACCTCGCCCAGATCCAAGCAGCTGCTGCAAGGGGCTGAGGGCCGTCGCCGCCAGAGCCACTGTGCCTGTCGCAGCCCGGCTCTGCGCCCAGGTGGAACATGCTGCGCTGCTGGAGGCTCCTGTCCGTGATGTGATGTGATTCCGCCGACCAGGCCCGAGTCATGCAGGTACCATCTGCAGGTCCTCCGGCAATTGACCGCATTAGCACATGCGTCCGCCCCGATTCTGCTGCTTGGCCTGTACGACATTTGGTTGCATTTACAAACAAGTCCAGCAAGCGTGGCCTCCGTCCTGGCGACGTCTAATATAACTTGATATCCGGTGCTACTGTACGCACGATACGAGTGTTATTCCTGCGAGTCCTGGAGAAGGCACTTGGGAACGATGCATTGGAGCGATTGGCTCACTAATAGCCACCATGCTAGAGGACCACCCCTTGCTCTGGCATTGCGAGAAAAGGAAAGGCCATCACAATATGCCTCCATCAAGAATGTGACTCCCGATAGCTTGGAGCCACAGTTCTATGGGGCCAACACAATCATTGTTTCCACGTGAAAGAGCAAGATTCTGGATCGCTGGTTATTGCTCAGATCAGCGGACAGCGGCAGCCAGCCGTCGATGATTTGTCGCGGCACCAAGCTGCGTCTCTCAGCTCCCCATTGTCGCCGACGCACTCACTCGCTAAGACCGCTGACGGGCGCTCTTCTTCGTTCTCAGGTCCCTACAGCATGCTTGACCCCTGCTCGTCGCGCTTTCGAGCCGAACATCAGCAACCGACGCGTCTGCAGATGATGTGCGAGCCCAGGCTATCAAGGTGACCAGTCACATTTGCTCCAGCATCTCATCCTTCAAACCGGGCTCAAGGCGATTTACCTCGGTGACGCCCCAAACGCACAGTTTACTTCAAACACTATGATACTCTACTCCTGTTTTTGGTAGCTAGAACCGCTGCTCGAAATGAACATGTTTATGCTTCATGCTTGCTCACGCAACAATTAGAGTGTGGTCTTATTATCGTCCTATGTACATGCTCTGCCGCAATCGTCATCAGACCCCTTATGTGTGGTGTACGCTCTTCAACAGTCTTATCAGTCCCGCTGCTAATTAGCAGTGACACTTTGGAGCGACGGCAGGATAGACTCTGACATCTGACGTTCGCCTCCACCGTCCTTTCAGGGGTCGGAAGGCAATTTGGCACCTGTCACCCACATGCTGCTGATCGTGGAGCATGTTGGAAGAGCCGCTGTTTGATCATCGCTTTAGCATATTGAAGCACCACAGCCGTTTCTTTAGCGTACATACTTGCGTGCTTTGCATACGAACGATAGCAATCAGCAAGGCGGTCGTTGGCGGTTTACTGAGCCCAGTGAGCCACCTTCGAGGCTTGTCAGTCCGTCACCTCGTGTTACAAACACTCGGCGTGCAGTATTACACCTTGCGACCAGGTCGCTTTCCTGCTCGCCCTTGATATGGAGAGACCACTTCCGTGCTCTCAACGGCCTACCGACTTCACCACCGTCAACCAAATCTCCTTCTGCAAGGGATGACGATGTATAAATGACATCCATGGCTATCAGCAAATCAAGCAAGCATGAAACCGAGTCTCCAGGTCTACCCCCCAGCCATCACATCCCAAGCCTCGCCATTCAGCCACATGCAAGGCATTTGTCCATGCATCTCGGCAAAGACAGCCCTACGAGCCTCCAGCAATCACCATTTCGGCAATCACGAAACGATCCCGGGGGTATATATCTTTCCCTAAGATCCTGTATTTCTTCACCGGCAATGCGAGATCCCGTGCGGTAACACGAGTATACATATTACTAGGTATACTATGCACATGGCTTCCCTCCCAACCACCAACAACACCATGAATCCCACGAAACAAGGACACCAGCATACCTTATGGGTAGGTACGATACAGAATACATCAACCTCCCAACGCCCTCACTCCCCTCCCAACGCTTCCCGTCTCGAAAACCTCCACCACGCCCAGCCCAACCGCCTGCCCCAGCACCCACTCCCACTCGACGCCCCAAAACTCCTTCCACCGCCTCCCGTACAGCCCGCCGCCCTCGAACCGCTCCCTGAACCAGTCCTCCGGCGCCTCGCCCCATCTCGTCCCGTCCACCATCTCGCGGAGCCAGTCCACCGTCCCCTCTGCGAGCTTCAGGTACCGCCCGTGCCCCGGCACCGCGATGCGGAAGTCCGACGACCCGTCTGATGCCGCCGGCGACGACGAGCCGCCGCCCGTGAGCAGCGTCGGCGCGCCTCCGCTGCCTCCGGCGAGATGGAGCGCGTTCTGGCCGCCCACGGCCGAGACGCTGCCCGAGGCAAAGCGAGACACATGGTGGATCGACGTCAGCGTCGTGCGGTCCTCCGGCCGGACGTGGAGCGTCGTCCCCGGCGTGGCCCGCAGCGAGCTCGTCAAGAAGCCGGCCCTGACTAGCTCATCCGTCTGCGCATGCGTCACGGCATCCCTCGGGACCGTCTGCGCCGTCGGGTTCTCCCTCAGAAACTCCAGGAACCGATCCCTCGTCTCCTCCGACACGCCCGCCTTGCGCACCATGGCCTCAAAGTCCGCCATCTCGATCAGCGCCTCGCCCATCCCGCCTCTCCTCTCGACCCGAACTTTCCGGATGACGCCGCTCCTAGACAGCTCGACGACTTCCCTCTCCACTTTGGACGGCGAGGTGAGTATCGCGTGTAAGTGGCCCAGCGTGACAATCGGCGGCATGCCCAGTCTGTAGTTGAGGATCTCGGCAGACCGCGTAGATTTGAAACCCGTGGGCGGAACGGGCGTGAACATTCTGCTGCGGACGTATCGCATCGCCTGGACGACGTCTCTCAGCGTGAGCTCCTCCTGCAGCAGTTGGGCTACGCCAATGTCCGAGAGCTTGTCCTGGAACTGGGCTTCGGGGTCATCTTTTGCGGCTGGCCTCTTGCCTTTTCGGGGAGACGGAGATGAGGGAGATGCCTTTGCAGGACTGGACGGATTCTGTCGTGCTGGGGTTGGTCTGCTGGGTTTTCTGACCCGGTTGGATTTGCCCAGGATGGATCGTAGACTTTGTGGCATCTTTTGTGATCTGGTCAATCTTCCGTTGTCCTTCTCTTTGTCTTTGCCGGGATTTAAATACACCCTGTTGTTGCTCCCTTGGGTCTGGTCAAAGGGGAATGGCATAGATCTGAGAAAGTCCCTGGTAGAATGCTGTAGTTTATAGGTGAACCTGTGGTCATCCTACATCAAGAGCAACACCGGGGCAAGGCGGCGGATAACGCGCACGGGTGGGAAATCATCTGAAAATATCGATGCTTAGACCGACGAATATGTGATGATGAGTCTTTCAAGCCGATGACCATGCATATAAGGATGGGAAAGCCAGCCAAGAGTATTTTATTACTCGTGAGATGTAAGGTGTTGTAGTTCTTACAGGTACGGTGCCTGAAACTCAAAAAATTCAATGGTTCTGTGGCAAAACTGGCTTACTAAACGTGGACCAAGAGGACAGCCTCAGCGATACTCGTATGTCACTGGCATGGAATTAGTAGATACCTAGGTAGGTAGTAGGTAGTAGTAGTAGTAGTCGCAAGCGGACAGTTGGAAGACAACAGCAATCATCCTTCATGTTCAATTCGCTATACTGAAATCTACTCACGCTGATTGAGCAAATTTTGACAATGCATATTAAACCATCCGGTAGCTATTAGTATCCAAATCCAGTTCTTTCCTCGCAAGACTCGGAGGAGAGTGCTCAACCAGCCGTAGTCAAGATATACGACGTGATGGCGCTCATCCGCTCACTCGTCAGCTTCAGCGAAATCTTCAAAAACTCCCTCGCAATCTCCGGCTCCTTCTGCTGCAGCCTCTTCCAGGCCTCCGTGTCCATGACCCAGACGGTGCAATCCCTCTCGACCTGCGCCGTCGCCGTCCGGCTGGTTTCGGAGAAGAAGGGCAGCTCGCCCAGCGTGGTCCCCGCCACGATGCTCTCGCAGAGCCGGCCCTGGGGAAGGTCGTACTCTGCGCGGATGATGCCGCGCTCGAGGAGGTAGAAGCCGTCCGCGGGCTCGCCGCGCCTGAAGAGGACCGTGCCGGCGGCGTAGTCCTTGCGTACAAAGTACGAGGCTGCTTGGAACCAAAAGTCTTCATTCTTGTCGCTCAGCCCCTGGAAGATTTGCAGCATCAGTCGGAGAGGTTCGTTAAAGCTCTGCCATCTTGATCTGCGCTGGATGTCGACGCTGTTGAGTGCGTCATACGCCGCTTCAACAAGGTGGTTGCGGCGTGGGGAGTTGAATGGCGGGTCGAAAGAGTCCAATGTCGTCGAGGTTGTGGGCACGTCCAGATTGGCGGTGGCCTGCTTCGCCGTGCTCAGCTCCTCTTGCTGGGCATAGAGCGTCTTGAGTAACTCGTTTTCACAGCTTTCCAGCGCCGAATTCAGATCCGGCAGCATCATGACCTCGATTCCACCGCTTCCCAGCCCCACCGCCCTAAGATTCCGGCCAAGTTCGCTATCGGCATCCAGGCCACTCAGGATGAGGTGCACTCCTTTGTTATTCAACAACCGGCTGATTGTGTTGAAAGCTTCGCCTGCAGAGTAGTCAAGTCCCGTGACATGCCACATGTCGAGAATGAGGAACTTGATCGGCTTCTGGGCAAACGTGTGCTCCTCCAAAAGCTCGCGAATCTTGGCTTCCACGCTAACGACGGTGCCAAAGAACAAGAACCCCGTGAGCTTCATGATGTGTATTTGACGGCCAACCCGCTGCAGGTAGCTGTCTTGTGACGGATTGCGTCTGACCGTCGAGGTAACGACTTCACCATCATAGATGGCTCGAATGGCCGATACCCTCGATGTCTGGATAGTGAGCGATACAAACGCCAACAGGATGCCAACGCCGATGCCCACTACAAAGTCGTAGATGCCCATGACTAGGACAATGATGATGACAGTGATATACTCTGCAGGCCTGAGCTTCTTTCGTGGAAGCCATACTGCCTCAAGCAGTAGTTCAAATCCGAGATCGAAAATGAGCGTTCCAACCATCATCACTGGGATCCAACCAATGATGCTGGGGCCAATGATCATAACGCCGAATGTGAGAAGCGCGAGCAAGTAGCCGGCAAGGCGCTTGTTGCCTCCTGATCGCAAGAAGAAAACGGTATTGGCATAGACGAGATAGTTTTGAATGCTGCCAAGGCATCCTGAAAGGAAGTTTGAGTATCCATGGAGCCTCAATTCTTTGTCCAAGTCGGCATTGTCCTCCCCAGAATTGAGTGCCAATGCAGGAACATTGATCGGAACGTGGAGGATGCCAAAGAATGTCAAAGCAAACATGGCAGGGATGACTTCGATGATTGCTCCCCAGTGTACCAGATGGAACTCTGCTCATAGTCGTTAGCAGTAGGAATCAACGTAATGAGTAGTAGGAAGAAGAACTTACGATACAATGTGTAAAAGTACCACCAAGGCTCATCTGGGGGAGGCCCAACGAAAATCCAGCCGTGATCCCGGAGCGTGCTCGGTTCAAGGACGTCAAGCGAGAAGACGAAAAGGTAGAAGACCAGAGGAATGGCCAATATGAACAGGGGAAGGAAATACTTGGATGCGCCTTTCATCTGGCCATAGAACAAGATAATGGCCAGAATAAGAGGACAGATCCAAAGGGGTATTGTCTTGGTCTCCATGAGCTTTTGCAACGTATCAAGGTCGTACTCGAGGCTACCTTCCAGTCGGGCCGAGACCTCGAAACCGGTAGCTATCAGGAACCAACCGACGCCTCCAATGCATCCTATCAGGATATGCCGGGGGATGAATCCGACCATGAATCCAAACTTGAAGCGGCCCATAAGGTAGAACACCAAGCCTGTCAGCATAGAGCTCATGGCATAGGCGACAATAGTCGTGGCGATGACTGCATCGGGGTTCTCTTCTCCTACGATGTCCAGGATTTTGGCTGCCATATTATGGAAGAAGGGAACAACTTCAATCTAAGGGAAGACGAGGGTTAGAGCCAGAGGCGAGGCATAGACAGTATATGAACAAGGGCGTACACACCAGCTCAGATCCCACAGCACCCTTGAATATGCTGCCTGTGGAGAAGACAAGTTGCGCAACAATGGTGCTGACGTAGTAGATGGAAATGCCAGCAGACCCCAAATGAGAAAATAGAGGAGTTCCGAGTGGAAACAAGATCATGCCTGGTGTCGTCAGTCATGTATTTCGTGTGATGACGGCACGCAACGTTCTTACCGTACGACAAGGCATCCAAGATATTCAGGAGCAAGCCCACGGCGACGGCCGGAAGGCAAGAAACAGGCTCCACCACGGCGGTCTCCCAGATGGCCTTTCGATTCCAGCGACTCGGACAGGATGCTACTTTCGCGAACTGAACAAGGCGACGCTCTACTTTCCGGCCCTGTTCAGTGACTCCATGCAGCCACCTTTTTCTAGCCGACGACTTTTGTCCTTCAATGTCGATGCTGCTATTGGTCCCCGACCCAAGATTCGGCCTCTCGAGGAGAGGGGTGTACTCTGAAGCCTCCGCCTCCCTTGTCTCTGGCCGCTGCTGTATCTCGTCGATATCTGAGGGTTGAGAATGTCCAGCTTCGAGATTCTCGAATCGAGGTGGCGGGATCTTTGCTTGTTCTGATACCGAGGATGGGGGAGAGGAGTTCTTGAGCAGATTGGCGAGCGCAGAAGGCCCATCTTCGCCCGTTGCCTGAGCACCGTGCTCTCCATCTTCCGGCGACGGCGGCTCAGTAACTTCGGGTATGGTCCCCGATGAGCGCCGTATGCTTCCCTCGATGGAATCGGCATCTGCAAACTCTGGCCCGAAAACTTCGTTAAGCGACGGTCTGCCCCTCTGAAGAAAGCTTGGGCGACGCTGAGCTGAGCCATCGGAGAGCAGGTATCGAGCCAGCTCGGCGGTGTCTTCGCGAACACTCCTCGCATTCTGCGCGCTGTCTACCGGGACTATTGTCTTGTCAGCAACACACGGCGTCCGATGGGTGCAGCAAAGAAGATCTAGTACCCAATTGGTCTCGTAGCGAGGCATGGATGAAGGAGCGAATCGGCTCCCGGTAGCCTTGCGCAGATCCCACAGAGGAAGACAGCTGCTGGTGGGAAGGATTCCCGGCCTCCAGCATGGAGCTCTCGGCGTGGCTCGCTGCATCTGTGCGATCATGATGCAACTGGTCCGTCTGCGAGGCGAGGCTGGAAGCCCTCTTCCGCCACGGGGAGAATCCTGTGACTGAGGATGACATGCTTGGAGCAGCCGACGGTGGAGCTCTGCCGACGAGCTAATCGGCGATGATATCAGTCGAGAATCGACATGAGGATGCTGGAAACGGTGTCGGGTTAAATATAGCGATGCGACTGGCGGCAATTGTATCTAACGAGATTTGCGGCGGAGATGGAAGCTGGCGGGGAGGACAAGGGGCGGTATTATCATGAAGCCGCAGGAGAGGAAGAAAAGACGATGGATAAGGTACGCTGCAGGAGATCGAGCATCATCGCGAGATAACGGCTATCAGGGAAACTTTGCGGATATCGAGGCGGCCTTGCTGAATCGAGGAATTTCCGGGGCGGTGGCGCCGACGCCGGGGGTCCCTGCAAATTGAGCTCTGGGCCTTGCTGGTGCAGTAGGTGGTTGTCCAGTTTGATATCAAGACCTTATCACAGGCGAGATGTGCCGGTTTATCTCTACTACCTAGTTGTTCGATTTTTAATACCTCCAATTGCTCTTACAGCATCGTATCGCTTGCATCAACAGCAACTGCGGATAGACGCCCCTGGTGGCACCCGATCAGCCCACTGTTGTTCTAGCACACTCGACGCCTGTTCTGCTGCAGATACGGCGCAATTGGTGGGTGCATGGCATGCAATGCGATCGATCTGCCCGGCTTGTGAATGGCCACAGCTCCAATCCTCCCGGCTTAGCCTCATCCACGACCCATTGAATCAAAGAGATTCTAGGTTGCCCACTCTTTGCACGTCTTTGCAGGCCTAGACTGCATTAGCGGGCAGAATCAACGAGCAGTCGTCATTATTACTCCGAGTGCTGCAGCGATCAAGACCAAATTCCTCTACATGGTAGTGAGATACTATCACGAGCGACACATTTTGCTAGGCTGCCTGCCTTATTCTGTGTTAGACGTACATTATCACCTTGCTCGGACCTTGCAGCATCACTGCCGTAGTGGCTCTAGGCCATCCATCAATGGCCATGCGTTGATTGACCTGATATAATTTCCCCGTGGGGTGAAGATGCGTAAGACAAAGACAATAGCTAGAAACATATATAACCCAGCCATGTTGTAATGCAAATCAAACTCTCATGTCCCTTACAACACCTCGCCTGGCCCGCCAACCGCCTTAGGAACGGCTGAGCGTATATTCATCATGCTGGTGACAGGCCTTTCAATGCCACATCATGCTGTAACTGCACTTGTTCACCATACCCGATCACAGCCTGAACAGGCGTTTAGCCTCATCGGCCATCATCGTCGTTTAGAGACACCATTCGAGTGATCAAGCAGCCACTCCTTATAGATGCGTTGCTGTGGCGTACTTTGACGCCGCCCTTAGAAGGGGGCTGCCCAATGCAACACGCAATATGGTTGCGGATGAGGCTCAACTCAGCTTTTGCAGATACCCTTGTGCAATCAGCCTCTCCACGTCCCCTTGTCGAACGTAGAATTGACTGTTCTTTGTCAAGGTGATTGCCCTGTAACCGGTTGGTAAGTCCGCTTAGTTCTCCAAAATCCGTGTGATGTGCAAGGCACTCACCCATATTCCGTCTGAATCTCACCCGCGTCTTTCAGAACACGGACGTCGATGAAGAGATCCCTCGGCGGCTCCAGGCTGCCCGTCAGATCAATGTCCGTCCACTGCCCCTTATACGCCGCCAGTAAATCTCCGTATTGCCGCACGTAGTCCTCTTCCTGCGGGCTGAGACTGCTCGTAGATCCATCGCCGCTCGCCACCCCGGTACTGCCTCTGGACGCTCCGGCATCTCGCACCTGCTGACCCGACAGGTCGACGACATCGACGCCATTCCACACGAGTTCTTCGAGCTTGTCGGTGCGGGTCCTGTGGTATGCCAGGAGGCATCGCTTGTTCCTGCGCATCGATATGTGGTTCACGAGCAGTGTGTATGCGATTGCCTGGTCCTCTGAGGGATCGAATGAGCCCTGAAAGGGCTCTAGAAGATCGTCGACATCCTTGTTTAGGTCTCTGACTTCTCTGGTCACCGCACGCACGAGCTCAGTCTGATAGGGGGGCAGATGTGCGAGATTCTGAGTTCTTTTGGCGTGTTGCACCTGTTGTCGCGGTGAGACGCGCTGTGTAAAGCCAGATGAGGGACGAATCTTACCAATTTGATGCCCAAGTCTCCGTACATTTCCTCTAGTGCCCAGCCCGTTTGCGACGCCTGGCGAACAGCAATTCTCCTGAACTATGCTTTTTTTCTGACTCCTGAACCAGTCAATGTCTCGTTGCTACTGTGCGCTGTGAACGTTGGGTCGGAAAACTTCAACAACTGTACTGCTTTGTTTTAGGTGTAAATGTGTAAATGTCTTAGGCGCAAGTTCAACCGTCATTTGGCGGCTGCTAAGAGAAATCGAGAGCACGCGGAAACCCCACCATCCAATGGCGGGTACAGAACGCCGGAGCTCTGACACACGACAAACGCCCTCATGACATGGCCGCAGGGAGGTTTTACATCGCTTTACAGGTGACTGGGCTTCCATTCACGCGACATGCAGTAACGAATGACTCGAAGGTGACAATGATAGCATGTGATATTCTGACATATTCTATCTACCTAATCTTCTATACGATTGCCTTACCTTCCATCGAAACTGTTAGCAAGAGTTCGAGTTTCGAACCACCAGCTTCTCTCAACCCAGTCAGGTTTCCAATATGCGTTGGTACTCTCTGAGGAAACAACACCGAGCATCTTCATAGAGAACTAAGCAGCACGATTGTTAGCTATGTTGCTAAGATGCGCATGATGATGGAGATTCCAAGAAAAGATAGTTCATGGCGAGAAGTTCAGTGTTGCACAATGTGCTTGTTGTGTCGTCTTGCGGCGGGTCTTGAGGCCGCCTCCGAAACACGGACCAATTGTTTTCATCATAAAATCCAGGAGAGATGTGATGTGTGTTTTGCAAGGAGTAAAGTGAGGTCTTACCTGCTCTGGTGATACTGAGGATTTCCGCTCAAATGTTAGCACCTATGCCACAGGACTCGCGCTGCAATGGACGCTATGCCGCCTGACAAGCTGAATCAAGCTGGAGATGCTAAGCATAGATCTCTTCAGCAGCCATTCGAGAAATGGCCCTCTGAGACACGCAATCTTCGTTTGGGGCAGAACTTGAGAAAGAAGAGAAAAAAAGTTCGTTGCGATAGGAAGCTTATTTATTGATCAGCAGAAAATTGCTGTTTATCGATACGGGATCAACATCGGCCCGTGCCCCCACTATTGCTCCAAGCTCGACGTAAGAGCTCCTGTAGCCTACGAAGCATCATGTCGCCCGCCACCACCTTGATGCCGGCATAGCACTTGGAGTTGAATACAAACAAGCCGCAGCTCAAATTTCGCCGACTTTCCTTCACACTTCAGCACACCGGACACCGGCACAGCTCTTACAGGCTCTCCACAATGCCGATTGCACCTATAATCACGTTCAAGGCCGGCCAGTGTGACGTCGACGTAAGAACGCAGCCGCAAGACGACCCCCATCTAACCTTGAGCTGACATGGCATTTTACAGACATCGTCGAAGCCATACAAGGTCACGCCGCGGCCTGAGCCTGGCTACATCTACCTATACTCCGAAGATGGTCAGTAGCGCGAGTTGCCGGTTCACGTTTGAGCACCCATTAACACGGACAGACCTGGTGCACTTCTGCTGGCGACGACGGAACCAGCCTTTGGATGACCCAGAACTCGACCTCGTCATGGTTCCCACAGACGGCAGCTTCCTTCCATACGACCACAAATCGTCTCCCCAGCCAACAGCAAAAACCAACGGCCGCATCTTCGTCCTGAAATTCGCCTCTTCCTCCCAGCGCCACCTATTCTGGTTGCAGTCTAAGCCTCAGGGACGCAACGGCGATCCGAGCTACTTCAGCCCCCGAGATCGCAAGATCGGCGATATCGTCCACAGACTTCTTCAGGGTGAAGAAGTTAATGTGACGCGGGAACTCGCCGCTGTTCGAAACAACAACGATCGCCAAGACGATGATGACGAGACGATGGAGGACATCGAGGGCCACGGCCACGGGGAGCACCACACTGGAGGCAGCGGCGGAGCTGGCCCCGATGCTACAGGAGGCGACATAAGAGAGGAGGGCGAAGGACCGAGAGAAGGCGGAGCCGATGGAGCGCGAGCGTAGGTAACCCCCAATTTCTTCATGGCTGATCATGAAACTATTCGCACGAGCTTGTCTGTTTCCTGTCATTGGTCTCTGAGAGTTGAGAACATGCTTTGGCATCGAATGACAGCCAATTTAATGTACTAAGAAACTTCCTTGTACCTTTGAACAGAGCTACGCCAAGTGATATCATGAGTCTGCCACGTGAATGAGACAAGATGAGAGATGACGAGGCTAATAACTTTCTAGAGCGTCGTCCTCAAACCCTGATGCCGCGGCTGCAGTAAGGAACTTTCTCGATTCGCTGAGAGGCCAGCCCAACCTGGCTGGGGATCAGCAACAGCAGCAACAGCAGCACCAACAGGCGGATATCGCATATCCCTACCTGAGCCACCTCCTACCAACCTCCATCACGGTGCCCATCGTCGACACCCTCTTGGCCGAAGAGGTAGATTCGCTTCTCAGCTTCCTGCCTCCCGCAGTCATTGTGCTCGCCAGTGGCACAGCTGAGCTCGATGGCAGGGCAGACCCAACCGCCGACCAGATCAAGGCCGCCAACGAATCCTTGTCATTGGAGAAGAAGCAAGCCCTCTTGAAGAAGGTGCTCCGAAGTCCTCAGTTCCACCAAGCCCTGGGAACGTTAACGATGGCCCTTCGAGACGGAGGCCTGCCCAGCATCGCCGATGCGCTCCATGTCAAGGTTGAGAACGACGGATATCTGCAGCCGGGAATTCCCATGGGTGGTGGTTATGCTGTCAAGGCCTTTATTGATGGCGTCAAGAAGACTGTGAAGGACAGCAGGCAATGATGCCTTGCGAGCTGATGTTACGTTATGGCTTTATGAGACTAAAAGCCTTTGTTTTGTTTTTTTATTCTCTCTTCACGACTTTTCGGTAGCTTCTTTCAGTATACTGATGAGATTTTCAAGGGATGAGCCATAATTCCTATTCAATTGAGTCCACAAAAAACATATCCATCGACGCTGCAGGTTTGTTTCCTCCTGATACTGAATAGGCACTGAAGCAAATCTGAGATGAATGTCACCGGTGGTTGAGGCTGCGCTTCGGTACATGCAGGTACAGCTGGTGAAGACGGCTCGCAGTGGGGCTGTTAGTGAGGTTGCAGCGCGCTAAGCCATTGGCAGCTGCTGGTGGCACCCCAGTTTACAGCCGGCAGTACCTACATGTAACTTCTGTAGTTCATCAAGGTCCTGCTGCTTTTTTTCCCCAGAACAACCTACTCACTCTCTAGAGATCATGCTTCGTTAGATTTCCTGCGCATCCCAGCCCTCGCCTCTTCCCAGCAAAAGGTCAGACACGATGGACGTGCCGTTCCCGACCGACGTGCGCGAGTTCGACAGCGACGAGCGCATCTCCTTCTCCAAGCTCGACAACAAGTTCATCGCGGTGCATGACGATGGAACCGAGTTCGAATTCGATGCCGAGCTGAAGAAATGGGTGCCGACTGAGGAAGAGCCGCTGGAAGACGAGTTGAACGACCTTAGAGAATACAGCGGAACCCCTGCGGAGGGTGACGCGCTGCACAAAAAGCGAAAGCATGACGAGGAGAATGGCGACGAGGTAAGTTATCACGACCACAGCATGGATGTCCTGTGCCTTTACGCAGTGCCACGACGCATTGCGAGCCAACCTACGCTGTCAACAAAATACTAATTGCATGCTCAACAGAAAGCCGAAGGTTCCAAGCCTGCCCGTTCCAACAAGAAGCAGAAACCCCCGCCGCAACCCAAGCAGAACACTGCCGTCTACGTAACCGGCCTCCCCGCCGACGCCACGGTCGAAGAAGTCCACGACTTGTTCTCTCGCAAGGCCGGTGTCATTGCCGAGGAAATCGACAGTGGAAAGCCGCGCATCAAGATGTACACAGACGCCGAGGGTAACTTCAAAGGCGATGCGCTCATTGTCTTCTTCAAGCCCGAGAGCGTCAACATGGCCATCATGCTGCTGGACGACACCGAGTTCAGGTTCCTGCCCAATGGCTCGACGGAGGGCAGAATCCGAGTCCAGGCCGCCGATTCAAGCTACAAGAAGACGCAGTACGACCAGGAGAATACTGGTGAAGCGAGCAACGGAAATGGCCAGAAACGACAGCGAAACGAAAAGGATCGACAGAAAATCATCAAGAAGACGCAGAAGCTAGCTGCTAAGCTCGCTGACTGGGACGACGACGAGCCATATCTGGCGCCGGTGCAGCCGAACTCGAAGCGGGACAGGACAGTCATCCTACGGCACATGTTCACGCTGCAGGAGCTGGAGGAAGACCCCGCGGCTCTGCTGGAGATTAAGGAAGACATCAGAGACGAGTGCTCCAAGCTCGGCCCCGTCACCAGCGTGGTCCTGTACGATCTGGAGCCCGAAGGCGTGGTATCCGTCAGGTTCAAGACCGCTGAGGCGGCAGCTGCCTGCATCAAGCTCATGCACGGACGGAGCTTTGGCGGCAACATCGTTCACGCGACATTGGCGACCGGTGAGAAGTTCAAGAAGTCGCAGAATGAAACCCACGAGCACTCGGATTAGACAAGGGGAACCCAGCGGGAAAAGGTTGCATGTCTGATTCTTCCTCACTGTTCTCTTTCGAATCTTACTGTTTGTAAATCGCATCCTGGTGGCTACTCACAAAGTAGTACTAACTGATACCCCTTTAAAGCTAGGTTATGATTCTCACCCGTCAATTGACGGTTTACCTACCTCAGATACTCAGATACGTGCCTGCTCCCGTGGTTCCCATCCGTTGTTACCTACCAAAAAAGAAGAGTTCATGCTACATATGCCATAACAGACAAAGGACAAACGCCATACGCTGTAAAATACCCTAAGAGACAAATGATGTATTCCGAGACATGTTGGGTCGTGGAGGAGACGTAGCAGGCAGGTCTGTACCCTCTTTTCTCTTTGCCTTTTCATTTTGCGTTGATGTCGACCTCCTCGGCGAGGGTGTACCAGATGGCGGCGTTGATGATCTTGCCGACAATTTCCAGCTCCATGTCATCTGCGGTGAACACTGTGAGCACGCCTTGAACAGGATCTACAGTTTGGGGCAGAACATCGCCTCAAGGGGAGCATCGAGAATCGACTGAACCCAACAAACAAGAAGGGAACTTACTTCTGGGCGCATAGATCATGACAAAGTCCTGGGAGACGGGCATCTGAATGAAGCGCCCCTTCCACGCCAGCGGATGCCTCTGGCCCCAGCCCTTCTGCAGAATCTCCTTGATGTCGTCCGGGTGCAGACACAGGTGCATGGAGTGGTCGGAGTCGTGGACGTGGCAAATCTCGCCCTGGCAGGTGGTCTGCAGCGGGTGCCGCGCGAAGAGGGCCAGGCCGTGCTTCTCGAGACACGAGCGCTCGGTGCCAAACTTGGACGGGTTTCTTGCGCTGAGGCGCTCCATGGCGCGGCGGAGTGCGATGTAGCACTGCCGAGAACCATGCTGGTCGAGCTGGCGCTGTGGAGCGATGCCGGCGACGGCAGGGCGAGGGCCGGCGCGGTAGGGGAGGTGCTGGCTGCTCAGGATGCCAGCCTTGGGTTCGCGGTTCGGGTCGGGCAACGGGGCTGTGAAGGGGTCCCGCAGCGAGAGCATGCGGAGCCAGGTTATGCGGAGATAGCCCTGGATGGTGGACGGGGTGCCGCCGGGCCCGAGGCTGAGGAAGTTGCGGTAGTCATTGTGGACGAGCAGGGCGATGGGGATGAGGCTGACGACGGCCTCGGCCAGATATGCCTCCAGGAAGTGGATGGCGAGCACGACGCCCAGGGAGACGACGAAGACGGCGGTGCCGTCTAATGTGACTGAGATGGGCCGTTGCCGGACGATGCAGGAAGCCTTGAGCAGATCTACCTCTGAAAGCCGCTGCTCGGGAGGCTCATCGTTATGGTCAGGGATCAGAGACAGGGACGTTATTGTCTCGGTTGGAGCAATTGACAAGGACATGACGACAAAGATGCTCCGGAGGGACAGATAGATAGGTAGCTAGCCACAGAAGTTTAAAGTACTAGTATCAGCCAGCTCGCCATGCAGAACTGGAGTTTAAGCTCGAGGGGGGGGGGGGGCGCGTTTCAAGGACCATGCGAGGAGGAATTGCGGACGAACTTATACAAGTAAGGGCCGAAAGAAGGAAGAAGTAGGTAGGGAAGGCCTTAGGTATGGGACAGGTCAGGTCAGGTCAGGTCAGGGGGGGGGACGACGTCCGGCGGTCGGCGAGCCACCCCTCAGAGAATGTTATGTGGCGGCTGATGGTCTGGGGTTTTTACGCTGTCGAGAACGCAGTCACTTGGGGGCGTTGTCTCCCGACAGACTTGTGAACGAACAGAGAGGTTCTTGTTGCTCGCTGGAGCTTTCGGGAATTGGGGGGTGGTGGAAATGAGGGTTTGTTCTGTTGGAGGAAATGGAAGCCAATGGACAGCGCATGCTAAGGAACCATTGAAAGGCTTCCAGCCTGTTCGGCAAGTGGCTGAGGTTTGGCGAGGGCCATCTGCATCATATCACGTTCCACGAGGCAAGGGGACTGGGCCGTCTTTTGCTGATCCCAGCAGATCACGAGGGAGGATGACTGTAATGAGCCTTATGACGTTGGGCTGATGTCGGTTGGAGGAGATGCGAGTCCAGCTCTACTCTCCATCCTCTGCTATAATAACCGGGGCGACACTAACTCGGCAGCTCTTTTTCTCACCTTCTCCTATATAAGGTAGTTGTTACTGACATTAGGTAGTAGGTGGTGCCATTATTTCCGTAGCGATGAGCCGAAGGTCGATGGCTTCATGTTCCCATCACTAGTAAACAAGAGCTGGAAACGGTCAAAACTTCATCACGATTCGACAAGGCGGAGGAGCCAAAAAGGTGCAGATCAACCCCGGTTTCTTTCCCCCCATCGCTACAAAACCCACCCGGTGACACAACTGCCTGGGTCACTCTCTGACTTAGAACTCAAAGTGGGCATCGAAGAAATAAGGAAAAAAAATGATGGACCCGTTTTGCCGTTGAAGATGAATTGAAACACTTCTTAAGCTCTCACTAATACAAGTACTAGGTAGGTAGGTAATTGTCACAGGCTACCGACGAGCCCAGTGGCGCCACAGCTCCGCCATGGCTACATGGCCCGAAGGCCGAGCCCGATGGCCTTTTTTTTTGGTGCTTGTTTCGTGTCTTCCCGGGTCATGCGTACGTTTCTTAGCTGGATCATTCCACGGCGGTTGCAAACACACAAGGGCTTATTGGCTGGGCGGGAGAGGCATCATGTAGGGGAGGGGGGAGGGGGGCTGGCTGGCTGGCTGCTTCACCGATAGAAGAAGCACCCATGTTACCAGAAGCAGTTGAGCTCGCATTCTCGACGACTCCGCAAATGTGACGGGGGACGTGGTTCTGGATTTTGGAAGGTGAGCGGTTAATATCATATGAAAGAGAGCCTAGACCGTCATGAAGGCGAAGAACGTTGGCATATGGTTCCATGAACAAGACTTTGAAGGAGACGATGGCTTTGATGAGCTGTGCTGTTACGGCTGGAGGCGTTTTACTCGTATGTATGTGTGTATCCCCATGGTGAAACCCGTTTTCCGAATAATTCTCCCTAGGATTCTGAACCATTCTCAATCGGCTGAGCAACACTAGAACGGCAGACTCCGAGCCCGCACCTTCGTATCGAGATGGATCAACAGTTGCATGCATGGATCCATACAGGGTAGCACTGCATCGTCCCTACGGCTGGACGTTACCGAGTCAATGAGAGAAGACGATTGCCCAAGATGCTCGTAATACTTGACTTGAACACTGAGGCCTAATGAATCTGCCAACGTCCGACGACACCTTGAGCCGCTGGATATTATTACAAGTTCCAGATACACAGTCGAATTGGACTGCCCTTCCATAATGATCCTGCAGACATTATCAGCGACTCGAGACGCTTCCTCTCACATCTGCTTGCTGATGGAAGCTTCGATTAGGTAAGCTTGGGCTACCTGCAAGTTGTTGCCCAGCAACCCAACGCATCTCGCTATACTGTATCGCTTGCTGCCATGCTCAATCGGCTGGACACTGACAAGGGCCACGACAGCTTTTGTTGCTATCTTCCCTTTTTCTGAAGCCGGCGCTTCCCTTGTGTGTTGCTTACCGGACATTTCAACGAATCATGATGCCCCAAGCATAGCCGATTGCTTCCATCAGCATCTCGCTTGAACCGCTTGTTTACTGCATTGATACACACAGACCGCGCAATTGCTCGTCGCTGCACAAGCCGGAGTGCGGGCTCGAATCCGGACAAACCGAACCAAATTCCTGGCTGGTATGAGACAAGGCTGAGGCCTCTTTTAGTATCTTGCTTCTCCACATCTCTCATACCTCCGGACCGTGCTCGGGATACAGACGACGAACCTCGATGCGGCTCTCCAACCCGGTGCGGCGGTCCCGCGACACGCGGCTGCCAATGTACCACAACCCGAACTCGGCCACGAAAGAGCGCTCCTCCAACGACGGCTACTACTCTTCCTCCGATGGCGACTCAGAAGCCTCCTTCTCACCCCCGTCCTCCGAGGGATCTAGAAACGTATCCGAATCGTATCCCGCGCGGCCGCTGCTTGTTCCCAAGAGGAATAATCAGAGACCGACCCCTCAGCGGTCGGCGAGCTTCTATCCGTATAGGCTACCGCCGCGGATTGTTCGCTACGTTGTCTTTGCGATAGTCGGGCTGATTATTCTCATGATTGGCACGCTGATCCGGGCGAGTCAAGTGGAGAACTGGAAGGTCGCCAATGGCCAGGTGAACAGTCGACCGGCGCCTCCTCCGCTGTGGGAGAAGTTCCCTTTCCTCGAGCGGTACTATGGCGGTATACGCACCTTGGTTCCTTTGAACGAGAACAAGCCCGAGTATCCCAAGTCCAATGAGCCCGCGCCACCCGCCCAGAGCGCTTCGGACAGCAAGGTGGAGGATCGCGAAAAGGACTTCCCCGTCAGCCACTCTTGGGACGACTACCACGGACGGAGTAACGACTCTGATATCAAGGAGTGCTTTCTTGATGCTGCCGGCAAGATTCGCCCACCTCCCCTTCGATATTACAACGGCCGACCAAGCGGTTTCCCGCTGCACGTCATTGGCTCTTATGAGGTCCTCAATCTGCCCGAAGAAGTCTGCTTTGAGAGATACGGCAAGTTTGGCCCATATGGGTTCGGTTATTCTGTCCGCACTGGAGGCTTAGGCACGGGAGAACACCTCGAAAACGAGGACGCGGAATCTGTTTGGGGCTCTGGCTCTCGAGTGGATTATCGCGAGGTTGACTGGGCGGATGTTCAACGACGCTGCTTCCAGGCTAACGTCGGTCGATACAAGGAGTTGCCGGCCAAGACACCATCTCCCCAGGGCTTCTATGTTGGTAGCTTGAAGGCGGCAAAGGTCCAATTGCGAGACTCTCAGTCGAACGACAAGGACAAGACGGCGGCCGCGGCTGATTCCGCGTCGGGTAAACAAGTGGCCAAGCAATCACGAACCGCCGTTGTCATCAGATGCTGGGATGAATTCGTGTTCCGCGAAGATGATTTTGCGAACCTTCGATCCATGATTTCCGAGCTTTCGCTGGCTTCCGGGGGCCGATACGACGTTCATCTACTGGTGCAAGTGAAGAATGACGCAAAGCACCCTGTCTGGGCCGACCACGAAATCTACGAACAGCGGATTAGAGACGCGATCCCGAAGGAGTTTCAGGGGCTAGTGACGCTCTGGACTGAGACGCAAATGCTCTCTCTGTACCAAGGCATATACGACTTGTTCAGCCGCGGCCCAGAGCTTCCAGTGCACGGCGTTTACCGTGGCCTCACCATGGCTATGCAGCACTTTGCCTATCTGCACCCCGAGTACGACTATTTCTGGCAGTGGGAGATGGACATCCGCTACACCGGCCACTACTACGACCTGCTCTCCAAGCTCGAGAATTGGTCGAAAGCTCAGCCGCGGAAGGGGCTGTGGGAACGGAATTCGCGCTACTACTTCCCCCATGTTCACGGCACGTGGGAGGACTTTTCGCAGATGGCTCGAGTGCAGAGCGAAATGGGGACTCCTGGGGCCGACAATGTCTGGAAGAACGTGCCCGGCCTCGACGGCCAGCCTCCGGAGGCGGCCACCAAGAAGAAGATCAAGACGGTCTGGGGCCCTATCCGACCTGCCGATGAGAAGGACTGGTTCGAGGCTGAAAAGGATCCCCGCCCGCCGTCTTCGTACGACTCTGACCATTACCAATGGGGCGTTGGTGAGGAGGCGGACTTGATCACTCTGAACCCCATCTTTGACCCCGAGGGTACCACATGGGGCCTGAAGGACGACATCACGGGCTACAACCGCTCTCTGCCGTTACCCCCTCGACGAGCCAGCATCATCACCACGTCTCGAATGTCAAGGCGCCTCCTCATGACCATGCACAGGATGACGGCGCACAAGAAGCAGTTTGCCTTCCCCGAGATGTGGCCCGCGACGGTTGCTCTCCAGCACGGATACAAGGCCGTCTACGCACCACACCCAGTCTATGTGGACCGTAGGTGGCCGGTGGACTACATGGCCCAGACGTTCAATGGTGGCCGCGATGGGACGACTGGCGGAGCGAGGACGAGTCTCTACGGCGAGCGGGAACATAACCTCAGAGGCTTGACGTGGTTCTACAACTCCGGGTTTGGCCCCAACCTGTATAGACGCTGGCTGGGTCTGAAAGTGAACAATGACGGCGGAGAAGAATTTGAGAAAACGCAGGACAAGAGCCGAGCTGGCTCCGGTGTCTCGGCCATGGCTGGAGGTGAGGGGCGCATGTGCCTACCTCCCATGCTCCTACATCCTGTCAAGGAGGTGGACATTCCCATCGAGGCTCCTCCGGAGGAGGAAGAAATGGGCAATGAAGTACCCGAATCAGACCCCGACGCATGATGGTCTCGACGGAGCTGATCTTTTACTCATCTTGTTTCCTTTCTTTTCTCTAACTCTGGATGACTTTTCGAGCGTTGGGCGTGGCAAATTCTTGGATTATATTCACCCCTTTTTTTAGACTTGCTGGTTGTGTACGAAGTGCATGGCACAAAGTCGCGATGATAGAGATACCCATGTAATATGTTGGGATGTGTAGTCTCCCATTAAGCCTGGGAGCTGATGAATGAACGTGGTACATTTTGATGCATTGTCACAGCTTACGTGGAGATATCAGGATCCGACCTCGTTATATATATGGCTCGTGAGGTGCGTTGCCATTTGCACAAGCTGATGGATGGGATTGTCAGACGCACGACTAGGTATAACGACAGAGACTTTGTTTGTATTGTGATTCATCAGGTGGATATGGAGAGCATTGTGACTTATGCTCCTGGACTTCCAGTTTATTTTCCGTTTGTGCCATGTCGTCCTCTGTCCCAAGCATGGCTCCCCTCTTCAACCCCTCTGGTCTGATCATCGAATATCCCACCCTTTTATGCCAAATCAATGCGCACTCGCTCGCCAACACTCCAATTCCTTCCTTCTCAGCCCAGCGCAGAACAAAGCTCGCAAAGGCCCAATCACTTTCAGAATGCCTTGTTTTTTGGTTTACTGTTTTCCCCCTTTGAGGTGGTAGCGGTAGTCAAGCCGGGTTGGTCAAGAGAGAAGAAAAACAAAATAAAATAAACAAAACTCAGACCACGCGCTTGACCTCGAAGAAGCGACGCAGCCACCAGACCTGGAAGAGGGACTCGCCGATGACGATGCCAATGACGAAGAGGTTCCACCACTTGACGCGGGAGTTTGTGCTCTCGGCGGTGTTGCGGTGGGTGCGCTCGCGGACGACAATGTACTGCTGCTCGTCCTTGATTTGGGCGAGGAGCTCGGATAGTCTGCGGACTGCAAAGGCGAATCGATGTTAGCCGAAACTATTTACTTCCCCCAGTTTGTTTTTGGAAGTCATTAGGGGGAGGGGAGAGAACAGGTGTATATATATATGTACCTTCTGACTCGAGAGGATCGCTAGGACTGTCGGCCTCGTTGACGTAGACGATGCCGTGGACATTGAAGGAGACCTCCTTTGTGTTGGAGACCCAGTGCTGGTTGCCGAAGCAGTAGGTGTATTTGCCGTCGTGGACGGCCGTGAAGGAGTGGTCGCCGTTGGAGACGGTGCGCTCGTTGATCTGGTACTCGCCGATGGGGTTCATGATCTGTCCAGAATTTGACCAATTCGGTCTGTCGTCAGCAGCTGCAAAACAAGGGTCCTTGATCTCCATTGTATGTCCCGGTCGTTGATGTAATGATCCTCTTCTCCCTCCCCCCTTCTGCCTGACAAGGCATCTGGATTTGGTTTCTAACCCCCCCCATGCTTGATGAATTCCAGGACAAAGAAGTGAGTCATACCCAAAAGTCAATGTCGAGGTTGCCTGCGCTCCCAAACTCGCGGTCGCCGACCTGGAACGTGACGGTCATCTTGTCGTCCCTGTGCAGGCTCTCGTGGAAGCACTCGACGCCGCGGGCCGGCAGGACGATGTTGTGCGCCGCAACGGCCTGGAAGGCCACGGCGGCGGCGAGGAACGTCCTCGCAGCTGAGAGGAGAAGCATGTCGAGACGGAGAGGAGAGAAATCGATTGGATTGGCTGACTGTAGGGGGAGAAGGGAGAGGAGGAAAAGAGAGAGGAAGTGGCAGCAAGCACAAGACAAGGCTGGAAGCCTGTTGCTAGTATTCGCTTCTGATTTTCGAGATCGCGAATTGACCACCTTGGCCAACATTCACTGTACCTTAGCTACTGGAGAGGTACCTATCGACCCCTGCCGCCCTTGGCAAACAACATTACACAGCGCAACAAGGTCCCGGCTACCCAGGCTGCATGGGCCGCGGTTTTACCGACAAGGCCTCAGGGGCACGAGGGCATCGAGATACAGCCGCGATACTTGGGCTGCTCTGTGCCAGAGATGACGAATAGCGGGTCGTTGGGCGGGTGGAGAGCACCGGAGGAGCGCCTCTTGGGGGCGGCTCTGGGGCAATGGATGACTGGACAATGGGTGCAAAGTACCGTGCGCGTACCGCCGGGGGCGTGATAAGGCAGCGAGGCAGGGCGGGCTGGTAGCGCCAAATCTGGGCAGCAACGTGCGGGCGGTACCCGGTACCTACATTGTGCCCTCCATGTGCTGCCCAGCCCGCACCGCCTCGAGGCTGTAACGCCGTACCGAGTGGCTCGTACCGCCTGTCCCCTGTATTCTGCGTTCTGAAAGACCAGATCAGGCCTGTACCGTGGGAATCTACAGTGCAAGCAGTTCCCTCCCTCGCTCGCTCCAAGCTGCCCTCTAATAATCAGGTACCTACCTGACACCTACCTACGAGGCCGGGGGTGGTTTTTGAACACTATTTTTGTCCGTAACTGTGGCATTAGAGCAGGCTCTGCTAACAGACCTTTTTATATTTCTACACAAGGTCGCTCTGTTACCGATCTTATACTGTTAGCTCTCTGAAATTATGTTGCAATGCTGTTTCCCATTATTCTTTAGTAGGGAATACTGTTTAAATATCTAGACTTTCTCTATAAAATAAGACAAAGGCTATGTTGGCAGAGCCAGGGCTAATGCCACAGTTACGGACAAAAATAGTGGCTGCAGGACTGTTCAAAAACCACCCCCGGCCTCGTAGGTAGGTATGTAGGCAGGCTACAGTACTGGACAGTTATCAAGTTGGCAGTGTCCAGTCAACGCCCGCCCCTTGTTGCCCCTCTCCCCTACTAAAAAGCCTTAGTCGCCTTGGCCCGTCGTCCCAGCCTGCAAAAGCCAGCCCGGCCAAGTCGATTCCCTTCCATTCTTCCCCAGTCTCACCGACACAAAACCCTCCCCAAGACACGCCTCCGTCCGTCCTCGTGTGCCCAAGCCCGCGATCGCCTACAGGTGAGTTTCGTCCCCAGCCAGCCTCGAGTCTTTGTTTTGTGCGTCCGCCTCTGCCCGCCTCTCTGCCCGCTGCGCGTCTCGCCGTCGCCCGATTCATGCCAGAGTCGCCTCTTTGTCTTTTTTTCCCTCCCATCTCCTCCCAGGGGATGGCGCTAGCGAGAGAGAAAGACAGCTCAGCGAAAATGCGAAAATGCGGCAGCCTGGCCGTTCGTTGACGCCCTCTTTTCGTGCCCATGCCCAAGCCCATCTGGCAGCTTCGCCCCCCCCCCCCGGGCCCGGGATACGGTGTCCTCAAGCATCTCGCCGGGACGCATCGCTGCCTCGCCGCGCGAGATAAATAGGCGTCTCTTCCCCGGGGGGGGGGGGGGGGGGGGAGGGAGCGCCCTTCGTCTGGCTGGGCTGCCGATGACTGCTGGGCTTGCAGAGGTGGCTTCAATTGCGTCTTTCGCTGCACTACCCCAAACTTCTCGTCCACGCCATTGTCGCTCCATTTTCCAATCTCCTGCACGCCACCTTGTCCTTTTCATCGAGAAACGTCATTTCCTCCATCTCCTCTTCATCTTTCGACTTTGGCATCAAAGCCTGCTGCTTACGCGTTGCATCAAAACAGGACACCTTTTCCTTTTCCCTTCCACCCAAGCCACACACATTCGACGCTTGCTAGGCCGCGCCGCCGCCAGTCGCAATCATGGGTCTCGCTTTTTCCAAGATTTTCGACAAGCTATGGGGGAAGAAGGAGATGCGAATTCTTATGGTCGGTCTCGATGCCGCCGGTAAAACCACCATTCTGTACAAGCTGAAGCTTGGTGAAATCGTCACCACCATCCCCACCATTGGTATGGGCTCCTCCATTGGCCCCCCCGCTCTCGACCCCTCCGTGGGTTCAGACTTTCCCATCTAACAAACACTTCGCTGCTTAGGCTTCAACGTCGAGACTGTTGAGTACAAGAACATCCAGTTCACCGTGTGGGATGTCGGTGGTCAGGACAAGATCCGTCCTCTGTGGAGGCACTACTTCCAGAACACCCAGGGAATCATCTTCGTCGTCGACAGCAACGATCGGGATCGTATCGTCGAGGCCCGAGAGGAGCTCCAGCGCATGCTGAACGAGGATGAGCTGCGAGATGCCATCCTGCTCGTCTTCGCCAACAAGCAGGATCTGCCTGTACGTCGACCCTTCCCTTGGTCTTCCTACCCAACACCTCTTTTATGGAATCGCCTGCCATCACTGGGGGGCGGTTACTGTACTCAATCCTTGGGAAATGATATTTGCTGACGTTAACCTTTTGCAGAACGCCATGAATGCTGCCGAGATAACTGACAAGCTCGGCCTCCACAGCCTGAGGCAACGCGCCTGGGTAGGTAGCATCTCATCAGATGGAGCGATGGCAAAGCCTGCTAACATGCTTCCCACAGTACATCCAGTCGACCTGTGCCACATCCGGAGATGGTCTCTACGAGGGTCTCGAATGGCTCGCCACCACTCTCCGAAAGGCTGGCCACCAGTAAAACAATAAAAAACCAACAAAGACCCTCGACTGGTAGAGCTTCCCGCTCTACATCCCGCTTCCCTACCGCACACTCCCGCAAACTTGTTGCCGAGCTCGAGAATTCGGTTGTAATTTGCAAAGTTATATCGATCATACCAATCAATTTTAATCCATAAACTCTGTCAACTCCTTTGTCTGTCCAAAGTGCATTGCACCTCATGCGCTCTCACATGCCACTCGCCGTGTGCCTGTTGATTTACATACCCTGACAATGTTTCGAATTGGCCGGGAAAGGATTTAGCTCTTGGAAAAAAAAAGGGCTGTGTGGACTTGTCCAGAAGGTCTGATTCGAAAGACGCTTCAGCAAGGAGATACCAGAACTGTGGGTTGCTTGGTTGATCGCTGCCTACCTACATGCGTCAGAGCCATTCTTGAGCACTCCAACTGGCTTGTCACGGGCGTGTGAACTCTTCAAACCAAATTGAAAGGAAGTTTGAGAGGGTGAAAATGATGGAGGAGAGGCAAGATTGACAAGATTTGGAAGGATAATGTGTTCAGGGAGGTTGCAAGAGGAGGAGGGGCTCCTTGTTGTTACTACTGGTGCCCTTTGGGTGCTTCATGTTGTTTTTGTTCTCATGATGGATGCGTCTTATGTTGTGTTTCTTCTCTCTCTCTCGCTCCATTGTCTCTCATGGTTCTTGTCTGTTTCGGCTCATTGCGCTAGATTGGCGGAGTTGGGTTGTTCGATTGAAAGGCCTCCTCGGCTGGAAAATGGATCGTAGCGGAATTGAACGATAGGAGGGGGGTTGCGTGCGGTATTGACGGGGTTGATGAGTGTTTTTGCTACGCCTTTTCGCCCCATTATTACTACTGTTATTTCTTATTGCCTTTTTGTGTCTATCTTGCTTCTTTGTGGATGTGAATTGTATTGGTTTGATGTGATGTTGCTGAAATGACTCTGGGACTATTCTATAGATGGACCGAGGCAGGTATATGAGCATGTGCAAGGAAGGTTTGGAGGAGCATGGGTGGAGTTGAAGCGGCACTTTGCTCTGAATCAGACGATTCTCTTTGATTCTCTTTGAGTAAATAGACTGACAATATGATCATGGTCAATCCACTACGAAAGACAAGCCATGAGAATATGGAGAAAAGAGGAGAGGAAATCATCAGAAACTGACAGAACCATTGCCGATATAAGGCTGATAACGTGCACAATGGAGAGATCACATGTAAAGGCACCAGATGAACTAAAATGGGAAAAAATGAAATTTTAAAATTTGCCAAAAAGTTAGGTTCCAGAGGGAGTCGAACCCTCGCTGGCGGAATCAGAATCCGCAGTCATAACCGTTAGACCATGGAACCAGATTGAAGTGGTTAGCCACTTCCCATGGATGCTAGGAGGGGACGCTAATGGTCTTTATGAACTTTGACAACAAGGCATCCTTTTTACTCAAATTTTGAGAGGAGAGCAGAATATCAACACCCCTACTGCTTCAGTGATGATGCAGATTCACAATGCTCGCATTTTGATAGAAATATGATTTGCTTCGTTACTCGTGACCCGCTGAACATGGGAGATATTGAATCTCCTTCATATTCAAAAGCGGGGTATCAAACTATTTACATGTGTTTCCGAGGGGAGTTTGTTACACCCAATATTATACAAAGTCATCGCACCAGTCGCAGTCATAAGCCAACTTGAAACCAAAAAGAACTCCATAAATGCCAGATCATGATGCCAATCGCAATCACTCATTGCTTGTTCAAGCATTCTCGGAGACATTCACAATCTCCAGCCCCTCCTTGTCGTCCTTCAGCTTGACCTCCGCCGTCTGTCCCATCTTGAGTTCGCCCCTGATGATCTTGTCGGCAAGCCCGTTGCTGATCTCGTTGGTAATTAGCCTGTTCAGCGGACGGGCTCCAAACTTGGGGTCGTAGCCACGCTCCGCCAGCCAGTCCTTGACATCGTCCGACACGGAGAGCGTGATGCGCCGGTCAGTGAGACGCTGCTGCAGCTCCTTGAGGCGGATGTCGACGATTTCGCGAATGGCGCTCTTGGCCAGCCGCTTGAAGATGATGAAGGAGTCGATGCGGTTGAGGAACTCTGGCGGGTAAGCGGACGCGACCACGTCCATGACTGCCTGGCGGACCGATGGGTCAATGTCGCCGTTGGCGTCCTCCTTGTACGGGTGCAGGTGGTTCTGGCCGACGAGGATATCCGCTCCCAGGTTGGAGGTGAGGACGATGATGGTGTTCTTGAAGTCGACCTTGTGGCCCTGCGCATCGGTGAGGTAACCCTCGTCGAGAACCTGGAGAAGCAGAGCAGAAATGTCGCGGTGCGCTTTTTCGAACTCGTCGAACAAAAGGACCGCATACGGCTTGCGACGCACCGCTTCCGTCAGCTGCCCAGCATCTTCGTATCCAACATAGCCGGACGGAGCGCCAATGAGGCGAGAGATGGTGTGCTTCTCCTGGAATTCCGACATGTCGAACCGGACGACGGCTGATTCGGTCGAGAAGAGGAAGTTGGCCAGCTTCTTGCACAGCTCCGTCTTGCCAACGCCAGTCGGTCCGAGGAAGAAGAATGAGGCCAGGGGGCGGTTCTCGCCGCTGAGGCCGGCCCGCTGGAGCCGCACGGCGTTGGAGACGGCTTTGATGGCGTCGTCCTGTCCCTTGACGGATTCCCGCAGAATGTCCTCCATGTGGACAAGCTTCTCAATATGTCCCGAAGTGAGCTTCGAGACGGGAATGCCGGTGATGCGAGACACGACATTGGCAATGTCGTCGGCGGTCACTGAGTCGTGGATGAGCGTGCTGTTGTCAGAGCTTTGCTGAATTTCCTTGTCGGACGGCAGTTTCTGCTCGAGATCGGGGATGACGCCGAAGCGAAGCTCAGAGGCTCGAGCAAAGTTGCCGCTTCTCTGCGCTTGTTCGAGCTCGAACTTGGCCTTGTCCAGCTCCTCCTGCACCTTCTTGACGGACTCGATTTCCGATCTCTCCTTTTCCCACCTCGCGTTGAGCTCTGAAAGTTCGTCCTTGTACTTCTTGAGATCCTGTTCCAGTTTCTCTCTGCGTTCCTTGCTCGCAATGTCTGTTTCTTTGCGTAGACTCTCCAATTCAATCTGGATTGTCATAATCTTGTGGTCCAACTTCATAATCTCTTCGGGCTTGCTTTCATGTTGCAGCTTCAGGTGACTCGCGGCTTCGTCCATCAAATCGATGGCCTTATCCGGGAGGAATCGATCCGTGATGTATCGGTTAGACAGGGAAGCGGCAGCAACCAAGGCACCATCCGTGATCCGTACACCGTGGTGGACCTCGTACTTGTCCTTGATACCTCGCAAGATGCTGATGGTGTCTTCTACGGAGGGCTCGCTAACAATGATGGGCTGGAAACGTCTGGCGAGCGCCACGTCCTTTTCAATGACACGATATTCGGCAAGGGTAGTCGCACCGCAGCATTGCAGTTCGCCACGGGCCAGTGCCGGCTTGAGCAGGTTGGAGGCATCGATGGAGCCTTCGGCTTTGCCCAGTCCCAGCAGGGTGTGTAGTTCGTCGATGAAGAGAATCACCTGGCCTTCGGCCTTCTGCACTTCGTCCAACACCTTCTTCAGCCGCTCTTCAAAGTCGCCCCGGAACTTGGCTCCGGCAATCAGCGAGCCGAGATCCAAGGAGATGACGCGCTTGTTCTTGACACTCTCGGGGACATCCCCACGCACGATACGCAATGCGAGTCCCTCCAGGATGGCCGTCTTGCCAGTTCCCGCATTTCCGATGAGGACCGGATTGTTCTTTGTCCGCCGAGACAGGATCTGGATTGTACGCTGGATCTCTGCGTCTCGCCCAATTACCGGGTCCAGCTTACCCTCGCGAGCCTTGGCTGTCAAGTCCACGCCGTACTGTTCCAGCGCGGGCTTCTCCTGCTCACCTCCTCCCATGTTCATCCGATGGGTCCCTCCTGGTGGGTTTGGACGTCCATTGGCATATGTCCTTACTATTGAGATGGGGAGGAGTCGTGCTGAGGGGGCTGCTGAGAGGAGGAGGGGCTTGAGGGCTGATCGTGCAATGGCTGGTCGTGTGAGTCTGTTGGAGGCACCAGCAGCAAGGCGCTGGGCCGAGGATAATACTTGTCGTCTAGTGGCTTGCATTGTAGGTGAAGTTGTGTAACGAGCGAGATTCGATAAAAGTAGGAGTAAGAGTCAGAAGAATCAGGAGATGAATTCAGTTGTAAAAGAGAGGTCTGCTAGCTAAATATACGAATGAAATAAGACTTCACAGTCAGTGGCGTCACCGGCCACTTTGTATCCGCAGGCCGAAGCTCTTATCGTAGCTTCACGATCGCGACAGCACTTTCGAGCACTTTCGGCCGCCATCGGCATTTAGGAACGCTAATGACTAAGGCATTTCTTATCTTCTTATCAGCACGTGCGTTGAGCCCCATGTCCCACCAACAGGCCGACACGCCTAGCACGTATCGCGACCGCAAGCGGTTTAGTGCCAGAGGGTTCACATTTTGCTCTCCCACAAACTCGCTAGCGGCGCTCACAGAAGAAATCCAACATTTCCGTTCGGGTGAACATCACGAACGTGTCTTCCTCATCCTCTCCACCACCCCATATCCAGACACCCGAGAGAGCCAACATGTCGGCCAAGCCCACGACCAAGCAGTTCGGCAAGTCGACCCGGGAGGTGCCCGCCTCCGCGGACAAGGCCAAGAAGTGGTACCCTGCCGACGACGACAGCGAGCCGAAGAAGGTGAGTTTGGTGTGGTGATGCAGTCGCAAATATCAATCAACAGGAGAGAGCCACCCTCCCCCGGTACAGGAGTCTGCATTTCGCAAATTGGGAACGACGAGGCAAAACGGGATTGGAAGGAATCGAATTAGTGGTCGACTGGGAACGCCAGAAATGGGCCGGTAGAGCATGGGAGACTCGAGACGCTCGGTTACTATTGTTCATCTACAAAACCGGCGATGAGCAAAAGATGCATATCAGATATGGCAAAACGACAACTGCGGCGCCTCCCCAATTTGCGAACAGATTCCGACGTCGGGAGGCCTTCTCTGATCTCCAACCCTCTTACATATCGCGACAACCCTCCGATCCGTGGAGAAGAAAAGGAAAGCAAAGCCGGTCGCGCTAACACGTCTCGAAACCACAGGTCCGCAAGGCCGTCCGCTCTTGGGCCCCCCGAAAGACCCTCCAGCCCGGTACCGTCCTGATCCTCCTCGCCGGCCGCTTCCGTGGCAAGCGCGTCGTCCTCCTCAAGACCCTCGACCAGGGTGTCCTCCTGGTCACCGGTCCCTTCAAGATCAACGGCGTCCCCCTGCGAAGAGTCAACTCCCGATACGTCATCGCCACCTCCTACAAGGTCGACATCTCCGGCCTCGACGCCGCCAAGATCGAGGAGATCTCCCAGCCCAAGTACTTCACCGCCGAGAAGGCCAAGGAGAAGGCCTCTGCTGAGGCTTTCTTCAAGCAGGGAGAGAAGCCCCAGGTATGTGCAGATGTCCAGAAAGAGGCGATGTGGAATGGACTACTACGAGATGAGAGGGAAAACAAGACAAAAGAGCGTGGGATTTGCTAACAAGTTCGTTTCAATTTCCAGAAGAAGGAGATCAACAGCAGCCGTGCTGCCGACCAGAAGGCCGTCGACAAGGCTCTGATTGCCAGCATCAAGAAGGTGGATCTGTTGGCCAGCTACCTCGCCAGCACCTTCAGCCTGCGGAAGGGTGACAAGCCCCACGAGATGGCGTGGTAAATCTTTTCTCTCGTTGAAAGGGGAACACACACACACAAAATCTCGGGTAGGCTTGGAAGAATGAAGCGATCGGGGGAGTGGATGGGAGTTCAACTAGGGTGCTGGTCAAGATGCGGGTTGTAGAACGGAAAGGGTCTCCGAAATGGGCTGGTTTGGCCAATTGCATTTGGAAGTCGACGGCATCGGTCACATCTTGGCGTCTGTAATCAGGTTTTTACAGTCAAAAAACAAAAACGAGCATAAATGATTTTCTTCCACCAGGTGTCCGGTAGAACAAAAAGTTCTGTGAATCATACACAACACTTCAATTTTCCAATCCACACATATTGATAAGACCATGGCGAGATGGGGCCCAGGACAGAGCGAAGCCTCGCAGTAGATGCCGCATATATGACAAGAGTACTAACATCATAACATCACGTTTGCGTCTGGACGATATCCCATTGATAGGTCGACAAGTGTAAATCATACGTATGTAAGCCCCAGAGATCAGCGCACGTACACATTATAATGGAACCGTTATCAGCTGATGTACTATGCCTCTCCTCCTGGGAAAGGGTATCTGTATATTCTGGAGATGTATTTGATCAATGTCATGGCACGTCGCTCATTTCGGATATGCTGTTAGTAACTTCACTGTTCTTACAGGTTCCTGTCGGCCCAGCTCTGAATCATTCCCAGAAGCGTAGCATCGTAGTGCTTGATCGACACAGAGTCCGTGGCTTCATCCAGGGTAGTGTTGGCCTGGACAAAGACTTTGCGTGGCTGCTTGTTATCAAGAACCACTTGGCGGACCTTTGTACCCCAGAAGTCCAAGCCAACGGTGCTCATGTCGGTGTAAAACTTGGTGCCAGTCTCGACGTCGGCAGTTGACTTGTAAACGTGAAGCTTCTGAAGGTACTTGGCAACAGCTACAATGATAGTTAGCTGCACGATCATGTATTGAAGCAGTACCAAAACGTACCGTCGCGGCCAGCTGTGAGAATCTTGGACCTGTCCAGCTTAATAGTCAAATCAGAAAGGTCATCCTTGGTGTAGTCCAGCTTGCAGAAGTCGTCGCCGGCCTCGAGGAAAGATTTGAGAATGGAGAAGCGAGCCTGGCTGTGTGCCTGTCCCCATTTCTGGCTCTTGGGATCCCACATCTCCAAAGAGGCAAGGCCGGCGCGGGCCATGGAGAGGTAGGATGCATAGAGAACGTCTCCAGCGGGGCCGTTGATGTCTTCTGATCCGTCACCGAATCCGAAGATCTTCAGAACGGGGAACTCGCAGCTCAGGTACATAGCAACCAGCTCTGCACGGCACTCCTCGTATGAGGCGGCGATGGGTCCAAAAACCGAGCCCCAGGTCTGGCCAGGCTTGTACCAAGTGCTGATGGGCTTCTGAGTGACGGGGCTGACAGGAGGATTCTCCTTGTCGAAGTTGTACACTCCAGGAGAAGTCTCCTGCAGGAGCTTACCGCATCCGTGGCCTGATGAATGGGTCAGAATAAGTGGTATAGGATACTGGGGGAAAGCGCTTCTCACCCGTGAGCTCGTGAAGACCAACTTGGACCTCGAAGGCAGCATCTCGGTTAGCCTGATACACGGCCAGATCTTCTTCGCGAATGAAAGGGATCTTCTCATTCGGTGCCTTGGCGCTGAGGACGTTTCCAAGGGACACATTCTTGAAGCCTTCAGTTTGGCGGATATCATCGTAGTTGGGGCTAAAGCATGTCAGTGGGAGAAGTGGCAGTTTGGAAATAAAAATGCTCACATGTTGATGCCGGCTGGGATGCCAGAGTCTGGAGAAACCTGTCAGCCTGGATAATAGCACATAAGACGTGTGATAAACTGACTTGCAAACGTCAAAACTTCAAGTGACGTAAAGTCGGGAGAAAGGAACTTGTCCTTCTCAAACTCCTTACCCCAGGGGAGCAATGGGATGAGAGAGGGAGAGGCATTGACTAGCTCTCCGAAAGCACGGGTGCGTTCCTCTGCCGGTCATGTTAGCTGGACAATCCCTGACATTACGCAGGATAGCATGTGGCTCGTATACATACGGTTGACCACTGTTGGAGAGCATTAGCTTAGTTTACGAGGAACACTTGACGGGGATATACTGACTAGAAGCGAAACCCTCCCATTCACCTCGAACACCGGCAGGGTCGCGGTACGTCTCAATGAAGCCAATGTTGCACTCGACGCTGGGGCCCTTGTCCTTGATCCACCAGCGCTGGCTCTCCTTGAACGCCTCGAGGGATCCAGTCTCGAACGACTTGGCATACGCCAGGTGCATGTTCTTTTGGTTCTCGTTGTCCGCATTGGCCGCAGCCTGCTTGATGTAGGCAGTAATGTTCTTCATCTCTTCAGCGTGGTCGCCATACACAAGTCTGATGGTCTTGCCTTTCAGGGGGCCATTCTCAACAGTGAATTCGGTTTCCTTGCCAATGTCGCCTCCCTCAGGGGGAACGCTAGTGACAGCAGAAGCAATGAGAATGTCGAAACCATCAGCCGTCTTGCGTAACCTGGTGTTCTCGGGCAAGAGCCTCTTCTCCTCCATCCAAGTCGAAACAGCTTCGATCTCGCTCTTGGTGATGTCCTTTGAGTCGGGATAATACGTCGTCATGTGGCCGGCGTCCAGGAAGCCAAGGTGCATGGCAGCCGGGTCGTCATGGCTGAAGATGGCGCCCTTGGTGGCATCGTAGAACTTTTGGGCCTCGGGTGATGTGGCGGCCAGAGCAGCGACAGTCGTCTCGCTGCACCTGGGGATGAACTTGGAGTCGCCAAAGCTCTTGTAGTTGCCCATGTTGCCGAGGAACATGGCAACATACTCGAGGAAAAGGTTCAGCTCGGCCTCGTCAACGCCCGCCTTCTTGGCCAGCGCGTTCCAGTCACCATTGGCCGACTTGTGGAGGGTGATGATCAAGTCGAAGATGGGCTCTGACTCTGGGGAGAGCTGGCGCAGGACAATCCTGGACCCGGCAAAAGCAGCCCTAATCAGGTGTGAATAAGAGGCGCTCAGGCATTCCGACGGCGCAGTTATGATTCATATGGATCCCCATGGTAGGTATTCACAGTGAGCATGCGAGATGCTGGTCCACTTACTTGCTGATAAAGTGAGCATATCGCTTCTGCTTCTCAGTCAGAAGAGCAAAGTGCTTCTCAATCTCGAGGCGCACGACGGAGGGGGGCTGGTCTGCCAGATAGTGCTTGAGCTCCTCGGGCTTCATCATCGTGGCGGCGGTGGTGGTGAAAGAGGAGGCGAATTGAGAGAGAGCGACGCCCGCAATTCGAGGAGAGAGGCTGCGTATGCGGATTGGATGGTGCTTCAGGGTCTTGAGTGAAGCGGCCTGGATCCTGATTGCTGGCAGTCTCCGCGAGATGAGGGGCAGCACAATGGAAGTCATCAGGCCAGCAATGCCGCGTGGCGTCTCTGTTCTAGAAGGAGCCTGTGAGCACGCACGCAGGTTCTGCCCAAAAGTTCTCGAGGTGAAGCCACACAAGAATGCCTAAAGCAGCTAGCCGGCTACCCGAGCCTCTAGCGGATTGGGTGGTGGCCACTGGAACCCGATTTGACAGGGCACTGTAGCCTGTGGCTTGGGCGCCTATTGCGTTACATACCTGGGTACTCTTAAGTCAAGGCCTTCACGGTAGAGGTTGATTTCCGAACGAATTGAGCACGATTATTGTGGTTTAGTCTAAATTACCCCAGTAAGATTGGAAAGACGTCATAGCACGCACAAAATGAACTTATTGAGATCAAATTCTATGTACGTCAAGCTCTCATTGCAGTGAACGATGCTGATGACTTACTTTCACTGAATGGCAGTACTAGCTGGAACTGCTACCTAAACTTCGATGCCCTCACCCACAATGGCATGTGCCTGCGCCACAGGCGGGGTACCTGGAGCAGCGTCCCATCCAGGCAGGAAGGCATGGCGGGGTTGAGGGGTAACGTGCAGCAGACAAGACACAGATGGGATTTTCTGAGGACCTTTTGCCAGAGCTGTTGATGCACAGGGCCTGTCGAGTAGGTAGGTAGTTCTTCTGTTATGTAAACTGCACGGACTCGAGCTTGGAAGAGCTCATAAGGTAGTCAGAGGTCTCACTGATGTCCATGCACATGTACTGCAAAGACTGTGGATGGGATGTCGCAGTGATGCCACAACTACGAGACAGAAGATAGGACCACCGCTGCTCTCGTGATATCAAGAAGTCTAATTGAGTCTCAGAAGCTGTCAAGTTCAGACTCCCCCTATGAGTATTTTGCCCAGCACTCCCTTTTCGTGATGAAACACCATGGTAATGCTCCAAGGTAGAGTCACACGACCATCCTTGTCGCTATGTAGCATAGACCACAGAGAGCACCTTTCAATGCCTGCGATGAAACAAACAACTCCATACGCATGACAACCCTCTATACGAACTCAGGGGTGACAAAGAGCCAAGAAAGCACAGGAAAAGGAGACTTAGGACAAGACTTGCAAACAAAAAGAAATAAAAAATAAAAAATTTAATAGAGACGGCCGCCCGCGTCATAGGAGGGAGCCTGCGTTGCGCAGAAGAGATTGGTCAGAAAGAGCTCGTGCGGGTAGAGACCTTCAATTTACCAGTTTTCCCCCTCGCCAGCCTATTGCGTCTATGGATGGGCTCTTGCTCAACTCTATGTGAAACTTTTTGGCCCAGCTGCTGACATATAAAACTGGAACTGTGACGGCACTGGTTCCTGCTTCGTTGCCCCCTTTCGATCTGTTGGATGTGAAACTGCTAGTGCTGTTTAACGCCCGACAACTCTCGTTCTAATCGGTAGCGTTTTCCCTCAAGAGCAAACCGGGTTGTAATCCGCAATTCCGAACGGCTACCTCACGTATGTAACAATTCAAAGCAACGCAACTTAAAGCGCCTAGAAGCCTAGGTCAGCCGGGCACTAGAAGGGTGGGCATTCCGTTAGTAGTAGAAGCTTGCGGGAAACGATGCCGGCAGTTTGGGTCCAGGTCCAAGTCGAAAGCCTCACAATGTTTGCTTGCCTGGTTGGGTAGTACCTACTGGTCAGACAATACCTATAGACCTGCAATACAAGTGCCTACGAGTTCCAGAAAAGGACTCAGTTTGCTGCCGTTCACCAGCGGCTTTTCCCGTATTGTACGTAATCCGACTGGTGGAGCTCAATTTTCCGAACAAAATGCTGCCATATTGCGTAGGCATTCTATCCCGACTGAAGACGACGCTGCAGTGAGCTCGCCATCCATCCATCCCCTTCAGCCCGGAGGTGAACCATCATTTGACCCTCTTCGCACCGAAGCCGAAGAAATTTTTTCTGAAAAAAACAACCCGGACCAACGAAGCACGGCTACCCAACCGCCGATGTACGGTTGCTTTGCATGGCACGCATGTGCCTAATGCTCCGTTCTGGATATATACTTGTAGTTCCGTCGCATGGATGGGTTCCTATTCGTACGAGTACCTCTCCATCCCGATACACACACACACTTGCTTCGGCCCCCCCTGCGGCCCTTTCATCTAGGATCGCTTAATACATCTTCCTAGGGTTACTACTACTCACCGGGGCAATGAACCAAGTAAACCCCCCCCCCCCCCCCCCATCTGATCTCTTTCTTTCTTTTTTTCCCTCGTTTTCTTCAGCTGGGAAACCCTCTTTGGCGACGTCGTAGTGCAGTGAAGCGTGGAGATTTGCGCAGCTAGCCGGCGGATCGTGACCCCCACGGCTTTCATGCGCACACATGCGCACACAGACAAGACCGAAGAAAAAAAAGCAAACAGCGGGGAGGAGGAGGAGGCGGAGAAGAGGAAGAAGAAGAAAGGGCAAAGTAGTCCAGACGAGGCGGGCAATAGTCGGCCGATTCCCCCCCTTCCCCCCTTCCTCTTCCCAGTCCCGATGATGGGGCTGAGATGCATCGAAATGGTTCTGAGACCTGCTTCCACGCTTGGGCTTTTAGTGACTTTTGTGTAGGCTGGGTTCCGCTTGACTCGCCCGGATGCAGCTTCGAGTCTCCCCGAGTCTCGAGTTGCTTCATTCACACGAGACACAAAGTGGCACCATCTGGGACACCGGGCGGCAATAGACGGGGTCCCCCCAACGTTTTTTTTTTTTCGGTGTCCTCCTAATCATCTTCTTTCCCATTCCGTCTTGCCTTTGAGCTCACCTGTCTTACAAGCACCAGCCGTATCGCACTCTCGCTCGGCTATAGTTGCAAAAGTACTAAGAAAGTGCAAAGCTGGCCTGGCCGGGCGTCACATGGCCAATATTGCCCGTTCCTCGTCTTATCCCGCGCTGCCCGTCACGCATCGGAGATGTGATCGTCACAGTCATCCTTACCTGCGAGGTAGCATCATCGCCCAGGATCATTACTCGACGCCTTGCGATGTTTGCAGTTGCAGCAACAGTTCAAAGTAATGTACAAAAGTTGCCCGCATGTAGGTAGTAATGCGGGTTTCCCTTCCCACTCTCCGCATCCTGGAGATGCTGCTGTTACTCTGTGCGGCCCACCGGGTAACAGGGCCGACTCCGGGCATGGCCAGATGTTTTATGTACTCTGATACTACAAGTCTTGAGAGGGCATCGTAAATCTTTGTTTCTTTGCGTGGCTCGACCCGGTATTCTGGGACACCGTCGATATCAAGCGTAGCGTAGTGCAACCTAGGGGAGAGTACGGAGTGATCGAGTGCATGCATACTATTACATGTAGTATACGGATACAGGCAGCGGATATTGTTGGCATTATTCCACACTTCCAGCCGGGATGACCTCTGACAACTCGAGCTCACTGCCGAGCATATCATGACGTGCTAGGAGGTGGCATAGAGTCGCAGTCCATGCTGCAGTCTAGTATAGATGTACGTGTACACTTACTGTACCTTGTGAAGTACTACCTAACCCCCGTGGCTTTGCCTTATCCGAAATACCTATCCTGACCATTCGTGTGGGTGGCATCACCACCGGCTTCTCCCAAGCGAACGAAACAAATCGGTCGAGTTGCACAGAATCCCTCGCTCGGCACACTGCGCACTGCAGGGAGCCCGGCCGGGCTGGCGCATTGCTGCTGCGCAGTCTGAGTCGGTGTGACACGGACGACGTCGGCGGGCAACTGGAGCCGCAAGACAACAAGGGAGTGTGCCTACCTACACCAAGACAGCAATGCAAGGCCAAGCAGGCAAGCAAGCAAGCATCAGCCCAAAAAGTGTTGCGCATCACGCAGCGTCAAGGTACCATTACTGGGCTGTACTGTACTTCGTCCAGACAGATACCTACCTGGTAGATGTAGTAGGCGCGGGTGCTGGTGCAGGTGATGTTGGGTGCAGGTGGCTCCTCAACAGGCGAGATTGCCCGGCACAAAAAAGACATCAAATCATCCCAGTCGGCACGAGGCCACGCAGCACGGCCCAAATGGATCGACGGCCTGACCCGGCTCGTACCTGTACCTGTACCTACCTACATGGCTTACACGGGCGCCGTATCGGTACTTGACGAATCGTTGGGCGGTACGACCTGGTACGAGGGCACACTTTGAGGGCCGGCAGAAAATGCTTGCGAATGAATGGCTTCATGCCCGGAGTCGACGGGACGATGCCGGGGCGTTGGGAACCTCAATTGGCAGCCTGCGACCCCCAACTTCCCAGCAATGGCGTAGGGCTAGCAAGGACCAGACCTCCAACGGAGCGGCACAGCAAGCTCCAGCTTCGACTCCAGCTCCCAGCTAACACTGCACGACCTCTGGACGGTTTGCTTCCCCGGACGGCGCTTGTAGCGCTCACCTGGGCTGGCGAGCTAGAGGTAGCGGCCCTGGTGCTCGACTACCTAGGCTGAACGTTTGGCTGAACTCAATTGAACAAGCTCCAGCTGTCACCGAGGGCCATCAATACCTACAATACGAGCCTCGTGAGGAGGGGGGGGGGATGGACAGGGCAAGGCGGTTGATGTGACGCATGCGGCGCCCGTTCTCTGTTACCCCCCGTCTGTACTACATCGTGCTCCCGTCAAGAGGCATACAGTATACCGCCGTGAATGACGAATCCTGCAGACGTCGAGTGCAATAGCCGACGGTCTAAAGAACTCTCGACTCGACTCCGTTGTTCCCTTTTTTTTTTGCTTCGTTGTCATTGACTGTCCAACTCTGCCTTTTCCCCCCAATCCCTTTGACGGCCCAGTCCCGCCGGTGGAGCTGATTGGCCTCCTTGCAGCAGGTTTTCAGCCAGCCTGAGCTGCCTCTGCTAAAAACTCATGGAGCATACCTACAAGCACAGTACCTTAGGTACCTATTCCCACACCTTTTCCTCGGTCCCCCATTCGCCCGTTCACCATCCGGTTTCCCCTTTCCCACCACTTTCAACTTTTCCCTCGTTCATGTCGCCTCCTATCATGATTGCCCATTCCACGCACCACTGTAGACACAGGCTGTCCCTCGACTGATATCTCGGCACCTCGACGCCTCGAAACAAAACGAGCAAAAGCCAATCGAAGCCCAGTGCCTGTCCGCCTGCTGTGTCCCGTCGACGTCATCCCGCGCTCTGCTTCTGCCTCCAGTCTTCTTTGCTTTGTTTTTTTTTGTTTTTTCCCCCTCCCTCCCCCGACCATCGGCCACGCCCACTTCGTCGCAAGGGGCCCCTGATCTCACCTGCTCGCATGACTGGCCGGCAGGGGACACCCATGGCAGCATCTAGAAAAAAGGAAGCAGAATGGAAGCAGAGAAGGGCACCGGGGCAGAGGGGCGCTGGGCATGCAACGGGGAGCCCCCGACGTGTTCGAGCGCCCGAACCGAGTCGCCGGCACGCCGGGCTAGACAGCTAAACAGCTTAGAGAGGGCCACAAGAGGGCCACGGTTCCAGCCCGACTGGCCCAGGCGGTAATTGATAGGATATCCAAGGGGAGCCCACTCCCACACTCCCACACTCCCCCCCTCCCCAGACTGGAGTCTCAAGAGAGGGAGGGTCTGGACGGCGCTCGTAATGACCCCAGTATTGTGTCACCGTTGGGACGAAAGAAAAGTCTTTCTTTCTTTTTTCCGCCTTTGCCTTGCCTTGCCTTGCCCTGTCTTCCCTTGCCCTTCTCCCACTTAGAAACCGGCGCTTTGGTTTGGGCTCTGCTGCTTCCCACCCCGGCCGATTTTGCAGCCTATCCCTTGCCCTCCACTCCCTTTTTCTTCATGCACTTTCGGCCATGCCTGTAATGACGACCTAGGTAGGTACACTTGTAGATGTACATGTACATGCTTGTACAGACTGCCGGCCCCGGTGTACCCCCATCATACCTACCGACTCACCACTGACTGACTTTGTCTGAGAGCCAAGGGGCTGGCCACCATGCCGTCGCTGCTGTAGGAGATTACTTCCAGCCGGGCTCCATCCGGGAGTACTAACGTAGCTCGTACGCAGTAATACACACTTGACAGTACCTTCTCGGCCTTGCAGAGTGGTGCGGTGCTTCCTTTGCGGGAGTGGCATTCTCGGCACGAAAGGGTATTAAAAGGTGCTCGCCTCCTCCGAGCCGGCCTTGGATTAATAGACTCTCCTATCCCTCTTGTCTAGATTCCTCTTCCTTTATTACATACCTACCCGCAGAAACCTGGAAAAAGCTTCCCTTCCGATCAAACCTACCTACCTTACCTACACTTGTGCATACCTACCTCTACGTGGTACTCGATTCCTCGCGCCAACACTCACCTATACCTTACCTTACATCTTGTGTCATTCTGCTGCGTTCAGCAAGTCCCACCCCTTTAGACTTCTGCTAGGCTGCACTACAGCACAGTACTGTACCAGACTCTTTGGCAACCTGAACCATCCACATACCTACACCCCTTTGGCGTTCTATTGTTTGCTCTCTTCCGTCAGACAGACACAGATCTCTAAACTCTATCGGCCGGCTCTACTGATCCTCGGTCGATTCCGATTGCAACCACATCTCTCTCCTTCCGTCTCCTTATAGAACCGGCTCAAGCCTTCTACCCACTCGCCACGATGATGTCCGTTGATACCACATTTACCGTCCCCCAGGGACAAAAGGCGCCCTCTTCGGCTGCTCTGCCCTCCATCCAGCCCACAACGAACGGCACCTCTCTCCAGGCGGCAAACGCGAGCAAGATGGCCGGACAAGCCGGCGGACACACGCACATCTTCCTGGTGACTGGCCCTGCCGGGTGCGGCAAGAGCAGCGTTGCCGAGTACCTGGCAAACGCACTCAACATGCCCTACATCGAGGGCGACTCGGTACGCAATGCCCCCCTTCTTTTTTTGCAGCTGTCATGACACTGCACCTCTTGAGGAGATTCTCGTCGCTAACATGCCACTGCCGGCAGTTCCACACCCCGGCCAACATCGAAAAGATGAGAAACGGAATCCCGCTGACGGATGCGGACCGCTGGGACTGGCTGACGGCCCTCCGCGAGGAGTCGATGCGCCAGATCAAGGAGGGCCAGACGGGCGTCGTCATGACCTGCTCGGCGCTCAAGCGCAAGTACCGAGACGTGATCCGCGTCGCCGCCTACTACGACCACCGCCTGCTCATCCACTTCATCTACCTCGACGCCTCGGAGGAGCTGCTGATGCGGCGCGTCGCCCAGCGCCAGGGTCACTACATGGGCGCCAACATGGTGCACAGCCAGTTCGACATCCTGGAGCGACCTTCTGAAAACGAGACAGACGTCATCACCATTGATGTCAGCCGAACCCTGGCCGAGGTGCAGCAGGAGGCTCTGGCTAGGGCCATTGAGACCATCAAGGAGGACCAGGAGAGCCAATAGAGCGTCGTCGTTTGATTGACCACGATGGGGCCCCTCAGCCGTCTTGGCCTCTACTCACTTTCCTCTTTTTAACTCACACCCCGAAACCGAAAGGCATCTTTGGGTTCCCTCTTCGGTCCTCGACATCATGACCTTCGACAGTTATGCGGATATGCGACATCGGAGTCATATGACACATCCTTTCATCACCTCCAAACACCAACTTCCTTTTTTCTCGCAACATCTCGGCAACCCACCTTGTGTTTTTCCTCTGCTTTTTGCTTTCTCGGTCTAGATCTTTTGTTTCGGTACTTCAACTGCGGGCTCTGGAGGACACGGACGGGCCAGCAATGGCACCAAATCTCTTTTGCATCATTTCTTTTTCCCGGCTATCTCCTTTTGGGCATTTTTTTTCATCCTTTTTTTTTCTTTGGCGGCGCAGGAAATTATTGGTTCACTTTGGATGTGTGGAGTTGGGACTCAACAGAGCCGAGACTAACAAGCAAGGCTCGGTCAGCCGGCAAATGGGGGTTGGACTGGAGGGGGGTAAAGATGGACAAAAAAAAAGCTGTGCTGTCTGTTGGACATGAAAGTTGGGCACGAAGTTGTCTGACAAGCATCAAGCCGTGGAACAGGGTTCGCGCTGAGGGAGGGGTGTTATGCGTGTGGCTGTGCGCGCGCAACATGTCCTTTTGTTTTGTCGTGTTGTTCTTTTGTGTATTTGAGGGTTTGCCGTGTATCGTCTGGTTACTTTTCATGACATTGCTTTCATGTTCCTTTTGCGGGCAAAGGGGGAAATGAGATGACTGGATGACTATCATCCTACCTACGTGGGCATGGAGGCATATTCCCTACCTAGGCAACAAATAGATGAGAATTGTGCTACGCATGGAAGCAACAGCAATTGGTGCGGTTTGCCGACTTTTGTGATGTGATTCTGCCCTGTCGGACTACAGGTTCGAACGAGCAGGCAGTTGCTGTGAGTAGGTAGGTAGGTAGTCGGTATCACACAATGTACAGCTCTGGTCGATCTCCTGATACAGCATCTCGCCCTGCTTTTACCCCACATATGATGATATCAAAGGATCGGATGAAGGTCGCATACGCACAAGCCAGAAACTGGAAGAATAAAAGTGAAAGTCTTTTCATCCTCCACACGCGCCCCCCCCCCCCAAACAATAACAAGAACGAGAATAACAACCTGGGACGCCTTGCAAAGGGGGTGGGTGCATCGGACGAAAAGAGTAGGAAATTCCACTCATGGATAGAAACCCATAGTACCTACCACTAGGTAGATTGGTTGAGGGCCCAGGGTATCCATAGAAGCTGGGGAGAAGCTGGGGTCTGGGTGTGTGTGTGCGTGTGTGTGTGTGTGTTGGGCGTCAGAGCGTCATAGCAGTACTTCCAGATCTGATTATATGTAGTGCATACGTTCAAAAAGAAGTTGGCAAGGTGCCTACTATGTAGGTAATAAGGTAAGGTCAAACAAACGTTCATGTAAAGTGACGAAACGGGGGGGAGAAAAAGCCAAGGGCTTGGTTATTGGGGGTGGAAGATTGAATCATGTCAAGACGTGGGGATGCCAGAAAAAAAAAAAGATTCAATCGGTCACGGGGACAGATGAGAAGAATGGAGAAAAAAGGCCGATCAGCTGAGGGAAGGATCTTTTTTGCTTTTTTTCTTCTTCTTTTTCTTTCTTTTAATAGGTAGGATGTTGTTGTTTCTGTTTTATTATGTCATGCTTGGTGCCTTTTCTTGTTGTAGGTACTCGATAGACTTTTTTTTCTTTTTTTTCTCTTTTTTTTTTCTTTATTTTTTGTGTGGTGGTGATTTGCGTGAGGAGTGAGATTGGGCTCGGACGCCACGGCAGCACATATAAGCAGGGAGAGTTTCGTAAAGGATTCGATATAATTATATGCAGAAATCGGATGCTGATGCGGATGCAGGATGCTATTCCTTTGTATGTACGAGTAACAAGCTAGTAGTAGTAGTTCATTTTGGGGGGGAGGAGACGATCTGAAGGAAAGCGGAAGAATGTACAAGTAAAGAAAAAGGCACAGGAAGAATGTCGTCATCTTGCATCCCCAGGTTAATCCCCCCCCTGCTTGCGAACAAGGGGGCCGGGCATTGTTGGAGACATGCAGCATTTGGGATTTTGTGGCTTGTCCGCTTTGAAACAAATGGGGGGAGGGGGGGTCGTGCGTATCGAGTTTGTTACTGTACATGTGCGAGATGCCGGAAGACGATCCTCAAGGTGAATTGGAATACATAGGTAGGGCGGAAGCGGGCTCTGTATCGTATATCATTTGAAGTAGCAAAGGCTGTTGTGCAAGTCGAAGATGCATGTCTTGTTGACTGGTAGGTAGGTAGTTGTAGGTACTTAAGAAATTGCATACTATATACAAAAAAAGCATTTGAACTCGAACCAATCTCTCTGCATGGCGCATGAACATAATCTACATGCTCTCTACACATACACCTCTTCTCTTCTATTTTCGCGGCACTCTAATAGCATCATCGCAGGTGCATGACCATGACGTCCGGCTCCTCGGCCACCCGGCGAACCACCTCGGCGGCCCGCGCCATGGTCGCTCCGTCGACGACGCGGTGATCGGCGCTCCATGAGAAGTTGCACACGTGCTTCTTCACCACGTTGTCCTTGTCGTCAAAGGCCGGCACGGTGCGCATGCGGCCGATGCCCAGGATGGCCACCTCGCGCTCGACGATGACGGGGCTGAGGTACGTGCCGCCAATGTTGCCAATGTTGGAGACGGTGATGGTGCCGCCCGAGAAGTCGGCCGGCGTCAGCTTGCCCTGGACCGCGAGGCCTTGCAGCCGCGACAGCTCCGCGGCAATGGACAGGATGTTGAGGGAGCCCACGTCCTTGATGACCGGCACAAGCAGGCCCTGCGGCGTGTCCATGGCCACGCCGATGTTGTGCAGGGAGCGCATGATGAGCGACGGCTTGTTGGTCGCCGGGTCGATCTCGACGCGCGAGTTCAGAATGGGGAACTGGTACAGCGCCATGGAGACCGCCTTGATGATGAAGGGGAGGTAGGAGAGCTTGGCCACCTGGCCAGCGGCCGGCGTCTGGGCGAGGACCTTGTTGAGGCGGGCGCGGAGGTGGACCAGGTCCGTGAAGTCGACCTCATCCGAGTAAAGGAAGTGGGGGATGCTGAGCGACCGCGTCATTGTCTTGAACATCTGGTGCTGCGTGTTCGTGAGCTGGACTCGCGTCTCCGTCTGCACGGAGGGCTGGCCGCTGGCTGAAGCCTGTGCTGGTGGTGGTGGCTGCTGCGGCAGCGCGGATGCGGACTGTGAGGCGGCCGATGCGCTGGCGCTGGCGTCTCTCTGCTGCACAAATCTATAAATGTCCTCCTTCGTCACTCTGCCGTCCTTGCCCGTGCCGTCAATGTCGGCGATGTCGACCCTGAGCTCCTTGGATAGATGTCGGACCGCAGGCGTCGCCAGTGCCGCGGCCTTGCCCTTGGGCTTCGGCGTCGGACTCTGCTCCTGCGCCACCACACCAGCTTCAGCCTGCTGCAGCGACTGTGATGCTGGCGCTGGCGTTGAGGACGAGGCTGCCTCCTGGCTTGCATCCGCCGCCTTGGGCGCACCGGGTTCATCGGCTTCGGCTCCGCTCTGAATGTCGATGTCGACAAAGGGCTTGCCCACCTTGGCCATCTCGCCCGTCTCGTAGTACAGCTTCTTGACGACGCCGGAGAAGCGGCTCGTGATTTCCACAGATGCCTTGTCGCTCTGTACCTCGCACAGAGGCGAGAACTCCTCGACGTGCGCGCCGGGCTCGACGAACCACTGGATCACCTCACATTCGACAATGCCTGTCGCCTCCAAATGTCAGCTTTCGTCCGCTCTCCTCAGGCTAGTATTCACCAGATCTCACCTTCACCGATATCAGCCAGCAGCACCGGCTTCACGGCGTATAGCCTCCTCGACTCGGAGAACCACCGCGGAGCGCCGGGCACGGCGTTCTTGTTCCCCAGGGCCATCTTGCCCAAGGCCTTGGAAGCCCCCCATTGCCGTCGCAGCACTCTTGATCCTCGCTGCAGAAACATGGCGTCTCGATGGTTCCAATTGAGCGACACGACGGTTTACAAGGCCAAGGAGGAGAGAAAGATACGATGTGATATGAAGGAGTGCCGAGCCAAACTCTTAAACAAGGAGAAATCCGACGTCCCTTGGCCGACTCTAAACCGGGATGCTCCAGGCCAGCCGTGGCTTCAGTCGGCATTGCGGTTGAGGCTGTCCAGAGGCCCCGCGGATAGCCGAATCTGGGGTGATGGAGGCTTCCAGGTGGTGACAGGGGAGCTGGGGGGGGGGAGGGTTGCTGCTTGGCCCGCCATTTGCTGAGCTGAGCAGACGGGCGCTTTTCAGTGGGCTTCCCTGTGCTGGAGCCGCTGTAGTGCCAGTATTCTTCAGTGGGGCGCCATCGAGCCAATGGCCGTTGGAGCGCTGCCGATGCCCCAAGCCCGGAGTCCGTTGCGTCCGGGGCCGTAAAGAATGGAGCCCTGCACGTCTGAGGCCAAATTTTTCCGGCGTCATCGCAACAAGGGCCCAGGCTACCTTAGCTATTCAGCGTTCATCTTCACTGCTACTAAATCCATTCAACCCCCTTCACTCCTCTCTTTCCCCCCCCGCCCCCAGGCCGGCCATGCCATCGCCACGGACGCTGGAGCTGGCCCTCGGCAGCCTCCTCCGCTCGACCTCGAGATCCGCATGCGCCCGCTGCCAATGGCGCGCGTTTACCGCCTCCGCCGCGCCGGCCGCCAGGGCTGAGAAGCCGGCCTCGGGCACCGCCATGGACCCCAAGGCCGCCGTCGCCGGGACGCCCATTGAGGCGCCGCGCAGCTACGGGAAGCGCATCGAGGGCGGCTTTACACCCAAGCCTCTGCCCCGGCCGATCGGCATGGCGCTGCCTCCGCTGCCGGGCGAGAACACGGGCATCGACAACCGCTCGCTGCAGCAGCGGAAGGAGGACTTTGTCAACTACGACAAGCATCTGCAGAGGCGCAAGGAGCTGTATGGGGGATCTACCTAATTGACAAGGCACGGTATTGGAATGAGGGCTGGCTAACACATCGACTCCAAGGACCGCCAAGATATCAAGACCCTACTTCCGCGACTGGGGTAACCTGCAGTACCATGAGGGCAAATCTTTCATTGCGCCGCCCCGACTCTTCAAGGCCGAACTCTCCCTCTTCTTCCCCAACCTCTACGGCCAGACGATCCTCAAGAACGACAAGACACCCCGCGACACGACCCCTTTACTCTCCGGCAGGGCATCCGTCGTGTCCATCTTCAGCAGCCAGTGGGCGGAGCGGCAGGTCGAGAGCTTCGTGTCGAAAGAGGCCAACCCTCAACTACACGAGGTGCTTGAGCGCAGCGGCGAGACGGCGCAGCTCGTTAGAATCAACTACGAGGATAACAAGGGCAAAGCCCTCCTGGTCAAGCTCTTCATGGGGTCGCTGCGTAAGAGGTTTGGGGAGAAAGACTGGGACAAGTATTTCCTCGTGCAGAGGGGCATCACGGACGAGATCCGGGAGTCAATAGGCCTGCTCAACAGCAAGGTCGGCTACACATATTTGGTGGACCACCACTGTAGGATACGCTGGGCCGGCAGCGGCTCGAGCCACCCAGATGAGGTCGAGAGCTTGGCCAAGGGACTGGCCAAGCTCGTTGACGACATCAAGAAGGAAGCTTCGTTGCCTGCCACAGCGCGAGAGAAGCTTCCTGGTAAGCCTCACTTGGAGAAAGCAAAGGACTCGGTGTAGATGTTTTGATAGCTCTCCAAACACCCCCGCCTGTATTATTAGATCGACAAGAAGCCCGTGATAGTGTTATGGATCCTGCCATATAGTACAAATAGACAAAAACCGCTGATACCCCCTTTTAACGCCAAGATGTCATATACTGGAACCAATCAATGTACGCGGACATGGACCTCCTTTACCTGAGCCAAAAGAAGACGATGAAACACATCGCGATAAAAGTCCCCATGATAATCCCGTCCCTCCTCTTTCTGCTTGTGATGCGTCCAATGATGGAGTTGATGCCCGGCACTTTGCTAGCGGCCATTGTTATCCTTCGATTGATGCTCGCCAACGTCTCTCTCTGCACAATGAAGCTCTCGTTGATGGCATACGCCTGGCTGAGGACGCTGTCCGTCACATCGTTGCTCCTGTCGATGCGATTCCGCTCATCCAGCATGTAGTCGGCCTCGGCGGCCTCGGGGTTGTTGGCTCGGTACTCGTCAATGTCGGACCGGACGTTGCTCAGGAGGTTGGCGCGATTGCGGGCTTGCTGCAGCGTGGACTTGAGGCGGGTGAAGTCGCGGCGGTGAGAGGCAAGCTTCTCTCGGAGCAGTGCCAGGTTGTTTTGCTTGAGGGCGGAGGTGTTGAGGGATGCTTCTGAATCCAGGAGTCGGCCGAGCTGAGCGATGACATTCTCGCGCTACGATCGCAGGGTCAGCATGCAGGAACTCGCAGCAATGCGCTCTTCAACGGTTGCTCTAGCCATACCTTGTTGAGCACATCCTCTAGCTTCGCTTCTACTTCACGCTCCTCCGGTGAGGGTTTGGGCGGTATGTTGGACCCTGTAGAGAACTGAGAATACGTGTGGAAGAGACTCTCCGTCTAGCAGCCAGTCGGCAAGGTCAGCGAGTTCAGCTAAAGTGACAGAGTATCCCTAGAGTTGATGCTCTCACCTGGTTTTCTAATGAGCGTGCCTGCTGGCGCAGCTGGGCCCAGCCTCCGCTTCCTGATGGTGAGGCCATGGCTGCGAAATTCAGGCGGCAAGCGTAGGATGATTTCAGGGTGCTTCTGATGACGATATTGGAAACAAGACCCCGGGCCGCGGACTGTTTGACGCCGTCTCCGTCTCCGTCTGTAGGCGACGGCAGAATCGTTCACCGCTTTCTCTAGCGCAGGAGCTAGAGCACGGGACTAGCCACGTGATGTGCTCTTTCGCTACCCACTCGCTCCATAATATACTGGCCAATGAAAAATTCCAACTTGTCGCAATCTGGTGCACGCACACCACAAACCCTAGGGCAATTTTTCACCGATTCGGCAAACCCTCGACTAAATTCTTCTGAGAGTTACGAGCCATCGCGACATTGAGACGGGTCACGGTCGAGGAAGACTTTTACTAACGCAACTCTCGCAAATCACATCGAAACTTCAAGATGGTGAGTAGATACGGTCGTTGCTCCGAACGATGAATATGCCCTCTTTCTAGGTTTTCAGAACACACGTTTCCCCCCTTTTGTGCCAGCATGCTGTCCCTCGAATCTCGAATTTCATTGCGCTGTCGTCCGAGAAAGAATGCGACCAACGAAGTCGAATTGCTGGCCCCCAGCCACTCGTCAACCCGGCACCGATACAGCACTCGTCATATTTCTACATAATGCGTCAGGGAATCAGGTTGCTGATTCTTTGTGTCTGATTTAGTCGTCGGGAAAAGTCAAGACTGCCCAGCTCTGGGGCAAGAACAAGGAGGAGTTGGCCAAGCAGCTCTCTGAGCTCAAGGCTGAACTCGGCCAGCTCCGCATCCAGAAGGTTGCCTCCTCCGGCTCCAAGCTGAACAAGATGTAAGGATCCGACAGACGCCTTTGATGCGCGAACCCAACAACACGGGATGGCGAGGAATTGTCGCGGCTAACGCTCGCTGTTTTCTTTTCCTCAAACTATAGCCACGACCTGCGAAAGTCCATCGCTCGTGTCTTGACCGTCACCAACGCCACTCAGCGAAACCAGCTCCGCCTCTTCTACAAGAAGGCCAAGTACCTGCCTCTCGACCTCCGCCCCAAGCAGACCCGTGCCATCCGACGCCGATTATCACCTGAGGACAAGGCCCGTGTTCTGGAGAAGACTAAGAAGCGCAACACCCACTTCCCTCAGCGCAAGTTCGCCATCAAGGTACGAACATTCTCGAGTCTTGTTGGTTTCGAAAACGCCATGCCTGGGCCACTTTTGGTCCAGTCAGGGGACGGAGGGATCTTTGAGGATTGCTTTGGCTAACATACACACCCCTCACAGGCCTAAATGTTTTAATTGTGCTTTGGAATGCGAAGGGACGTCTGGGTAGAATGGGGCATTGAGGCGCAGCATGCTTTTTCCACTTGAACAACAGGGCTCGAATTGCATCGCATGGCTCAAGGGGGAATTCGGTCTGAATTGGACTTGCTTTTCCCGGTTTGGGCCTCGGTCTGGGACGGGAGGCGTCCTGGATGGGCTGGCTAGGTCGACAGTCTATACCAACAAAAAAAATGAGGTCACGATCTACAAAAGAAATATTCGAGGCACAAGCGGTGTTCAGGCTCTAATTCGACTGATTTCGGACATGTCCTTTGAGTGCCGGTGATTCGCCGCAGTGTGACATACATGGATGCTCTGCTGGCCCAAGGCATGTGATGTTGGCAGCAGTTCTTGTGGTTTCGAGTGAAATCCCCAACTCTGGCTTTCAGCTTGTATTGGCATCTGCCGTTGCTATCGAATCTCGACCAAGACTTGACAAGTCAAATGCTGGCTACTTGGACAATCATGGCGAGGATCAGAGGAACAAGAAAGCCGCGTCAAAGAGCAAGCTTACCCGATTTCCTCTATGTACAATGGCTACTACTTTACCTTGCCTCACCTATCAACAAGTTCCGATATTATTAACCAGTTTCCAGAAAAGCCACGGCATGCGCCTGATACAGCCCAGAACAAAACCACGCGGATCCGTACGAAAGCGGTTTAACACACAACACAGAGTTTGATGCTGCTGCTGCTGCTGCTACGCAGATCAGCTTATCTTGCTGTGGCTTGACGGCACGAAGAGGTATTAATATATAAAGTGCAGAATCCAGTCACATCAGTTGTAATCTTTCCCTTGGTTCATTCAGACAAGAAAGGAAGAAATTGAGAGCAAAACCGCCGCCAATTTCCATGTAAGCCGTCCTCCTGGTCCCTCGCAGTTTATTCAACAATTTTACCAAAAATTTTCCTCTCTTATCCCGGAACCCACTCCCAAGGTGCCATGTCCCTCTAATTAAGTGCCTCACAGCTCCAGCTCACGACAGCCGTCCAATCAGTCCGCTAAGTCGTCACCATTACAGCGCCAGCGCGCAAATCATTCCCCTCAACACCCCACCAAGCAACGGAAGGGATCCTGCGCTGCTACCCCGCCAACAGCACCTTTTTTTTTTTTTTCCTTCCTCTTATCGTTCCTACATCGGCTCTGCTTGTATAAGAGGCAAAAGAGGGAATTGCTTCGTCCATCTTGAACCCGTTCTTTCTTGGCATTCTCTTTGTTCCTCTCCAATTGTGCCTCAAGCATAATTGCCGCCATCATGTCCGACCAGAAGATCGCCATCGTCTCCGTCTACGACAAGACGGGCCTGCTGGATCTTGCTAAAGGTCTTGCCCAGCACAATGTCCGGATTCTGGCCTCCGGCGGCACAGCTCGCATGATTCGCGAGTCTGGATTCCCTGTTGAGTATGAATAGCCCCCAATTATCAGTGCTTGGAACAGAGAAAATGGAGAGGAGAAGAAGAAGAAGGAGAAGGAGAAGAAGGAAGAAGAAAGATTTACTTGTTAGTCGTGGTTTGGAGAAACGGACATTGCGGCCATGATGAGAAGCTCTCGAGAAGCTATATATACACGAGACTTGAAAACTAATTGCGCTGCGGCGTGTAGGGACGTCAGCGCCATCACCAAGGCGCCCGAGATGCTCGCCGGCCGTGTCAAGACGCTTCACCCTGCCGTCCACGCCGGCATCCTCGCCCGCAACCTCGAGTCCGACGAGAAGGACCTGGCGGACCAGAACATCAACAAGGTCGACTTTGTCATCTGCAACCTGTACCCCTTCAAGGACACCGTCGCCAAGGTCAACGTCAGCATCCCCGAGGCCGTCGAGGAGATTGACATTGGCGGCGTGACGCTCATCCGCGCTGCCGCCAAGAACCACAAGAGGGTCACCATCCTCAGCGACCCCAACGACTACGCCGGCTTCCTGGGCGAGCTGGAAAAGGGCGAGATCAGCGAGACCAGCCGCAACCGCTACGCGCTCAAGGCCTTTGAGCACACCGCCGACTACGATACCGCCATCTCAGAGTTCTTCCGCAAGGAGTACGCCGGCGCCGGCGACCAGTACCTTGCCCTCCGCTACGGCGCCAACCCCCACCAGAAGCCCGCTGCCGCCTTTACTGCCCACCAGCAGCTCCCCTTCAAGGTCCTGTGCGGCTCTCCCGGATACATCAACCTCCTCGACTCCCTCAACGCCTGGCCCCTCGTCAAGGAGCTCAAGGAGGCCCTGGGTAAGCCCGCTGCCGCCAGCTTCAAGCACGTCTCCCCTGCGGGCGCCGCTATCGGCCTTCCCCTTACCGAGGATGAGAAGAAGGTCTACTTTGTCAACGACATTGAGGGCATCGACAGCTCGCCCCTTGCCCAGGCCTACGCCCGTGCCCGTGGCGCCGACCGCATGAGCAGCTTCGGCGACGTCATCGCCCTCAGCGACATTGTCGACGTTCCCACCGCCAGCATCATCTCCAAGGAGGTCTCGGACGGTGTCATCGCCCCCGGCTACGAGGACGCCGCACTGGAGATCCTCAAGAAAAAGAAGGGAGGCAAGTACCTCGTCCTCCAGATCGACCCCGACTACACCCCCGGCCCCATCGAGACCCGCACCGTCTACGGCGTCACCCTCCAGCAGCACCGCAACGACGCCGAGATCTCGCCCAAGTCCTTCACCACCATCATCACCCCCAAGGACGCCGGCGCCCTGCCCGAGAACGCCTCCCGCGACCTGACCGTCGCCACCATCACCCTCAAGTACACCCAGAGCAACTCCGTCTGCTACGCCGTCAACGGCCAGGTCGTCGGCCTCGGCGCCGGCCAGCAGTCGCGCATCCACTGCACCCGCCTGGCCGGCGACAAGGCCGACAACTGGTGGATGCGCTTCCACGAGCGCGTCCTCGGCATCAAGTGGAAGAAGGGCACCAAGCGCCCCGACAAGAGCAACGCCATCGACCTCCTCGTCAGCGGCCAGCTCCCCAAGGACGGCGCTGAGAAGGAGGCCTTTGAGGCCGTCTTCGAGGAGGTCCCCCCTGCCTTTACTCCCGAGGAGCGCGAGGCTTGGATGAAGCAGCTCAAGGACGTTTGCGTCTCCAGCGATGCCTTTGTAAGTGAAGCCCTAAAAACTACCGATCCTATTCCCCCACCCCCCCAATCCCACCCTTTTCTCTTTCAGCGTCACCCATCTCGGCAAGATCAATTGCTCATCGAGTCACTTCTAGTTCCCCTTCATCGACAACGTCTTCCGCGCCGCCCGCTCAGGCGTCAAGTACATTGCCGCCCCCAGCGGCAGCCAAAACGACAGCGCAGTCTTTGAGACGGCCGAGAAGCTGGGCATCACCTTTGTCCAGCAAAACACCCGTCTGTTCCACCACTAAGCGAGAGAAAGTCACCAACAACAATCCCACGTTGGAAACAATGAAGTAAAATTTGAGAAAGAAACAAAGAAAAAAAAATCACAGGAAGCCTATTGCAGAATGGGCTGATGTATGTTGGGCTTAAAAAATGGGAAAGGGAAAAGAAAAATTTAGGGAGCGATCAAAACTGGTTCTAGTTGCTCAATATCACTTAGATGTAGTTTCGAACTGTTTCAATACCATTACAATAACAGCGGTGTTTCATGACAACTTGGCGTCTCGTATGTATCAAAGTGTGTCATCATGGACATTTCAAGCACGCAGACTACCTAAGTACTCCTAACTTGTCTGTCATACTCGGACGCAGACGCCAAGTTGATCAGCTCTGGCTAAATGTTACCGCCCAGGGGTAAGCAAGGGGGTCAATTAGATGTGTACATGCTCAGAGCTTAAGCGCCGTAAATGTCACAATTACTTTTGACTATCGCAGCTCCTATATATCTCGCCCTACCCAATCGTAACCTATCTGTACGATGGAAACTCGAGGGCTGCAACTAACCATGATTAGCCTAAGAATCGACATATGGTCACTATATTCCAAGGCTGAGTGGCCTCAAGTCATTGAAGCTCCTGCGGCTTATGCTGGCCCTCTATGGACCAGAAACTGTACTCTATATCAGATTCGAGCCGTCCTCTTCGCCCATGAAGGGATATCGAAGCTCCCATGGCGATTTCGAACGGGTATATACTTCCAAGGTTCAACCTGTTCTAGCCCTTGGCGTGAATGTCGCTATATGTCGTTCGTAATGCCAGCGGTCGTATGCAATATGCAGGTACGCACCCGCAACCGCTACGCCGTTTCCCTTCTTTCATTTTTTTCTCTCTTTATAGCTCTTCCTTTCTTCACTTATTCTCTCTTTTTTTTTCTTTAGGGGGGAGGATATCATCCGCTGGTACTTTACCTCTGTCCCTTGCCAGACTTGGCCCTGTTCGCCTTTGCAATAGACTCTGCCTCTTCCGGCTTGCATTTATGGTTGCTGTATAAATGGCGTCTTAGCTGGTCCAGGCGATTAAAGTCCTTGTTGCAGATGGGGCAAGAGTGCTCGCCCCTCTCATTATGAGTCCGACGATGCTTCGAAAGATTTGACGACTCTCCAAACGATTTGCCGCATATGTCGCACCTCAGGGGTTTGTATCCAGTGTGCGTTCGCTCGTGCATGGCTACAGAATGTCAGAGAATTGCTATTGCTGAATGAAACGGCGTAAGTGCTTACTGAGTGCGCTCTGTTGCTTGAATGCATGCGAGCATCCCGGAAACTTGCATTTCCAAGGCTTCTCGCCGGTGTGTACTCTCATGTGCTGGTCAAGCGACTGCTTTGCCGACAGTTGCAGGCCGCAAATGGAACATTTCACGGGCTTGTCTAGACTTGTTGTCAGAACACTGGTGGGTCTCAAGAAAGAAGAAGCAGGGCGTTGCACTTACACCCTGTGTGAGTCTGTATGTGGCGTTCCAGCTTGCTCTTCTGGCCAAACACTGTTGCTCTGGTACAATTTTCCCATTGGCAGCAGAATCCCGGGTGTTGCCGAGTCATATCCTTCAAGTGATCATTCTTTGTGTGATTGTGCAAGTCGTCGGCATCTTTGAACTGCATGTGGCAGACTTTGCCATCCGATGACTTCCAAAGACAAGTATGTTCGACTGCAGGTTCCAGATCCGGTGGTGTGATGGGAGTCAACTCAGATGGCATGGACTCCGTTTGTGACTCCGCATGTGACTCCGCATGTGACTCCGTAAGCGATTCCTCGGGCTGTACGGGAGAACTTGTCGTCTGTGTTGTTGGGGGAGGTGAAAGTGGTGGGACTACTGGCAGACTCTGCAAGGACGAGTCAGGCGCTGTGAGCTGCGTGTCATTCGCTGAAGGTACGTTTGAAGAGTAAGATGGTGGGACGCTTGATCGGTTGGGTATCAAGGAGAAGTTGTCTTCTAGCTGCGAGGGCTGGGCAGGGTTACCAAAGTCCGGGTTTGGCATGTGCATGTACCAATGGTCCTCGAAGATGTGACTAGCGAACTGGTCAAGTGTGTTGACCTCAAACCCACACGCGAAATCATGTGAGTTATGTCCCAGGCCATGGTTGAGAAAATCGCCGTTGACGGTTTTGGGAAGGGCACACTTTGGGATGGTGAGGTTGGGATCATCTGCGATGCATGGGCGAGCATGGTCCACGACATGCCTAGGGTCGTGATATTGCAGAATGTGAGTCGCAAGGGGGTTTGCTTCGCTCAGATGCTCCCAAAACTGACCAGCCAAGCCATCATCGGTCGTCGGTTGGAAAACAGGGTGGGGGAAAGTGTGACTGCATGTCGCTCCTGTGAAACAAGAGTGAGATCCAAAGGTCGAGTCTGCGGTAAACTGAGGAAAGGTGCTGGGCATGAGTTCCAGCTGCGTATCCCCAATGGAGGCGAGGGCGGCTGCAGCCTGCTTGTCGCCGTCTGAGAAGCCGGGCTCGAGAGGCAGTTGCCCAAGCTTGGCGAGGCCTGAGCAGTTGGCGTCCGTACAAGGGGTGACTGCATCCTCGCACATCTCATCAAGACAGAGCTCTTGATCATCGCACGCATCGTCATCGCAACACATTCCTTGGCCCGTGTCCCCGCATTGACTCGGACAGCTTATGCCGCAGGCAGACGTGCACGACAGCATTGATCTGCAGTCATCGTCGCAGTCTTTCTCCGTCTGAGGCTGGATGTCTTTGCCTACACGAATCGAGTGAGAGGTGTCGGCAAGGGTATCGTTAAAATAGGTGTCCCAAGAAAAGGAGAAATGAGGTTCGGCAACTGAGGGGGATTCGGCTGGGGTGGAATTGCCATGTCGAGCTTGCGACTGTGGCTGAACGGCGTACCCCATCAGAGAAGCCATGGCGTAGGTACTTGGCGGCGATGCCTTGAAAGCATTAGAAGGCATCTTTAAGGGCTTGAGAGGCTCGGCAGAGTAAATCGATGCTTGAGCATCCAGGCAAAGATCGTCGTGCGGGAGATGATCGCCCGCCGGGTCTATGGCGCGAGGGAACTGATGGCTCGCATCCATCAAATCGCAGAAATCGGGAGGCGTGGCGACTGAAGAGTCATGGGAAAGTTGACGAGTGAGTTCCATGAATCTGCTGGAAGGCAGACGATGGGCGTCCATGCTCTGTCAGGCACGGCTTCTGCGGGCTGTCTATAAGGCATGAAGCATTAGCGATTCTGCAGGCCCACCGTGCTAGCAAGAGGCATGTCGAGTCTTACCGATATCGAGAATCACCTCGCTCACAGCTCATAGCAGAAGGAAAGGGAAAGTGGCTGCGGATGGCTGCAGAAATAGCTTGGCAAAAGGCTGAGGAGGCGTCGAGGCGCAATGCTGAAGCCGGAGGGAGATAATCGAGTTCCAGATGCCGAAAGGCTGAAGAGAGAGAAAAAAGAGTGAAATCAGAAAAAAGAAAATAAATCCCGGTCAGCCTCGAGTCCGCGAACGAGAAAACGGCAGGAACAGGAAAAGCACAAGCACAGGCACAAGCGCAGGTGCAGGCCAGGCGCAGGCGCGGACGTGGGAAGGAGCGCCCGCCTGCGGTTGGCCCTGGCTGACAAAGGCAAGAAACGAGAACCTTGATGGTCTACAGCCTCGAGAGCTGTTGCAACATTTGCCGTATTTATGTATTTTTTGTTCTCGGCTGAGCCCCACAGGAGCCATTGACGGCCTAGTTGGCGGGGCCTTTTGGCGGCTTCCAGTTGGTCCCCACAGCTTCCAGCAGACAGCCTGAAGTTGCTGCGTACCGGCAGTTACTTGTTGCGCCCGCTCGGCAGCTGCTGTTGCAATGTACAGCCACGTACCGCAGAGGGGCTCTTCGTTTTTCTTATTTCTCTCGTCACACATTGGACCAATTCCAGTGCAGTGGATGACTGCCAGGCTGGTGCAAGAACTCTAGACCATGATACTACTAGAGTAACTAGGTATGAGTTGTAGACTCTTATCTTGACTCGGGTATGATAAGCTACCTATGTACCTACGGTACGGGTTCTCGACAGACGGATCTCAGCATGCGAGGCGGCTGCTCAAATATGCATTTCTGCTCTGATCGTCTGATATGGACTGGGTAAACATGTCCAGAGAAGTAGCATTTCGGAATTGTGCTTCTCGTGTGGCGTTAGGCTGAGGATTCGTCTTTGTTGCCTCTCCCCGCATTGCATCATGGTTGACTCTGTTTGGAACAAGCACAACCTTCAACACCTTACCCATGCCTCCGATAGAAGCAAACCTTCGAGGGTTGCCGATTTACAAAGTCGCAATTACTTACAACAGATTAGGTAGTCATTGACTCAAATCCCAGAAAGTCATAATACTACAACAACATCAGAACCTCCACAACCAAGCACCCGCGAACCATTCCTGTTTCCAAAACTCCAGGGTAGCGCTGCATCATCACGGCCTCAATATCTGCCCACCTCATTAATAAGCCCCGCCCCGAGAACCCTTGTCAGTGCATCAAGTTCCGCAGCAGCCACTCATGAACCACCCTCGTCTCATCTCCCTTCCCCGTTCCCTCCCACTCTCCCCTCTGGGCGTTTGCATCATGCAAGCCTGCGCGCATCACTAAAAAAAAAAAACCGTGGGAAGTAACCTTATCGGTGCTTATCGCATCTGGCTGGTCTCCTTCTTGATGCGCAGCTAACGTATTTACCCAAGAAGCGCCTTTGGACGAGCGTCTTCCATTATGAACATTCAATTCGTTTGAAGCTATTGCGCTCATTTGCTCCTCTCCTCGGGCTTGCTCACACATTCATAGAATCGCTTCGCTTCCCTCTTCCCATCTTACGCGACCGACAATCTGCGTCTCTGTCAGACGCTCTTCTTACCTACGAGTCACCAGGATCGAGTCGCACCTCGGCTCCATCCAGACCTTACCTTATACCTCAACCACAAGCACATCGCGCTTCGTCTTCCAAATCACCCTACCTTCCTAAGTACCTCACCCTCCACGAAAAAAACAATGGGCAACATCTGCGGCAAGACCGAATCAGAGCCCGACGCTCGCGCCGGCCGGCGCCTCGGTTCCGCTCCGCCCACAGGTCCCAAGACGGCTCCCGTCCCCAAGAAAGTCGGCGGCCCTCCGCGAACCCTCGGCTCAGGCGGCGGCGGCGACTCTGGCAGCGACCCGGGCGATGCGCGAAGGAAAGCTGCCGAAGCTGCCGAGGTGAGTTTACTCGCTCCCCTTCCCTCCTTTATCCTCTTGAAAACTCTCCTTTTCGAAGTCCATGTGACACACCACCAAGGTTCGAGGCCTCTCTGACTGGACATGTGCGTACTGACTGGAATATCATTTTTTCAACAGGCCCGCGCAAAGGCATCTTCCAAAGGCGGCAAGCTCCAGTCGCAGCTCAACGCGCAAAAGAAGCAAAACAGATCGAGCGCCCTCGCGGAGGCGAGCAACCAGGAGCTTCTCGCCAGGGAAGCTGACGCGGCTGCCCAGGCGCGCAACTGGGAGTAGTAAAGAAAAACCCGCCAAATTCTATTCGCCCGAAAATAACAAATACCACTACCCAAAGTCCTACGGAGCTGCCGCGGTTGCACATACATTTCGATACACCTGTACATTTACAAAGGGGAGAGGGGGGGCGGGTGGGGGGCGAGACAGCAACGTACGCGACAATGTGCTCTTCGCTAGGAGAAGCATTGATAGCGGCCTCCTCAAGCGTGTCCATCCTGCTTCGAGACAACCTCCGAACAGCTCGGCGGTTGATTGCTTTTGGAAATTCTATCTGCCCTCTGGGGCTCTTCCTCTTCGTTGATCTAGTCTTTGGGCGTGGCTCCTCCATATGCTCCTCCATATGCTCCCTTGATTCTTTTTCTTCTTCTTCTGCCTTGGATGGGTTGTATATTTCTTGGATTAGATACCTTATTTTGCACCTACGCACATTCATGTAGTCTAGCACCAGCATGCGAATTCACCATTCTTTACGAAAACACAGCCGTGGACAATAGCCAGCATGAAATGAACAACTCATACATTGATGCCTACACTAACCTAGACGCCTGTTTCGTCGTATTGCGATTAACCCATAGCGAGGGATAAAAGAAGAAACCTTGCCCCTTGCGCCTTTCCGTTGCCTGAAGTATGAAACCTTTCACACTCGGCAAGAGAGCGTGATGAAACGGACAAACCTGAACCGACCCTAGCAAGCGTACTCTGCTAATGTACCAATGACCTCGCTCTCTCAACTGCCTTCCTTCGACAGTGTATATAACAAGCAAACAGGCCCAACTTCCGTCTAAGTAACGGTATATCTTCCGCTGGCTGGAGCCCGGCTATCCGCGTCCGCCGCAGCAATGGTGCCCTCTCTCAGGAGCCTTGTCATCTCATTCAGGGCAGCTGACACCACAAGTTCAGTATCACCCTCAATAAGAATGTACAGCTTGGGCTCTCCTCCAGGCGGTACTTCCTTTCCGGGGGGATAGAAGCTGCCCTTGGTGGTGATGGATGTTCCGGTCGCCTCGAGAATCTTGGCCACATTGGTGCGGTTGGTGACGGCCCATCTGGCCTTCTGAGGGAAGTCGTTGATCTCCAGCGTGGCGTGGTAAGCGCCGGCATCCGGGCCCTTGTTGTCGATGGGTTGGCCGGAGCGAAGCTGGCCGGCCTTGCCGAGACGGCTGTTGATGGCACTGACAGCAGAGCTGACCTTGTCCAGAGGATCTTTGGACTTGTCACCTGTACCGTGAGCGTGCTGAGCCGCCTTGCTGTCTCCTGCATCGGCCCGCGTAGTTTCGCGGGCTTGGATGGAAGAGGCCGCAGCTCTGATGGCGCTGAGTGTCTTGTCGACCTTCTTGTCGTCTTCCTCCTTCTTGGCGCCTTCCTCCTTGACTTCCTCTTCTTCACCCTCGGCTCTATGCGTCTTGCGCTCACGAAGGCGGGCCGCTTCACGTTCCTGATCCAGACGGTCGAGGCCCTTGCCACCAAATCCAGAGGAATCCTTTGCCTTGCCCGACTTGACCTTTTCGCGATGAGATTTGCGCATCTCGTTGAGTCGTTCCGGAACAGGCTGATCGCTCTGCTCCAAGGCTTTGGCGATGCCAGGAGCACAGTTCTCCTGTTCCGGAGTGACAAAGGTGACGGCTGTTCCTGTGTTTCCGGCGCGCCCCGTTCGCCCGGCTCGGTGGACATAGTCTTCCAAGTGGTTGGGTGCGTCGTAGTTGATGACGAGCTTGAGTTGTTTCACATCCAAGCCACGAGCAGCAACAGACGTTGCAATCAGAATCGGCACGACGCCCTTCTTGAAGTCTGAAATGGTAGAGTCGCGATCGACTTGGTCCTTGCCTCCATGAATGGACATGCAAGGGTAGCCCTTCTGCATCAGCTCTTTCAGGAGATCGTCAGCCTTCTCTTGTCGCTCGACGAAGATCAACGTCCGAGCATCTTCGTCCTTATCGTAGAGCTCGCCCAGCAACTCCAGAACTCGGAGAAACTTTGTATTCTCCTCTCTGACTTCCACGATTTGCGTAATCTCCTTTGCAACAACGCTGCGGCCGCCGACGGTAATCTCAATCGGGCTCTTGAGCACCTTCTTCGTGAGCGAGTCGATGAGCCGTGGCATAGTGGCCGAGAATAGAATGGTTTGCCTGTCAGGCCGCATGTTGGCGAAGATTTTCATCACCTGAGGCTCGAAGCCCATGTCAAACATGCGGTCGGCTTCGTCGAGAACAACGTAGGTGACCCTCCTGAGGTTGGTGACCCGACCCTGGTTGGCGGCGAGGAGATCAATCATGCGACCAGGGGTGCAAACAATGATCTCGGCACCACGCTTCAGCTCGGCAATCTGTTCCCTGATGGGGGCTCCTCCGTACGCGCAAACAGCTCGCAGGTTCATCATCTTCAAGAACGGCTTGCAATCTCTGTGGATCTGGGTGGCCAGCTCACGCGTTGGAGTCATGATCAGTCCGATGGGGCCATCCGTATCCTTGAGCGGCTCCTGGTCCTTGATGTGACGGAACATGGGTAGCAAGAATGCCATGGTCTTGCCAGATCCCGTCTTGGCCACGCCGACGACGTCTCGGCCAGACATCAACGCGGGGAGAGCTTGCATCTGAATCGGCGTAGGCTTGTCAAACCCGAGAGAACTTATCACATCGAGTGTTTGGCGGGTGAGGCCACATTGGGACCATTTCTGAACGGGCTTGGGGACGTCCTTGCCGTTGACCTTGATTCCGTCCAGCTCCATTCGCAAGTCCGCGACCTCGGCTTCGGAAAGGTTGCTCAACTCTGCTGGCTCAACCCAGAAATTCTTGCGAATGGGCTGCAAGTCTAGCTTTGAATAGTCGACGGTTGGAATGTCCTTCTTCTTGCGCTTGTTGGCGATTGCAAGCAAAGCGGCGTCTGCTTCCTGATCGCCCTGCTCGTTGAAAGCATAGTCATCATCAGAGAAGTAAGCCTCGGGCTCCTGCTGCTTCTTCGCGATAGAGGTAGTCTTGACAGGGTTCTTCACCTCCTCTATCTGTTGAAGACCATCCATGAATGCGTCCAGAGGGTCGATATCCTCGTCCTCTCCGTCGACATCCATGGCATCTGCAGGAGCCTCCTTGGCCGTTTCTTCCCCGTTAGCGACATGCTCACCGTTGGCTTCCTTCGCAACTTGAGATTCGGCATCTTTCATCTCCTCATCAGTGCGGTTCTCCGTCTGATGTTCAGCTGCGTTTTCCGCCTGGTCCTCAGCCTGGTTGTCGGCTTGGTCCTCAGTTTGATTTTCAGTCTGATTCTCAGCTTGAAGACGCCTCTCATGCGCAGCACGAGCGGCTGCAGCGGCCTCTTCTTCGTTTTCGGCAAAGTTGTCGCCATCCGATTCGTCGTCCTCATCTTGGTCAGCATAAGGCGTGTCGTCCGTCTCTATCGGGAGACTGGGGAGCTTGGTAAGCTGCCGTTTGGTTATAACTTCTTCGTCCATGTCGAGCTTTCGCTTGCTAGGAAGCTTGTCGCCGTCCGCATGAGATTTGCCGAACCCGAAACTGCTGGCCTTGGCACGGTTCGTCGGCAGTGCGGAAGCTATATGCTCATTGTCAGCAATGGCCAGGTAGGAAAGCGTGGATGGAGGGATCTCACCAGTAGGTCCCTTCTTAACAGGCAAAGAGATGTTTGGCGGCTGGACATCGATGGATCCGAGAGCTCCTTTGGCGGGCTCATTCGATCTTTGGACGGCAGACTTCTTCGCAATCGTTTTCGGATCAAACTTGCCGGTATAAGGCTTTGCTGGAGAGACGCTGCCCGACTCGACAGGGGCAGGCGAAGCTGCAGACGACACAACAGGAGACGAGAGGGCTGTTGAGCCTTCTTTGGCCCTCTTGTCCATCTCCGCAAGAAGACTTCTGGTCTGGCTAGCGTTCACCTCCTTTTGTTTCTGGCCTTCGAGCTCCTTCTTTCTCTTCCATGCTTCCAGCTTCGCCAGTCGCTCTGCCTTCTTGTCGGCCTCGGATTGCGCCGCGGTCGTTTTGGCCTTTTGGGCCTGGGATATGTCATGAGCTCTAGTTCTCTCAAACGGGGTTGGAATACGTACCTCGTCAGCTCCATTTCTGCCACTGTCGGCCAGTGGCGTCTTGCGGGATCGGCTGTCAGCGCGGCTGCTGCGAGCTTGAGAGTCAGCCGTACCCTCGCGTCGGCCTCTGTTCCTCGAATCGTCCCGCCTCCGGTAGTCGTCTCGGCTACGGTCGCGGCGTCGGTCAGGCGAGCGAGGTCTGGGCGGATATCTCTCTCTCGATCTCGGGCCACGGCGGTCACGGGGGCCTCCACGGTAAAAGTCATCGTCTCGGCGGTCTAGGGAGCGGTCTCGTCGGCGGAAGCTGTCGCGGTCACGGCCACCACGGTCTCTCACGTCTCTGCCTCGGTCACGGTCGCGGTATCGATACTGTTGGAAGTTCATATTTCTGTCAGACACTGGTCCAGGCGTATAGGAGTTACTGGAGCTGGAGTGGCGTTGGTCAAATCTCACATCCGGGCTGCGCGACCTTGAGCGGCGGCGAGCGTCCCTTCCATCGTCGCGGCGGTCTCTGGCATCCCGCCGGTCGTCATCTTTGCGGTGGCGGCGCGAGTTGAAATGGCTGCCTGCAGGACTTGGTGAGCGCGAGTCTCTTGGCCGAGCCATTGTTGTGGTCTCGCAGGCTCAGCAAGACACTACTGTAAGAACTACTTTTTCAAGGGCTTGGAGCCGATGTAGTGAATTTTCTTTCTTTCTTTCTTTTGTCGTGGTCGATGGTGCCCTTGAGAAAACGCGGAATCGAAGTCGAGGCTGGTCCAGGAAACGGGATGAACTTGGTTTGTCTGGAAATCGGTCACACGTCACCCCCCAAGCAGGTCAATTCTCCTATCCGCAGTCAAGCGTGCAAAGTCAAAAGCGCAAGCAGGACGAGAGATGGATCTCGGTTAACGATGGGATTGCTTGGGCGATGCCAAACGGGAAACGACGCTGGGCAAGTTTTGGCGGAGGGGCCGTTTTGTTGTCACGGAAAAGAGCCACTGGGGTTGAAGGCGGCTGAAAAGTCGTCTCGATGCTTCGAAATAGCCGAGCTTCAGCCGGCTGAAATTCAGAGCGCGATGGCTTTACCGCGCTAAGCCCCATCTGGCCTCAGCAGCACTTGGCGCGCTCACTCACAGTCACTCACTTACTGAACTTTTGTTCACCCTTTCTCATCATCTCATACTCGATACCTTGTGTTGCAATGGCTGGGCTTGTAGGATATGCAAGCTCGGATGAGGAAGGAGAAGATGAACAGCCTCAATTGCAAGAGGCATCTCCTCAGGTACGAAGCATTCTGGCCAACGTCTACGTGATTGCATTTCACTAATACGCTCGCTAGGTCGCCACACAAGCAGCAGCGGTCGAGGCTGATGAGGCTGAGAAGAAGAAGCCTCATATAGGTAAGTGAGATCACCTCATCTGTGTCTTCATAGTGCCTATGGATTGAAAGTGGCTGAGATTAGAGCAGAAAACCCAGAAGAAACATCATCTTCACAAAAACAAGACGTTGAGAGACAAACAGATGCAGCCACCATAGGCCCCATCCTCCCAGACGCAGTTCCTCTAGGCCCGTCCCTTCCACCCATCGATGCCTCCGTCACCACCCTTCCAGAACCCGATGAGCCCAACGACTCACCATCATCACCCTATTCTTCTAACCGCGGGCTGATTCACCACCTTACCCTCCCCTCCGTACCCAACCTTGACATTCCGCCTTCGCCACCGGGTTCACCTCCCCTTGAAGCCAACAAGAAAGTCGAACAGTTCCTACAACTCAAGAAGAAAGGCGTCCACTTTAACTCCAAACTCGAACAATCCGCGGCATTGAAAAATCCTTCATTGATGGATAAGCTGTTAGACTTTGTTGGCATCGACGACGCGAGCCAGTATGAAACGACGCTACCAAAGGAGCTGTGGGATCCTAGGGGATTTCCAGAGTGGGCATTTAGGGACAGATTGAGCAAAAGCAGAGAGAAAATAGCAAAGGAGAAGGAATCTGAGAGAGCTAGTGGTGGTCGAACAGCTGTCGAATTTGTCCCCTCAAATTCTTCGTCAGGCGGAGGACCAGCTGCCCGGCCTGGAGGGATAACTTCAAGGGGCGAGAAGCGCAAGGGTGGTTGGAAATAATGATTCTTACGAACAACACGTGGAAACGAAGCAAGCTATCTCCGGATGAATGTGACTAGATAGCAGACACTGGGGAGGAGGACAAGTCTTGAACATTAATGAATTGCGAGGCCATACGTGGCCCCGTTACTATCGAAATACAGTCTGTACGTCTACAAGGAGGTATCATGAATCAGAACGCACTGCAACCGGAGGCTTCATCACACATATTCCTGTTGGTTCCCATTCTCTTTGAAGACAAGACAAGATCACTCATTGAGTGAAGTGGGATCTGGTCCTCTGCGTCGAGTTACGCGATAGCGCACATCATCCACCGGCAAGAAGTGGGTTTTTTTTCTGGCAATATCCAACAAAAGCTCAAAATCAAAGATTCCTCCTTCACCGGACACCATCCACGGACGGTATGAGAAAGAATAGAAAAAAATTTGTCATAGCGAGTTTGTCAATAGGTATGACTGCGATCGATCCGTCGTTTAGCTGGAGCTGGAGCAGCCGACGGAGGTGCCGAGAGACTCCTTGATGATTTTACCAATGTCGAGAGTAAGGGTCTGGTTGTTGGCAGAGAGAGCGTCGAGGAAATACTGGAGCGTCTGGCCATCATTGCGAACGGCAGAGCCCCGGAGCTTGATGTCGACAATTCCAGTCTTGCAGTACTTGGGGCTTCGAACAGCGTCGAGGACCTTGACCTGATCAAGAATAGCACTAATGGGGACCTTGTTGCTGCCAGGGACCAGGAGAAGGTTGGGGATGGTGAAGTTGCCAATGTCAGTGCCGTCGATGAAGTTGGTGAAGGTAGCGTTGCCCTGGATATGCACGTCAGCATGGATAAAGACCAGTATGCGAGAACACGCTAGAGCGGCGCGTGCCTAGGTAGAGTCGACTTACAATATCGAGAGTGAAGTAGGAGGCGTTGGGAATATCGGAAAGGCCGGTGAAGTTTGGCTGGCCCTTCTTAGCAGCCATGTTGATCTTGGCGTTATCGACCGAGAGACCATCGAACAGGTTGAGGCCGTTCATGGTAATTGTCTTCTTGAAGGTAACGCTAGACTTGGTGGACAGGCCAGACGGCTTCACCTTGGTTCGGCCCTCGATTGTAACGTTGAGGGTCTTGTTGGCAGCAAACCAGATGTTGAACGTGTTGAAAGCATCGGGGTTCTGGATCTGAATCTCCTGGCTGATGTTGACCTGCTGGTGCTTGTCGCCGTTGGTGGCAGGGAAGGAGATGTTGAGGAAAGGCGTGTGGTCGGGGAGATCCTCGAGGTACATGACGCCGTCAAAGGGATCAATCTTTGCGCTGATGGAGCCATCGGTGGTGATGGTAGAGTTGATTTCCAGCTTGATGCTGTCAGGCTTGGTGTTGAGGACGTTTACGCCCTGGACTTCCAGCTTGGCATCGTTGACCTTGCTCTGGGCAATCTTGGGCACACCAACAAAGATGCTGGGAGAAGAAGTGTCAGTGGGAGTCGCACATCGATATACAGCCGGAGACCCAGTCCCCTCGATGTAACCACTTACACTAAACAGACAACGAGAACGACGATGCAGATGAGTACAATCAGATACGCCCACCAGAAACGCTTGCAATGACGGGCAACCGTATGCTTCTTGGTCTTGGGCGGGACCTCCTGATAGGTCCTGCTCTCGGTCTGAGTGACATCAACGCCGTCGTTCTCCTGCTTGTCAGACATTTTCCCTGCCTTTCTGCTGGTCTGTAGAATTTTCAGTCGCTGAACGTTGCAGAATTGTCGCGCGTGTCCGTATTATAGGTGATGATGTCCTCCGTATGTGATGGCTCGTGCTTTTGAGAGAGGAGGAGAAGAAGAAGAAGACGACGAAGAGCAAGAACCACAAAGAAGTATCTGAAAAATTGTTTCCTCCCAAGTTGCTAGATATAAAAAGCCGGCGGTGAAATTCCTCGTTCCAGTCCTTGCGAAAGCAGATCAACCACAAATTCTCCAGAGCCCTTGGAAAGTCTATCGGCGGGCTTTGGTGTCGTCGATGGCGTTGGAGGCGGCCGGCAGATGGGTCAGAGGCGCTCGCAAAACCTCCACAGGAAGACGTTGGGAGGAGGGAAAAAAACAGGGCCGGGGATACGCCAACGAGATCGAATCTGCAGATGGCGATGCTTAAGTACGAAGAGCGTGCAAGGCCTGAGGGAACGCAGAGACAAGGAACCTCAGCGCGACATGGGAGAAGCGGAAGGACAAAAGACGAGCAGGGGCAAGATTGGCGGGCAGGGGGGGTCATGGCCCCAGGTGCTGGACTGCTACTACTAGTAGTAGTACTGTACTTGCCGCTGTTGGCAGCAGTTGCTGGCGATGGCTGCCCTCTCCATGTACCAGATGTCGGGGGGGCATCACTGCCATCCCAGGGATCGTGCTGTCGGTCCTCAAGTCTTTCTTTCTTGTTTGCATCGAGTCTTGTGATGTTCACGCCCCTCCCCTCCATCCCTCCATCGCTCGTTCCTTTCCCCCTCCGGCTTTAGTCGACGCCATCATGCATCATCGAGGCCATCTCCAGCCCTCCAGCCTCGGGGGGACGAACAACACCCCAAGGTTCCAAGGTTCTCTGGCTGTTCTCCCATGCTTTGGTGCTAGTTTGGCCCCCCAAGTGCCCTTGAGCCCTCCCGCTAATATCCCAAGTGCCACCCAAGCGTCGCCCTCCTTCAGAAAGAAAAAAACGTCCGTCGCCCAACCCTGGCTCCGGTTTTCCTGGGGCCTCTTCCCTGTTCATCTGCGTCTAGCTCGAAGCCACTCTCGGCCGCCAATCTCCACCATCCCCTGCAAACGTGCAGCGATTTGCAGCCAGCTAGACTCGGTACGCGGCGGGGGAGGCATCGCGCCATTCCCGGTTGGGCAGTGCCCCGAGGGCTGCTTCTTGCCCGCCCTGGTCTTCAACGCCTCCCCGCAAACCTGGAAGGCACTGGACAGAACCGCTGGTCAGTGACAGATAGTACTTGTGTACATACATGCAGTACAGTAGTACGAGTACCGGCCAGCAGGATCATCCATTGCAAAACATGAAGTTGAAGTGCCGCTGCTGCAATGGCAGTTGAGCTGCTGGTTGCTGTCCAATTACGAGGTAAGGTACTACCTTAGGTAGTACTACTCCGTACCTTACCTGTATATGCGGTACCTTTGCGCTGCAGTCCGGGGCTCGGATATTTCGCCGCGGCGCCTTCCTCGAGACTTGGCAGTTTTATAAACCAGGCAGGACCTTGGGCAGCTGGAGCGCCAGAAGTACCTTCCCTGCTAGTTGCGACACGATGGTACCAATCTGCGCCACTCTTCCTCCTCCCTCCCTCCCAACAGCTTCCTCTGCCACCATCGTCTGTTTCGACTGATTGACGCCTGCATGGCCCCCAGAGACCACCAGAATGACTTTCCAGGCGCATGGATGGTCTTCAGCAAGCCGCTAATGTGAAGATCCCTCGGCATCTCTCTGGGATTGACGGTTACACGTGAAAGTCTACGTTGACGCATGCAGCTGGCAAGAGGGTGAAGCATCAAAAATGTCCAGCTTACGAGACAAAGTGGTTTGTTTGACAGCTGCAGCCAGAAGCCGTGTTGCACTTGTTTCGAAGAGCATCTCATTATAAAACATGGTCTAATTGTTACGCAGCCAATGGAATGGGGACGTTGAGATAATAATATTCTGCTGCACGCGACCCTCTTGACCCGTCAGAGGCTGCTTGGTGGACTCCGCTTGACTCGACGACAAGCCGAAACCTCAAGAACACATGGACGGGTCCCATACAAAGGTACGAAGGAGGATCTCTCGCAGAGCAAACATCATGCCATTCAGAGCGACCTGACACAAAGTAGCCTACGGTGCATGCTTTCAATCGCGCAGGGTAATATCGGCAGTACTAATATGCCTCGTCACCAGCAGAGAACTGAGCCGGAATGCCGTTTGCAGACAAATCGCATGATGGACGCGACCCATGCCTTCCTCTGGACAGACAGTACCAGTAGTACATACATACAGCTGCGCCTTGGAAACGAAATCTTCTGCTCGTCCATCCATCTCAACCAGCTCCGGCACACGGCCAGTGGCAACCGAAAAGGGGCTCCAAGCAGACCGAGCCAAGCTAGGCGAAAGGGCCGAGTAGCAGAAACACAGCCAATCTGCGCCAGAGAACGAGGGCCAGCTGCTCTCCATGCAACCAGGCCAGAGATGTATCCACTGCTTCCCACACAACCTTTTCAGAGCCTGCAGGAAATGGTTTCCTGACTGGGAACCGTTCCGACGAGCCACCGGGCCGCACTTGAAGACGCCACCGCATCTCATCATTTCTTAAAATGCACTACGGACTAATACACAATGCTGTCAGAAGATCTCCGTATCGACACGCACGAGTATCGTATGTACAGTTTACGGCTTCGTGGGACACAAGAAGTAGAATCAGTTATTGCGACTGTCTGAGCCTGGTACATGGGAATGATCACAAGACGGCAGCCCTTGAATCTATCGCTCAGACGGACGGATGGGCAGCCAGCTCGCACATGCACTGGGCACAAAGTATTCCGACATCCAGCTGGAGCAAAGGAGACGCTCATACAGGATCACGCTTACAATCCCATGGGAAACGGTAACGTCGTTTTGTCAGCTTGACACAGTTACACCAAACCTGAAGTTCTTTCCCTTGTCCGCCGGGCAATAGTACAACTAACTGATCTTGGCCTGGCCCCGGCTGATGCGATTCATGCACTGACAGGCGACCGCTTCGCGACAACGGCACCTAGCGAACACGATTGGCAGAGCGGAAATAAACGACCTCCACTTTCTCTGATGAGACGCTTGTCGGAGGAAAAGAGAGACTCCAATCAATCAAAAGGCCCTCGAGTTCCGTGTGTGAGGAAATGAAACAAGCGCGTTTGATGAAATCCTCCGCCTCTCGGCACGATGCGACCAGGCTCAGCTTGCGAGGCGGATGGCTATTGTCATCTGCAAGGGAGAGGAACTGAGGCCACGACTTTTAGATTTCGACGACACAGCCGTACCGCAACCCAGGAAGAGCCTGGGACTACAGTATTGTACTACTATATTCAAAAGAATGACTGTGGCTCCACACCATCAAGTTACGTCGATAGACCCAGCGTCGTGGGCTTGAATGGCGCCATTCAGCCAATCGCGAGCGATCGATGTTTTCCAGATTCATGGCCAACGGGAGTCTGGCTCATGTGCCTCGAGGCTTTGCCACGACGAACCTAAACCCATGGTACCAGCAGCATCCTACACGATAGGTTTCCTCACTGTGGCGGGGTCTCTTCCAAGTTGCCTGTCCTTCTGTTCTCGTATGGCAACCCGGGAAGCCCGGAAAATGGATAATAGTACCTACGTACCACCTTAAAGAGTGAACGTTTCTCTACAGGTTCCAGGTGCGTTCGCGGCGAGACATTGCAGCCAGCTGCTCCTTGGCGCCAGGAAACATGCTTCGAGAGCACATTTGATGCAAATACGAAGAGCCAGTGACAAACGCATCTAACACATAATAGTACCAGCCCAGCACCTATGATACAAACGGATTGAAACCAAACGGGCGCAAGAGACATTACGTTATGGGCACGATTCCGAACCAATACCATCCTCGGGTCCGAGGCACCCTGGCCTCATCCTCACGCATCCTCCCTTGAGATGTGTGTTACAATGCTGCGCCTACGCCGAGACTACTGTATTATTACGGCCCCTACTGAATTCAGCTGCAAGCACGTGCCGCTGATGGTTTCTCGCCATACAGACTTGCAGACATGTTGATACGCCCTCGTCACGCGATAGCTCCAACTCGGCAACCTGGAAGACACTCTTGTGAATCTATTTCTGTACCGGTCTGAATCTATGTACAGGTCTAGGCTCTCTCGGCTGTCTATCTCGCTTGCCCGCTGTTTGATCTAGCCAATTTGAAGCAAAAGACTTGGCAACCCTACAAGAACTCCATCAAAATGGCATTACTGGAACCAGGCATCACCGGCTTCCCCAGCTTTTGATCGCGCGCAGCTGCAGAGCGCTAGTACTAGTAGTTGTGCTACCCACTCCAGCCCACCAACCCCCGCCTGGGCATTGTGCGAGCCATCACGAGCAGCCGAGGAAGCATATGACAGTAGATGCATCACAGCTTGGACTTTGCCCACAGCCCCGGCTGGCCCAGCTCCGCAGGCCCGTCGTAAATGTCTCTCTCCACACGGCGCGTGTTGATCTGGGGCCCCAGAGTCAGCTATATTGGACCACAGATCGCCCAAGATGAGATTCTGGGGGCGTCATTTTCCTTCTCCTCTAGTCTCCGGATACGCTCCGGAACCGCGGGGGAGAAGACGAAGGAGGGGGGACTTACAAATCTTGGGCCGAGCTCCTGTATGTTCTTCACTCCGAGGAGTCTCATACATGTGGCTGTCTCCGCTTCAAGAACTATTCAGGGCCGAAATCGCCCGAAGCGTCAGAAAAGCTTTCATTGTTGTGGAATATGACGTGTAGGGGAGGGAAAAGAGGCAAGGGGATTGGCACAGGCGGTGATGATGCTCACTCCCTGGGCAGGTCGCACCAGGACATCACACCGCCATCGCCACGGTGATCAAGGCCGGGTCATCATATCGGCAACCGATATGGAGACGCGTCTGTCTCCCAATGGGACTCGGGGAATCAAACTCACTTTCCAGTGTTCGCTCCACACCAGCTTCGCCTCCAGCTCCGAGACCAAATAAGGCCGCACGGCCAATACCCACAGCTTTGGCGCCGAGACAGAGAGCTTTAACAACATCGGTGCCTCTCTTGATGCCACCGTCGATCCAGACTTCGATCTTGTCAAACACCTCGGGACAATACTTTCTGATTTCGAGCAAAACGTGGACTGGGGGTGAGGCTGTATCCAGCGCTCGGCCGCCATGGTTCGAGAGGATGATGGCCTTGACCTGGGGCGCGTACTTGGCAGCTAGGTAGGCGTCCTCATATGTGTGAATGCCCTTGAGTACGATGGGCAAGTCTGTGTGCTTTGTGAGCCACGGCAGCGTCGTCTGCCACGTCAAGTCGCTGGCCGTGCCGAAGAAGAGCTGCTGGCCCACGCCGCCACCGCCAGGTCGCTTCTCCTGGCCGCCCTTGACCCCTGGCTCGACTACGAAGCCTTTGTCAAAGTTTGATTTCTCGTCAATCTCCCGCTTGCCAGGCACGGGAGCGTCTAGCGTCAGGCAGACGAGCTTGAATCGGTCCTTCATCTTGTTGATGCGTTGCAGCATCTCCTCGCTCCGCTCGCGGCGGTTCTGCACGTACAACTGCCACCCAAAGATCTGGCCAGGTTTTGCTTCGGAAGAGATTTCCTCTGGTGTCATTGAGGAGTTGTTGGAGATGAGCTGAAGGGCGCCAAACTTGGATGCTGCCCTGGCGATACCAAGCTCGCCGTCCGGGTGAGCTAGCCTGGCCATGGCAGCCGGGCTGACGTATATGGGAAGGCCAACCTTGTGGCCGAGGAGAGTCGTCGACAAGTCGCATTGCGTGCAGTCGACAAAGACACGGGGCCGTAGCAGGATGTCTCGGAAGACTGTATTGTTGAATGTCTTGGTGATCATGTCGTCGCTGGCGGAGTAGTAGTAGGCCCATGCCTTTTTCGAGATGCGCTTGGTGGCCTCGGCCTCGATCTCGTCGAGGTTGAGCAGCGTCTCGAGGGGTGAGGGAGCGTCGTCGTCCTTCTTGACCGGCGCCGGCTTCGTGTCGATCATGCTGGCAGGATCAACCTTGCCCAGCTTGGCCTCGGGCTTGAGCTCGTCCAGCGTGCCGGACGGGTGGATGGGATCGAACTCCTCGGTGGCATCTTTGCCGGCCAGCTGGAGGATCACCTTTGCGCCGCCCGGGTGCGAGGAGAGGAAGTCGGTCACGTCGTACACATGGCCGTAGAGGATGACCCAGCAGCTGTCGGCCGTGTTGTGCTTTGCGACTGCGAGACGATCGAATCAGTTACGTGGGGGACAGCCTCAGCAGGGTGACGACGGGGTTGTACCTTCGGCGGCATCGAAGACCTTGGCCATTGCGCAGTCGATTGTCGTCTCGATCTCTCGACGACGGGGTAATACTGCGGAAGGGTTGGAGGTGACATGGTCACATTTTTTCCAGGTCGATCCGACAGCACATCGTCTCTATTTGAACGACGGATCATTCGCCGAGTTCGCCCAGCCGGCTATTGCTGCTACTGGCTTGCCGGACGCAACCAAAGGGGGGGAGGTTTTAGCCTTGTGTGGGGAAGGGGAGCTATTTGCGCCTCACCGAGCCTTAACTTCCCACCAATGAGCATGGCGCTTTCGGTAATACTCTGTCGACATGGTTGGATCTCTATCGTTTGGGCACAGAGCCGTATCTGTACGACATTGTGCTGTTCCCAGCACACTTGAGTCTGTTGATGGTTGGCCTGATGCTCGGAATCGGCTCATGGCATGAGGGGGTGGGTGTTGCATATTCCGTCTTGTCTGTCCATGCAGTGCTGCCATGACGGCTCGGGCGAGTCTTCTCAGCAGCAGATGGCACACAGGCTGGCGTGCTGCATTACTACCTACTTGCAACCCAAGAACAGGTACTTATATACAGATACAGAATGTTTCTTTACATTCTGAGGGGCTTATCGAGGGATCAGAGCCAGATAGTCTTCGGTTGGAGCAATAATCCCACCACATCAGCAATTGTCCGGCATATCTCCGCCAACGGCCGACCCGCTCCGGCGTCCATCGGGCCCGGTTTCGGGGGCCTTCAACACAGGAATAAGCAGCAGCAAAGAGCACGGGGAATTCGCTTGGCCGACGGGACAAACAAGGCCGAACGCGAACCTGACTCGAAAACAGCCACGCAATCTGCGGCCACTGCGGCGTTGATCTCAGCTTGGGTACAAGAGACGCCGGCTTTTAGCCCGTCTTTAGCCGACCATTGCCTATCGCGGCGAGGAGACAATGCCTCGGTGACCTCATAGCTACTGCCGGGAAATCTCCGTGCAAATTATTCCAGATACTTCATCCATCAGAAGCTTCAAGCTCTGGTATCACACACACAAGTCTTTCAAGAACGAAGAAGCTACTGCGGTGCCACGTTACTGCTTTACCGATCCGGCAGACAAGAAGTCCCCTTTCTTTCCCCTTCCATTACTTTCTTTTGATATACAAATCATCACGGAAACTCAATGCGCTCGACAGCTTCCGCAGCAAGGGCCATCGCCGAGGTGTGCCGGCCTTGCGCACGATGTCGCCTTCGAGCATCGCGATCCGTCATACCCCTGACACGGCCGAGTCGAGCGTCGCATAGCATCGCGGCTTGTGTCAACGCCTTGCGGGCACTGCCGCAGGGATACGGGAACGTCTCGTTCTTCTCCAGCAGCGCCGGCGCGTCCGCGGCATCCGAGCCCTCGCCCTCGCCCTCGCCCTCGCAGACATCACCAATACCAACAGGCGAGGCATCGTCAACGGAATCAGCGCCAAATGCATCATCATCATCATCATCGCCGTCGTCGTCGCCGCCGCTGACCCACTACGACATCTTCCCTGAGACGCTCCCCCTCGGCCCTCCTCCCTCGGGCCACTTCCCCATCGACACGCGCGCCCTCCGCCGCGAATTCCTCCGCCTGCAGGCCCGCCACCACCCGGACATGCAGCACCAGCATCACCAGCATCACCAGCACGACTCGCACAAGGCCAAGGCCCGCGCGGAGGCGACCTCTGCGCTCATCAACGAGGCCTACAAGACGCTCTCCAACCCGCTCCTGCGCGCGCAGTACCTGCTCTCGCTGCGCGGCGTCGACGTGGCCACGGACGAGACGATGCAGGTCGACGACCCGAGCCTGCTGGCGCTCGTGCTGGAGGCGCACGAGGAGATCTCCGAGGCGCAGCGCGAGGAGGATCTCGCGGAGCTGCGGAGGACAAACGACGAGCGCATCAGGCAGAGCGAGGAGGTGCTCGAGCGGGCGTTTCGCGAGGATGACGTGCAGGCTGCCAAGAAAGAGGCTGTGCGCTTGAGATATTGGGTCAATATCAAGGAGAGCTTGGATAATTGGGAGGAAGGGCGGCCTGTTGTTTTGCAGCATTGATTCTCGCTGGCGTGTACTGCACACTTTTTATTGCGTTGTTTTTAGGGTCGTGTAGAGGGGTAAGAGGGTTTGTGGTTTCGCTGTAAAGAAGTATATAGACGGGGAATCGGTAGGTAGACTTTTCGGTATACACGCGCTCGACTCATGTCTGTAGTATATAAGGTACAATCTCTCTTTCTTTCATCAAGCAGAAGCACGCAACGGAACAGACAGTTCTACTCAGACCAGTGAAGACGAAATTGTTCCAGTACGCTCAACATGATACGGAATCTACTGATTAATATGCCCTCAAGATACGAAGGAGGCAGAGATGCCCATCCGCATATATACAATTACATAGGTATATAACACAATCAAACCCTGAATGAGAAGCATGGCCTGGACCCTGACCACACTCCCTGTATATATATCCCCCCATTCATCCCGTCCCGTCCCATCCCATCCCATTCCATTCCAGTCGCACCCCAACGCCCAGTCATGCATGTTCCCCATGATACATACAAAGGGAATCGGAAAGATTATAAACTTAGATGAAATATAAAGGTGAAGCATGTGCAAGAAAGAAAAAGGTTATGAAAGGAAAATCAAGCATGAGGACCAATATTGTGCATGAAGAAAAGAAAAATCCAATTGCTCTTTTTTGACCCCGTTGTCTGAATGTACTCCGAATGCACCGTGGATATCGCCCCTTCAACGTTGATACGCCGGTAATTGGTCCCCGTCATCATGGTCGTGTATCCCGTCTGTACGCGCACTCCCGGATGGCCCTGCGCCGGCTCCATATCCCGCAGAATGGTCCTCGTCTTCATCCAGCATGGGCGCAGTTGGCTCAGCATCCGCCGTCAAGTCCCCTTGCCGAGGAGCTCGACCGGGGCCACCCCTTCGAACCATGTCCTCCGGAAATTCGGGGGGCGCGCTGGCTTCCTGCATTAGCCGCCTCCGTTCGAGTTCCTGTTTATCTTCCCCGGCTCCTGCCAGCGGGCTGACGGCGGCCGTGAGCTCTTCTTCTGTCGGAGCCGACGGGCCCGGGTTATCCTCTTCCCCTGAATTGCCTGCATAGGGTGGTCGAGGCGTGGCTTGCGCGTCGTAGATGTCGTCTTCGTCGGGTGAAGACGGCCCGGCAGGCGGCCGGCTGGGCAGCAGTCTTTGCTCTGCCTGTCGTATGCGATCTTTCTCCGAGAGGTTGCTCCGGTCAAGCAGCTGAGGAGGAGGGGGCGTGTATGATGGCGCAAGACCGTGATTATGCAATTGTGTATAGCTAGGGTGAGAAGGGGTAGGAGGAGAGTAAGATGGTCGTCGCTGGCTTGGATGAGAAGAAAAGTAGCCTTGTGGAGGCGGTCCGTGGGGATGAGGATCGTGACGATCGATATCGTCGTAACGGGTCGGTGTTGGTATAAAGCCGAGGTCGTCGTCGCTCTCCCCGTTGTCGAGCGTCTTTGATGACGAGGAAAGCTTAATCAGCCTCCGTGCCCCCGAGGAGTCTACGGTGCCCACAATAGACTCGATGGTAACGCACACAATGCCCTTTTGCCTTCGCAGAGGAGCCGTGTCCATGATTTCTATCTGTGCCCCTCTTCTTTGCGAGAACATGCTGATGCTCTGGTCTGTAGCGCTGCTGCTAAAGGTGCCGAATCTCGAAGTTTTGCGCGACGGGAAATGACCTGACAGCCTCCCACCCAGGTCGACAATGACTTCCACCTGGTACTTGAAGGAAATCATATCCCCGGGCACCCCCTTGATGGTCGGAAAAGAGTCGTCGGGGACCTTGACCGGCACCGTGACCGACGCCTGCATGGTGTTTGGGTCAATGATGAGCGGCGCCGTTGTCTGGTCGAGGTCCTTGCGGAACACGCTGATGGAGCCGGCGGAGGAGAGAGACAGGCCACCCAATCCCGTGCGCGACCTAGGGTATATATCTTCCCTCTGTAATCGACGAGCATCCTCCCTGGTAAGCATGTCCTTGAACAGCTGCGACGGGGGCGAGGAGTCAATCTTGCCCTGACGGAAAAGCGTCACTATAACTCCAGTCATGCTCTTGACCTGCTTGATGTGCTGCACTGTAACGCGCACCGACACGGCGTCGCCCGGCAGGCAGCCGCCTCTAAGAAGCTCGATGCTGGCGGTAATGGTCTTGTCGTTCACAGCCTGCTGCGCCGTCGTGAGGCCGGTGCTGCCGACCTGTGTTAACTGAGCCGTGTCGCTGCGGCTCATGGCAGTGCTGATGCTGCGTCCGCTCTCGCCACTGATCTCGCTTTGCACGTCGCTCAACGCTGCCGCCCCTCTCCGTTCGCTCTGCTGGTCGCTTGGCGGGCTCTCGCGGGCAGGAACGTCCTCCGTAGCGGTCGGTGTCGGACACGACTCTCTTGTATCGGGCTCGGGGGCGACATCCACAGGCTCTGGCGTAGCAAGGGAGCTCTTGTCCAGCGCCATCGATGACTTCTTCCTCTTCGTCCTCTTGGATATAGGCTCTAGAAAAATCGTCCTCGGTGGTGGCGGAGGCAGGAGACCGACGTCTATCCTTTCGGCCAGCATGACCTTTCTCTCGCAAGTCATCGTCGCCGCCATGGAGACCGGCCGCGTGAGGGTTGCCGTGACCATGTACGATATCGTTCCGCGCTCGAACTAGATTGTGGAAGCAAGTGTGTCAGCAGTCGCTTCACGAACTGATATGCCCTCAAATCCATGCCAAGGCATCAAAGGCGCTCAACGCGACCGTAACTCACATCAATGCTGCTCGGCAGTCCCTTGTCGGGGAACACCAGGTCGAAGCCAAACTCGTATCTGCCGGGATCAAGCCTTCCCTCGCCGCTTAGCACCTGCTCATCCTGGAAGAGGCTTGCGAAGCCGTTGCCGTGATACTGCGGCCGTGACGAGCTGCCTCCCTGCGGCAGCGTAACGGTGTTGCGGACCTTGGCAGCGCCTGCAGGATCCCTCAGTACGCGCACGAAGCCGTGCAGGGTGACGACCAGGTGGGTGATGCGCACCGGCTTGACGACCACAAGAATGACGGTGCCGTGGACATGGTCGCCAGCGCTGTATTTCCGGTGCGGCTCGTCGCAGAGAACGTGGAAGTCGGTCACGCTGCGATTGCGGTTGCGAAGGGGGAGCGGCAGCGGAAGATTGAGCGAGCTGCCCAGCCGCGCCAGCAGGCCAGGGCGCGGCAGGGATCCGGAGGAGACGGTCGATGCGGGAGCTGTCGTAGGCGCGGGAGGAAGCGGGGAGGTCGGCGTAGAGGTAGAGGCAGATGTTGGGGAGGCGGATGTCGAGGCGGTCGTGGAGATTCTTGTTGCGGATTGGGATGCTGCGGTGACGACAGACGGGCGCTGCGGCTCGGCGTCGGCAGGGGACGGAGACGGCGAAGCTGGGGTCGGCGCTGGCGATGATGGCGACGACGGTGCGCCATCTCTTGTCTCTCTTTCCGCAGGTGCTGGTGCTGGTGCTGGTGCTGGTGCTGGTGCTGATATTGCTGGTGGTGTCGCTGCTGTCGAGGCGCCGGGAAGCCATGGCAGCGACACGGACGCCGAGGCCGACGATGTCGACACGCCGCCGCTGCCCCGAGATGCTGGCATGGGCGAGGGCGAGACGAGGCGGGCTCGCGGAGTCGCCGGTCGCTGCTACGGCCGTAGAGACGCTGGGGCTTGGGTCGAGGAGGCCGCTGCTTTGCTTCGATCGTGGGCAGGAGACAGGGACCAAGTTCGGGGTCGTCGGAGACTCGTAGGATGCGCGGATCGTGGTGTTAGCGCTGCTCGAAAGGCCCCCAAAACCGGCAGCGGGTATCCAAAGAACAGCGCCCAAGTGAGAAAGAACCTGTAGGAAGGGACAAGACAAGGACAAGATAAGTAGTGACAGTCGAAGCCAGACAAAGCCGGAAGATCAAGAGACAGACAGAGCCAGAATGGGAGGATAGAAGAAAGAACCACAATAATTAGACTCGGCGTCGGGTGGAAGATTATCTCTCCCTACTTGTCCCTTCTCTCCTCGCCGTCTCTCTCGCTCTCTCTCTCTCTCTCTTTCACTGGATTCTCTCTCTTTCTCTCTTCGTCCCGTTTCTGCAGATGGTCGATATTAAATAATTGGATCGCAAAGCACCCCCCCAATCATGTCCCTAATCTTAACCTGCACAGCAGCCTTGCTCCAGCGAGCGGCAGACCGGCACGGTGGAGGGGGGGGCCAGAGGTGTTGAAAGAGGCAAAGTTCGGCAAGCCGCGCTGGATTGCGTCGCTGCGAGGCTAGCACCGGACATTCCTGTGCGATGACGAGGCCCTGCTGGAGATGCTGGTTCGAGGAGGAAAAGACGACAAAACTAGGTAGGTATTTGACAGGAGAAGGAGAAGTTGAAGAGAAGAAAGAGAAGAAAGAGAAGAAGATGAGGGAATTGGGGAAGCATTGAGAGCGAAGAAGGAGCAGCAGAGTCGCATTTGATGGGAATAATTAAGAACGGCAACCGCCCCTCCAGGGGATTCCTTCCATCAACCACGGCGGCAGGTTGGGTTACAGACCAGACACACACACACACAACAGACAAGTCGCAGCACGGAGGACAGACCAGACCAGACCAGACCAGACCAGAACGCCCAGAATGGAGTGAAATTCAATATTACCTTGTACTAGTATTGAGGAAAAGCGTGAGAACAAGCAACCGTTCAGCCAGCATCCATCCATCCCATCCATCCATCTATCCTGCCTCTTTTGGTTGGCGCGCGTCTCTTCCGTCTGGGGGGGACATTTTGCCTGCATCCCCGAGTCCGCTTTTGGCCAAATTGCAGTTGCAGTTGCGGCGAGGCGAGGCGAGGCATCCAACAGCAGCAATCCATTCGAGGCCGGTTGTTTGTTTTCTTTCTTTTTTCTTTTCTCCTTCTTCTTTAGCCGTGGGCCGCTGCAGGAACTTTCATCTGTACCTACCTTACCTTACCTAAGGTACGAAGCCAAGGGGCCAACTCGAGAAAAGACAGACAACCAGCCAGGAACGATGACATGTGCCCTGGTCCTGACAGGACATGCAACACATATGTCCATCTTCATCCTCCTATGTACATGTTACATTATATCTCCTTGCAGCACGCATCTCATCTACCTACCTATACTACTAGGTTCCTAGTACGTTAGGTAGGGAATAGTAAGTGGCCATGTACAAGTACAACAAAGTAAACATCCAGTACCTATCGTCAAGTCAATCAAACACCGAAAAGACCCCAAATCAACAACACCCAGATCTAGCAAAACCCTCTTCCCCCCCCCCTTGGACCACCCCTGGATTCCCCTCCTCCGCCCTGCTCCAGGCACCACCACCTGAGCTTTACCCGCCCAGACCCACCCAGCTTGGAGAGACCATCAAAGAGTCCCATCCCATCCATGCATCAACTGTCATTGCTCCGTGCTTTTCCAATGTCTGGACTCTTTCTAAGCACGTTGTCCCTCACCATTCAAACCGCAATTGTAATTCCGATTCCTGTACTTCACGCTCTTTCCCCATTGCTCGTATTACCCGTCGGGAGCTTGGACCATCAATCCCATCTTTCCAGCATGGTTCCCACTCCTCCCCTTCTTTTACCCCCCTTCCCCGTAATACTACTACCTATGTACATACGTCTCGGGTCCTTCGGAGGGGATCGTCTTTTGTTCTAGGTAGGCACCGGCACTTGTAGAGAGCCAAGACAAAAGCTTGGTTGCTGAGATCTTGTTCATCGAATTACTACCGTTGTTTTATTATATAAGGGCATGAACAACAACGTACCATTATCTATACATGTGACATAATGAACGTAGTATCTCTATGTTCGTTTGCTCCTGGTCGGCGCCGGGCCTAGCCCCGACCGCCCACGATGGCAGGATTCGTCACACAGAGCAGTCTCGGCCCTCTTAAGCCGTCATCCCTGTCCTTTCCCGTCATCAAAGCGTGTACGGCGTCGAAGCTGGCAAGTCTATAAACAAAAAAGTTCGCCGGGGAAGCACCGACACGAGGCAAGTCGTATGTTGGGGCGTTTCGCGGACAGCTTCCCTGCATCCTGGCGATGCCGTTCTAATGGCCGTGATCCAGAACGGCTGGTTTAAAACCAGCCAGCTAACCAGTCAGCATAAAAAGAACCACTATACCCTTTTTAATATAGTAAATTATATAACTTCAGTTCCTAAAAAGCAAACCAGCCACAACCCTAGTTTATAATATATTATGCTTGCAGGGGCTGCTAAGATGCCTATAATAGGTATAGTTACTAGTTAAATAAGGGAATTCTGCTAGTATTAACTAATTTCTAATAAGCTAGCTAAAGCTGTCTAGTTTAATTAATTAGTACTAACTTATTTATTAACTATAATAACTTTAAATAACCTACTGCCTGCTATAGCCTAGCAGCTACTAAAAGATATTATTTATAATAATAATAATAATAATAATAATATTAATATAGCTATTATTATATAGGCATATATCTTTATAAGAGTTAAGGAGCGTTAAGCAGCCTATTTAGTAAGAGGAAGCCAGCTTCTTACCTTATTAAACTTGCAGCTTTGTTATAAAGAACTCCTTAAGCTTCTTAAAATAATATTTTATAAACTATTTTATATAAAAAAAGGTATATTTTTTAGCCTTTACAGTTAGCTTTATATTAACACAGGGATTAATAAAAGTTAGCAGTAACCTCTTAAATATAAGGTTATAGTATTCTTTTAAATTTATATATTTAATAAGCTATAAAGGAATGCTGCCTCCTACTTTTATATATTATAGTTAAGTATATTATAGTTATTTTATAACCTAATCTATTTTATATAGTATTTATATATAGCTTTTATTTAGTTACTAAATTTATTATATATCTCTCTAATTATTAAGCTTAAAAGGAAGAATAAAAGCTTTAATAGCATAATAAGTATAATTAATAGCACCTTAATTCTAGTATATATTTCTTTTACTAGTTAATAAAGATTCTAGTTTTAGAAGAATAATATAGCTTAAAATATACTTACTTATATTACTTTTAATAGCTTATTTTACTATATACTTACTAATACTAAAGGTTCTTTTTTAAATTTATTACTTTTACTGCAGGTAATAATAAGATTCTTTATAATCTTAGTTAGTAAATACTATTTTAGTAATACTAGCTTTACTTTAAAATCTAGGATAATAATACCTTATAGCTAGACTTATTATTATCTTAATAATTAAGGAGATACTAGTAGGAAACCTATAATAATAAAGGAACTTTATAACTTATAGTATTCTTAATTTTAAACTAAGGTTAAGTAAGTCTTTAGCTAGTATAAGTATAAATAAAAAATTATTTACTATAGCGCTGCTAAGTATAAGTTTATAATATAGATTCTAATTATTTATATAGTTATTAGGCTTTTTAACTTTATTAGACTTAGCAGTATGCTTTTTAGTAACTAGCATTAGCTTAATAAATCTAAGTTAATAAAAAGAGAATAACTTTACCTTACTTAAGCCTGCTAGTATATAAATTCTGTTCTACTGCTATTAAACAGCATTTAGTAGTAAAATCTTATTATAAAAGATGCCTAGGCAGTATATTAGGATTATATTAATAGTAGTAGTAATAAAGAAGAAGATAATATTAGTATTAAGGGTAATAATAATAGCTTTTAAAAGGAAATTTTATATAAAATAAAGTAAATACAGCACTGCTTTTTTTAAAAAAAAAATAGCCTTATATATTAAGTTTACGCTTTAAATCTATTTATAGAAATATTAAGAATCTAACTTAAAGTTTTTTACTAAAAACGCATTCTTTACCTCCTTTAATAGTAATAAATTCTATATTAATATATTTATTAAATTATAGGCTATTTATTATACTACTTTAAGTGTAAATTCTATACTATAATTATTTATAAAAGCATATATATTTTTAAAGGCACTTTTAATTATTTCTAGGCTAACTGCTAGGCATATAATAATAATATGCTTATAAGGCCTTAAATTCTAGGCTGCTAAGGCAGCTATAAGCCTATTTAACTTACTAACTTTATTATCTCTTTTTATAAGCTTCCTCCTTCTTATTACTGCACTTCTAGCTATAAATAATAGCGCTAGTAATAAAGAAGGCGCTAGCACTAGTATTAATAATAATAATAGCTGCTATATAGCTAGCAGTGCTATTTATAATGCATTACTATTATTAATAAGGTCTATAGCTAGTAAATTATTATCTATACTACTAATGCTATTATCTTTATTTAATGCTAAAGGCATATTATTATCTTCTTAATTAAATAGCTTTAAAATGCTAATACCTCCTAGATTACTATTTTAGCTAGCCTTAATAAGGCTATTAAAGTTGCCAGGTTCTTAAATATTTTAGGCAGCAGAAAGGTTATTAATAAAAATTATCTTCTAGCTATTAATTATTATATACTTACTAATAAAAAGGCTATTTTAAATAACCTTATAGTTATATAAATAATACTTTATAATTATTATATTTTTATTCTGCTTACTTATTAAAAGTTAGCTAGTATTAGAATTATATATTATGCCTAATAAGGCCTTAGCCTTCTTAAATGCCTGCTAGAACTTTTTTAAATCCTAGTACTTATTTTTTAATATCTTTAGTTCTTAAATATACTTTAAGTAGTATATTTTTATGCTTTTTAAGATCTTCTTTTATATATCTTAAAGTACTAAGCTTTTATTTAAATTTAAGTTACTAGTAACCTTTACCTTAATAAAATAATTAAGGTATAGTAGTATTTAGTTATTTATTTATTAAAGGGGGGGTTATTATAAGTCGGCCTGTAATATACTTATAAATATTTAGCTTATTATAACTTAAAAATAGGTGCGTTTTCTATATAAAAAGAGGTATATTTAAGCATTAGCCTTATAGGGTTATAATATCTTTATGCTAAAGCCTTGTAAAGGCAGTAAGAGGCATATTAACAGTTTTAGCTAAGCGTCTAGGACTAGGGATCTGCTAGTATAAGAGGTAATATATCCACCTAATTTACTAGCTAGATATACTTAAATTACCAGTCAGGCTAAATAACCAGCCGTTCTAGATCACGGCCAATCCGACATGAATACAGCGCTGCGTCGGCCGTCGACAACCATGGCAGCAGCCATGCAAAAACCCATCTAACCATACAGATATTGCACAAGATGCCCCAGTCAAGTCGCTAAACATACAATGGACTGTCGTCCTTTCTTTTGTCTCTGCCAATGGCGTCTCTCGTCTATCTATAATCGCGTATAGCCAATGAAGCGCGGTTCAATCATTATTCTCATCGTGCTTTGCTTGCACTTTTATGCAACATTACAACACGCTTGCTCGCAAGATGTGCCCAATGCTCAAACATAATCCAAAATCAATCCCAAACGCCAATGCATGCCGTCAATCGCCGCAATCCAAATCCAAATCCCATGTGCGCCAGAAACAATGCTAGTCAAACACAGAATATGCTTCGTACACCAATCTTCGTCGTTGTCCTCTCATCGTGATTCTTACTCCAACGCCTCGCCCGACAGAATGCTCCTCAAAATGTCAGCGCCGACGCCCTCGGCAATCGATTCCATCTCCTTGTCTCCAACGCAGCTGGCAATTCGCTTCTCATCGCCGCTGGCAGCCGCCACCTTTCGACCTCTTTTGCTAGGCGTTTGCGGCATCATGAAGCTGCCCGCCTTTCCTTCCACAGCATTGACAAGGCCAAGGGTCTCGAGGCTGCCCACCACCTCGCGGAACTCGGAGCTGGACAGAGGATGGAGTACAGAGTCCTGAAGACAAAGCTTGCAATACTTGTCAAAAAGAACCTTGACCGTGGGCGCCAGCGTCTGCGTCTTGCTGGGGGTGAGAGTCGTGCCAGGCGCCTTGGCCATTGTCCGAATGTGATTCTCGTAGGCCACCAACGAGCACAAGGCAGCCTTCTGCTGGAGATTGAGGGCCTTGAGACGCTGGGTGGTTCCATTGCTGAAGGCGGCAGCTGTGACCTTGTTGAGGTGGCCAATCGAAGCTCGTGGGGCCGTCTCTGCAGTCAATGCCTTGAGTGATGCAGTTGTGATCTGGTAGACACTTCGAGGAGTGGTACTGCCGGTCGAGTTGTTGCCGTTGATACTTTCTCCCAGGGGTTTCTTCGTCGGCGTCAGCTGTAGAAACTTCTCCCGTGCTGCCTCCTCATGCTTTGACCGGGTCTCGGCTTCGACGAGGTCCAGAGCCCGACGGCATATCTCGAATGCCTTGCGTAGATCCCCAGTCTGGCTTGACACCTTTCGCGAGCAGAGCTCGATGGCGGCGGGGTGAATAAAGGGAACAAAGGCCTCCTTCCCTTCAGGCATCAGGGACTTCAGTCGTGTAATGATGATGTTCTTGACTTGAGCCGCAGTGTAGGGCAGAAAGGGAAGCAGCTCCGGCTTCAGATTCTTCGACTTGAGTCGTGGCAGGAACCGGTCAGTGAGATCCAGAGCATTGGCGATGCCGAGAAGCAACAGCTTTGACGATTTTGCCAGAGACCATTCAAATACTCGATAAAGGCTCTCCAGATCCAGGGTGAGAATGTGGTCAACCTCATCCAGCGTGACGAGATACTTGGCGGCCGACTTGGCCTTGGAAGAGAACATCTTCTGCAAAGCCGAGATGGCTTCCGCCTCTGACAGCTCGCTGCCATCTTCGCCAAGAGCGGCCAGCAGAGTGTGATAGAGGTCCTTTGACGACTTGATGCTCATGCAGTTGACGTAGGCGCTGCGAACCCCATCCACCTCGGAATACTTCTTCGTCAAGCTGGTGATCATGGCGCTCTTTCCGGTGCCCGGCGGGCCGCTAATGTAGATGCAGCCTCCGGGGGATGACGTCGAGACACGGTCCAGGAATGCCGTCAACTGTTCCCGCTCGGCTTCCCTCCCAACCAGCTGACCGGGCTCGGCTCCTCTGGCGAAGAGCTGTCGGGCTTGGTGGTAGATGGTCTGGACGTTGGTCGGCGTGAGGGGCGTCTGGGGTGTCATTCGCTTGAAGAGCTTTCCCGCCGACATGACGGCATGCCGCGGAGTGCTGGGAAAAGAACCAAAGGCATCGCGATGTCGAGGCGTGGAGGGCGTGACAGGGTTGGGTTTTGATGGGGTCTGAGACTGGTTCCGCCTATGCCTCCGTGATGGCAGCTCTTTCAGCTCGTCCTCGACCTCGTCATCCTCGGCGATCTCATTGTTCTCGGCGCCATCATAACTGGGATCCTGGTTCTCGTCATTGTATGAAATGTCCACCAGCCGGCATCGACGAAGTCTTTTGCTGGGAGTGGGCGAGTCTATGACTGTGAGAGACGTATGTCAGGATGACGGGTCGACAAGGCGAGATGAAGGGGCAAGAGGCTGCTCGGTTGGACTTACCAGCATCCACAGCACTGAGCGCCCTCTTTCTCACTTCAGAACGAGCCATTGCACCTGATGCTGAGAGGCAACGAAAAACTGGGGAAACTCCAAGGCGCGCCTTCCGATATCTGTGAATCCAGGATAAGTGGAAGGAAGGGCCTTGATGCTTTCCAGGCTTTCTAGATTATGGTGATGAGTACAGATTGCAGTTGCAGTTGCAGTTTGTAGATGCAGGTCAGGAAGGAAAAATGCAGGTGCACATGGATTATGAGGGAAGGAAAAGCCGTGTGCCCCATCTCTGCAGAGGAAGGAAAAAAGGGCGATTTTGGCGTGTGAACCAGGGTGTCCGATCTGGTGCGGCAGCCGCGAGGCAGCTTGGCGCGTTGATGCGCGTTTCCAGACCGCGTTTAGTAGCGGTTTGGACGCGACATTTCCAGCTCGGGTTACCACCAGTTTTCGACAGTTGGCGGGCCGTGCAGCGCTCTCCAGCCACTAGCATCCAGCTGTTACAGAGGGGTTACTGCATGCTCTACAGGCGGCACGCGTTCTATTGACAGGGCTAGACAGACAGCACGGATTGGAGACTCAATGGTTTGCGCAGCTTGATGACGTGCAGCATGCGTGTCTTTACTTGTCTGCAGATGAGGCAACAAAGCTGAATGGTCGATGCCGCTTTATATGCTGCGAAATGACAATGATTGCTGCATCGCCTTTTCTGCAAATAACTGTGTTGCAGTTGATTGATACTGAATACTAGTACTGAATAGAGGGCCCTGCTAACGTGCACTCTATCGTAGTTCAGCCGGAGCTCAATCGATAATAGCGCTCCATCTCCCTCAGATCCCGATCCTCCCTCTCGGACCCGAGCCAGCCAATCGGGACATTGCGTCATACAATCATACGAGAGACGAAACCCAATACATTAAGACCTGCAATTCCATCCATCACGGCTACTCTCCCTCGATACTTCTCCCAACCTCCAGCTTGGATATAGTATCCCCGTAATCAAAGATGACCACTTACATTCCTGCCATCACGATCCCATCGGCCGTGTTCCTCAACCCGGCGGCATCGATTCTCCTGCCCATAGGACTGGGCACTGCCGTCGGCTTTGGGACTCGACGTAAGCTGGTCCTTTCATCAATCGTCATAGCAGATGGGTGATGGATGACAGTTTGAGCTGACAATGGGAGCAATGTAAACACACGATGCAGCGTCCAAAACGCAAAAGACATACCTTGCTCTAAAGCAGCCTCCTCTACACCCCCCGCCATGGGTCTTTGGCCCCGTCTGGACAGTCCTCTACGGGTACTTCTCCCTCCCTTTGAACCCCCGTGATGCATACTTTCAACTCTCAACTCTCATCTGCTGAAGGCGAACAATCATGTGAGTATCAGCTAACGCCATGTTCAAGCCTCATGGGCTACGCCGCCTACCGCGCAACATTCTATGGCCTCTCGCCCTTGGCATCCCCCCAAACCATCCAAACGACCAGGCACAGCATGACCGTATACTCCATCCAGCTCGGCCTCAACCTCATCTGGATGCCGCTCTTCTTCGTCGCAAAGCGCCCTATCGAGGCAACCGTTGACATTGTGGCCCTGCTGGGTCTCAACGGCTACTTGGCGTATCTGTGGGGGTCCATCGACTCTGTTGCTGGCTGGTGCCAGGCGCCGTATCTGGCATGGCTGGGCTTTGCGACGTATTTGAGCGCAGGAGCGGGATATCTGAATGACTGGAATTTGCAGGATAAGGAGATTGATGCTGCCGAGGTGGAAAAGAAGCAGCAAAACTAACAGGCTGGCAGCGCGAGATTCGCTGGTCCATTGTGCCGCAATGTCATTCGAACTCAAGCTCAGTGTTCAATGCAGATTGCGATATTCGAATCATCATCTATCGCTAGATCAACCGTCTGTAAATACTATATCTATCACGACTCCTTGTCCATGTATGACCCCAAAACCACCTTTTGCATGCCCGACATACAGCCAATGCGCGAAAATCGAAGCAATTGACGAGAAAAACAAAAACAAAGAAACGAATAGAAACGCTGCAGCGACCTCAATCCTGGCACGCCACTGTACATGAATGGTGTCGCCATATAAATGACTCAAATATGGTATCAGAGAAGATAGAAGAAGAGAGTGGTAGAGGCATTCACTGCTGGAAGTCCATGCAGAAACTACTGCATGGGAAGGTGTCGCTTCAGCCCGTCATAGACAATGAAGATGAATGCCGAGCTTGGTGCCGCCCTAGCACAGGTGATGCCACACCCGCGATACAGCCCCCGCAGGCCGTGGTGCCTCCAGATGGCCATGCCCTCGCTCCAGAAATCTCGGCGCTGCTGGGCGCCGCCCACGGGCGATGTTTGCATGCGAGACTTGATGGTGTCGGCAGGGAAGAACAAGAAGTTGTACGAAACGCCTCCTGATGCGCCAGCGATAGCCTGCTGCCAGAGGGGGAGAGGCTTTGCTCGAATCGCCTCCTGCTCCGCCTCGGAGGTAGCAGATCGAAGCCTCATTTTGTAGAATGCCTTTGTGACTGTCTCCTTGGCTCCGAACCAAGCTGAGCAGCCACCAGCCTCCCTGATCAGCGTGCCGAGCTGGCCATGCCAGAAGCCTCTGATGCCCTCGTGCCGGTATACCTCGCGAATCACAGCTAGAGGCCGCAGCTGGGAAACTTGCGCTCCCTCCGACAGGGCTGGCGCTTGAATCCTGCACTTGACGAGCTCAATCGGCGTGAGGACAAAGGACGTGAAACAACCAGATATGGCACCGGTCAGCCATAGCAAGGGCAACGTCAGCTCATTGCCCCGAGGAGCAACCTTGGTCTGGTAGAGGAGCTCTCGCCCGACGCTCTCAAACAGAAAGAGGCTGCTGGTCTCTGCGGCTGCGCCAAACAAGGGGGCGCTGATTCCCCTGTATAGACCACGCAGGCCATCGGATTTGATCGATTGTCGGAAGCAGTCCAGGGGGCCGGTGTACCTCAGCGGCAGGTGGTCGGGCTGGCTCTGGAGCCGGACCTTGACGGTGTCGAAGGGATATTCGATATACTTGCCCGCAATGCCGGCGACCTAGGTATGTTTCACAGCAGTCAGCTACCTATGCCCCATCGCATCTCAACGTCGCCAATCGCTTAGGAGCACTCACCGATCCGTAGATGATATCTTCAACAGCATCCATGGTAGCCGTACGGCTTCTTCCTCGAAACGCCAACTCAGGCTGGGCGGCAACCGAGGTGGTCATGTCAAGAGTGGCCTGGGCCATTCCGGGGAACTGAGTGGTCTCGCGCGGACTCAAGAGACTGACAGCTAAGCAGCCAGAAAAAAGGGCTCCCTTGTTGGTCTTCTTCTTCCCTCAGCGCACTTCTTTCAGTCCCTAGCTTTGCCCCCTCTCCTGTGGGAGCGGGGGTTGAAAGCAGGTATGAAAGAATAACGACGAGCAGACAAACGGGCGGCCGAGAGGACTGCGAAAAGGGGAGGGGCGAGTTGTCCCTGGTATAGATGAAGAGAGTGAAGATGGGAGGCTTTGGCGGCGGCGGCGGCGGCGGCGCAAGAAGAGGACGGTTCAAAAAGCTTTAAATTTGAAGAGTTGTAGGTAGCGACCGGATGCCCGCTGTGGGGGACCTTGTTCGAGCTCGCAATTGCTAGAGAGCCCACACCGACCTCGCCCTAGGGATGCAGAAGATGCAAGGATTGCGCAAGAGAAAGTGACACAAAGGCGACGCAGGCGGAGTTTGTCCCAGTTCTAGAGCAGTCGCGGGATTTTTCCTTCTTTGATTGTTTCGCAACGGTTGAGATTCAGGAATCAGGGGGCGAGAGAGGAAGAAAAAGAAGAGAACAAGGGCTCGGTGCTACATTGTAAGTAAAAGCGTGGCTCAGCTGCAGGGAGAGAGGCAAGTCGGCATATACATGTACTTATGAGTCTATTTCTCGAGCTCGCAGCGCCTGAGCCAGCCTTTTTCCTCTGACTCCCACTAATACTATGAAGAGGCGTGACGGTAAAATTTCGATCTTATCGAGGCTTATCGATAGGGTGGGAGGACCCGCAGCTGGGTGCGATTGGAAGCTCTGATTCGTGTACCTGCCGGGATCGGCTCTGACATTTACACCCCGGCACTTGCATGTGCTGCCTGTATGTAAGTGTACCTTACCTTAGGTACCTTGGTCAGAAGAAACCGGGCTGGACCTGATGGGAGCCTGATGACAGGGGCTCAACTCGTTATTGGACACAAGTACAAGTACTGCAGTATGATTGTACGTCTCCAATTGCGCGTTCCCTTGGCAGATTGGGAAAATTGGCGCCCTTCTATGGATACAAGGAAGGGCCGGAAAACCACTCAGCTGCATGGTGCCGAGAGGCAGCCAGGCACCACGGGATTTGGTGTGCTGAGCATGTAATATCAGATGAATTGCTGTTTTCTTGTTGTTATCCATTCGGTGAGAGATGCCCTCACAGAGGCAAATCACCTAAGGTAGGTAGTTAAGGATATTTGCAAAAGTAACACCGAATACCTAGAATGCATTCCATATTGGCAACTGGTAAACTCTTGCGCAAATGGCCCAGCACAAACGTCAAGCCGTGTCTTGCCTTCAAGGAGTTCTCGTCGTCACCAAGCCACCTTTTTCATTAGCGTTCATGGCGGGCTCTGTTCTCTTGTGGGAACAAGGGGCTCGGAAACATGGCTTGTTCATCCACTTGCTCCATGATCATATCTTCGTCCCAGCTTCTCGATCCATACCTTACCTCAAACTCTCAGGACCTCTGACGCTCAGTACATCCGGACGGAGGCCACATTACAGCACCACTACTAAAGTAGTACCGACGCAGACAGACCGTGTTCTCTCAAGACTTATTAGATATGCCGACATCCATCATGTATTCCAAGAAACATTTGAGCGCCTATTCACATGAGAGGGATTTCCTTCGCGAACCGACAAGTTGCAACCGGAACGAAGTGGTTTTAGTCTACATGCAGTCCTGGCTAGCGCCTTGTCTTGGACCCGCCCAGTTGCGATGCAAATTTGTTATCAGATGATCAGATAATTTTTTCCGCGGCCAAGATGTGAAGGACTATCCACCCGGGACGGAGAATCTCCGTATTGTCATCCACAGTTGCACGTCACTACTGTGCTTGTCTGACTCTCTACGCAAGATAATGGCTCTCACACAGGAGCAATTTGATGAATTCCTGCTGATCTTCATTTCTGGCATGGAGCTGGTTGAAAGATCGTACCAACATATTCCCAGCAGTGAGAATCGAGGCTATGCCAGTCTCTCGCGGTGGCTGTCCTATCATTCGGTGGGAATACAGAGAGACCGCAGGAAATGTGTATATAGGTACGTACATGTAGTCTTTGTCACCCCTCAAGCCTTCCGAGCTTGTGTCTAGTGTAATATTACTACATATAACGGCCCGCCATCAAGGCACCATTCGGCCATACGAGCGATTCATACTATCCAACGTCACGGAGATCCGGTAAGCCCGATGCTACAAATACACCACATTATCGTGATACATAACACCATGCCCAACTCATCACACAATCTGTACGGCTCAACACCGTCCCAGCATCACACAGCCCGTCGCATCACTGCTTCTTCTTGGCCTCCTTCTTCGCCACCTCCTTCTCGTCGTCCCAGTCCCTCTTCTCGGCATACCACTGCCCGGCCTGCAGCACCAGGATTCCCACCAGTACCAGCGCCAGGATCGTGTTGCTCGCCGCCAGCACCTTGAGGCTGTCCTCCCTGCCGAGGACAACCTCGCCGTCGAACCGGCCCTTGGACGCGGCAAACTCCTCCGAGTGCCAGAAGCCGGAGCTGACGGTGCGCAGGCCCTTGACAATGTTGGACACGTAGACGGCGACGCCGATGAGGTACAGGATCAGCGAGGCGCCGTCAAAGAGGAAGTTGGCCTCGCTGGGGCGGAAGAGCTTGATGAAGAGGCCGAGGAAGCCCACGCTCATGATGATGTTGAGGAGGCGGCCGATGAGCGGCGGCGACTGGTGGACAAACTTGAGGTGCGTCTCGAGCTGGTCGTAGTAGTCGGCGGCGACGGGTTCTTTCGTCCACAGCAGGGGGAAGTCGTACGGGAACGAGGCGAAGAGGATGCCCAGGAAGAAGCATGTCGCTGGAGGAGCCAGTGTTAGCACATTGACATTGCAGCCGTCCGCGCACTCAGCTACGCTTGGGCGAGGCGTTGGCAAAAAGGTATAAAGGGCAGCGTACGGCCGATGATGAGAAAAGTCGCAAAGGACGTCGAGCCGCGGTAGTCCTTGGACTTGGTCGTCTTGGACCAATCAATGTAGGATGAGGAGCTCATGGTGGCTTCGGCGAGAGAAGAAGCGGTGCTGCGTCTTTGTAGGTAGGTATACGCAAGATGCGCCTGAGACTCGCAAGTGAATCGTCGCCGAAGAGGTCACAGAAGGCGTTGCGCAGGGTTCGTTGCGACCATGTGATGCGTGGGAGGAACGGAAAAAAACAGAGGACAGAAGAGGTTATCGTGTCCGTCAATTGAACCAACTTGCAGTGCGTGGGGGAGCTGAGAGTCTAAATTTGCGGAGGGACCAGCGTTGGCAAGGTATGTATCGGTACCTATGCGGGTTAGCTTCTCCAGAGGCATCCAACAGCAACGGCACGCGTAAACATGCGCCGCTAACAGACCAGAAGTCGCGGTACTCTAGACGTATGGCGGCATCCCTCAGGCCCCCCCTCCACCACCGTATCAGATACCCGGAGCTTGGGAAGGTTCGTTATCGCTGCAATGGAAGCTTACAGCTTATTACAGGCGCGCTGCTGCAAGCGGGCTGCCTTTCAGCTGCATGCCAGCATTCTTCACCCTTTCAATTCCTTTCTCTTTGTTCTTCCTTTGCGACATGTGTTTCTCTTCAGCCTGATTAGGACACTCATTTTCTGCTGCGCAGCGTAATTTTTTGCTAGCGATACAATTTTCCCTCCTGCATGTTTCAACACAAGGCGCTTTGCACTTTGGCAACACAGCTTCACTCTTGTTTACCGCCTTGCTTCCTGAACCGTTCGCCCACCAAACAAAAAAAAAAAACATAGAGATCAAATAATACAACTCGTTGCAACCCATCATCAAACCGTCCAAATGACCCTCCTACTGCAATTCCTCCTCCTGCTCTTCGTCCCTCTCGTCAGGGCCGCCGATGCCACCGTCTCCATATACGACGACTCGGACAAATACATCTACTACGGATGCTACAACGAGACGACCCAAGTCGCCGGTTCGGCCGAGACGCGCGCGTTGGGCGGCGGCATCGACGAGAGTCTGCCGGGCGAGATGACGGTGCCGAAATGTCTTGCTTTTTGCGGCAACGGGAGCACGGAGTATCGGTATGCTGGGCTGGAGTGGTCGAGGTATGTTTTTGGTCCATTTTTGTCCACTCGCATCGTGATGGCTATACATAGATGGATGTGTTGATGGCTGATTTCTTCATGCGCCTCTCTCTTTTTTTTTTCTTAGGGAATGCTGGTGTGCTCAGACATTGTCTGGGATAGCTGAAAAGCTTGATGATTCGGCGTGCAACTATCCCTGCGAGGGCGACAATACGACCGCTTGTGGTGGTTCTCTGAAATTGTCCGTCTATCGCGCTTCTTTTGCGAGTCGGATGTCTGGTTCGAGCGTGTTTTGTCTAGCGATGGCCGGACTGGTAATGATGGTGCTTTGGTAATGCGTCACGGGATGTTGAGAACGACTGTCTGTTGATAACGACTGTCTGTTGAGATTTTTCTGTCGAGATGTAAATGGACGATTTCTTTGTGTAAAGACTCAAACGGATACAGCGTGTTTGATACAGGCGTGATAGATGATGTTCCTGCACCTGTTCATATCAAATAGATGACTTACACAAGTCATTCTTTGTGGTGTTTCTTAATCCATATACTGTATTACAGCATTCTGACCCATTCTCCTCTTGAGACATGTACGGTCACATCATATCTGCAGGGGCGCCAGGCCCCTTTCTTCAACAGCAGCCTGCATCGCCGCCTTGATGCCATTCACAGCCAGTTTCCAAGCTCGGCGGCCTCTGCTATCGACACCGTCCTGATCAACCACGACATCCAACCACTTGATCAGCATGACTGCCTTGCTCAAATCGCGTTCCTCTTTAATGACTTTCACCAAGTATCTTTCCAAAACATCGACATCTCGCTTGTGTGGCCCGGCCTTTCTAGTCTGGGCATGCCACGCATCAACCATGTCCTTGATCTCCGCTGCAGAGGTGACAGAGCCGGAAAACGCAATGACTGGCGGCAATATGGGAAACTCTATCGTTTTCTGTCCGCCGGGGAGCACACTCGTCTCGTGATGGCTTCTCGTAACGGGCATCTCTAATCCCGACTGCAGTGCTAGAACTCGGCGTCTGTGGTCGGCAATGACTTCTTTTCGGACGTCTTCCGGAAGCTCAGCGAGGAATTCGGGATCCAGTTCTTCGACCCCTTCTGGCCGAGCCTCTGCGGGTGCGGGCATTCGGAAGTTGGTCTGAATAACTCCCGCTTGAGCGTCTCGCTGGCGAGACATCTTGCCGAATATTCCACGGGACGTGCTGGGTTTTGTTGGAGTTGCTGGCCTCCTGGAACGAGTTGTTTCGGTTTTTCTAGGTGAGGGTTGTGGTAGAGGCTCCATCGGCTTCCGTCCGTATAGCGCCAGCACCTCGGCTTTCATATCGTCTGGCAACGCATTAAACACCTCCAAGTCGACCTGTGAGGACAGCAAGTCTGCTCCTATGGGGCTCTGAGATCTTGACCTGAGAGCCTTCCTCTGAAGCTCGGAGGCAGCTCCTTTGGGACGCTGGGCCATAAGCTTGGCACGAATGTCTTGGGGCAGCTCAGCCAAGACCGCAGGATCAGGGCTGCTCGGTAACAAGAACTGGGTGCCCGAGACCTTGCGTTGGGTATGCGCACTTCTTGAGCCACCTGAATCAGGAGCGTTAGAGCCATGTGCTGGCTTGAGTTTCTGAGGTGTGACAGGCTCATCTGCCCGATGCCCGCGTTCTGGATCATCCATTTGTCGGTTCTTCGCGTCGTCTGGCTTTTGGACGGCTTCAGCTGAACCTGCTCTCGACTGCTGCTGCTGCTGCTGCTGCTGCTGCTGCTGAGGCTCTTGTTCAACGAATGGAGCAAATGCTATCCTTCTCTGGCTGCCATCCAGGGCGAGGGCATTCGACTTGATCGGTTCCAACTTTGTCATCTGGACGCCGATTCCACGTAGATCTCCGGGGCTGAACTTGAATGAACGCAATATTGAAACTGCTTCCTTGCCAATGGCCTGATAATCATGCGTCGCAACACCAAAAGCCGAGCTTTTGTTGAAAGAGTCGCATTTTCCATGTCCCAGATGCTTCGTCGGGTCAAGAGGGGCATCAAGAGCGCGCCTCATGAGTTTCACTGTGAGGTGCTTCCCCTTGACCTGCTCATTCACCAAACGTTTCTCTAGTTCCTTACAGAGGTCGTAGACGAACTCTTCGGCTTCTGCTTGGTTGATGAAGCGGATCCCCCAATTGACCTCTGCCGACACGGACTTCCTGGGGGGTTGTTCCCCAACCTCTGTTCGATCGATGCCGCGGGCGTAGTCATGCAGTTTCTCACTGGTCTTGGGGCCCAAGACCGCAACTAGGCGTTCTTTGGAAATGTCTCTGAGATCCTTGACGAGTTTGACGCCCAGATCTTCCAGCTTCCCACCAATGCTGTATGCCACCCCCGGCAACTCTTCAACCTTGAGATCGCCGATGATTTCCAGGATTTGCTCGGGTCGCAGTTGGAACTGTCCGTCAGGCTTTGCTTTCCTCAGAGCAATCTTGGCCTGCAGGATGTTTCCACCGATACCCACTGAGACGGAACAGTTGGTTTGCTCTTTAATCTTGTTGCGCAAAGCCAGCGCCATCTCGTCGACCTTTGCCTGCTCTCTCCAGAGACTGCCCTCACTAACGCCAACGCCGCGGGATTGGGCTGCCGCAAGTACGACATCAGTGACATCAACCAAGGCCTCGTCGACGCTTACACTCTGGACAATGCCACCTGTTTCCATAATGGCCTCGTAAAACTGACGACTGACTTCTTCGTACGCCGGGAAATCGTAAGGCAGGACTTTGAGATCCGGACAGAGTTCGAGAGCTCTCTTCATCCACATGCCATTCTTGACTCCAAATTTCCGAGCAACGTAGTTGCAGCTCGCAATTTCCGATCCAGCACCTGTGCTGTGGGCGACAACACAGGGCTTGTCAACATATTCAGGGTGGCCCTTCAAGGACACTGTACAGAAGAAACTGTCAAAGTCTACATGCATGATGTACTTTCTCAAACCAGGCCGGTTCTTGGTCTTTCTGTTTGAGAGTCCCTTTTCGGCTGCCAGTCGTTGCATCGATGATTTCAGGTTTGCCTTCCATGTTGAGAGATGATGCAGCCTGCTCTCCGAATAGAATTGCTTTAGAAAGTCGGGATTAGCGGTAGAAGACTTTCTTATTCTCGGATCCGACAAGAGCCAAGCGTTGTGCTCTTCCGACGTCATCTTCTTAGACGGCGACTTCGACGCGTCCAACTGGCCAATCGGCTCAGCCGCTGCATGCTGTTCGGATTCGACCCCTTCACCCTGGATATCCCAAGCGGCTGCCTCGAGTGGCAACTGTCCTTCATGCGCTGTTGCGGCGAGGTTCTCCATGCCTTGCGGCAGCATGTCAGAGATGTCGTTTTGCCATCGGCTAGACAAAGCCGACTGTTCTGGAAGCTGAATGGCTAGTTGGCTATGCGATTCAGCTCTGATCTGGCTCGTGTAGAAGCTATTGTCCGTCTGCTCCCTGTATCCACGCCTAGCCGCTGGGCTGGACTGAGTAAGACCTCTGTCGCTATCAAACTTCAAGATTTTCTGGCTAGGGCTCTCGCTCGATACTCTGTAGTCGGCCCATGGCAGGAGTTTACCAGCCTTTACTGAATCGACAACCCATGCAGGCTTCACAATCCTGTACCGGCTAAATTCGATGGCCTTCTTTGGGGGCAGGGTCGCTGTGATGATGTGCGTGGCCATGGTTTTCGAGTCTAGATACTGGAGGAATCCACCGCCATGCTGAACAATCTCATGATGAATGCTATCGGGAGCCCATGTCAGCGCCTTTGATGCGCAATGGCCGTAGAGAAGAACCACTTACACGTGTAGAGGCGGCTGGGTGTAACCATTAACATGAGCAACTACCCCCTTGAATATCGGTGGCTTATCGGATGTTGCGCGTATGTCGGCATCCAGGTTTTGGAGCTTGATCTTCTTTCGACGGAAATAGTCGCCAAAGCCATTGAACTCGCTGCCCTCATACTCCTCGCCCTCCTCGTCCTCAAAGGTATGATTCTCAATGCGCTTCCTCACCGAAGAGGAATTCTTTTCCAGAACACTGTTCATCTTGCCCAGCAGAAGCAGACCTGAAGTATTCCGGAGGGTTCGGACATTGGTTGGCTCGAGCTATAGGCAGATGAACGGTCGCCCATATCAAGAGCAACGCCCGTCCGTGACCTAGCGCCACAGTTTCAGTCGATGAAGCAGGGGAGGAGAGTCGTTCGACACGTGAAAATTGACATCATTTGGACATCCGATGCCATGCGACTCGTGTCATGAACCATTCATGCAAAGCTGCTGAGAGATGCCAGACGGCGACATGCCTTTGGCGCTGATGGAAAATTTGTAAGAAGCGACAGGCAGCTGTTCGGAGAGGGTGACGTGATGAGTCGGAAAGTAGCCGCGTTGGGTGGAGCATGTATTGCGCGCCTCTCACACGCTGTCCCGTGACCTCGAAGTTTCCGGCGCTATTACACCTCCAGCCTTGGAAGACGAGGCTGCGCTTGCGCTTGATCCATCTCTGTCTGTTGTTGGTCTTGTTCCTTTTGTTGAATCTCGAACATATAAGCGATCATGAACAACGAACAATTCCGGAAGCTGATGCTCGCCAAGTCGGGGCCTACGTCGAAAGATGGCGCTTCTCCTAAAGGTACGAGCCCTGGCGCAAACACGGGCTCCCTGGGTTCTCGACAGCGAAACAGCATCCCGATGACTCCGTACGTAGTTGCATCCTTTGCAATAGACGGGATCCTGCTGACTCGCATTATGAAAGACGATCTTTAGGAGGCGCGCAGGCCGACTTCGCGAGACAGCTTGCAGAACGGAATCAGGCGCTACATCCCGCGAAGAAGTTCAAGACATCCGTGCCAAGGGGGGTGAAATTGGGAACAGGCTACGTCGACAGGGCGAAAACCCGAGAGAACGAAGAAGACGACCGAGAAGAGAGGCTCAAGGCGCTGGAAAAAGCCCTCAAAGACGAAGAAATCGACCAGGCAACATACGAAAAGCTACGGTTTCAGATTGCAGGCGGAGATCTTTCAAGTACACATCTAGTGAAGGGGCTTGATTTCAAGCTTCTCGAAAGGATACGCAAAGGGGAGGATGTCTACGGGAACAAGCCAACGACGGAGGATAGCGCGCAAGAGGCCGCGGAGGCAGAAGACGACGTGGAAGACGAGCTCGATCGAATCCAGGAACAAGAGGTACAGGCCATTGCGAGGGAAAAAGAAAAGAAGAAGGGCACTCTAGCAACTGTGCCCGTGGCGCCGGGCAAGAAGAGGACACGCGATCAGATTCTGGCAGAGCTCAAGGCCGCCCGATTAGCAGCACAGCAACAGAAGGAATCAACCCTTGGAGACCGATTCAAGAAGATTGGAGCAAAGCAAAAGCCCGGAACACGGATTGAGAGGGACAGCAAAGGGAGGGAGGTTATGATCATTGTGGACGAAGACGGGCATGAGAAGAGAAAAGTCCGCAAATTACAACCGGAAGAGGAGGACGCTCGGAAGGGTCTCCTCATGCCAGACAAGAGCGCCAAGCCACTGGGGATGGAAGTTCCCGAGCAGTATCGGAAGAAGGAGGAGCCAGAGGAAGTTGACGGCGATGTGGATATTTTCGAGGACGCCGGCGATGACTACGATCCGCTGGCTGGAATTGACGCGTCAGACTCTGACTCGGATGAGGAGGACAACAAGAGCAGCGACAGCAAGCAGGAGGCAAGCAAAGACGCAGAGACAAACGAGGCCATGCCGCCGCCACCTAAGCCAACGCCGGCGCAGCCAGAACGGCGGAATTACTTCAAGGACTCAAAAACAGGCCTCATCTCCGAAGAGGCGGGCAGAGCGCCGTCCATGTCTGATCCCGCCATTTTGGCGGCGATCAAGAAAGCAGCGTCTCTCAAACCCATCGAGCAAGACGAAGAGGATGACAAGGCCAAGGAAGCAGCCAAGGCACTGGAAGAGCGACGAAGGAAGCTCCTCGAGATGCAGAGCCGGGATGACGAGGACATTGACATGGGCTTCGGCACCAGCAGATTTGAAGACGAGGAGGACTTTGAAGACAAGAAGATTAAGCTGTCGAGGTGGGGTGACGATGCTGGAGAGGAAGGGTCTGGTAGAGGCGACAAGTCGAAGCGGAAGAGAGGGCCGAAGAAACGAAAGGGCGACGTCAACAGCGCAGCCGATATCCTGCGGGTTGTCGAGCAGCGCAAGAAGTCGGCGTGAAGAGGGTCTGGCAAGTCTCCAGCTTTGCTTCAATTGGCACATCAACAATGTTCCGCTCGAGTTTCCCCGGATTATCTCCATCATGATGCATGATGAACAGGCCAGATCATGATACGTACTATGTACAACCCACTTAGATACCCCAAAGTTTTTATTGTTCAGCTCCGGGGACTCTGGCCGTCCATCGCGGAGCTCCGCGATCTTCAGGAGTCGAGGTTCCAGTGATGTCGACGAGAGTCCGTCACGTGTAGGCTCAAACGCCGATGATTTCCAGAGTCTTTTGTGAAGTTCCCTCGGAGTGGAGGCTCGTTGGCCCGGATTAACCGCTTCTATTATCAAATCCCAGACGCCAATGACACAGACTTTCGGTTCCTGGCGATGCTAGTTGCGCCTTAGCATCGAAATGTGTGTGAGGGGTCAGCCGTAGGAAGCGGTCGCTGATGGATTTCCCCCACTTCGAGGCTTGTGACTGCGGAGAAAAAAAAGAGCAGAAGCGGGTTTCCATGGAGCATCAACTGTCACCGGACGGCCTGAGATTCCCTTGCCCTGCGACTGACAGTGTGTTCTATCGAGGCTCGCCGTCAACTGACTGGGCGGTGGCTGAATGAACCCTGGGGCTTTGATCTTCTGGGGCTGTGAGTGACGGCGATTACGGAATGTCAATCAATGCCTTGCTTCGATTTCTGAGCCCTTTCTTGTGCGCCCGTCTGCGATACCTTTCTGGATCCCAGCTATAAAGAGAAGTTGTAATCGCTGTTTTGTGACATAGAGACCATATTATTCGTTTCTTTCGTTTGGCGTCGTTTCCGTTTTCTGGCTTGAGCCCATTTCCCTCCTTAGCTACCGTCAAGATGTCATCCGATCAAGTGCCTGTATGGCTGGATTGCGATCCAGGCCACGATGTGAGTTTCCCGCCTCGTTCGGAATCTGTCAAGGCTTCAGGCGCGAGTCTCATGCAGGGTCGCATTGCATGAGAGCAGCGGCTGAGCTTGATCGAAGACAGACGAGCTAACCACGGCCTTTTTCCGCAAAAGGATGCCTTCGCCATCCTGCTGGCGGCTCACCATCCGCGAATCAACCTGCTGGGCATCTCGACAGTCTTTGGCAATTCTTCCCTCGAGTACGTTGCAGAGATGGAAAAGCCTTCATGAGGCTGCTCCAACGACAGAGACCGAGCAACCCGCAGCTGACTGCTGAAAAACCTACCAGACACACGACGTACAACGCCGCCTCTCTTCTGACGGCCTTTGGCAAGCACAACGACATTCCCCTCTACGTCGGCCTCGACAGACCGCTCGAGCGACCTCCCCTCCACGCGCCGACCGACATCCACGGCGACAGCGGCCTCGACGGCACCGAGCTGCTGCCCGCGCCGAAATGCACCCCGAAGCCGGAGCCGGCCATCGAGGCCATGGCCGCCGCCCTCCGAGCGCAGCCCGCCGGCACGGCCTGGATCGTGGCCACGGGCACCGTCACCAACGTCGGCGCCCTCTTCCGCAAGTACCCCGAGCTGGTGGCGCACATCAAGGGCCTGAGCATCATGGGCGGCTCCATCGGCGGCGGCTTCTCGGACGCGCCGCTGGGCAAGGTCGACGGCAAGGAGCGCATCGGCAACGTGACGCCGTACGCCGAGTTCAACATCTTTGTCGACCCGGAGGCGGCGGCCGAGCTGTTTGACAACAAGGAGCTCGCGAGCAAGATGTACATGGTGCCGCTGGACCTCAGCCACCAGGTGCTTGCGACGGAGCGGGTGAGGGAGCTGCTGCTGTACGGCAAGGATGTGCCCGAGAGCAAGACGGGCAAGGGCAAGACGGAGCTGCGGACGATGCTTGTCGAGCTGCTCTATTTCTTCGCCAAGACATATGCGTAGGTCTTCTTCTTTGTTTTCTCTTGGAGAGGATATTACAACGGTTTTTTCTTGCTTGGATGCTAACGGGTGAATTCCAAAACAGCGACGTCTTTGGCATCACCGCCGGCCCGCCGCTCCACGATCCCCTCGCCATGGCCTTTGTCCTGCTCGGCACCCCCGACGAGATCCCCTTTTACGACTGGGACGAGAAGAAGAGCCAGGGCCCAAAGCACCACGAGCGCTTCAACGTCACCGTCATCACCGAGGGCACCACCGAGGAGGCCAAGCGCGGGGAGAAGCAGACCGGCCGGACCATTGCCAAGGCGCTGCCCGCGGGCGAGGCGGGCGTCATGATACCCAGGGGGGTGGACGTCGAGCGGTTCTGGCAGGTGATTGAGGAGTGCATGGAGAGGGCGGACGAGACGAATCGGCGACTGAGCAACTGAGCGTCTTGTTTTTTTTTCCTTTCCCCTTGTTTTTCTCTTCGTCTTTTTCTTGGATAAAAACGGACCTTTTTTTTTTTTTTGCTGGATGAACATGTGTGTACACTGGGCAAAGAAAAAGAAGGATAGAGAAATTGGTTTTCGTTTTCCGCCCTCGTGGCTGTGGCCATAGAGATTACATAGAGTGTCTAGACAAAACAATTCTATTCATACAAAGGTCAAAAAGAAAAAAGAAAAAGGAAAAAAAAAAAAAAAGACAAGGCAATCATAAATACATGGGGCACGCGACTCGTATCATCATATTGACGCTTCCCCCTCATCCTTATCCAAGCTCATCAAGAGCTTCAAGCTCCGCTCATACGTCCAGAGCGTCACTGCGCTCGCGGGCGCAGCCTTGATCAAGCTGATCGGCAACCCCTTGTACAAGCCGCGAAACCCCTCCGTCACGTAGATGGCCCGCAGAGCCCGGACGGCGGACGTGTACACGGGGATGTCGCTGTAGACGTACCGGCTCCGCGTGGGGCCCTGGACCTGGATGCGCTTGCGGACGAGGTCGAGGGGGAAGACGGCCGTCTTGGCGAGGACGCTGGCGGCGATGCCGGCGGTGGCGTCGCCGCTGCCCCAGGGGAGGTGCAGGTGGCCGAGGCGCAGCCGGAGGCCCTCGTACGAGGCGAAGAAGATGCCCATGAAGGGCACGATCTGGCCCAGCGCCGGCGCCAGGCCGCGGAAGAAGCCGCGCAGGCCCTCGTCGCGGCGAATGTCCCACAGGGCGCCGCGCAGCGACGAGTAGACGCGCTGGCGGCCCTGGGCGGCGAAGCGCGTCCTCAGCAGGTCGAGCGGGTACGTCGCGCCCGTGGCGGCCGCGCCCGAGACGGCGCCCGCGATGAAGGTCTCGGCGGAGTCGGGCAGGCGGCGGTTGTCGGGCAGCGCCGTCTGCAGGAAGACGGTCGTGGAGCGGTAGGCGGTGAACTGCACGGCCGAGTAGCACACGTACATGAGCTCGGCGGGGACGTTGCCCTTCCAGAGGCCCGTGAGGCCCTCATGCTTGAGGATGTGCTTGATGGTGTGGACGGTGCCGCGGTAGGCGGGAGCTTCGCGCAGGGGGGCGAGAGGGTCGGAGAGCGAGTACGGCTGCAGCTGGAGGCGGATCTTGACGACGTCGAGAGGAGCGACGACGAATCTGCAAGATAGAGAGAGGACTTGTTAGCTGCTGTTGGAGAGGAGGCGGGGAGACTTGCGCAAGCCTATGAAGGAGAGATGGATGATTTTGCTTACCGGGAGACGAGCCCGGCTATGGCGCCGGCGGTTACGACTTGGAGTTTGGAGCCCTGTTAAAGAGAGGTAGAGAAGAAGAGTTCAGCATCGGGGCTGGGCAGTCTAGGGGTACCGGTCGCGAACTGTTTATGGGTGAGTTGGGGAGGGACGGACCTCATCTTTGAGGTGGCCGCCTTTGGGCGACATGCAGGAGTTTTGCGCCTCAGGGTGGGTTGACGATGCGCAGGATCCTCTGTACGAGTACGGGGTGTGTCTCTTTAGTTGATGAATTGCTGCAATCGGGAGTGGAGTGGGTGGGTGAGGCTCGATTTGTGTGTCACTTTTGGTGTGTTTGGAGTTGAGGTGCGATCAGTAGGCGTGGTGTTTTTGCCAACGAGATGAACAATTGAAGTTTGCGATAGAGGCCCGAGTTGGCGCGGAAGATTGGAGCCGATGGAATGCGCGTTTGAGCGGGATGCGGCATCCGACAGCAATGCGGCGTTGAAGAGCCGGAAGAAATCAAGACTCAATTGAAGTGGTTACAGTGATTCTGGCATGGGTGTTATTTGAAAGCTCATGGTGATGCCATCGTATATTTTTCTCTTTGGCTTTTTTTTTTATCTTTCCCTGTATTCAACAAGAGATTCAGCAGCGAAATGTGACGCCATTGCCGTGGCGCTGAATCGGGAAAGCCAATGACATCAAACGACCAGGTACAGGGTCGGGGTCTGTCGCTCAGGTACGCCGTTCATTGTGTTTTGCTGCGCCGGATCTGAGGTAGCGCCTAGCACCGAGCAAGTACCCCCGACGAACAAGACATTGTTAACCTGAGAGAAGGCATCTGGTACATGTATGGCCCAGGAGTCAATGCAAGCCCCGATCAAATGTTCGCAAGGTCCAAGTATGGCCAGAAGCAGTAATATTAAGAGAACGATTGCTCTCATCAAAACGTCATGGGGAGTTTCTCGACTGCCCAGACGCAGCAACTGCGGTCAAAGGCTCCGAAACGAATATCCCGTCTTAGCTGAGCAGTCGTCGGGTAATACTCGTACTTCCCGCCTACAAACGTCAAAGCCCTTCATTCTCATGCCTATGCAAGCCAAATCAACCATACAACAAGGTAATACCTAAGTACTACCACCTACCGATGTAGTCGTGCTAAGATTGCCTCTATCCCCCCCTTCCCAAAGGTTGGCGATGCCGGAGGTCTCCTTTGGCGGGTCGGTGACCGTGTCCCCATGTCCAAGCGACGGGCAGAAGGAAGTCGGTCCCATTCATATCCATCGATCCATCCAGACTAATATCAGGAAATGCCATCATGGTGGGACCCGAGAGGATCTGGCATGTGAAGAGATTCAGGGCGGAAACGGGCATGGAACGGTCAAAGAAGCTCCGGTGAGGCTCCGGCAGGGGGGTTTTGCGGATCCTTGCGTTGAGAGGTGCCTTGACCGGCAGGTGTTTTTGTCTACAGAGGTGAGTTGCTTGTCGACCTCATTGCAACATGCACAGTAAGCAGCAGCAGTCTCGGGTGTTAGACACGGATCCTTGCAACCAGATACCTACATAAGGCTAGTACTACTATATCCGTCATGACAAACGGAAATCAAGCGAAAGTCGTGGTGGTGGTGGTGGTGACAGCATCTACACCACAGCTTGAACATGCAACCATCGTCAACTCCCCCTTATTAAACAGCGCCCGCTCATTGGAATTAAACGTTACCCCAAACTACATCCATACTAATAACCCGCCTCCCCCACCGGCCACTACTGCACCGTCCGTCTGCAGATTAAACCATAGATACAATCCCCATCTCCCCGTGACTCTGGAGTGCAGTAGTAGTACTAGTATAGTAGTACACCCCACAGGGATCTTGAATGTTAAATCAGTACGAACCTCAGCTCATGATCTGATTGGTGGGTTAGAAAGTAAGTATATCTACTGATCAGCATGGGCAAGGCAGCTGCTAGCAGGAGTACAGGTACGTAAGTCTTATCAGTAATAGCAGCTCCTTCTTACCAACCCTAATCTAATATAAAGATAATAAGAACGTTCCCTTCTCTTTAGGCTATAGTAGGAAACCTGAATGTAATAAATATCATTAATATTTTATCCTGCAGCAGTTGTAAATGCGTAAAAGGCTCACGATAGTACCCTTGTTGTTGTGGCAAAGAGGTACTGCATCACGCAAATCACTCGAGAAGGTACGTGCAACAGAAGCCTATCAAAAGTTGGGTCTGTGGCAAAAGTACTGATTTAACATTCAAGATCCCTGTGGGGTGTAGTAGTAGCAATACCTAGGTACCTAAGGTAAGGTAATAATAATCGCTCTCCTCCCTCTTTGCCTTCCTTTCCCCCGGAGAGCCACAGTCGCATCCCACCCTCCGCCCCCATTGGCCAGCCGCACGCCATCCAGCTCTGCTATGTCTATGCCCCGTACCCGTCTGTCCCTGAATGGGGGCTCCTTCCGAGTGCCCATTACGTAGATGCTACGGGAACAACCCCCTCCTTGCTGCTTGCACTGCTCAAGTCTCCAGTTACAGAAGGTAAGCAGTACTTTTGAAGGACCTCGCCGCGACGTTGCTTCCGGGTCGGCGGATACCCGGGCGGTACCTACTTGACGCTGCCCAATGCGGTAAGCCTGGCGCCAGCTCCAGCGTCCACGATGTCCTGAGCAGAGCTGCATGTGAGCTTCTGAGACGGCGTGTACTGTACAGTATCATGTTAGTACTTGTATATGAACGTCACTCTGTCGCCCTCACTCAAACACACACACTTCCTCCTCCTCCCTCCTCCCTCCCTCTCTTATGTCTCAGTCCCCTACTCGTACCTTTCTCCTCTCTACCTACCCAACCATAATCCTCATCCATCTTGCGCCTCTTCTTCTTCCTTTATGATAAATCCCAGACCGGTTTGATCAGTACCTGGCCAGCGCACCTGCACGACCTGAACCATTGAATCCACTCCCGCAGATTCTTAGTTCGACGCCTGAAGCGGCGCATGTGACACTTGCCACCAATATCCAGACCTCAGGAACCTACCTCTGCCCAAACACCAAGCTCCGGCTCTTTTCCCCAGACGCCTTTCGCCAGCCATCATTCCAGTAGTAGACCTTACCGAACGCCCCCCCATCACGACAAATAACCGAAACCCCTCCTCCATCAATCGAAAGAAAAAAAAAAAAAAAAGCCCATTCCAATCTCTCCCTTCGCAGAAGAAGCTCTCTGCCAAACCTCGATCATAAGAAGAGAGAGAGAGAGAGAGAGCCTAATAACCATGGCCAGCATCGCACCCCCAGACCTCGCCAATCTGCTGGCCCCGATCCTCCCAGCCCTGCCCGCCGCCGCCGTATCAACCGAGCCCGCAGTCGGCATCCTGCCCCTCCTCTCGCCCATTCTGAGACAGAGGGTCAACCTCTTCTCCTCCTCCAGCACAGAGCCCTGGCTGAAGCTGCTATGCTACGACGCGGCCAAGGCCGCCAGGCTGGTCGAGCTCGTGCAGAGCGGCCGCCTCGAGCCCCATCCCGTCTCGGGCGAGGTCGAGGTCGACTGGGGCTACGACGCCCAGACGAGGTACCGGCGGCTGGACCCGGAGACGCTGCAGGCGCTGACGGTCCTGTCCGACCTGGGGCTCGCGTTCCAGCTGGTCTACTGCGTCAACGATGCCGCGGGCGGCGGCGACGGCTGGAGGGTCGGAGAGCTCACGACGCCGGCCGACAGCGCCGCTCCCTTTGCGCAGTTTGCCGGCGGCGTGCCCACCATCGCCGAGGCGGAGGCCAAGTTCAAGGAGCCTAAGCAGGCGCCCAACCCTACGGCGACCTACACCACCAACAACGGTTCGACCACCAGCAGCGAAGACCTGATGGACGACGACGATGACGACGACGGATACTGGGACCGCTACGATGCCACTCCCGCGCGCACGCCCGCCAACAACCGCTCCCCAGCTCCGCGAGCCCGCGCTGGCATTGCCGCTTCCGCAGCGCCGTTGGGTTCCTACAATGCTCAGGCCGCCGTGAACGACGACGACGACGACGATGACTACTACGCGCAGTACGACGACGTCCAGCCCGCCATGGACAACCACGATCCAGACGAGGAAGCCCTGCTGCGCGCCCACATCCAGCCACCCCTCGGCCTTGGCCGCGCCAGCAACGCAGCCGACTCCCGCGGCTCCTGGTCCTCCGCCGAAGCAGACACCAACAACAACAACACCACCAACAACAACATCAACGACATCTCCAGCAGCCCAACAAAGAAAGCCGACCACTTGTCCGCCCAAGACCTCGCCCTCCTCCACCCGCGCCCCGAATCCAGCGCCAGCTCCAACGGCTCAAACACCGTCGCCCGGCTCGAAGCCTCCGCCGGCAAGCAGGAGCAGAACGAGTTTGGCGTCAAGCAGCACGTTTCGCGCAGCATTCGCAGCTTGTACCTGCTGGCCCGGTCGTCGGGCATTGAGAGGGACGAGTTTGAGAGCCTGGTCAAGTCGGAGCTGGATATTCTGTCCTTGATTGAGGATCAGGAATGACATTGAAAACATCAAACTTTTGATGATTGCATTCGGTCCATGGAATTCAAAACGCTTGCGGATGCGTCTCCCGTACGAGGAGAACCGTAACGAGGGGAAAGGGTCGGGGGAATGATACCACAAAGCATAAATTAAAGGGCTACCTACAGAAGAAGTAAGGGGGTGGGTTGGACCATGCCCAAAACAGGAGGAATTTACATTTCGACTTTCTTTCTTTCTTTCTTTCTTCTTTGGATCAAAGCATTCACAGCACAGCGAAATGGCTGGAAAGGGGGGATGGAGTACATGGGAAGTTGATTTGACTGGTCGAGGTTGGCGTTTATATCTTGGGTATGTCGAGGGTTTTGCGCTTGACACAGACTGAAACGTAACAAGCATTGGACTGCTGAAAATTGCATTGACTGGCGGAGTTTTTGTCGAGGATATGGGCCTCTATACCTTCTCTTCCTTCTTCATCTACCTGTGGCCTAGTACCTATAGGGGATCATTATATATACCTTCATTACATTAGTACCTTGATCGCAAGTCTGTTGTATCCTGTATGAGAAATGATTCCTATTGATCTTTACTAGCAGTACAGAACCTATGATGACGGAAAGTAAAGGCCACCAGTAAGCATACCTCGAGTCAGTCCAAGGGGGTTTAACCTCAGTGGAAGTAGACCTTGCTCAGTACCCAATATGACCAGCACCGGATTTTCAAATACCATGGGCCTGGCTCATGCAATGTTTCCGTACTCCCTATACAAAATGTATGTAGACCATAACAATTCAATGCGCTCGCTCGTTCATCCAAATTGGTGCCTTAAGACCTGTATCATCCAGTTGATGTCCTTCATGTGCCGGGCTTTCGCCCCGGTAACCAAAACGCCGACTCCCCATTCCTTCGCGTATGCTCAATGCCCAAACAAGAAGAAAGACTGAGGAACAGAAAAGAAGAGAAAAGAGAAAAGACGGAGAAGAAAAGGGAATATACCCGCAAAGATGCAACTGACTAGAATATTGTTGGGAGAAAAGAAGAGTGGGGTGATTCCAGTTGCTTGATGAAAATCGCAAGGCCGGCAAAGACTTTTCACTGCTCAAAAGTCAAGAACGTGCCAGTCACAGCCTGCCTATGATATAACCAAACTGTTCAGTGCCAATCTCGCTTGATCAAGCATCGACACGCAATGCCTCGGCTGGCGGCGCTGGCACGCCATGGGTTGCGTGGCGTGGCCATAGCACGCCTGCATTATCGAATCCGCCATGTCGTGTCGTTTATTATTCCTCTCGTCGAGCAACAGGACGACATCGTTCAGTCCCCGATAGAGAGAAACGTGCGTGGGTACGCAGCGGTTCAGCCAGCCAAAGGTTGCCAGGTGGTTGGATCCATAAACGTCAACCTTGATGATGGCTCGCATGTTGATGCGCCAATCGTCCGGCTCCAGCGCTTTGTTGTTGCAGCACTTGAGCCGTGCGTAGTCGACAGACGTACAAGTTCTGCCCTCAGTCATGAAGCGTGCCAATATCCCACCAACCTTTTCAAGGCTGAAGTGCATGAGCCTCCCGTCTTCCTTGGCCTGCTCCGCGTCTTTGTCAATCTTTGCTAAAATCGACTTGTAGGCGTTGCAGGCCGCGGGAATGAAAACGCCCAGGTACACGGAACTTTGAACGCGAGAGGCAGGTACCGCCTTTGAGAGGTCGTACATTCCCGAATAACATTGACGGCAGTTGAGAGTATCATGAGCCAACTCTGTGGCGTCGCGTGCTACGCGTATGGCAGACAAGGTGTCTGAGGGGAGTGATATCAGAGGGGTCATTGCCTTGGTGATCAAGGAGACGCAAGTGCAGGGGGCGGATGCTGATTCCACTTCCGGGGGCGTCGTATCCGCGCTGATAGGGTCTGAAGACTCGAAACAGTTGGAGGAATGGGTGCTGGGACTGGAGTCGCTAGGTGCTGGAAGCTGCTCATATCGAGCAATCCAATTTTGCTGATAGTCGTCAGGGCCACTAGGCAAGGCAGCAATGGCCTCGCTGGCGTCTCCAAAGTCGGGGCCCTGGAAGAAACCAGACTGTCTCAGATCCATGGCAGTCACCCCGCTATCAAAAAGTTCTCGGCTCTCGGGCTGCAGGCGGGTGGCTGGTACATTGGGGTTCATCCCGATGGAATCAAGACTGGCAAGGCTCTGCTCGGGCAGCAGCAAGTCGCTGAAGTCGCCCAGGTCAAGCGTGTCCAACTGTAGAGACGGGCCCATGAGGTCAGAAACGGGAAACTGCGACGGTGCTGAGTGCTGATGACTGTGATGGTGGTTATGATGGTGGTTGTGATTGTGGTTGTGATGGTGAGCAGCGGCATTGTGAAGGTGATGTTGGCTATGGTAATGGCCAGCACCGCCAAGTAGTTGCAACGTGGATTCATCGTGGTTCGCAGCGGCAAAGAGAGAAAACGGAAGAATTGAAGTTGAAGCGGCAGTCGAAACGGAAGGCGAATGAGAAAGAGCAGCAGTGATAGGGGTGACACCAGGGGCAGAAGCAGCAGCAGCCAGGGCTGGTGGAATTGGAGCAAATGACGAAGCGAAACCCGGGACGGACCCGAGTAGGGACGCGGGCTGCGAGGAGGGAGCGGGCGCAGAACCCGGAAGCCGAACCGAAAACACCGCCGAGGGGCCGTCCGTGTCTGCGTGCCGCCGCTTTCGGGGCCGTCCCATGGGCTTCTGGGCCGAGTAGACGCACGGGTGGCCGTCTTTCAGGCAGCGATCGCAGCCGTTGGGCTCCTTGGAGCAGGCGATCTTGCGGGATCCTACACGGTTAACGAAGTCAGTATCAAAGTCTCCGTGACCCGGCCTCATATCCCGCACCCGTGGACTCGGGGGGGAGGGGGCGTGCTCTCTCTGTCTCTCTCGCTCTCTCTCTCTTTCTCTCTCTCTCTCTCTCTCTCTCTGTTTGTCTCTGCCTCCTCCCTCTCCCTCCCTCCCTCCCTCCCTCCCTCCCTCACAAAGGCGCACACAAACTCTCCCCTCCTCTCTCTCTATCCTTTCTCTCACGGGGACTTACGGCACTCATCACAGGCCCGATGCTTCTGTGGGCCAGCCAGTGCGGCCTGGGTCACGCTGAGAGCCATGGCCGGCATGGCGAGAGAAGGCAGATGCGAGCACGAGTGCGCGCACAAACGCAGTACGACTCTGGCTTCAGCGTCAAGCTCTGCCAGCCGGATGTGATAGGCAGGGCCTTGGAAGAGGGGCGCGGACAGAGGATGAATCGAAGGCGGTCCGGCACCTGGGTGCGAAAAGTCTCCGAGAGGCTACGCAGAGATGCAGGTTGGGGCGCACGAGACGGACAAACAAAGAGCTGGGACGAAGCACGAGGCACGAGGCTGAGACTGGAGTGAGGAGTAAGAAAGAGAAGCTTCGCTCAGCACGGCGGAATGTTTGGATGCAGGTGTGAAGGAGAGAGGCGGCGAGGCGAGGCGAGGCTGTGAGGAGGCCAGAGCAGAGCAGGCAGAGCAGGAGCAGAGCACACAGAGCAGCAGCAGCAGGAGCAAGAAACTTGCAGGCTCGACTCGACTGATGGCTTGAGGCTTGGCCAACGGCCTGCCAGGGAAGCACCGTAGGAAGGCACCATAGGGTACCCAGGCAGAGTACCATCAGGGTACTGGCCGAGGTATCGAATCAACTCCCCGAGGCGGCGCCTCGTCCTCTCCACAGGCCATGAGTACCTGAGGTGAAACCGGGAGGACCAAGCGTCGGGGTACTGGGCAGGTACCCAGCGACTGGCGTGGTTTCCACGCGACAACTTCCAGGAACTTGAAGACCCCGGCAGGTACCTCGAGGCAAAGGTACCAGATATAGTACCTTAGTATCTACCTCAGCCTCCGCTTCGTATTTTGGGCACGGTTGCTTCGCTCGGTCTCGTCTCTTCTGGAATGATTCAGACCCAACCACCGCATCTGGGCTCAGCTGCTGCGGCGAGAAGAGCCCAAGGTAAGGCCGAGAGCGTGGGATCGTGCAGACGCGCTGCCTCAGCTCGCAGGTACCGGGGAGGTACTCCAAACCGGGCATTGTCCTGTGCCCAACCAACGGGCAGAGCAGGATTCATGGGTCGACTGGTTTGTCAGCGGAGAGCATGGACGACAATCGTTTACGAGTTACTTTGTACGCACAGGTATCGTACAGGTAAGTAGGTAGGTAGGTAGTGATGGTCCATGCCATTGGGCTCTGACTTGATTAATTTCCTCGCAGAATCTCGCGGAATTACGGAGGCATCGGACAGCCCGCGGCTTGTCAAGGCCGAGGGTCCAGAGATGGACCATTGGTAGTCCCAGATAATTACATAACCAAGGGCAGGATCGAGCACCGCTGGAGTTGGCTTTCTAAGCGTCCAGAGCAGCACACAGTGGCACGAGTAGGTAGGCCGATCGCGATGGACTGGCCGAAAGTGCGTCCAGGGTACACACAACCTCAAGGTAGCGTCGAGGAGGAGCTGTTGGCTGGCCCGGAGATACATCCGGGGTCCTCGTGGCGCGAGAGCAATTTAGGGCTGTTGGCTCGGCCATTTGGTGCCACTGCTAGGGAGATCTGACCCATAGAATGCCGCGGATCAGCGGCCTGGGGCTAGGCGGAGGAGCTGGTGTTGTGCTTGAGCTGGGTAGGGCAGAGCTAGCAGGTATGTAGTCGAGATGAGATCAGGCGCTTTGGCTGGAGGTTGATGAGTAGTTGTATAAGATGACGGTCAGATTGGCGTGGGTGATGGGGACGGGATGAGGATTTGGGTACTAGTAGCAGATGGAAGTGAAGGCAACAGAGTCGTGATGAGGCTGAGGGTTGAGGGAGTCATCGAGCCTGCCTGACTGACTACTAGGTAGGTACCTATGAGTGACGAGTGACGCTTGCTGTGCTGTTACTTTAATTTAGGTATGCAGGCGTGAGTGGACGCAGCAACCCTGTCTGTCTATCTAACTGGTACCTAGAGTTGCAGTCGGCAGCTCCACCACATAAGGTATCCATCGAGGCGCTCGGCGTGTTCGAATGAAGCATGAATAGTACCTTACTATCAGTTGATATATTCTGAGGGTGGGATAAGTCATCGACTGGCTGCTATCCATACAAGTTGTAGTAGAAATGATCATTGGCTATCGGATATGGGGGGTCAATCTGGATAGTATAGTATGCTATCACGGATGCTTTCCGTTGGCACCTCCTTGTGCCTATCGACGGATGATGCCCAGCCTCAGATGCTTTATACACTGCTCCCCCACGCATATCACTGCACAAAATGCATTATGTATTACGACTCAAAAAGCAGGGAAACTCCAATTTCAGAATGGAGTCTCTAGACGCCGGGCTGCAGCAGGGCATAGTACTATATGCAGCCTCCCTTGCCGCAGCACCCCCACGCCTCACCTATCAGCAGCCTCACCACCATCGCACAAGCAAACGTCCAAGCTGCTGCAGCCAGCTGCCAGCTGCCAGCTCACCAACGCCTCCCAGCCATGGAGCCTTTTCCCTCTCTCCCAGGCATTGCCAGCACAGCACAGCACAGCACAGCACAGCACCCTGATGACCTTCGCCCTTTATAAGCTGCAATACAAACATTTGCTTGCAACTCGGACGTGGGGTAGTAGTGAACCTGCTCCCCTCCCAAGGGAGAGAGTGAGTGCCGCAGCTGTCAACCGCTCAGATGATGTGTGCCTGCTAACAGATGCCAACAGCCCGGGTGCAAATCCCGGCGTTCGAAATGCGCATGCGACTTGATTTTTTTGCAGTTTTTTTGTCCTTTCTCTCATGTTTTTGACGATGACAGAATGAGGGCTGGGAGTGAGATGCGGATAAGCAGGTGATGGCATCGCGAGATCACCACCACGTCTGAGATGGTACATGGCGGGTATAGTGAGCAAAGTTTACATTTCACCACCAGATTGAAACGGTAGTCAGCTCATGCTAGCACTTTCTTTCTGAAGAATCTCGTCTTGTCATGGTTCTGCTCGTTTACTCCTCAAAGGCATTGTTGCATCGATCGGCTCCTCGTTCTCGATGTTGTCGCTAAACAGGCTCAAGCGATATAAGCTATCGCTCACCCAGTTGGCATTCAAAATTCAGAAAACGCATCCATGATTGCCTCAATAGTGTAGGCGATTCAGAAACTATCTAAATGAAAGCAACACATAACTCCTGAATTGCAGACTCTTCATAGCCTCTCATCTCAAAGGCCATCATGAATATCTAGATAGTAAGAACTAATGGCCCCCGGGTAAGTCAGCGTCATCCTGGCCGGAGATTTTAGGTAGCTCACCGAGATCGACTGCTACGGTAGCGCCGCCACCCTTGTCCCTCAGCCGCAATGCTTGTCTCAACCGTGCAAGATTTGGCTCCCCCTGCAGACTGTCCGTCCCGATAGGCCAGCCATTACTACATACCTACCTACCTACCTACTACTTGCGAGAACCAGCCAGCGCCGTGTCTCCACGTCCTTGTGAACACACCTGAGCGACGTCACGGTGGAAATTGGGAGACCAAAAGGGGGGCGCAAAATCGATCATCCAGACAAAAAGTCAATGGTGTCACCGGACCAGACCGCCTTGTCTCTCTCTGTCTAGGTATGTTGTCTTAAGACGACGCCACTAAGACAACGCGGCGCATGGCTTGAAGCAAAGAAATCTAGTATCTACCTTACCCTCCGTCTCCCTGCGTTTGTGCAAACATCATCGTATAAGAACGTGGCCGGGCTAAAGTCTCACATCACATGCGGCTGGGCGGAAACAAGACTTGTGCTTTTTTTTTCGAAGACGCATCATGACCGGGTCAAGGAAACCTTCTGGCTGATCAGAGACGAAAAAATCTTGCTTACCCCTGGCGCGCCCTTTTCTCTGCATTGACGGAGTTGCCACGCGACCAAAAGAAGAGCTCAAGTGAGGAAAGATCAAAAAGATAGCCAAAGAAGAAGCCGTTCATATAGAAAGACGCCATCGAGGCCTCAGGACTTCTTCATCACCATGGAGCCGCCGGACCTCGACCCCATCATCGCCAAAATGCCTCTGCAAGGCCTCGCCTACGCCGTGCGGACCGCCTACGGCGACACCTTCAAGCTGGCCGTCGCCAGCGGCGTCGCAAAGCCCCTGCTGCTCCCCTGGTGTCTGCTGGGCCCGTTTGTCGTGCCCGCGCTCTGGCTGGCCGTGCCGCACCGCCGCCGGACGTGGTTCTATCGCACGCGGTGGCTGGCCATGGCCCTCGTCGTCTGGTCCAACGTGTACCATCTGCGGTACGTGTCGAGCGCCAACATGGCGTGCGCGTATGCGGCCGGGCTGGCGTCGACGTGGGGGACCATCTTGAGCCTGAATCTGCTCGTCTGGACGAGGCCGCAGTTTGACGCTGCGAGAGTGCGGAGGGTCAAGAAGGGGGATGATTTGGCGCGGGTGGCAGGCAGTGATGATGCGGACAACAGCAATCATGGACAGGGTCGGCTAGAAGATGCAAGCGCTGAATCTACTGGTCATGAGGGGGGAAAGGGGGCTGCAAATGGAGGAGACGGGAATGGAAGTGCAACTGGCCTTCGGACGCGAAAGATTCTCTTGAAGAGCTCCGAAAAGGATTCCGCTCAACAGCAGGAGGGATACGAGTACATCTGGGAGCCGTATCCTTCAGCCGGAGGGTTTCTAGAGCGCCTGGCATGGACGACAGACTTGATTCTCAGTTTCCGAGGAGCCGGTGAGTAGCATTTCTGTTCAAGTATATATAATCGGAGCTTTGCGTAAAAGAATTACCAGCAGACTAACATATCTAATCTCTCGAACGACGAAAAGGCTGGAACTGGTCCGTCTCCTCCCTCCCTCGCCCCCAAATCCCCCTCCAAATCTCCCACGGCGACAAAGTCGACATCGTCTCCATCCCCAAAGTCAGCAGAAGCGGCTACAAGCGCCACCACACAACCAGCGAATTCGTCCGCGACCGCCTCGCCAAGGTCGTCCTCCTCTACCTCGTCCTCGACTTCCTCTCCGTGTACATGGTCAAGGACCCGTACTTTATCCTCGGCCCCGATCACAAGGGCTACATGCTCCCGCCCCATCTCCGCAACCTGCCCCCTTGGCTGCTCCTCGCCTACAGAGAGGCCTTTTGCCTCGCGGGCGTCTACTCCGCCATCGAGGCCGTCTTTGCCGTCTCCGACCTGGTCCAGTACTGGCTCGCCAGCCGCTTCTACCCTTCTCGCGCCGCGCTCTTCCAGTTCGCCTCGACGTTTGGCTCCTTCGAGCAGGTCCTCGACCGCGGCCTCGCCGGCTGGTGGGGCGGCCTCTGGCATCAGACGTTCCGCATGCAGTTTTCCGCACCGGCGACGTACCTCGTCCGCGAGGGCTATCTCAGGCGCGGCACCCCGCTGGCCTCTGTCGTGGCCGCCCTCGTCTCCTTTGCGCAGTCGGGCGTCCTGCATGCCTCGGGGAGCTTGACGTCCGTGCCGCAGACGAGGCCCTGGAGGGCGCCGGCCTTCTTCTTCCTGCAGATGGTGGGTGTCCTGCTTCAGGGGCTGGCGGCGTGGCTCTTGAGGGGGCATGTGCGGGAGATGCCGCGGGTGGTGCGTCGGGCTGGGAACTTGGCGTTTGCGTTGGTTTGGTTGTATTCTACGGCGGGCCTCTTCATGGACGATCTGTCGTCGACGGGGCTGTGGACGGTCGAGCCCGTTCCTGTTTCCTTATTTCGGTTCTTGGGGTTTGGATTCGAGGGTGATCATTGGTGGCGTTGGGATAGGGACCATCTACCCAAGGTGCATATCGGAGAGACGTGGTGGCAGACTGGCATTGCCTTGTAAATTAGGTAGGATAGAGACCGTGTTTCATCGCCATTTTCATAGACGCTTTAGATGAAGATATTTGGATGCATCCTCGGAATTTTGATAATAATGCACGTCTTTCCATTGGTTTCTTTCTCTGAATCATTAATTACCTAGTTGATATCATTTCCTCGTGGCAAGCCGAGCAGTCTCCCCTTTCAACCAGGCCATCACCTCGCCATACCCAGTCTGTCTCCGGCCGAGCACTTCTAAGAAGGCAGAGTATCCGGTCCTTGGAAGCAGTTAGCCAGCCTATTCCCTTCCACCCATCTCCAAATCTTTCCTTGACTTATTCTTGACTTACGCCATGACCTGCGCCTTGCAAATCTTGCAGGCGTAATTCTTAAACCGCATCTTCCTCCATTTGCTCGTCAGGATGAGGAATGCGATATCCACGACTTTCTTGATTGTCCCTACATCAAAGAGAGAAATATCAGCAATCGAGTGACAACCCGTTCACTTTCAAAACAAGGCTTACCGATGACAACATTCACCGAGAGCCGTGTGGAAGCAGAAAGACACCGCAGGTAAGCCCACATCTTGAGCGCAGTCTCGGCGAAGGCGCCGCGCAAGGAGCCCAGTACTGTATCGACCGAGTTGTGCTCTGTATCGAAAAACATGAGATGGGATTGGTATTTGAACGAATCTGTAACACGAATGGCTACATGTTAGCTGGCCATGAGTGACACGGACAAATAGAATTTGGATAGTCACTGACTGAGCACTTTTCGCTGAAAGTTCTGGCCTGGTGAACGCCCATATTCGATAGTCATGGATGTCGAAATATCTGTAGGAAAATGATTAGCACGAAGATACTATTGCTCAAAGCACATATAAATCCGTCTGGAGCCTTTACAAAGAAAAGAAAAAAGAAGAAAAAAAAAAGAAGAAGAAAAAAAAAAGGAGAAGAAAAAACATACCAATGTCCTTGCTTGACCGCCGGTCTTTGGTAATCTCCAACGTCTTGCAGTCAATAAACGTGCCACAATAGGGAAACTTGCTGCCCTTGTCAAGTTTTCGTACGTTCTCGCCCTCATATTCCATGTCAAAGTTGACGAGTGTTTTGTCGCGACCAACTTCAACACCATACTCGGGGACGCCTTGGTGCATGGTCTCAACAAACCGAATCGCTTTATCCTTGTCCAGCGTAATGAGCAAGAAGTCGTCAACGAGCCTCATGAGAAGAGATTTCGGTTCGTTCAGAAAGCTCAGGCGCTGGGCTTCCAGGTCGGCGTAGAAGTAATTGCACAGAAACGTTGACAGGATAGAGCCCTGCGGGATACCCTTCTTTTGCCGATAGTACTTCTTCCCAATCTTGACAATGTTGCGTCCTACATGCTCGGACAGGAGAGCCAAAAGGCTGCTAGTCTCGTGGACCTGCAGAACAGCGCTGTCAACGAAGACGGTGTTCTTCTTCATGCTGCCCATGCCGCTTTCCAGGCGGTCGAGAAAGGGAACCGGTTCGCTGACGGGCATGGCTGTGGAGTGCCAACGGCGAACTGGCTTGGTAGTCTGCCATTCTGCCAGACCCAACCGCTCACCTGGTTTTACCTCTGAATGTTTTGTAAAAAGGTATCGCTTCTGGCTGGGGACTGAGGCCATCAGACTCAGAACTGACGACTGAGGAATTGTATCAAAGGCTGCCCTGACGTCCAGTTTTGCGAAGTAGAACGTATGTTGGCGATTTGGTGTCAGAGACTTTTTGAACGCTCTAAGGCGCTCGTAAATGTCTCCTACAGCAAAAAGCGCTGATCCCAGCTTGGATGAGTTGGCAATCTATGGTAGATCAGCGGTAAGCAGAGAACGAGAAAGGATCCGTCGCGATACATACCCTCTCAAATTTGAATGCTGTATGAATAGGCTTGAGGATTGAGTTGATGCTGGGTCCCAGTACTTTGGTCGTCTTATTGTGCAACATTTGCCGGCGCCTGAGGTTCATGATTGGACGTAGTTTGGTGCCTTTGGGCAGGAGTCTTAGCTGACTGAAGCCAAGTCGTCTGGAATCGAGAATTTGCCTGGCTTGATGTGGGTTGACCTCTTCAAACATGCCCTCCTTGAGATTGGACATCGAAGGCTCTGCAACTAGCCTCCAGACATCGTGACGAAAATAAAACACTTGGAACCGATGCGTATTGGATTCCGTGACGTAGAAGTTGCTCCTGATGAGGGGTATCAAAAGCGAATCAAAAACATAATAGATGAATTCGTAAAATAGTTCGTATCGTTTGTTCATATCGGTTTGGCTGGTCTTTTGCCCTTTGCAGACCGGGGGCACCAGCCACGCGAGTTCTGTCACCTGTGACCCGTAATAAGTACCAAGACATCTTCACGCCTTTCTCGCTCCGCTAAAGGCCAATGCATACCTTGAAATCCTGCGTGATCTCGTGCAGTGATATCATCTCGAAGCGCCGAAGCTTGATGAAATGGTCTACTTTGCGGAGAAACACAGTTCTGTTATGGCAGTTTCTCTCACTGCCCCAAAAGCTGTCTGGTATAATCTTCGAAAGCGCCGTTTGACAAAATGCTGAGACGCATGCCTCGGGGCAGGCCAGTTCAACAACAGAGTTGTACTCCGGGAGCGCCGAACCATCTGCGGGTTGCCGGCGTGTGCGCCGCTTGGTCTGAGACTCGGCTTGCGTTGCTTGACTCGGCGTCGGCGCTGAGAGGGCTGGCGAATCTTGATGGCCGTTCTTCTTTCCGCTCCCACGAGGTCCGTCAAGGAAGGTCGGACAGTAGTGTCTCAGCAGCTCAAAGTACGAACATCGACCATGTAGCAATTGCAACCGCCGCACAAGTTCTTTGGGTGAGCCTCTCAACCGTTTGGGCAGCTTGGACAGGCCCTTCTCAGCGGACTGTTTACCAAGCCCCATCTTCTTCTTGATCTCATCTTCGCGGAATGTATAGTCCTGGAACTTTTGGGCCGTTTGAGTCTTATCGACAGCAGAAGTGAAGACGTTGTGTAGACCGAATTGACGTGGAAAGATGTGCATCATGAGCCTGATCGTATTCATCTCGTTCTTCTGCCAGATATCTGTCGACTGCTGACCATCTGCACCGGTGCCGGCAGCATCACGGACGTATTGGTAGCGATTCAGAGCGTCTAGTCTGTTCAGCAGTTCATCCCAGGCTTGCATAGCTCAAGAAAAGGGGGCTCGACGTACGGATATGCTTGAAACCTGCATGAACTGAGCTTTTCGCGGTTGTGGTCGGCTTTGCATAGAATATCCTGCTGCGAACAAGCGTGATCTCTGAGGGCTTGCGGACTCGAGACCTTGCAACATCATCTTGCGTCTTGGTATCTAGCTCAGACAATGGGACACCTGGCGAGCATGGTCAGAAAAGGATTCACCCCAAAGGCGGCAAAAAGTCACACCAACCAGTGATCTGGATGTAATTGTCCAGGCCTGCATCGACCTTGAGAAATACTGAGCACTTTGATAGCAAATCAATCATCACCTTCTCGCCAGCTTGGCCGAGGAGGGCCAGAAGGTGTGGCCACGGAGCCTCTCTCAGTGCCTTTTCATGAAAGTTGGGATAGTAAGAGTATATCCCGGGAATGGTTGACCGGGCGGACTGATCTTCTCTGGCAGTTTTACGGAAGCCGTCACAAAGGACGTGCTTCGGCCATGGCCCAGCCTTCTCTCTCGAAAACAGCAGCCAGATGACGAAGTCCACGATCTACATTCAGGCCATTTAGCCTGATTCGAGCTATGGGATGCGCACGTGGTGGAGCATGAACAGACCTCGGATTGTTTTCCAAACGATGAAGCTATCCCCTTAGATATAGTCACATACGATTCGTCGCCTTTCTGAGAGAAGGACACCCACTGCTCCCATGTGGAGGCCCCTGAGTCGGACTTTGGAATCGACCGGGCAGTACCGACCAGGGCAGTGTCGAGCACATGGGCCAGCTGCGTCTCGGCTTCACTGGCATCTGGGCCAGGCCCCAAGGTTGCGATCTTCTTGCGCCTGATCCTTGAGGTGCCCGGGAGCTCGGAGAGGACGTATTCCCGTAGTGTGCACACCAGAGGATAGTGCTGCTGCAGTATGTCCTTCTTCACGGGCGTGTAATGCTTGGACGAGGCGGAACCCTGATTGGGCGACGCGTCATTTGCGCCGCGCTTCCTTTTCTTGCCTCGAGACATCTCGCTGAGTTGCCGAAATGCTGGGCTTGTTTGCTGAACTTGAAGCCGTCGAGGTCGCGTTTGCTAACAAAGGCGGCAGTAGGTACGATAAACAGCTGGTGGGTACTCCTTACCTAGTACCTACCGTATGGGGCACCAAAGTACTGCATTGTGCCTGACGCTATGAGAGATCGTGGCTGAACTAGCGCCGCTGTGGCTGAGGCCGAACGTCGTCAACTGCATGTGGCTTGAACGTGTTCAACTTCTCTAGCATCTCGACACCACCACTCCCGAACGCTTCTCATTTCGGAGCATACTATGTATGACTAGGTACCTTTACTAAGGGCCAAAATATGCTCGTAATTACAGCTGCCCGAAGCAGTGCAAAGGATCAATCTGCCTAGGCAAGGATCAGCAAGGTTCAGCCGCGTCCGCGTCCGAGAATCGCGATCGCGATCGGAGAGGGCAGACGGAACGTGGACACCTGGTCGCTGGCCTGGCCTAGGATATCGGCATTGAAGCAATCTCAACTGCTGCGGATGACGGGGAAACACAAGATGGCAGCTGGTAGCACAGTCGAGCCGTTGTCAGCCTCTGTAGCCGACGGCGTGTTGCGCCGTCAGACGGCAAACAAACGGCCATTGCTCTCAAGGGCCGCCGTTCGACGCTGTTGCTGGTATGGCAACAGTCACAACAATCCATCACGGAGAGTCGACAAGGATCAAAAGCATCCACTCAAGGTTCTGTCACAAATCCGAGGTGCCTGACTGGTGACAGGGCTAGTGCAGGTAGTAGTACAAGTAGGTGGAAGCTGGAACTTTAGGCCTCTCGGCAGCAATCGCACGAAGCAGCTCC